CCTAAACCCTAAACCCTAAACCCTAAACCCTAAACCCTAAACCCTAAACCCTAAACCCTAAACCCTAAACCCTAAACCCTAAACCCTAAACCCTAAACCCTAAACCCTAAACCCTAAACCCTAAACCCTAAACCCTAAACCCTAAACCCTAAACCCTAAACCCTAAACCCTAAACCCTAAACCCTAAACCCTAAACCCTAAACCCTAAACCCTAAACCCTAAACCCTAAACCCTAAACCCTAAACCCTAAACCCTAAACCCTAAACCCTAAACCCTAAACCCTAAACCCTAAACCCTAAACCCTAGACCCTAAACCCTAAACCCTAAACCCTGAACCCTGAACCCTGAACCCTAAACCCTAACCCTAAACCCTAAACCCTGAACCCTAAACCCTAAACCCTAAACCCTAAACCCTAAACCCTAAACCCTAAACCCTAAACCCTAAATGCAAGTTTCCATAAGTCACCATCACATATTCACTCGTAAACTTTGGGTGGGACATGCATCAAATGAAAGCTCTCCATGTGCAGGCCACATTGCATGCCTCTCCACTATGCCTTAGGCCCCATCCTTGAGAGCATAAGCCTCAAAAGGTGAGACACGGGGAATATGGAATCCATAAAGGGTGTTATTTTATAGGGATCCGAAGAGTCTTGCTCGGATGTGGCAAATCCATCAAAGAGTAGGGTGTGTGGCAGCGTCGTAGCTAGCTACTAGCTATACTTTGCGGATACAGTAGGCAGGAAAAGCGTGCAATACTTATCAACTTGATGCCGTCGACGGACATCATATACATCTTGGTTTGTTGTAAAAATGAGCTGTTTTGGAAAAGCATGAAAATGCATAGGAACGGGTATAGATGAACTTGAGGGAGCTTGTCAAGGGGATGTATCGTGGCAAGCATATGTTGGGGATTAAAATGTTGTTACCAAGCGTGTTGCAATAAACTTGCACTGTGTCACTTCTCGACTTTTCAACCTGTTTCCTTTCACTCTTACCGTAACCATTGCCCTGTCCCCTAATCTTCCAGGTTTGAAACGTTCATCCCATGTAGTTTGGTGTGATCGTAGCTAAAACTTCTTTACCTATATGCCATGTCCAGTGGCACTCTGAGGGGCCTTCACGAGCATTCTCATGGGGCACGCTCTTTATATGTGTAGCTTCACGCACGATGGATTAGAATCAGATTGTTCAGCATGGCAGATGTCTGGATTTGAACTGTTCGCTGATGTCAGATCTTCATGGTTGCCACTCTCCCTGTGAGATGCAGCGGCGTTGCCTTCGGACCTAACACCGTCCAAGAAAAATTAGCGTCCAGCCGATGATTACGACATCTGTGCGTTGGGACATTTCCACTGGGAGCACATCACTTCAATGCTGATGAAATATGGATGGCTGTCTTTGCCACAACTGTATATAGAGGCGGACAGAACACCATGGTGGGCAAGGTACCGATGTCCCGTGATAAGGAAGAGATATCAGCTGGCGTCAAGGACTGAGCGCGTTACTATATTTACTGAGGTGAGCTGCATTCACCTGTTTTTTGGGACAAATAAATGGTTAGGAGGTGCCAGTCTTACACGTGCGACTGACGAGGGCCTTGAAGAAGGGATGCGGGCAGGGAGAACAGTTTGCAAGCAAGCTGGCGCCTGTGCAACAACTGAAAGATCTATCGATGAACGCAAGAAATATTCTTGACGAGTAATTGGAGATTTTAGGGGTCCGTAAAGTGATTGTCTTGTCATGAGGCCAATGTTCCAAGGATCTCCCTTCGAAGAAGCATCGCAGCCAGTTGCTTACCTGTGTTATGCAGCTGCAATGTGCAAAGTCATTATTTTCTGTTTTAGAGTTGTCATTTCGCACTTAGCCTGCTGCCATGAAATGCTGACTTAATCATCAGTGACCAGCCTGCTACTGCCTGACATTTTCCTCTGCACTGGGCTCGGCAGGACCTGTGAGCCGCTGCAATTCCCGGCTACTGTGTGAAGCATGGCGGCCAACCACTGGAACCCTGGGCTGCACAAAGATGTCTCCTACCACCCAAAGGACCTGCTGCGAGGGGTCACCTCAAGGCGGCGCGCCAGTCTGGGCTCAGACGCTGCTCTGGATGCAGACGCGGACCGCGACCCAGAGATGCCTGTGGATGACTACGAGGAGCTGTACAGGTGTGTGCTAGATCTGGATGAGCAGCTCCTCGGTGGCCTGCTCACCACAGCTGTCCGCTGCTGAATGGGTTGCATGGCTGACCTGTGCACAAGTGGCCAGAAACCTCATTGTGACCTAAAATAGGAGCATGCGTGATGTGGCAGGGTGGCACTGGAGCGCGCCAGCACAATGGATCGGCCGGGGGCAGATGGCGGTGAGGGCAGCGGCTTCACAAAGCTGGACCTCAAGCGTCTGAGGCGCACCCACAGACAGCTCATTGTCGACCGCGGTGAGTTTCATCATGAATAATCTGAAATGTGGACTGCGGAAGCTGCGATGTGTGCCCTGAAATCACCTACACTCCAGTATGAGCTGTGCAGATATCCGCAGCTTCAGAGCAGTATACAATGTTTGCCTGTCTATCTGACTGGCTGTGTCTGTGTGCGCTGCCGTAGCGCTGCAGACATCGGATCAGGACAACGAGGCGTTCCTGCGCAAGTTCCAGGACCGAATCAAGAGGTCTGCCCTGCCTATCTTGCTTGTCAACGGTACAGTCGTCTTGCTGATGAGCATGAGCATTCCTGTGCATGAGCTGGTACCTTGTGGGCTGGGCAGCACTTCAATAAATTGCGGCGCCAACCATTGACAGGAGATTTAGGTGTCGGCCGTTGCAAGGGGTCACTGACACCGCATTGCTTCAGCCATATTCTAGCATCTTGATGTGTGCCAGTCCACAGTGTACCAGTCCAGGTCATTAATTAGAGTATGCACCCCTGCAGGGCTGGGGTGGATGTGCCGACGGTGGAGGTGCGTGCGGATGGGCTGAGCGTGGACAGCAGCGTCTACGTGGGCGGCAGAGCAGCCCCGACGCTCATCAACGCCTACCGCAACTTCATCGAGGTGAGATCCGTCTCCTGCACATGCATGCAGCTGAACGCAGAAGCAGCCACAGGGAGCATCAGAGCTGAGCGAGAAGTGTGCAAGTGCTGCTGATGTGGTGGGACTCTATGCTTCGCAGGACGTGCTGATCCGGCTGCGGGTGAAGAAGACTGACAAGCGCCCCTTCAACATCCTCAACAACGTCAACGCAGTGCTCAAGCCGGTGATGCCCTGCAGACGAGTGTATCCTGCTCAGCCACTGACTTTCCTTAGGTTTACTATTTATTGTCAATGTCACAAAAGCAGATTCTGCACAGCCAGATGTGTGTGCATGCGACTGAGCAGAGCCCTCCTGTGCTGAACAGGGTCGGCTGACAATGCTGCTCGGGCCTCCAGGCGCAGGTGCGCGCATGCTGCCGTCACATGTTGTCTCTTTTAAGATCTTGACCTTTGTTTGCATACGAAATAGGTATGGCCTTGCCAGTGTGTAATGACAGCAGGGAAGCAAAGGCTGCAGTTTCCACCCCTGGGCCCCCTTCTTGAACAGCTGGAGTGATGTCTCGTGGCAGGAAATTGCTGCTAAAGGGATAATAATTGCCCAGATGCGTGCTCTGCCTGCAGGGAAGACGACGCTGCTAAAGACTCTGGCTGGAAAATTGCAGAAGGAGCCATCGCTCAAGGTATGATGCAGGCACCTGCCACCTCGCACATGCCTGTAGCGCCTTTCTGTTGTTTCCTTCCGCTCGAGCTGGACCAAGAAGGAATGCTGCCTGGCATGACTAGGGGGTTGTATGCGCAGGTGACAGGGCAGGTGACATACAATGGGGAGACCTTTGACAAGTTCTTCCCGGAGCGCACTGCAGCCTACGTGGACCAGGTCTGTCTAACCAGGTTGCTTTGTCAACTTTCAGTGATGTTGTTTTTTTCCTCTCATTTGCGCTCCCCACTTCTCTGCTGGACTTCCATTTTCTGCACTGCCTGTTGCCACACTGCATTGTATTGAAAATGAGGAAAGGCATCACTAAGGGCAGGCAGGTAAAAATTTCTCATTCACGAATGTTGCTACGTGTGCATGCAGGTGGACCTGCACGTCCCGGAGCTGACTGTACGCGAGACCTTCGACTTTGCCGCACGCGTCCAGGGCACCGGCCTCAAAGCAGGTGTGCCTGCAACGATATAATGTGATCGGACTCGCATGTGTGGTCACAACTGACTAAGAGAGGAGACTCTTAAAGCAGAGGTATCATGATATACTGTTAGTTACCCTGAAGATATTTTATTGTTGTTTGTCATCTTCGCATGCCTGTTGGGATCAAAAGCATCAGAGTGACACGCTTTAGACCAAGGACGACTGGCACTATTATCAGACATATGCATGAGTCTTAGGCTTTTGGTAATCTCGCTCAACTTGAGCGTGGCATGCGCAGACTTCCTGCGGCAGCTGGCGGAGGCCGAGCGCGCAGGCAGCATCGAGCCAGACGCCGACATCGACGCGTACCTGCAGGCATCAGCGGTGACGGGGGCGCGGCACAACCCGGTCACCCACTACATGATGCGCGTGCTCGGCCTCGAGGCAAGCCCACCCACACCTGACAGCTTAACATGACACTTTATCTCCAGTGAGCACGTCATAATTTTTTGAATTCGATGCGTTCTGCACCCCCTTCCCTACCCAAAAATGAAGCCCGGGACTGTGCCTAAAATCTGAATGCCTTGACAAAATGTTTGAATATCACTTCTGCCCTTTTCACCGTTTCACCCAACCCCCTGATATTATAAATCCCCAAACAATAAGCAACCTTAAAAAGCATGTTGGTAGGAAACGTCACTCATTCTGGTACTGCCAGCAGATCCATCAGGACATCTGGGCGTGCACATGTCAGTGTGGGTTTCTGGCGCAGTGTCTGAGTGTCTATGTTCAGAAGTAGTGTGACAGCCAGGGTTTAACAGCCTCCTAAGGGATCGGCCAAGCTGGTTCAGAGCACCCTAAACCCTACATATGGGTACGGATTGGACAGCCCCTTTTGATATTTGGCAAAACGGTGTCAGGGGAATGTCTCAAAAGCATGTTTGTGATTCAAATGACCCCCGAGTTTCCTAGCTTTTTTAACCGTTATGCGGCCAGGTTGAAGTGAAAATGCGTCTTCCTTCTCAAAGAGCTTGGGCATCGCAGGGAAGCCCTGAAGTTTCAGCTGCAGCAGCCCTACATAGCGGCTGACCTGACACTTTCTGGGACCCCTGTTACACCCCCGTGGCAGCTCTTTGGCGAGGAGCGGTTGTGCGTGTGCAGGTGTGCCAGGACACTGTGGTGGGCAACAACATGATCCGCGGCATCAGTGGCGGCCAGAAGAAACGCGTCACCTCAGGTGCACCTCCTTGATTCTCAACCCTGAATCCTGAACTTGCTTAGTCATTGACACCATTCAACGTGCATGAAAACGTGTGGCAGAAGAGATGCACCCTAGAGCATGCGCCCTGATGCAGGGGAGATGATCGTGGGGCCCAAGTCAACGATGTTCATGGACGAGATCAGCACCGGCCTCGACTCATCCACCACATATCTCATCGTCAAGTGCGCGCGCAACTTCGTCCACATGTGCCAGGTGCGCCAGCTCAACAGCCCCTTTCAATGTAAATACACTTCTTCACTGCCCTGCGGAGCTACATGCTGGGCACTGCATAAGAAGCATCAACAAGCCTCGCCTCTGCAAACCCTGAAATAGACTGAGATCTTCCTGACGGCGACTGTGCAGGGCACCATGCTGATGGCGCTGCTGCAGCCGGCGCCGGAGGTGTATGAGCTCTTCGACGATGTCATGCTGCTCAGCGAAGGTGCGCGCTCTTGGCACTCTTTTCTGCTCAGGGCTGCTTCGTCCTTGAGACGAAGCAGCCCTGAGCCAAAATTCACACGTAATGTCTCAGTCTGCAAAAATAGTAGGCTCAAGTGCACTGAGGCAGTGACACTGGGTGACTCGCATCCCCAAGGACTGCATTTCATGCTCACCGGTCAGCGCCTTGCTTGGAGTGCTTTGGCACATGCATTCTATCTGCATGTGATGCTGTAATGATAACTCTTAAATCTGCTCAGGTCACGTACTGTTCCATGGACCGATTGGAGAGGTGTTGCCATTCTTCGAGGGCCTGGGATTCCGACTGCCAGAGCGCAAGGGCATCGCAGACTTCCTGCAGGAAGTCACCTCGCCCAAGGACCAGGAGGTGTGTCTTCAGTCCTCGCTGGCTTTGGTCTTGTATGCTTGTCTCTTGACTATGTTGACACCAGATATCGTGAATGGCCTGGCTGGCGGGGGGCGGAATGCTGATACTGAGCACCATGCCCACGGCCGATTGGGTCTGGCTTGGACATGGCAAGTCCAAGAGGGGGTAGAATGTGTGGTAGCCTTTTCCTTGCAGCTTGCCTGCAGACATAAATTGCCTCCTGGCAGGAAGGCACGTCATTATAATAAACTAATCTGGATGTGCCTGATATCCACTGCGCGAGATCACGCTCGGCATGTGCTTCCAGTCCTGGTTTTTCCTGTGCGCATATGTAGCATGTAATGCGAACAGTCAGTGCCCGGCTCCTGCAGCAATACTGGGCGGATCCCAGCCGTCCCTGGAGCTTTGTGCCAGTGGCCACCATCGCAGAGGCCTATGAGTCATCACCGCGCGGCCGAGAGAACGCCGCCGAACTGGCGCGCAGCCGGCCCCCCACAGCAGGTGCGCAATTCGAGGGTTCTGCTCAGTGTTTTCAAATTTGCGCAGAGCACCAAGGGAATACATGAGGGATGGCTGCCTGACAGACAGCAACTTCAGCTTTGCGAGAATGTGAACTTACTGTTGTCTCGAGCCCCCTGGCCCTTTTTCCTGGTTTTCGATTCGATTTGGGCAAGCCATGTCCTGGCGCCCGCTCATTGTCAGCTTCATATGATACTGGGCGTAGTAAATCTTGTCTGGAATCACTCTCTGATCCCAGACGTCCATCCTCAAAGATTATTTTTGCTGGCCACATGACCTGGTTGCATGTTGCGCTGGCAGGTGGCAAGGGCGATGCAGACGCCCTGGCAGCTGCCGAGAACGGCGCGGCTGGCGGCGGTATGGGCGGTAACGGCGGCACCGGCGGTCGCAGCGGCGATGACGGAAAAAGTGAAAAGCGGCTGGACCCCCTTGTGCGCAGAAAGTGAGTTTCGGTAGATGCCTGTCCCCGGGGCCCGGCAGGGACACCTCCTTGGCAGGAACAGTGTTTCTTAGAAGGAAACTTGGCTAGAAGCCAATGTGACTGCAAACATAGGCTTTGATGTATTTGTTGAGGTCACAAAATGGCTGAAAGCAGAAAATCTCAGAGGAGTTACTCCCGTATCGAAAGCATGGCTTCGTGCACTTGCGATTCAAGTCCTGGAAGCCGCAAGTTGGGGCACAAGCGCCACTGAAGTGTCGTGGTCATTTGTATGAAACCAACATTGGCTTCAAGAAGTCACCAAGGAAAGTAGCAGGAGCGATGTATGTCTACATGGACACAGTGATCTCTGGCACGAGGTCAGGTGCAGCATTGAAACCCAATGGGCTGTGCAGGTACGCGCTGTCTCCGGTGGGGGTGTTTGCCACGCTGTTCCTTCGCGAGGTCACGCTTATGAAGCGACACAAATTTGTCTACATCTTCCGCACCGCCATCGTGCGTCACTTTCTCACCCTTGTGCATATTCTTACCACCTCATGGGGTTTTGAGATAAGAGTTAAAAATGAAACACTAAACACAGGCACATTTGGAGGATGTCACTAGAGCTGCTGACTCAACAGTGATCATGCTGATGGTGCATTGGTACATGTGCCTGGAGCGGGCCGTTGAGGGTGCCTTGAGCTGTTTTCGACTGGGTGTTGCAGACAGTGGTGATGGGCTTCATAGCGTCGACGCTCTTCATCCGGCCGACGATGCACCGCAACAACGTGGGGGACGCATCACTCTACGCCGCTGTCATGTTCTACTCCCTCGTGCACATGCTCTTTGATGGGTGCGTCATGCCACCCAGTTCAGTGCTGTGTTATTTGCAATTTTCAAGTTAATAAATTTAGGGGTTATGGCTGGGGCTATTGTGCACTTGACAGGTGCTGCAGCCACAGGCATGTAAAACTGCAGATGAGGCACTTTGCGCGCAAAATGTTTTTTTGCCAAGTGACCAGGCACAAAGCATGTCCCAAGAAGCGACATGAGGAAGGGGTTCCCATAGCTATGTGCTCCATACTCAGCAGCATATCTGCACAGGTTGACTGAGATGTCCATCACGATTGAAATGCTGCCGGTCTTCTACAAACAGCGCGCCAACCTGTTCTACCCAGCGGTGAGGCCCTACTCTGTTAAGCCTTATGAATCCTCCCTGTACATTTACATCAAGCGCCAACTTGAACTTGCCATGCCGTAAGATGTGAGGAAGCAGCTGTCGCCAGTCAGTCAATCAGTCAGTGAGACTCGCATTGCTTCCAGCCAAGATAAGGACTGATCCAATGGCCGACTTTGGTAGAGCTAGTCGGCGCCCATGACATATAGATACTCGGCAGAGTGAAGAAGTGATATGTGTGCATGCAGTGGGCCTTTGGGATGCCCATCACAATTCTGCGGCTGCCCTATTCGCTTGTGGAGTCCTTCATCTGGTCCACTATGCTCTACTGGATCATCGGCTTCGCACCAGACGCCGGCAGGTGGGATTATATCGTCCACTTACTCCCACTCAAGCCCTGGCTTGCCTTGTTAGATCAGTGTGAGTCAGCTGCAAGCAAGAGCACTTTCCAGATCGGCAATTCGGAGTTTCAAAATGCAGCACTTGAGATGAGTCCTCCTTCTTTTTGATAATATATCCGGTGATTGTTTCTTATCTAGTGTATTTAGGGTTTAGATTTTTGTAGACATGAACGCCTAGAACCTGAAAGCTTCATGTTGTTGGCTTGTTGGCTGCTGGCCTAATTCTCCATGTTCCTGCACGGTGCCAGCGTGTGGTTGTGCTCGCAGGTACTTCACGTTCTGGCTGCTGAACTTCCTGTGCCACCAAATGGCCATCGGGCTCTTCCGGCTGATGGGCGCCATCGGGCGGTCCCTGGTGGTTGCCTACACCATCGCCTGGCTCATCTTCCTCCTCCTCATCCTCCTTTCCGGCTTCGTCCTCTCCAAAAGTAAGCGCATCGCCTACACTGCAAAAATGTGTGCATTATTAATATTATGCCCCGGCTGGCGGGGGGCGATATAAATACTGAGCACCGTGCCCACGGTTGATTGGTTCTTGCTTGGATCTGGCGAGTCCAACAAGGGGTAGGATTGTGGCAGCCTTTAACTGCAGCTTGTCTGCAGAACGTACCTTGCCTTTCGGCAGGAAAAGCGTGCAATACAAAAAATAAAAAAATAAAAAATGTATTATTACATGCCTTCCTTCCTTGAGGCAAGGTGTGTCCTGCAGACAAGCTGCAGTCAAAGGCACAATCTACAATCTTCGTCCTGCTATGTGCACCCCATGAACTGCATTCCATGGGCTGCATTGTTGTACTGAGCTGCTCACATGCCATGAATGCCAGGTCAAAGATACTTAAGCAGGAAGCGCACAGGGCACAATGTTGAGTTTCCTGCCATGTGCCAGAGAAACATCTGGCCAGCGAGCTCACGACTCCTTCCATTGCATTTTTCTGTGACTCCCTTACAATCGCTTTCACATGCTATTTGCTAATGAATGTCTGCCCCTGCGCAGACCGCATCCCGGACTGGTACATTGGCGGCTACTGGGCGCTGCCACTGCAATGGCTGGTGTCGGCGGCACAAGCCAACGAATTCTCAGACAGTGAGCTCCAAATTCCCACAAGAATACCCTTATGTATTTCCTGCAGTCATGCAATTGTTGAATTTCATTTGCATGTAGCCAGCTAAGCAGCTTCGGCACAGCTCCTGCAGAATACCACAAACCCAAAGGTCGGGCACAGTAATTTTTTTTGTTGACATGGCACTGGACGGCAGATTTGCAAAGCTGAGCAGAACCTCCTTTGGGACCTCTGCACCTTTATAACAAGCTAGAGAAATGAGCTCTGAGACGCAGGTTTCTTATACGGATTATGGAGGGAAGCCATTGTGGCTGTATGCTTGATTTGTTTAGCCAATGCGGGATTTCAAAGAGAGCTTCTCTTTACAAAGTAAAGCGGGAACTGTGGCTTCCTGCAGTCTTGGTTTACTCTCTGAAAGTCGCTTTGGTGACTGTCATTGGGTCGCCCTCCAGTGATTCAAGGGCTACAAAAGTACCCTCCTCACTTCTTTGAACACATTAGCTTGAGAAGCCACTGAAGAAAATCATGCTCTCGCGCAGGCCGCTGGGCCGTCCCTTACCAGTTCAACCCGAGCATCACCATAGGTCAGGCTGTGGCGCAGTCGTTAGACTTCCGCATCAAGCGCGTGTGGGTGTGGGCCGGTATTGCGGTCGTCAGCGCCTGGATTGTGGGACTCAACCTGCTCACCATCCTCGCCCTCAAGCTCTTCCCACGTGCGCACAGCCTGCCAAACTCAGCTTTTTATTTTCATCATAATTACTGTACACTTTTCCGGCCAAGAGGCGAGGTTCGTCTGCAGATAACCCGCAGTCAAGGGCTGCCAAATCCAAGCGTGGGGGACTCGCCTACCCAAGGTCCAATCAATCGTGGACACCGTGCTTAGTATTTATACCTCCTCCCGCCAGCCGGGACCATCATTTACAGAGGAGATATATATAATGGCTGGGGGATTGGCTTCGCTTGAGGAGCCCAAGCGGCCGCCGTCTTGTAGTGTTGACATGTGCAGACAATATACGCATTCTCACCCTCGCTCTGACTTTGCTGCATGGCAAAGACGCTTTGCATGCGCCGGACAGAATGAAGGGTGATGACTCCACAAACTGCAGCTTCTTGCACCTTGAAGCAGAGACGTTTCTTTTTTTTTAGCCCAAGAATGTATCTGATCATAGCCATTGCTTGAGGGCAGAAGCCCTCTTGCATGCACCTGAGTTCCCTGACCAGTTCCCAGCATAAGGCTTGTACCAATCACCGCTTTCGGATCATATCAGTGTTTGTTTAGGGTTTAGCCATTTCTCCCTAATTTCCTGAAAAAATAAGACATAAATCAAACTTGCGAATTTGGACTCGGCGCAGCGCTGGGCGGCGGCAACGCAGTGATGCCGGAGGAGCAGCTCCAGGAAAGGGAGATGATGCGAACCGGCACTGCACACTCCACAACTACCTCCGCAGCTTCCAAGTCTGTGCCTAGCAGCAAGCCGGGCGGGGTCATTGCAATGACTCGCCAGGGGTCGCCGATCGATGGCCGGCCGGCAGCTGCTGCGCCGCAGCCGGCCGATGCCGACAGCCCCGCGCCGCCGCCGCGGCCCGCGCCTCCGCCAGAGACGGCAGAGGAGGATGACTTCAAGGTGACCTCACTCACTTTCGAGCGCTAGCGGGTCGCTGCATTGGGGTTTTGCGCAGCAACTTGTGTCAGGCATGAGAATGTACACTGAAAACTGCATGGTGAAGTAGCTGGAAGGTGCCAGTGTGCTATAAACAGCACAGCTGCCGCAAATTGCATTTTTTGGGGAAAAAATCTTAATGCCTGGCAAACCCGAAAGTCCTGGGAGATGCTTCCATACTATGATAGTGCTTCTGGAAGCAAGATGACTTGAGAACTTTTCCATCTCTGCAGGACGCCAGCGGAGCTCGTCTGGAGCGCTTCTTCTCGGCCAAGGCAGATCTGCCACCAGAAGACGCGGACCATGGCAAAACGCTGCCCACCTCCATTGAAGAGCCCGGCGACGCGCCCACCTCCCCTCCTGACCTGGTGATCTGCTCTTTCCTACTGCATTGACTCTGTAAAAGAATGGGCGAATCTCATTCTACTGGTGAACCGCTGCTCTGCATGATTGTGTTGTGCCACTTCAATGACTGAATTTAAGACTCCTGCCTACATGCTGTCATATGAAGGCCTTAGTGCATGCAGCTTGGTTCCATTTCACTGTGCACCATGCTTGCAAGGTCCATGCCTACAATTGTTCTGAACGCAGGCGCACATGAGCGCTGCGGACCGGGTGTCGTTCCGCGCGAGTCAGCGGCGGCTGGGGCGCGCCAATACAGGCAAGGGGATGGTGCTGCCATTTCAGCCCCTCAACATGGCCTTCCACCACGTCAACTACTCCGTCGACCTGCCACCCGTGCGCGCCTCATACTCTCTCTCTCTCTCTCTCTCTCTCTCTCTCTCTCTCTCTCTCTCTCTCTCTCTCTCTCTCTCTCTCTGACAGACTAACTTTCCTCTCAGAAGCGAGATTGCATTTTGATTTCCTGTGGGGTGTTGATGGGTGAACAGAATTGCAGACCCCCAAATCTCTGTGTCAGGGCAGCGCAACGGCCTTAGCATGCGCAACATGGACCTGCTATATTAATTTCGTGCCTTCTCCCCAGGGTGCACCTTTACTTAATTGGTTATAGAAGCGAGAGGCTGCGCTACCATGTGCCACATTGCTGTGCATGTGTCATGCTGCAGCTTCCTCTGTCCGTCCCGTTGGCTCAGGGTGGAGCATGTTTCAGTTGCAAAGGAATGTTTTGATGTGCGCAGGGGAGCAGTGCGACAGGTGACACGGTGGAGGGAGCCTCAAAGCCGCAGCTGACACTGCTGACGGACATCAGCGGCGCGTTTCGGCCAGGCGTGCTCACCTGCCTCATGGGCGTGTCGGGGGCCGGCAAGACCACGCTCATGGACGTGCTGGCATCGCGCAAGACAGGTGACGCTTCAAGTATTCAAGAGATTATGATTGTTGGGAGCAGCCCAATTTATACACATGATGCTGGCCTGCAGGGTGTGGAGTTGTTTAGGCGCCTTAACAACAACTGGGAGAACCTGCAGGAAAGAATTCATGTACCTGAAAATGTGCTGCTCATTGCAATCAAGACTGAAAAGCAATGAATGTAATATCTTCGCTGGGCTCAAGCATGTCTCCTGCTTATTAGGAATCCACCTTTTCTTTGTGCAAGCCCTGTGTATGGCGCACAGGTGGCCTCGTCAGAGGGGACATCACCGTGGACGGGCACCCTAAGGACGCAGCCACATTTGCGCGTGTCTCCGGCTACGTCGAGCAGGTCAGACCAGATCTTCATCGCAGCCCGTAGGCTTTCATGAAGCACTTCTCTAGGAAGCAGCACGCAGCTCTGCAATGCCCCGCACGCCCATACTCAGGCCTGTCTTGTTGCTGAGATCGGTGCATGGATGATTGCAGTTTGACATCCATTCTCCGGCCACGACGGTGCGCGAGGCGTTGATGTACAGCGCGCAGCTGCGCCTGGTGGGCACCAACAAGAAGCAGCTCGCCAGCTTCGTCGACGAGGCACGTGGCAGATCACTCCTTTGCTCACATTTTAAACAGATTTTGAAAAAGAAGCCTGTGCTCAATCCATGAAATTCCTGGACACGATTGGGGATTGCCACTGGTACTTTACCGGCATGGGAACAGCGAACATGCACATCCACACAAGTGGTTGGTAGTTGGGCCCCTCCTCCCCTAAAGGAAGCACTCTCCAGGCACTACAGTTCAGGCTTCTTCAATCTGTGAAACATTCCTGACGAGCAAATGGTCTGCAATATCTCCACAGGTGTTGGAGCTGATGGAGCTGACTCCTCTGCGCGGTGCGATAGTGGGCGTGCCGGGTGTGAGCGGCCTCTCCGTGGAGCAGCGCAAGCGCCTGACCATTGGCGTTGAACTTGTCGCCAACCCCTCCATCGTCTTCATGGCACGCTGACCTTATCGGATCCCCAAATTTTGCTGTGAAACCATATAGACATGAAGGGGTCTGCAGGGCATATCAGACTGTACTGAGTCACAGTGGAAAGATGTTGCTGCTAGGCATGCAGCCTGGGATTGACAAAGGGAGGGTCTGAGCATATGGACCCTCCTGGCTGAACCAACACATGTGACAAGATAGACGCTCTGAATAAGCACAAGAAGTCGTGTGCATCAAAATACTTCCTTGTTCCTGGAACTGGGCTGGTCCTATATGGAACTGGAATCGCGGCCGCAACACGCGCATGGTGTGGTTGCAGGATGAGCCCACGTCGGGTCTGGATGCGCGCGCGGCCGCAATCGTGATGCGGACGGTACGCAACACAGTCAACACCGGTCGCACCGTTGTCTGCACCATCCACCAGCCATCCATCGACATCTTTGAGGCAAGCCCCTGACTTGTCTGCCAGCGATGCCGTGAATGCTCAAGGCAGAATGCAGGCGTAAACTGTATGGCAGTGCGCCGCTGCAGTGGTCGGCAGTCTCCTTGGTGTTTGCTCTGCAGCGTGCCGCTGACATGGCGCATGCAACCTGCAGGCATCGCACCCCGGAGACTTCTGGGCTCTGCATACAGTCGGTGGCATGCAAAAATGTCACTGATGTCGATTTGCGCAATTAATATCTGTCTCTAGGCCCTGAAGTCTGATATGGCTGCAGGATATCAAAAACAGCCACTGAATGGGCTATAGAAATCTTGATCTACATGGAGCCTGTCACTACTAAGAACAGTGGTGTACAGCACATCCCCTGTTCTCGGATGCCCTTGAGTTGAGAGGCTGTCCATTACATGGTCACTCGCGGCCAAAAATCGCACGTGTTCCAGCTGATTGAGTTTGTGCACTGTGCGCAGTCTTTTGACGAGCTGCTGCTGCTGAAGCGCGGCGGGCGCACCATCTACTTTGGACCCACGGGGGACCGCAGCGCTGAGCTTGTGAATTACTTTGAAGGCATCCGCGGAGTGCCACGCATCGAGGATGGCATAAACCCCGCCACCTGGATGCTCGAGGTGAGTCACCCGCGCTGGCTCATCCTCTCTGCTTATGCCCCTTGGAATGAGCACAGTGGGAAGTAGAAAGCTTTTGGAACGTTGGGGCCAGTTAGGCTATGAAGCAGGATGCTTTAGTGCAGATTTGCAGGTTGCAAGAAAAAGATGACTGTCAGAGTCTTGCACCCGGGTGTGCAGGTGACTGCGATGGCGTCAGAGGACAAGCTCGGAGTGGACTTCGCTGATCTGTACGCCAACTCGGGTGTCGCCAGGTAGGCAGTTCCAGGCTTAATGGACAGGTCTTGCGGCCCAAAGAGTTGACCTGCAGTAGTGCTGCAAGGGTAAAGCCATCAAAATGGCCCACAGTTGTTTTTAACTAAGAATTGTGCTTGAATTGATTGCAGCTGATATGCATGCATGTGCCGAAGGCTGACGGCAGGTGCGCACATGTGTGCGCAGGAGCAACGATGAGCTGGTGACGCAGCTGCAGGTGCCAGCGCCCGACTCGCAGCCGCTGCGGTTCGACAAGCGCTACCCGCGCTCCTTTTTGGAGCAGTTTTTGATCATAATCCGCAAGAACTTCACGCTGTACTGGCGGCTGCCGGACTACAACGCGGTGCGGCTGTTCTTCACCTGCATCTTCAGCCTCCTCATTGGCTCCATCTACTGGCGCAAGGGCAACAAAACGTGCGCACTCCTCCTCATATCAGATATGTGCAGGTTTCTGCCTCCATGCATGCCTGCCCCACAATTATATGTCCGTACGTTGAGCCTGCAGATGACAAGCCAGGAAGCTGAGCCAGAAATGATAAGAAAACAATATTTTGATCTGCCCTCCTTTGCTGCTGTCACCGTACATACAGGACTCCTCCGCAATCTTGTGTCCGAGCAGGGCATGTCTCTACTGGATTTGTGCCTCTTATGCTGCTGAGGATCTCCTTTCTCGGGAATGTGAGCAGTATATGTGAACAGTGGAAAGTGCATGGCGCAGGGACAACGCGGGCAATATGCAGAATGTGTTGGGTGCGCTGCTGACGGCAGCCATCTTCCTGGGCACCTCCAACGCGTCCACCGTGCAGCCAGTGGTCGACACTGAGCGATCCGTCTTCTACCGGTGCTGTTCCCTCCGGAAGCCTGTTCTGGCTCTGTGCATGCATGCAAGGACAGTGAAATTTGGAAGGGATCTATGTCAATGCTGCTGGAACGCACCCGGCCTGGATAGGAAAAGCGTGTACTGTTGGTAACAATGACATGCATGCATCCTGAGCCATACAATTTTAATTTTGTTTTTATATATCATATGTTTTTTTTTATTCATCCACCACCCAAGGAAGTTCTTTGGCAAGGATCCAGAGTGGCACTTCTTTGTCCCAGTTTCTGGAAGGCTGCAGAAATTTGACTTCTGCAAGATTGAAGTCACAGCAATTAACATTCTAGCAAGACAGGGATCAGCAGGCCATAAAGATCAGCAAGCAAACCCTACTTTTGGCTGGAAAGATCTGGGCAGAAATTCTACTGAAGGCACATCTGCTCTTTTTGCAGGGAGCGCGCCGCGGGCTACTACAGCGAGCTACCGTTTGCTCTGGCGCAAACTCTGGTGGAGGTCCCCTACCTGCTCGTGCAAACCGTCCTCTACTCGTAAGATCCCTTCCTCTTAAATGTTGCAGTTCCCCCTTGTGAAGCTGCACTTGGTGTTGTTCAGTGAGCGGCGTTCATTTTTGAATCAGGGCGACAGATCGCCGCATCTACTCAATGCTGCCTATGTGATCCCAGAATCCAACTCTGCTGGGCCGCTTCCCGTTCTGCCCGAAGCGGAGAGCAGGGTGGAAGCTGACCAGCAGAGTGGGATTCCATTGAGCCAGTGCCAGTTTCTGTGCGGTACTTACTTTTTTTGAAAGAAACTGGAGAATTATGTTGGGCAATCATGGGCGCTTCCACGCTGCTAAATTAATTGCAGTCTGCCAGTGCTGTTTGCCACAGCACTGATACTTCCTTACCGCCCCTGGTGCAGGTGCATCACCTACTTCATGATCTACTTTGAGATAAACGCCGGTGAGCTCAACACTCTTTGTATTGCGTCCTATCTCGCAGCAGCCCACTTGCGCACGTTCCTGTACATAAGCAATAGATGGACATCACTCCGTAAGGGGAGAGGATATTTATGGGCGCTGAGGGATTGCTGTGATGCGTGCAGCCAAGTTCTTCTGGTACCTCTTCTTCACGTTCCTGACGCTGTCCTTCTTCACCTACTATGGCATGATGGCCGTTTCCATCTCGCCCAATGTCCAGGTCAGCGCCCAGCTCACTTGGACAACTGTATGCTTGTCACAATTCTCACGAGGGATTCCTGGCAAAGGAAACAGTGTGCTTGGAAGGCAGTCTGCTCAGTGTTGCTGCAGGATAGACATTGCTGATGGGATAGTTTGGCTTTGAAAAGGGAACATTGTTGGCCAACGGTGCGCTATGTGTCTAAGCTTGTTTCTGATGTAGAGCATATCTCTTGTGCTTTGCAGGTGGCGGCCATAATATCGTCGACCTTCTACTCTGCCTGGTTCCTGCTGGCCGGCTTCATCATCCCACGCCCCCGCATCCCCGGCTGGTGGATCTGGTGATGCACCCTTACCACCTTTGCCTGTCATGTCCTCCTAAGAAGGGTGTCTTTGGCATCAATACTATGGCAGCAGTTTCACAGCTACCGGGGATATCAATGCAGTTCTGTGGTGCCTTTCCCTGGGAGCAGTAAAATCACCCAGGTCCTTAAGTCCTACTACTAGTACTTGATAGCGCCCATCTTGAATCTGTGTTCATTTCTGAGTCTTGGCAGGAGTATGATCATTGTTTGCCGGCCCCAGGTTCCACTACCTGGACCCGCTGACGTACACGGTGGAGGGTCTGATAGCAAGCCAGCTGGGGGACATCCACGACCAGTTAATCGCATTTGAGGACGGCAGCACCGCATCAGTCGCGCGCTACGTCGAGGTGCGATGCACGCTGCATTGTCTGAATTGCATGGAAATGAAAGGTCATTCCAAAGGCAGTCCACCCTGTGTACCTCGCTTTTTGTCAGCTGTATGATATAAGTGACTGAAGCCATGCAGCTGGCTAAGAGCAGGCGCTCTCGATCTTGTGTCTAATTCAATGCCACAGAAGTCTTTTGCTGTGACATATTCTTGCTCTAACATGATTGGACACGAGGGCCAAGACAATTGGAGCCCAGAGGCGGCAAACGATTTTATAGAAACCATGGGAAAACGTGCAAAAACCCCTACAGTGTCTCCCTGATGTTGTGTAAATCCGTCTACGTCCTAACGTCAACAGATCTGGGCGACTTACACAAAGCAGAACTCTGAACTGTGCATCCCTTTTGTCATCTGAGGTAGTCTGCGATATCCAGAGTTTTTAATGGCTCTGCTCTGCCCACACCCGTATTACAATTGACTGCTTATCCTGTCGTGCGCCTTGACTTTGTGTTTGCTGCATGCGCACAGGTGCAGTACGGCTATAAGCACAATTTCATCGGCTACGCGGTGCTTGTGCTCATCGGCTTCATCCTGCTCTTCCAGGCCATCAATGCCTTTGCACTCAAGAACTTCAACTTCCAGACCCGCTGATGCTTGAGCTGTGCTGCATCCCTTTGTGAGCGCAAATAGCCATGATCAAAGATTCGGCTCCTGAAAACAGGGGCCCATTGCGTGCTTTGTCGTGTTAGGTATTGCACCTCAAAATCTTGTCATTCTTGTGTCCACAGCGCACAGGGCTAGGCGCAGGTCGATTGACAAAGCTTGAACATGCGTGAGAAATTTGCAAAAAGTCTCACTCCCAGACATGTAGACATTGAACTTTATTATTTAGATGTGCATTATGCAGTTCTGCTGTTGGTTGCAGTTGGGTTACTGTTTTGCAAGCATGCAATTAGCTGCTACATGCAAGCAGTTGTTTCTGCCAGTTGAGTGCCAGCGAGTGCCATGATACTGCATCAAAATGTGTATACTTGGCTCTGCATGCTGATGTCAGCATCTCTTCATGAGGCCTGCAGAGGCAAGGCGTCAGTTGAGTGACGTCTGCCCTGTAAATTATATCAACAGAGTACAAGCCCTGCAGACCTGCATTTGTGGAGGACCCATGCATGCTGCAGTTGAACACCATTTTGGCAAGCTCAGATTTTCTTACTCGCAGTAATAATATTTCTCACCCATTCACACACCATCCAGTGTTGAATGCAATGCAGGTCACATACCCTAGCAGGTCAAACCCCAAAAGCACAGTCAGCAACCGCAAGCACATGCATTTGGATCTTGGAAACAAAGACAAGCAGAGACAGCAGGTCCTACACCTGTTTGCCTGATTCAAGAGTACACCTCCCTAAAGACAGCCAAAAACTCCTACCCTAGGAAGCAATCACAACCAAAATGTTGCAAGCGTTTGCAATACTGCTAGCTATGACACACAAATACTTTGTCCTAATATTACACGCACGTCACGCCTGTGGCAAGCCACATTCACACCGCATGATACGCACACTGCAGAGACAGCGCGAGTCCACAGGCCAAAAGCCCACTAAAGCAAAAAAAAGAGGCGCTTAGATGAGCTGCATCGGGTTTGCAGCAGCTGCATATAAGTGCTGAGTCTGCCCAGCACCTGCTGCATTAGCTAATCTTGCGGTTCATGGCTGGCACCACCTCGTCAAACACAGCTGGCTCTGACATGGAATGCCGCATCGGCATCGGGTAGTCTGCTGTCGACACGTGCGTCGCACCTGCACACAATTCCCAGGTCTCATGCTCCTGAGTTGGTAACAGAATAGCTATTTTGCCAGCGCAGAAGATCTGCACCTCTATTTGGACTGTTGCTTGTTGATTGGGCAGAATCATGGCTGAAGTCCTGCATGGAATGGCTGAAGCATAATGTCTGTTGGTGAGAGCCTTGCCACCCCACCAAGAGCCCAGTCTTCCGGTAAGGAATTCTCAGGAGCAAGACATGCATGCACTGTTGCCTCTGCCTTCACTTAGGTAATGACTGACATGGTAGGAGCTACTAGGGCACTTGCGCTCACTTCAATCTCGAACAAGGAGGGTTGGATGTTTGCTTGAAAGGCACTTCTTCCCCCAGAAAAGGCTGTGGCAAGCAAGGCTGATGCGCAGGTTGGTGTGATTGGGGAGTAGCAGCGCACCCTCTGGCACATTGACCTGAGGCGTGACCAGGTTGCGATTAAAGTACTCTGGATCTGACATGGAGCTGCGCGCGAGGTACACTGGGTCTGACATGGAGCTGCGTGGGAAGTAGGACGGATCTGACATGGAGCTCCGAACCACGTGGGGCATTGACTTGTCCCTGCCCTGCATCTGGTGCCCGCTCTGCCTCTCCTGTGGCCACAGTTTCACAGACATCCTCAGTTGTAGTCCCGGGAAAGAAAGCTCGGATGGCGTCAGCTTGCGTTACACAAGGAATTCGATGCCACTGCTTGTACCTTGACGAACTGGCAAGGGAAAGGGGGTTATAGCGCACACCTGGCTGACAGAGATGGGCTGCTTGTTCGTGGACAAGTGGGGGAAGTAGTTCACCCTGACGCCGTACGTCAAGGTTGAAGCAAACCTGCACCGCAGCAAATATCAACTGCTCTGGTCCTACAATTAATGAAAAAGATCCACATTGCGTTCAGAAAAGAGCGTGACAGGCCACAAAAACCTAGCAGGTGTGGACTCTGCCAATATCACGACTCTTGCGGTGATCGAGCCGGCAGTGCTTATTAAGAGTGGAAATGGTTTTTGTGCAGTCTACTTGCAGCACGACCGCCTCCTGTGAAACATAGTAGAGATACCATCGACCCACCTTCTCGTGAGCTCACCCCGCATTGTGGTTCTGTCTGTAACACCTGATCCACACACCAGCAACGTCTTTTTGTACCTACAAATGACTTTGGTTTACTGCTTGGAAGCCAAGGTGATTTGGAATGACGCTTCGAGAGGGCATCTCCTCGTCAGCACTTGTCCGAGTCACCCCAATCCGGCACATGATCCGCACGTGATAAAAGAACCTATCCAGGCATTTCATGATCAGATTAGACAAGGGATTTTAAGGGTAGGGTTCCGCTCTGGTACGATATGGATGTGCGAGTCTGGTACTGGAAGACACAGATGTGCATGAAACGCGTGCCTGTTCCGTAATAAAAGGTACACACTCAAACCGTGTAGCTTCCAAAAATAGTTGAGATCAATTCATGTGCAAACCTGCTGCCTTTCGACGTCGCAGATGTCACGCATAGTCGCAAGTTTGTCAGAAAGATAATTATCTTTTGGCTCAATTGACTATACCTCTATAAAGCAACCAGAGCAGAAGTGGTAAGAAACTTAGTACGCCCATCGTACCAGTATGAAGGCGTGTTCTGCGCTGCTAGTGATCGGGTTGGCAGCATCTGTCTGTTCGGCGCAACAACATCAGAGAAAGCTGCTTCATGGAGGTCATGCGCATGAGGAAGAGGCTGCACCGCCACCATCACCAGCGCTGGGCGTACCAGCGAAATCATCGGTCATGAACATGGAGTACGCAAACTGGTTCGACTACCTCAACAAGACGGGCCATGAGTCGCCCACGGACTTCATCATTGACTCCGTGGATGCTCCCGGAACCCTTAACAAGGCCAACCTCTCTGAGGTCCTTTACGTCGTCAGCCAGAGCCAGTAAGCCACCTCGAACCCCTTAAACTGTCTCCTGACAGCTGCATCCACTCCTGCTGTAGTGCCAACATAGTGCTCCTGTGAGTGCTTTCTGAGAGCACTGCCTGGATCGAATAATGCGGGACACCCTGGATCCGTCAGCAACCCTTGGGACATAACTGAAACAGACGTGTGTTGTGCACAGGAACACAACTGCAAAGCCGGTGCTGGGCTCGCCGCCGGACGGCCACACCCACCTCAGCGCTGACTTGCTGCTGAGTCAGTACGGCGTCAACGGCACACTGGACGAGGCCGGCTTGCAGGAGGCCTTTGCCGCCATCATCTCCTGCCAGGTCTTGTGCCCTGCTGCCGCCGTGCTGTACTCACGCATGTGCTCTATCCTTCGCGCACACCAGTCTCGTTCACAGCAATAGACTGCCAATAGGATCTTGCTGGATGAGGATTGGCTCTGGATGCAGCTGGCCTCTGCAGTGTGATCAGCCAGCGCAGATACCAAACAGTAGCAAGTCAGCAGCCCAGTATGATCCTATCGAACGGCCAGGCAGCCGCAAAGCACCAGTGTGGCATCGGGAGCCCAGCGGCAGCCAGCAGCGGTGTCCCAGAATATATGCTGACACGGTCTTGTGTGCGCGCGCAGCTGCAAGGCAGCTTCTGCCATCTGGGCGGCCACGGCGAGGTGCACGCGCCGACACAAGTGATCTACGTGGTCAACTCGGCGACTGCTGCGTCACCGACCAGCGCCAACACCAGCACAGAGGACAAGCCTAAGGACAACATAGACTGGCTCAAGGGCCTGGCGGCTGCGGTACTGTTTGTTGAGGCGCTGTTGGGAGTGGCACTTCCGCTGCTGCGCGGCGTGCGGCCGCTCACCGGCGCGCTGAATGGGTGGCTGCTGTCGCTGCTCAACTGCTTCGCCGGCGGCGTGTTCATCACCTTTGGTGAGTGGCACGCTCTTGGCTCCCTCTGTGTTGTGCTAACACGTTGTAGGCCGCCAGTACTGCCTGCTTAGCAGCACCCATAACAATTGCATCCTTCGAGGCATTGACGAAGTCAAGGCACTAGGAGCTGCCTTTCTTTAGGCTCGATATTGGGCATACACGGAGGATGTTGTAATTCTCCATGTGAGATTTGGAGGGACTCGTTGTGAGGCATCATCGTACTGCCTAAAAGTACACAGAGCACTTCCTAGATTCAAAAGGATCGCCTGCTTCTCCATTGTGTGAAGTCATTGACGCCTTTGTGTGGTGCGCAGCCATCATGCACCTGCTGCTGCACGTGATTGGCTCGCAGGCGGACTCCACCTACAGCGCCTACTTCCCCATCGGCATGTTCTTCATCGTCCTCAGTTTCCACATCTTCTTCTTCATCCAGCGTGTGGTGGGACCTCTACTCACCCCCGCTTCTGCGGTGGCCACCCCCGGGGGGACTCGTGGGGGATCCTGCTGCGCTTCTGCCGTCCCGGTGCCCGCCAACCTGAACAAGGTGCGACAGCGGCTTCCTGTAGCTTCTCCAACTCTTATTCTTATGCCTTTGCAACTTGTGTAATAGCGTGCTAAAGGCGAGCCATATTTCTGCTGCCCTGGCTCTTTGCTTTCTCAGCACTTTAGGCAACCCAGAGCTCCGCTGCAAGCATGTCTAGCTAGTAATCTTGCACCTTGTCAATCAGTTAGAGAGCGCCAGAGGGGGCTTAATTTGAAATGCACCCAAGGAAATCCCTGCTAGATTGCGTCATTTTATTCTTTGCTTTGAGGCACGCTGAGAAGTATTGCTGGCTTGCTATCACCAGGAGGGTTATGAGAACGGGGTGAACGGAGCTGCGAGCAGTGCAGAGTGCCCGTGCGACGCGAATGCTTCGTGCCAGACTCCGGCGGCTGAGCGCGTGTGGACCAACTTCATATCTCCCAGCCTGCTGCTGCTGGCCATGTGCATCCACGGCATCTTTGAGGGCCTGGTGCTCGGCATCCAGGCATGCTCTTTTCTCACAATCTTTGCCCGGTCATGCCCTTATCCTGAAATGGGAGTTGCCTTGATGTGCAGCAACCTATTTGAATTCTGCCTCAGTGCACACGGCCTTCATAGCAGAGGTCGAGGGAACCCACTGAAGGGATGGTAGACAATTGCACCTGGCATGCACGATCAACAGCAGGAGGGCATTCTATTTAGGCCGTGGAAGTGCCTTGAGGCAGCAGGTGCTGAAAGGAAGGGAGTTTGCTGATGTGGCTGTGTTTGTTTGATCTGCAGGACACCAAGGTTGGTGCGGTGACCGTGCTGATAGCTCTGGTGTCGCACAAGTGGGTGGAGAGCATTGCGCTGTCCGCACGCTGCCTCAAGGCCGGTGCCAACTGGTGGTGCGCGCCCCATCTCCCTGGCGTCCCCTTTCTGTTTCAATTTCTTCTTGCAAAGTCATTGCCTGCCCAGGAATTGCAGCCTTCTGGCCACCATGCTGTTCTGGCAGAGCCCTTGAGGCATCACTAAGGGCAAGGCAACTGGAGAGCTTGCTCAAGTTCCCCTTTCTCTGATCTGCAAGGGGCCTTAAGTGACTTTATTTTGATTTTGCAGCTGTGTCAGAGCTTGCCAATTTGCAGTCCTCAAGCTTTTGCCTGCTCACGGGAATTTGTTATCAGCAACAACACCCACAATACACCTGATGGCAACACTTGCACTGATGCTGTGTTATTTGTGCTGAAGGCAGACAGGAATTTTCCTGTTCCCATTCGCAGCGACGGCTCCGATCGGTGTGGGCATTGGCGCGGCGCTTTCGGGCATAAACCCGTGGGCGCAGATGGTGCTCTACGCGCTCGCCACCGGTTTCTTCATCTACGTGGGGGCCTGCGAGGTGGGGCCCCTTACAATTCCCATCACTGACTACACACCAGGATGTGCCATGCAAATTGAGGAGGGTATGTAATGAGACATGCAGAGCACGCATGTCTGGTTCCTGACTCCCCGGCAGGTTCAGTCTTTGCACCAGGAACGTTGTGTCGCCCAGAGCCTGAATTCATTGGCTCCAGGCCTCTTCCTTGCTTTCAATGCAATCTGTCTTGTCTGTCAGTTCCTCTAGAAGCTGCTGTTCCTGCATGCAGATAATGTGTTGCTCCAACGCAAACCTCTGAAAGTTTCTAATAGGGAATTCTCAGCCCTCCCTGACACCTGATCCCCAATATGGGCATCTGACGTTCCCCGCCTGCCTGCTGCGCAGGTGATTGCGGAGGAGTATGCGTACGTGTCCAATCGCTCCCGGGGATTCAGATGCGCGCTCTTCGCGGCGTCGCTCACCGGCTTCACGCTCGTGGCTCTGCTGCAGCTCATCCACGATGGCGACTGAGCCACCTCAGCATGCCGCATCATTGGAACACCTCAGCGTGTGACATCAGCGTATGGCATCAGCGTGCCACATTATCGTGCCTCCTCGGCATGACCGAGTCATGACTGGCCGCAGCTAAGCCGGCCGCGGACCCTGGCAAATTGACCAGAGTGAGCCCTTGGATCCGCTGCATGGACTGGCGTACAGCTAATATGTTTTTGTACAGGTCTTTGACGGACCATGGTGTATCTGAGCACCTAACAGACTGGCGGGACCTTATCACTTGAATGGACAGCAATCCACGTTGATTAGCGTGGTTATGAAAGTGGTCAGAGTCATCATGACTCATCAACACCTGATTCGCCAGCGTGAATTAAAGGTGCTGTTCAGGTCCAGGGTCTTGAGCAGGAACGTGTTGACATGTGATTTTCTGGTGTTGCTGCCTCCAATTGAGTTGCCATTGCATTCAGTTTTGTTTTTTTGGAAGCCCTACTTACGGCGACTAGCGTATAATGTACTAACGCCATGCTTGCACCTTACGGGGTTTTCAATTGCGAGACAAAATTTAACACACTTCACCGTAATTCAGGCGGGTTTCAGCAAAATTGCCGTGTTTTCTAACACACACCTGGAATTTGAAACTCCGAATCTCCCAGGTTTGTGATGCATGCAAAATATCAGTACTATGAGCTCAGAGCCAAAGCTTGAAGGCAGACCTAAGAGAGACTTCTGCGATACAAATGTAATGGCATAATTTTTATCATGGCCATGGAGTAGATTCTATTAGGCCCGATAATTATAATCATTTAAAGCAATGGCGATATCTGTGCCATATTGTCATGCATTCAGCACCAGGGGTACTTTCCAATCCAGAAGTTGCGCAAGAAGAAGCTCCTGCCAGTACATCCTAGCAAAGCATCCTACATCCGTAGTATACACAAGTGCCAGCAGTCCCATGTGTGGTGCCCTTTGCTACATCAATTCAGGTCCCAAGTGAAGGGTCATATGACGGAATGCTTGGGACCTGGTTGCTGCTGCTTGTGTCAGATGCAGTAGCATGCATGCACAGGACAGAGAATCAATGAAAGCGCTCTAGCTGTCAGGGCTCAGCATCACTCCGCCAGTAACAAGTGATGTTTCATGTGCGTTTGCATGATGCCATGCATGTTGAAGGGTCCACATTCCCAAATCCCGAAGGCTCTCCTTTTAAGCAATGCTGGATCTTCCAAATAGCCGCTGCATATGCACGAATAGCCATTAACCTTCTAAACTTCATGGGCCATCATTTGTTGCTATTTCCCTTGCATTTCAATTTTGACAATGACTGTTGCATCGACAGCTGCAGGCTCTTCACTAACAACTATCCTGGATATCGTGACGCTGAAAAAGGAGACAATGTTGTGATCACCGACAAGAACACATCTATTGATCCATCCTTCAAATACGCCAACATCAATTAGCAGAAAGAAGACATCTTACCTGGAAAAAGGAGAAGATGGCAAGCTTCATTGAGGACCCAGACGCCCGTGGGGCTTTATATCTGGTGCCAACATGCTTTGCATGCTCACACACTGCTTCGAGGATTGCATCTGTGGCAGTGGGCTGCCTAATGGAGGGGTCTAGTTCCTCTGCAGCTGTTCGCCTGTAGCGGAAGTAAGATGCATACTTCCTCGCATTAGCTTGCTTGCTTGCCACTTCCTCAGCTGGCATGCCCTTCAGCATCGGAAGCAGCTCTGACACATTACCTGCATCAGGCAAGCCGTGACCGTCAGTGTAACTGGCAGATTGAATATGCACAAAAGGTAGCCCTAGGACACCTCTTTTGTGTCTGCGGCAAAGATGAGAAGAAGCCTACAAAGCATGCGGATGCAAGCCAGCGTGGCAAATGGAATCACATTAGAGCAAGTGTGTGCATGCTGAGTTACAAAAGCTTCAGCCAATTGGCAGGTTTATGGCGGTGTCAGAGCAGTAGCAGATTTGGGCCTTGCCTATTGTTTGGAAGAGCTTGCTGACATCTGCATCCAGGATCCACCAGGAGTGGTCATACACGCTCTTGGCACGTTTTCCAGGCGTCGGCTGCTGTATTGCCACAGCGGGTGTTGCCAATTCCATATCCCTGCATTGCCATTACCTCAACTGCATTGCCATTGCCTCACTTGCAAACCGCAAAGCGCCAAACAGAAACCCTGCACTTTGCCGACACTGCCAAACCACGAGTTCCAGACTGCATTACCAAATCTAAGCACTCAAAAAGTCGGCAGCTGTTAGAACTCCTGCGATGATATTGCACCATGCATATTCCACATGTGTAAATTTGTCACATCAGATTTGTGCTTGCCTGTAGGCAGCCAGCTCCACAAAGATGGCAAACGATGAATAATCCACCCACTGTGCCAGCGGCAGGGAGTGCCATGGTGGGCCTAAGAACACCTGCAGAGGACACAACAATCATATAAACTAATTAGTTATAACATGCAGCTCTGCTATCATGCACAATGAAGTAGAGAGTGTCCCCACATGGACCTTGAATCACAATTAAGAATACATCCGGGTTTCTTGCTTTATCAACGTGTGATTTTGCGTTGTTCTGAGCTCCCCAGCCCTCGCTTCTAATTCTTGAACTTGATTTGAGCCATATCCTGGCGTCCCCAATTTCGTAGGTTCACATGGTACTGACCGAGATGGGGGTATAATATTGTTCTTAGAGGATGGGATGAGGGGCTTACTGGGATGCATCCAGCCAGCATGACATCTGTCAGTCGCCTGGTGCTGGCAGTCTCCCCAGCAATTACCAGGCAGAACTTTGACCGCCTCAGAGTTCCTCGGAGCTCCTTGTGCGAGTTCTGAATCAGATATCAATACTGTGAGCTGCTTCAATCTGCAATTCAACCAGAGGAAGACACTCGCAAAAAGCAAAACGATGATTTGAACCTCCCTCGCATGCATGAGGCCGCATGAACATAGTGCCGCCACAATTCTGTATGGTCACTCAGTTCTCTGTGGGAATGAAAAGAAGCAATAAAAACAGTACGTGCTGAATAGTCATTGGAGGAAGCTGAGAACTGTAATAGAAGCTAAGGGGAAGAAGGGACTTACAGATTTGTCGCAGGCCACTTGCACGCCAGGAGCATGGAGGCCTTCCAGATACTCTGCAGTGAATTTCCGGATGGCCAGCGCCAGCAAGTGATCTGAACAATGGCCTTGGAAGAAGAGATCAATGTCTCTCTCCACCTCTGCCACGTTACCATCCTCTACAAACTGCACAACAGATATCCACACCGGCATGCCGAGTATATAAACGTGATGGAATTTTTCACCAGAAATTTGCCGAATTTTTAAGCTCATCCCTGCGTTGCACTGTGTAGAACTTGGGCAATCAAGGGGAGTGAAGAGAGCACACCTCTGGGCTGCTGTAAGGCACCACCAGGAAGTTCCTGCGGCCCTCATCGGCTGGGCAATTATAGCGGATGGGAGCTTCCACAACAAGGTGCAGGGACCTGTGACACGATGTTTGTTGTCAAGTCACGCCCTTTTGGACAAAACAGCAGAAGCAGTGAGGCGCCTGGGCTTGACAATCGGCATGAGATTGTGATGGGAGAAAAGTGGTGGTACCTGGAAAAGTCCTTGCAGAATTGGCTGTAGATGCCACTGAGTGGATGTGGCTCAAAGAATACAAAGTCCTCACCATCAGCTTTCCCGAACCTGACACAGAAAAACTTATCTCACACTTCACATTATGAGAGATTGTAGGCAGAAATTGTTTGGCACCCCCCAAAAAAACAAAAGAGCATAACAGTGTTCACCTTCTTAGGCGAGTCAGCCTTTGGTACCCCTTGTAGACATCAAGATGCGGAAACAAGCCGTCATTTGCGTGTATATCCCCGATCATCCATTGCACATAGCAGTAATCGTACACAAATACAGCATCAGCAGAGCTGATGTCTTCGTTGTAGTGGTCTGAACTCCTGTACAAAAGCATGGAGAACTTGAGGGAATACATTGCATTAGTCACTGTGGTCAACCGCATCAGTACTTATCTCGTGGCACTGAACCAACGACAGAGGGCCAATGAGTACCTTAAATATTGTTGCAGCCAATATGGCCCTGCAAAATGGGATATATTATGCGAGCCGTGCTGCTGGCATGGAGGTTTTGTGCACGTCCTGATCTGCCCCTTGTCGTCAGCGACGATCCTGCACACAATCCCTGATTGACGAGTAACGGGAAATGATGGCAGTCAGGCCTTGAAATGTATCAAACTGAAACTTCGCTCACTTCTGTTCGGGGTTGCATGGCGGCATGCCAAAAACTGGATCAGACAAGTCAAGCATTCCAATTGTGCATTTCTTGCTTTCATGCTGACTAGTCTCAAAGGCGTTGATGCTCCATGCAAATAGGAGGAAAATGCCTGCAGCTAATTGGTGGTGCAAGATTGTAGTTCTGCTCATCGTGCAGAGAATAAAGTGCTTTTCATGTGATTTCACCCGGCTTCATTGCACAGCTTCGTCTTCTTGCATGTGCTTAGAATAGCTTGATTAGCTGCGGAACAGGAGAGGCCAGCAAACGCATTTGGCGCCACCCTTGCATGATCGCCACGTGGACATGCTATCACGTGCCGACAACTTGGCAAGCATGCAGTTGCAGTCCAGCTGCCCCATTTCCTACAGCTCACTAGCTCACACACACGCTGAATATGCCTTCCACAAGTGGATGTGATATGCTTGGACAATGATCAGCTGTCGCTCTTAGCTATAGCCTAATCTATTTAATTTATAAACTGAGAATTTTTTATGGCAAGCCCAACCCAGGTGGCGTCGCAGTGACGATAGTCGCGACAATTTTTGTGATGACAGTTCTGAAGCTACAGTGTGCATGCCGTCATGATCCCAGGCAAACACGTTCAGGCTACACAATACACCGTATGGTACAATCCCCAATCATGCTATTTGCTCTAAATATACAGGGACAACTTGTGTAGTGCTGAAGCTCAATGGCTCAATGGCTCAATGGTTGATCCCCAACATGCCATGTTTTGAGGTGCACATGTGAATCCTGTAAAACAGCGAAAAGCCTCTTACCAGATCCCAAGTATTGTAAACTGGTTGCTGCTGCAGTTGCAAGCATGCTCTTGCAATTGCGCATCTCAGGAGATCAGCTGCAGCTCTTGGTCGGATCTCCATCGTCTGACTTGAGGAAGGACTGCCAGATCAGCGTCCTCACTGCTTCTTTCTCCGCGTACACATCCTCTGGCGGTTTGAACCCATCCAGTTCTGGCAGTGACTCGCGCTGCTCAGCCATCAGCGCCACTGGTGTCCCCACTTTCACCTGTTGTGGCAAATATCAATTTTCTCGATCAGAGAAGCAAGCCCTTAAAGTATGGAGCCCTGTTCTGCACGTTACATATCACACTGAGTGGTGTCACCAAAAGCAAGCTTATGCTTGCAAATCAGCCTTTCTTTTTCTTTCTTCTGAGCGGCTGAGATCTCTTCTTCACTCTCTGAAATCAACAGGGCTTGCATGCGCCGCCAGTGGCTCAAGCAATTGAGCCAGCATTTCAAAATGGAAAGGTGGTACGTTCATTGTAAAACCGGCTGTTGAGTGAAAAGCAGCGCACCTGCTTCCCCTCCGGTACCAGGTGGCTGTGCATGATGCCTTCCTCCTGCACACCAAGCGCCACTCTCTTCAGGTACACACAAACCTGAGCTGCGCAGACAAAGACATCCAATATACACGCACGAAATGATCGCAGCATTGAGCTCGTGGGGATGAAGGGCTGGGCAAGCCTGGGATTGTCTCAAGTATATCGACACTCTTGAAAGGATGCAGAAAGCGCAAGCACCTGAGCTTCCACAAGCAGCGTGACATTGCCGGCAAACTTGCCGACCTTGTAAGCGTTCTCTGTCAGCTCCTCTGTGTCCACCTCCATAACGATGTCATACTCTGCCACCTCATCTCCTGGTGCCTGCTCAGCAAAGCCTTTTTGTTGGTAAGTTGCGTGCACCATCAGCTACCACTGACCTTTCCAGTGTCCTCCGTATAACCCTCTACATCATCTATGTGGAGATGTGCCTCGAGAGCCTGGAAATCACGCTTGAGTGTAAAATTCGGATGGGGACATTGATCACACCTTGACCCATTTGGAGATGGTGCCTGCGGTCATGCTGGGAGACAATTTCGGCATGGGCACGATGATACAACTGCCGCTATCGGCAGACATAAATCTGCCAACCTGCTGGAAGGGTGCTGAGCACATGTGGGAAACTGTGGACCCATGCAGCAGGACAAAATTGCGCAGGCATGTCATAGGGGCTGCGATCCTGTACATTACAGCCATGATGGCTTGATCTGGAAATCTGATGTTATTAGTAGGGGTTTCTATCCTTACAGTAGTGCTCGAAACTTCTTGGATCACTTACATCCAAGCAACATCGGAGGAGGAACCTGGAGTGTCTTGCCACGAGCTTCGATAGAAATGCTGCAGGACAGCAAAAGTGAGATTCAAAGGACATTATACAATCATCAGACTCATGAACAGCCAGGTCTGCGACGCAAATTTCATATGCCTACAGCTGGGCAGGGGATAAAATTCAATTCGTGGCTCAAAAGCAACGAAGGAAAAGCGCAGAAGCGCCGGTCTCTCATAAGGTGGGCGCTGTAAACTCTTCGTAACAGCGCGGATCAAATGGCTTCGCAAACTCTCAGTGGATCCCTGGCCCAAGCGCACGCCGCCCAGGCGTCGCGACCCTCTGTGCCTGCGAAGGTGCTTGCCTGGACTGCACCTGTTCCTGCTATATACGAGGAGAGATCCATATGGCGTCAATACATATCAAAATCATAGTCCACAAGGACTGGAACATATGTGTACCCTCCTGTAGTTTACAGTAATCTGGATGGGTCCAAAGTGGGCTATCTTATCCAAGCCAGCAGATGATAGTTTTGCGATTGGGCCAGAATTTGCACAAGCAGCGGCCTTTCACGAATGCAACATGCTTTCAGGGCAACAGTATTAATTACATACATTATCAAGCCACATTGCTGGGCCAGTGCAGAGTCTGAGGATCTCTGATGTCGGACACAGGCTGCAGCGCTCCGTGCTGCATGCTTCGGCCAGACAACCGCCCCGGCCCGTGCCAGCAGCTTCAATGGCGCATCTCTCCTCTCTATGGCTCCTCGCGCTGCACTGCGCTCAGCCAACAGGAGATCGGCCCTCCTCACGCAGGCTAAGGTGCTCCCTGCTGCACCTGATGTCTGCGTATATCTGTAAGGTTGCCCCCTTTGGGTGAATGTTTGGTAAGAATATATCCCGTAGAGGTCTGTCAAACATCAAATCTCTGTACGATAGCTCGCCACCCGTCATAGTACAGTCTTCTGAAGCCACTCTCTGCAACTGCTCTGGCAGATTGGGGACACACTGGAGGAGTTCCTAGTGGATGCCACCAGCGACCCCAAGCTGCGCCAGGTCTTGATGAGCCTGGCAGAGGCAGTGCGCACCATTGCATTCAAGGTGTGTTCCCATGCCTCCTGCACACATCAGAGCCGTGAACTGCAGTCATCTTGCATGCACACCTGTAGATGCAGTACCCCCTTCATGACATCTCCCTACCATGCTTGCTCGCCTCGTAGCACATCTCAGTTCTTTGCATTCGGGCCATACTAGAGCACCGCATTACATTACCAGGCAGCTTCCTTCACAAGATAATGCATGAGGGAGCGCTACCGTCCCAGCCTGTGTCCGCGCCCACAGAATGTGCTGCACCCTATTACAAAATTCCCCACCCCTGGCTGGCGGCTGGCGGTACAAGTACGGAGCAACTCGCCCATGATCAATTGGGTCTTGCCTGGTTTCATCAGGATATAATCGCGCCTTTACCTGGATAGGATCTGTGGCAGCCTTTACCTGCAGCTTATTTTTCAGACGCACCTTGCCTCCGGCAGGAAATCACTTGGAGATCTCAGAGCAAGATTCTGATTTTGATTTTGCCGTGGTGTCAGGTGCGCACGGCGTCGTGTGGAGCGGCCAACTGCGTCAACACATTCGGAGATGAGCAGCTTGCAGTGGACCTGCTGGCAGACAAGCTCCTCTTCGAGGCCCTCAAGTTCTCTGTGAGGCCCCCTTCCCGCCAACTCCACATGTGCTCGCTGCTGATTTCCTAAATTGCTCAAATAGATACTGAAATCTGATGTGTCCACCAGAAAATGCTAACTTCAGTGACGCAGTCACAGAGGGGCCTTGTGCCCCTGTGAGACCTTGTGGATTTGCATGCATGCTGCACTTACATGCAGGAATTTAGCGCCCTTTCCTGATTGGGCTTTGTCTCCGCTTCAACCTTCTATAATCTTGGGGATCATCACGACATGGAGGAGTTGCTGCGGTGGCCGCCAATCGGCGCTGAGGGTATTTGATGCGCGCGCTGCAGGGGGTGGTGAAGTACGCGTGCAGCGAGGAGGTCCCGGAGCCGGTGGACATGCAGGGAGAGGGCTTCAGCGTCGCATTCGACCCCCTGGACGGGTCCTCCATCGTGGACACCAACTTCACCGTCGGCACCATCTTCGGCATCTGGCCCGGCAACAAGCTCACCGGCATCACCGGCCGCGACCAGGTTTCAATCCCACCACCGGCGCTCCGTTTTTTATTTTCTGTTTTCGGTGTGCGCGGTACTGCGCCATTAGTAGCGCCTTCGCCAGCCTATATTTGACTTATGTTGAGAAGCTGTGGGGGTTGCAGTCTCTGTCTCTGCACGGCCTTTGTCTGGACTCTGCACCCGCCCACCGCACTTGTCCGAGACCTGTGCAGTGTGTGAAGAAGTGAATCTCACATGCTCGTGCCGCGGGACCAAATCTGGGATTGTCAGCTGCAAGTGACGGTACAAGTCTTCTTCTATGCAACGCCAGCTGTCTTCTGAAGGCTGACACGTATTTTGATGGCTTGCGTGCAGGCAGCTGCTGGCATGGGCATCTACGGCCCGCGCACGATCTACTGCATTGCGCTGAAGGACGCGCCAGGCTGCCACGAGTTTGTGCTGCAGGATGACGGCAAGTGGCTGCACATCAAGGAGACCACCGAAATCGGTGCGGGCCCCTACTGCCTGGGATCTTTGAGAACAAATTGAATCTTCGGTAGCCCGTGCATGGAACATTGAGGATGCAGAAGATGAGTTTACCTGAGTGGATGACGAGGCTGTTTTGGCCTTCTGCCGATTGGGGGGCGCAGCAGCTCTGCAACATTGCACCTTTATTAGCAGCAAGTGACAGGCTGATGCATCACATCGCCAAGAAAGGGCGCTTGAGCTGAACTCCTTCAAGATCTGCAAGAGAAATTGCTGGAAGAGCGCAGCGCAGCGGCCGCCACCACAAACCACTTACTAACTGCATGCCCTGCGTTGCCTGTTCAGGCGAGGGCAAGATGTTCAGCCCCGGCAACCTGCGTGCGACCTTCGACAACCCCAACTACGAGCGCCTCATCTCCCATTACATCGGAGAGAAGTACACGCTGCGCTACACCGGAGGCATGGTCCCCGACGTGTTCCAGATCATCGTGAAGGAGAAGGGTGTGTTCACAAACGTGACATCCCCCTCCACCAAGGCCAAGCTGCGCATCCTGTTCGAGGTTGCTCCCCTGGCACTCCTGGTGCGCGTTCCCTCCCTCCTCCTGCTCTTGTTAGTTCTTGACAGACCTCACAATAGCCATTGTGCGATGCACACGGAACAGTGCTACTGTCTCGTTGACTCGCATGCACCTCCTTGCTCTGAACTTCACTAGTTCTCCGAACTCGCTTGGTAAGAAGTTACGGAACTCCTGGCATCTGGGAACAATTCAAGTCTGGTGTCCCTCAGGTGTTACAGTCTCAGGGCAGTCAGAACAGAGGTTGCTCGCGCAATATTAGCATGCGCCCACATCTGCTTGGCTTGGGCATCACCGGTGCTTGAAACTTGACACTGAAACTTGACACTGAACCGTTAATGCTCCGCAGATTGAGAAGGCCGGCGGCCATAGCAGCTGCGACGGCTTGTTGGTGTCCGGTCTTGATGTGGAAATCACTGCTCACGACCAGCGGACGCAGATCTGCTACGGGTCAAAGGCCGAGGTGCAGCGCTTTGAGGAGTATGTCTACGGCCAGTCCCCCCGCTTCGCTGAGGTGGGACAGCGACCCCAATAAACTCAAAACCTTCGTACAGATGTAAAAGCGAGCCAAATCAAGGTTCCGTAATATTTTGTATATTGTGTCTGGTGGTGCTGGCAACACAAAGTTGCATGTGGAAGATGCAATCTTCATCTGACTTGTCGGAGTGCGGTTCAATCAGATTCAATGCTCAGCAAGCCGCAATTCGTCTATCCCGCAGAATGATATGATGGCTGATATCTGCATGCTGCTGTAGGTGGAGGCCAACGCCTGATCAGGTACTTCTGACAAAACAGTCAGCCTTCGGAACGCCTGCTTGCAATATACCCTGGCTGGCAATTCAGCGCTCAATCAGGGCTGAAGCAGCATGCTCCCAAATGGAGCTGCTACCTCAGATTGCTATGAAGGGGCTACCGGTGCTATGGACGTGGGGCATGCCAGATGAGCAGGCCTGTTATCAGCTGCATGTGTTGGAACCAATCAGCCTCTCGGACAATGCAGCCTGTCCTAAATAGATGAGCTTTCTAGGTTGAGGCCGCTCACACAGTGCAGCAAGGGAGCATGCTGCAGGTTGAAGCAGAGGAAGAGTGAATGAGCAGCAGCAGCACCTTGAGTGGCTCTCTTTGGCTTGGGAGCTTCCAGGCTCAGACCTATCTTCAAGAGTTAGGTCAAGTCAGGCAAGAGAAGGACTTTTTATTGCAGGCGGTACCATACTAGCTGGCCTTCCCGAGAAGACAAGAATTTCCAAAGTTTTTCCAGCAATTCTGTGCGTTGTGCGGTGGATATTCAGCTGTCTTTCCTGTAAAGCGAGGCAGAATGCAAGACATACCAGGCAGTGCGAGATCAACTTTGTAAACACATATCAGACCGGGAAACATATCGGCACCGGTACTAGCACTGCGTCTACCACGGAGTCTGCTAGTAGCAGCCCGCATCGTTGCGTTTTTTACACTAATAAGCACACTATAATCAAGACACCACTGCAGGACCTGCAGTGCAGGTAGCCTCGTCTGTGCTGAGCATGATGTAGCAATCATGCTATTGCACCTTTAAGCTCTATGTGATTGATCCATTGCTCACTGTGGCATGGTCACGCTTTGCCAAGCGCATATAATCATATAAAATTGCCTTTCTTCAAAGAGTTCCACGAGGTCATTTACGGGGCCCCAGAATGTTCTTGACCCGCAGCACGCGCCGCACAGTCAGCGACAATCGCTCGTTGCCCCTTTTCATTACCCTTGCCTCAGGGTCAGGCAATGCCTCCCTGTTCGCCACTGTCTCATCCAAGGCCTCCTCTTCCACCTTCCACAGAAAATTGTATTTAGCTGCAAACTCAATTGCGTCAGTCCAACAGTCTTGTTCAGCGCTCCACTGTGATCCAAGACCCCAGAGGGCCTTGAGAGAGATGCACGGCTGCCGAGACAGCACTTCTGGTTGTCGCTGAGCAACCCCAGGATTTCTGATCTGCCTGGTAGAGCTAGATAGTCAATGTAGTAGAGGTTTCTGGGCGGAACAGATCAACATTCCAGAGCCCAGGCGCAAAATGCAATCCCTGGGGCTATCGTCCTGGGATATCAAAAACCCTGCCCTCTTCTGACAAGCAGGCTACCTTACTGCTGATGACTTCTGCAAAGTGTATTAGGGACTCAGGCATAGGAGCATCGGCCAACCAATGGTTCAAACAGCTCTCCATTGCGCACGCTTCATCGTACATCACGAGCAACAGCAATTCCCTGCTCTGCAACGCCGCAGTTCAACACCAGGCCGCATGCTTCACCTTCCTCGAAATCAAGATCGGTGCAAGCTGCTTTATTATCTTGAGTTGGTTTTTTAATTTATTTAGGGTTTAGGGTTTATGAATTAGTAATAATAAAAGCCCAAAACCTTAAATATAGAGTGCTCACCTCATCAATGCCGTGCAGGCAGTGGGTGTAGGCATCGCCCCTGAACACAAGCAGACTGCGCGGCTGCAGCGCTACCGACACCACCAGGGAATTAAAGTCACCTGCAAAGGACATGCAGTCACACTCAACTTTCACTCTCCGATGCCCTACAACCTACCCTGCCATGTAAGTACCGTGTAGTGCCAAACAGCCTCCACGGAAGGGTAATAGAAGTCACTTTGGCGGCATCAACACAGGGCATGCATTTCCTGATCTTGATGCAATGGCAGGACAGGGGCCTACCAAATTTCAATACATGCGCATGTACATGTAAGTCCCATCTGCCAACACCAAGGGTAAGAGAGGTAGCACAGGGTAGCACTCCCCTTGCCACACAGCACTCTGCAAACCTGCTCCCCAACAGGGCTTCTCAACTTGCTAATGGATACAGAAAACGGAAAAGCACCTTGTGCTCTGGTGTCGTCGTCGCTGCTACGCTTGCGGCTGAAGCGCATCACAGCCGGGGCCGCCAGAGAAAGTATGCACACTCCCGGGTGGTACAGCGGGCCATCCTGCACAGTCAGCAATATCCTACAAGATCCCAGAGCACCAGTAGGAACTGGCCTTGCTAAGCCGGTGATATAGAGGCATTGCCATGATTTCTCCGGGTCAAAGCGTCTATTCATGTCAGGGTTCCCCATTCGGTTGATTGACAGGCTGGCATCTGCAGCTGGCTCTGCCATGCTGTTGTGCTGCTTAGAAATGCTCCATCAGCTGCAGTCACTTGTCAGTGCCGCACTGACCCCGACGCGCTGAACTTCACCACAATGTGCTGCTGAAGTTATTGGCAATCTGACTGCTGGCAACCAGCGGACTTTCATCATCTTGCCCAATTGCTACTGCATTGCTCTTTTGGCAGTCAGAATTTGTGTGGTACCCCTATGCACCGCAGCTAAGTGGTTTGCACCTGGTGTGGCATGATGCCCTCTCCAGGGCGGTACGCATTGAGCAGCACATGGTTTGCCTCCAGCCCCGGCCCAAAGGCCTGAGTGTCCTCCCCCAGCCGCCTCAACAGCGGCTGCAGCCAGCTGCGCAACACATTGTCATCATTTGCAACCGCAGCATCTTCTGTTTCACGTGCTGACATTGTCAGCACTGCATGATCTCTGTATTTGTGGCCCGTGGTTCTTCCCTGCTGGTGTCGTCCTGCTGTACAGCAGCTCTGGTCCCGACTCTGTCCACGGAAGATGCAGCTTTGTCCATGCTAGGCAAGGGTGTCCCATTTTTTGGAGCCTGTATATGTGATTTACCCAAAGGTTGCTGATTCATGGCAGGGAGCAATCACCTGGGAACAGGCGACTGCAGCAAGACGCCCAGCTTCTCATGAACAGTGCCCCCATAGTTCCTCAGGCGACGACCTGAAACCTGTGTTCCCACATACAAAATCGACCTACCCGCTTTAAGTGCATCAAGCACGTTTTAGGAATGATCCGATCTAAGTGAGAATCACGAGTATTTCCACTCAAAACAAGAAGTGCAAGGACTTGGACCTAGCAGACAAGTGCGAAGATCGAAGCCCTGCCTTGATCCAGGGTGCCTTGGATGCCCTGATCGTTTGGCATAGACGTTCTTCATCATCTACGGATATATATTCGGGGATGTAGAAAATTTCTGGAAGCCATCCTATTCTATGCTTCTCAAGCATCAGCTCTGGCTCAGGCTGGCCAATAAATTGCGCTGCTGATAAGACATTATTAAGTTATAAATGACCCACCGAGACAATAATCTGGACCTAGCGTCTTTGCAATCGGACGATCCGGCAAAATGAATTTGTAACAGATCTCTGGATGTTGCATAGTAGCGAGATGGGTCAGAGCAAAGGAACTTCCTTTCACTAGGACTGTTTACGTAGCCTTGTTGTGCACTTCAACAGCAGTGCACGCGATGCCTGGAAGGTTGAATGAGTCAGCTGGTGCGCACGTGCAAATGCCTGACAGATCCTCGGTCATGCAAAGCCAGATCTTCAACAGCATCAAACACAAGCATGAATATCTACTGGAATGGCATGGCATGCTTAACTCCCCAATCCAGCCAAGAAGGCTGCATTTCTGTTAACGTTGTGCTGTTGCACAAAGGCAGCGCGCAGGCGGCTAACACCGGGATAATACACTTGCCGGCAATGCATTGCAATCACTTGCAGAGGCAGCGGCCAGGACTGAGCTTCTTGGATGAGTCTTACCTAACCAATAATTTTTGCCCAGGAGTGCAGGCGCATGGCGTTGTGTTTAACGCTGCATGTGCGATTGCATTACAATTACTGAATTGTGCGGTGCTTGTCGTGACAACTGGCCTCCATGCATGGTTCCATCTGATTGCGTAGCGCCGGATACTAGCGCAGCGCATTAATTTCCAAGCAGTCTCATCAAATTAGCTGCCCAGTGAGCATGTGGCAGTAATTGCTCAGGAAACACCAGCTGGTTGCACATTTCAGCGAGTCCGTCAGTTTTTGCACAGTCAGGAGATCTACGTGATGATTGCCAAGCAACACATCTTTGGCCAGCCGGCTCTGGCGCTAAATTCTCTGCATGGAGAGCCAAACACGTATGTATAAACGGCTGAGCAACAATGCAACCTCATGGGCATATGTCCTAGAACATGTTCAGTGTCCAACATGCGCTTCCATTTTTGATAGAAGTTCAAGCTGCTTCCAAATCTGTCTAGACTTAGAGCCACCTGTGACTGCCTTAGAACTGCAGAATGTGTTCTCTAACTACGAGCTGTAAATTTACCGTACAGATGGTCAAGGAGCTCCTGTCTGTCATCTATGCGCTTAAAGTAACATTTTATTTTTTAGGGTATATAGACACAAGTAAGCATGTGAATGGACACATTAGCATTATCAATCAGCCATCTGCCTTGGAGAGAATAACGCTGTCAATTGCAATCCACAAACCCACATTAAAACAAGTTTCATGGCAAATTTTATACGTCTGTACCCCATCGTCAAGTGTGGAATTCTTCAATGTCATAATCGTCTCTGAATCAAAGACTTGGAAATCAGAAAACTCTGAAAGATGCCATTACTAAAACTACTGAACAACTAATGCATGCGGAACGTAAGTCTGCTGTGTAGCAACGCTAAGTCTGATTCTCACAGCAGCTCTAAATGGGTCTTCCTTTTCGCTGTGCAGCAATCCTACGCCTCTGAGTCCTCAGTGTCAGTCCTGCATGACAACAATATTGTCTGAACAATGATTATTGACAAATTACGTTACCAAAACTGCAGGACACTACTCTGCAAGCACCTTTGCAGCTACGTCTCCAATGCAACACAATGACACTTGCCAAAGTTACAATGCTGTCCACATGGCAGCGAGCAGCCCTGCTGAACCTGCTTCTTCACTTGCTGTGTGAATGCTGCTCATTCTACAACCCGCAATGAATTATTTTTACTGATTAGTACTCCTTGATTTATGCAGGGGTTTCTATACCTATGTCTCGTTTGATTTAGGGTTTAGACTTAAAATCAAACCTAAAAGATCTAGTCAGATGTAGGAACCCCTGATTTATGGCCAAAAAGGGTGGATGAATAAGACCCTATCCCCTGTAAAATATTTGAGACCAGACATGGAAAGCTCTCGACGAGCCCAATTCAATGGAGCATGACCCTGGGATTTCGGAGTCAGGCAAACCCCAAGAAATGATCAATTTCCTGCACCGCCGGGGGTGCGGGTTTTTTAAAGAGCACTGCAGTATGCACTCCTTGTGACCAGCACATAGTTGCACCAGGGTCACCGCATGCGATCATTCTCAAAATATAATGCGATAAAATGCTAGCATTACTGGCGAAAAATAAAATGCGATAAAATGCGATAAAATACGTTTGGAATAGTTTTGTCATTGTTTTATTGGGCAAAACGTAGGTATAGCCAGGTAAATAGAAGGTTTTCCCTGAAAAATCAGAGTAAAACTCTTTTGGAATGTTTTTCTCAGTGTGGACAGGCTTGGGGATGGAGTAAGTCCTCAAAGGGACTCTAAAGGCCCCCAAAAAGCACTTTTGAGAGGATCGCATTTTATCGCATTCTACTGGCCCAAAAATAAAATGCTATATAATGCTCGCATGCAATTATATATCGCATTATTCGCATTATCGCATGCGGTGACACTGAGTTGCACCATACGGAATCTGCTATTCGGCATACGGTGAATATTATATTTGGTGTTTTGGGCCAAAATAGGCCGTTCTTTACCGTATTCCATAATTTTAATACCGTATGACCGTATATTTGGCCGTATATACGGTCCCCCAAAAAGTGTTCTGACCGAATGGTGCAAATATGACTCCTTGTGACCAGCAGGATTGAGGTAAGAGCGCGCACCTGGCTTTAAGGCTTGTGTTGGCAGCAGGGTCAGTCAGCAGTGACCTCGTCAGCCTGCACCCACAAAAGATGAAGTCAGTTCTGAGCCACATGCACAACAAAATCACATCGCCTACGGAAGATTCAAGCCAGCAAGAGCATGCCAAGGAAGATGTGCAGAAATATGTCCGTATCAGCCAAAGAGACTGGGAATGACAGCGACATCATACATTCAATATTTCAACACAATACCAGTGTTGACTGCACGCTGTGTCACCCGTGAGGCTATGCGAGGCTCAGGCCTTTTTACTGGAGATAAGCCCCACCGCATCCTGCTAAGCTTAATTCCATGTGTGCTGCATGCAGCCCATAAGCACACCAGGCATAGCAACTACATTGGTCCGCACGTAGGCACTCTAGTTGCTGAAGCAATTCCTAGTCTCAACTTTCATCTATGTGTGAACTTGCTGTTGTTTCGGGATCCGTAGCCCCTGGGTTTTCAGCTTGATCAACCTTTGGGCAGGCCATAACACGACTGTCTCCCCTTTCTCAGGTGCTCCTCTAGAATGGGCCGAATATAGAGTTGCACCATTTCCCCCCTTAAGGAAGTCCTCTAATTATACACATGGCTCGGGACATCCCAACACATAAGAGAGCAGAGCTAACGCCAAGTCAGCTTGAAAAGAATCTTGAGGGTGCACAGGGCATGCTGAAAATACGAGTGCAGAGTCTTGTCCGCAATGCAGGTTGGTTGGCTCTCTTCCTCCTTATACAACGTATGCGTGTACATTCACTTATAGAGACAGACCGCCCCAACCTCTTGTCGCCCTTGCGCAAAATATTAAATTTGGGTCTAGGTAAACTAACCTATGCCTGAACATAAACCCCCCATGAAACTACCAGGTGCCTTCATGTGTAACAGACCAGGCTGGCACAAGAGGGTCACGTCACGTGGGTTACATTTCCCTGTACTGGATTTGAGATTTGACATTTGTAGAACTCGGGTGCAGGGGATGGTGTTTCTGCCCATGTCCTCTCTCTCCTTACTCAAATGACTGTGGTGCCCCTTTGACTGAGCCAGGCTTCAAGCTGCAAGGCTCAGTCGTGCTTGCAAGTTGCCTTTGCACACACCTGCTATACATGCTGTAATAGGTAAACCCCACCTAGAGGTCAGCTGGTTGCTAAAGGCCAGAGAATTACATTTCCTGGAGCCCCCTGAAGCAGGGTTCTGCAAAGGGGCGTGCACCGCTCGGCGCCCGGGTGTGCAGCTCACAGCAGCAGAGCCCAAACCTTACACCCTTGTCTTGACCCCAACCCTATGCATCAAGCAGGGGTAATGAAAAGGGGCGCGCACCGCTCGGTGTGCTTGCGTTGGCGCTGCGCGACGAAGAGCAGCAGAGCCACGAGTGCCACGACGGTGCAGGGGATGAAAACCGCCGCCCACACCGGCAAGCCGCCAGTTTTGTACACCTGTGGCGAACAGCGGTCTAGCGTCACAAATCAGAGACGCAGATTGATCCGGTTGTTATCCTCTGGACCCCAAGGCCTCAGTTCGGGTCTTTGCCGCCGTGGAACCCGGGCCAGCATATTTAGGGTTACCCTAAACCCTAAAGCCTGAATATAGAGCGACCCCGCAGGCTTTGTGGATCTGCAGAGCTAAGCTTATGCACGTGTTTTTCGTGAGTCAAGGGCTGCGGTGCTGTGTATTCCAAGGTGCTTGGAGCATGCCAGGCACGAAAAAGTCCCTGCTCTGCACAAGACCCTTGCCCGGACATACTGCTCTCAACGGTTCTCACAGGCTTGATTGTACACTCCCAGTGCCTTGACGCATGTTGCCTGCTCTCCTCAACCGACCGCACTCATTCAGAACTCTCTTCCCAGCTCCTAGTACTGCCACAGTCACAGGGGTGGCGTCTCATCCCATGGCATCTAGTGATTCTCTGGGCTTTCTTACCAGGTGCCCTTAGGTGGCGTTTACAGCACGCATACCGCCGCAGATTGTCAGGCGAAGTGAGACTTACTCTAGCATGTAGATGAACCAGTTCGTCCGGGGTACACCAACAAATAGATGCCGATTGATGAGGGGAGTTCACCTTGTCCTGGCGCTTGATCTGGGGCACAAGGTCCGCGGTGGGCTGCTGCTGCTGCTGGAGGGTGGATATGCTCTGCTGCGTTGTTCCCATCGAAGCCCCCGGCTGCAGGGCGGGGGCGTACGCCGATGGAGTCGCCGGGCCGAGCGCGGCCGCCGATGTGCCGGTCCAAGAAACCTGCGAAGATCTGCGCGCCAGGAGAAGGTTGTTGGTCATCAAATATTGTGAGAATTCTGCTGCAGGGTTGATTGCTATCTGCTGGCTTGATGCAAGGGCAGAAGCGTTGCTTGAAGTGCTTAGATGGTACATGACTGGATTGCACAAAGTTAACACAATCTGCTGCAGCAGAACGCATGTGCAGCCCAGCCAGACATGGCAAGCGAAACATCTCACGCGTAGAATGCATGCTGAGATATCTTGCCTCTGGGGGTGAAGGCACAATTTGCTGAACCCAGGAGGATCCCACAGGACTTGCTGCGATACAAGCTGCAGTTTGACATCAGCAAGTGTGGCTGTGCGGTTCGTATGCATCCCCAACAGGCAGCTGCATGAAACTTGGAACAAAAAATAGAGAATAAGCTGAGAATGCGTAAGGTGAGTCACCCGGTGAACTGGGGCACGGCTGGCGCGTCCAGCTGGCTGATGCCGCTGACCTGGACCTGGCCAAAGTTGGGGATGTAAATTGGAGCGCCCTCTGCATCCTTCAGAGAGTTTGCCAGCTCCTTGGCTGCTGCTGTGTCATCGTTGGGGTAGGTGATCTGCAACGGGAGATGCATGCATGCCAACATCAGCAATCGCACGTCATTTGTTTGCTTGAACTGAAGGCATCTTTGGCTGGCGCTTGCTTCACACAACTGCATGCATAAGCACAATAGATGCACAACAGAATGACACGTGAACATGGACGTGCTGAATACATCAGTTATGAAAATGAGTTCCATCTAGTGCCTTTCTGGCCGGTGTTCTGCAGCAATTCAAAGTCCCTGCTGACATTGAGCCAGGCAATATTCACGCCTCCAAATTGCCTCAGCAATCTGTAGGATGCTGGGTTGGAAGAGGTTCTTGACTTCAGACACATGGAAAGACTCAGATGCAGACCCTACAGAATCCTTAAGACTCTGATATCAACCCCTGGATTGTATATTCACCTGGGTGTTGACGGTGACGGTGGATGCTGAGGTGACTCCGACGATGCTGACCTGGCTCTCCGCCACGTTGGCGCCCTGAGCGATGCCGCTGATGTAGGACGCCTGCGCGCATGACATCAGCACACCCGCGTCAGCCATGTCAGCACGCACTTACAATACTGTAGAAGTCTTAGGCAACCAGCTTGACCTCCAGGGCATTTAACCTACTGGATGCTAGCAATTTGTCACCCAACCAGAACAGGCAGGGGATTGCCCACGACCCTGAAGCTGCTTTCCTTTACATGCGATTCTGCAAGGTCATGCCAGGACTTCAGGCTCAGCGCGATGCTCAAATTTAAGACTTGCGATCAGGCAGTCAGCACCCAAGGGTGGGAGTTGACAGTTCAGGCAAAAGAAGAGGTCCACAGCCAGATCAGAGGAGGGCCCTCATGGGCACTTTGGCACTTCCAGATATTGCCCTAATGGGGAGTTTTAAGTACTGTTGAACCCAAGGCAGGACGAGGAAATAAGCGCGCCTTGTATGAGGGCCACTGCGTGGGGGTGATGTCGAGCAGGTGCGACTGCCAGATGACTGCCGGGTGAGTCGCCGCCGTCAGCTGCTGCAGGACCATGGCGCCAAAATTGGCCGCCGCCCTCTCTCTGACCTCCCTCGGCTGCGCCGGCGCGGCCGCCGCCTCTGCGATCTGGGCCCTGGGATGATAGTAAAGATAATATTAGGAAGGCAGATGCCATTGATCAAGGTTGAGGGACCCCATGCTCCCCTGCCATCTTGGGTGGGCGCATGTTCAAGTGATTAGGGCCCCCCCCATTGGTGACGGCTGCATCAAGTTGCGTGCATGCCAGCAGAATGAAGGCTGCTCACAGCTTAGTGCATGCCTGGACTGCAGATGCGCACTGAGAATTATAATGTGAGCCAGGAACTTCACCGCTGTTTCTGGGTATTTTCAGAGCACGCACCACGAGGTATCACATGTGACTGCGTGAGTTGGCGAAGCTTACATCCACACCGTACATTCAGAGGAACGGCACTAAAGTGAATGGAAGCAAGGAGCTCACCCGAGGCTGTCGCCGCCGTACTTGCGGTTGACTTGGATTGTGGTAAGGCCATCAGCGGCCGGCGCGGCGGCCGGGGCGGCGGTTTCCGTCTTCCCCTTCTGCTTTGCCACAAGCGTGCGCATGTCATTGGGCGCCAGTGCCGCCTGCTCGCCGTCTGTAGGCGCTGTGTCGGGTGCGGTGATGACCTGCAGACATATTTTCTTGTGTCAGAATTCGGCAGGACCGAAAATACTGTGCTGTAGTAGTCATTCTAAAACCCGCACCCTCGGCCGTGCGGGAAATTTTTCAAAGCAGCTTTTAGTGGTCCTCCAGAATCCAAATGTACCAGGGTCATGCTGCATTGGATTGGGCTTGTCGAGAGCTTTCCGAATCTGGTCTCAATATTATCATAGGTTACATATTTTGGGAGATAAGGTCTTGATCATCCACCCTTTCTGGCCAGAAATAATTGATTATTGCGGGTTTTAGAATGACTACTACAGTAAGGCATTTGCCCTAGGTCTGGGCTTGGCAGAAGAATATGACAGATTCAGGTACATCGCTGGACCCTAAGGCCAGTCTGTATGCACAATAGTGGCGCTGCATAAACATGCAGGTAATTGGACCCCAAGATTGACCTGTAGTATTGAAGAGTTCTGCAATTGCTTTCCGGAAATTTGAAATCACAGGCTGGCATTCATTTGCGCCTGGGCTTCAAAAATGAGGCAGCAGAAAGGAATTACTACGGCATGCAAGGTTGCTGGGGAAGCATGCGCTGTCTTGAACGCTCAGCACAGTGCTAATGCATGTGTTTGTTTTGCCAGGTGGAGTCTCTATACTGCCCGGATACCAAAGCCAGTGTCGCCTAGCATGGACCTTTTCTCTTGTGCAAGGGGTCTATTGGCACTGCTCCTCCAAACTGAGAGTGCACAGTAGGGGAATACTTCGTCGAGGGATGATGATGTAAGCGGGTGAGTCACCTCTACATCGCTGGCGGGTGCAGCTGCGAGGCGGGCGAGCGTCTCCTCTGCCTTCCGCTGGAAGCTCTTGCCCGCGCCAGCCTTCTTCTGCTGGAACACCTGCATTGCCACAATTGAATTCTGACACAGCTCTCTCAACCGCAAACGCCGACATGCTGTATAGCTTCAGGGCTGACTCAGCACTGCATCGCTGGGACGCTGCAAACGTGCAACTTCAGAGAGAGACTCTACCTGAAAACCTACTGATTTTCTGCATTGAGTTTTGCTCTTGGCATGGCACGCATTACAGTGCTCCATAACCCAGTGCACGTGCACCTGATATGACAGCAGACTTTGCTTCCCTGATGCAGAATGTGCCGATTCCCATGAAGTGATGCACCATTGGCAACTACTGTACTAGATACTGGAGGCGCCGGAATCTATTACCAAGCAGAGAAGGCTAGTAAAATATTGGATGCTCAGATCTGGGGAGAAAATACCGAACCTACAAGGAAACACCATACTTCGCAAGGAAAAAATATGGGAAGATTAGTAAAAGGTCCAATGCTGAGGTGTTGGCTGGGCAGAAACACACCTTGAGGGCAGCAGGCTCCAGGGAGGGCTGGGCAGCAGGGGCCTGAACAGGCGCGGGCGCTGACTGGACAGCGCCAGCTGGCGCGGCGGCCGTCTCGAGGCGTGCATCCTCGGGGCGCGTCGCCAATGGTTTGGCCTCCGCCGCGGTCTTGGACTTGGCCTTCTGAAGCGTCAGCACCTGTAGCCGCGGAGTGCGCATCCTTCAAAGTTTGAATCTAACACCAAGTTGCAGGTGTGCTGAGCAAAGCATTGCATATGCGAATGTCTCTAAAAAGGCTCCTGTGTGGACTACGCGTCTTGCGTGGCTCTCTTTTGATGCTGCTCCGCGGCTGCTGATGTGACTGTGTAGTTGACATTCCAGCATTGTCACAAACATGTCACAGCAGCGCCTGTTATAGTACAAGCTCTTGTTGTGCAGTGCAGGGCTTTAAGTGCGCATCAGACCTTCAGAGAACACCATGCAAGTCACCTGCTTGAAGCCTGCACGTGCCAGGCACTCCGAGAGCAAAGCCATTTGCATGCAAATTTGCAACAACATCCCCATGCCATGCACACCAGGGGGACACTGAATACATTGTTTTCAATTTCCCTTGTGGGGAACTTAAGTATTCAGTATCCCCTTCTGTATCTAGTATCCCTGCTATCTTCCCCTGCACACCTGCACGTGGCGGACATTGGGCTCTGCAGCGGACTGTTCCACCTTCACAACCGTCAGGCTGGGCTGCTGCGAGGCCATCGATGAGTCATCGCCGCCCGCCGTCTGCAGGATGTTGGACGGCTGCGTCACCTGCCAAAACACAGGCCAGTCAGCAGTTTTTCTTCTTTCCGCAGCCAGAAATTCCATGTTGTAACTTGGAAGCGCTTTATTAAATTATTGACTTCTCTTCTTGATAGCAATGAAGTAATCCAGAATATCAGTGACTCTAAGGATCAGTGACTCTTGGAGCAGGCTTGCCCTTGCTGGGCGCTTTCGCATGCGAGAGCGCAGCCCCATGCATGCATGCAATATGAAGGTCCAAGGAATAGCTTTTGTTGCCAGTACTGCATTTCCAGTACTGCAGGGCAAACCAGCAGTCATCGGTTTGTCGGCGATTAATCACCTGCGCGATGGCCTTTTTCTCCTCATTGACGGCGTCTGGCACGCTTGCGATGGCGTCCCCGGGCTGCGACTTCCGAGCAGCTTCTCCGAGCGCGGCAGTCGCGTTCGCCTTCTCGGTAGCTGCCGCGCTGTAGCGCTGGGCGAGGGTGGATGTTATGTTGGAGATGCCCTGGAACAGCTTGGACGCAATTTCAGCCGAGGCCTGCTCCTCCGCGAGCACCTGCCGGCACATGCCTGACGGTGACTAACGGTGAATATATGAATGTTATGAACATTAGACGCTGTTCCGGAAGCTTGGTGCATCTGCAGACGCGCTGCAGATAACGGCTGCCAGATGTCTTACCCTTTGATGGACTCAAGCAACCAGCATACAGTAATTTTCTTGTTCTGCCAAATACCCCAAATAAGAGAGGCCTGTCTTATGCACTGTTACTACTATACAGCGACAGCAAATGCATCGCAGCAAGACAGTAGCAGGCCGGCAGCAAGCAGTTCTGCGCGTGACCAACTCTAGGGGGGCAAGTTTTGGAACAACTGAGTGACTGCAAGCTTCTGTTCATAGAGGAAAAACGAGTCAGGAAGGCAGGAATACTGCTGAGGGGTGACTCACGCTCTCTGGGGTGGGGGCGTCCTGCTGGCCGATGACGTCATAGGGCGAGGCATCAGACACCTGCGGCTGCGCGACTAATCGGATGGCCATCGCGGGGCGTTCCTGCTGAACCACCTGGATACTGGGGCTTGCCTGCAGATCATAACAGTCATAAATCTCTGAGACAATACCAAGCGGCAAAATTGTTTCCCTCTGGTGCTGCTCAGCCCTGGACGGCTACAGTAATGCACCCTCTTCCTGCCAGAGGCAAGGTGCGCCTGCAGAGAAGCTGCTGGTGAAGACTACCACCACATCGTTCAATGGACTTGCCTGGACCCATGCATGACATTTCAATTGAAGGCAGGATGACCGTCATGCATACTGCTCTGTGCCTTTCGGGGATCAGCCACCGATGCTGCCAAAAGTGGGGACCTTTTTTTCCATTGCAGGATGTTCATTCTCACAATTGGTGCCCTCTGAACATCCAGGAACAGGCGGACCCACGTTGGCAGGTGTTTCCATGCCCATGTGCATGCATGCATGCACATATGCAATGGTAACGGAATGCTGCGCAGAAAGAGCAGTTACTGCACCTGGTCAGTAGAGTCCGGCTGCATCTCCTGGCTGGCAAGCAGGCTGGCAGCCTGTGACTCAGCGAAGGAACGAGATTCTCCATAGGGACCCTGCTGCTCCTGCTGAGCCTGCTGCCGCTGCTGTGCCGCCGCCGCCAGCAGCGCTGCATATGGGTTGGATGCCACGATGCCTGATGGCTGCTCAGCCGAAAATACCTGTTGAACCAGGTCCTTTAGTCAACAGGCGCCTTTGTCTTGTTCACCGAATCTAGGTACTGCAGATCTTGTGACAATGCCAAGGATTTTGGGCCTTGTCTGCTGGGAGACATGTAGAATGTAGGTGTGATGGCGAGAGAAGGGTTATGCAAAAGTGCAAGAGCAGGTCGTTGTGAGCACCTGAGGCTGCGACACCACTTGCACTAGTCGTCCTGTGGGTATGAGCTGGCCGCCGTAGCCAAAGCCGGCTCCATTTACCACTTGCACCTGGCCAGAGAGCAGATGTCAGAATGCTGCTGGTCTTGTGACAGGGCTTATATCAGGACATTTGCACCAAAATTCATAAGCCAGGCAGCTCTTCTGGTGTATCAGAAATGCACAAGATCACTAAATCAGCCAAAAGAGCGTGACAAGACAGGATATGAAGATTCAACAGCTTCCTGAAGTCCTTGGGAGTCAAGGATACAACACACCTGGGCTCTGCTGAACGGTGCTGAAACAACCAAGAACGCAAAGAGAATGATTGCGCCATTGACCTGCGAGAATACAAGGGCTTGTTTCAAGGCTTCAAAGGCAGCTTCCCATGTACTTGCAGAACCAAGTCACGCGCCAGGCAAGTGCGACATGTACCAGGGACATCCAGGAGACTTCTACAATCAAAATTTGCGCATTGCCATCATCCACACGCGATCTTCATGGAAGATTATTCACGGTGCTAGGGTCAATTCAAAGGGTCAAAGGGCTGACCGAGCTTCTATGAATGCTCCGTGCTGAGCAGCTGCACTCGTTGCTTGTCAACATTTCAGCTCACGCCCGCAAACTGTCCACCTTACAGAGCAAAGGTCCCGAAAGAGGGAGCAAGTCCTTGTGGGCACCCCTGACTCACAAGCTTGTCAGCTTGCGGCAGTAAGGAATCTTGGCCGTTGCGTCACTCACGCGCTTCTCCCTCGGCTTTTAGTGGGTCAAGCTGTTACAGTGTATGGTAACAAAGTGTTTAGGATGCTGTGCCTGTTGTGCCATCCGTCTGTCGGAGCTGGACTTTCAATTTCGCAAGTTCGTAACCCGTGACGTGGCCAGCAAGAGGGAGCCAAATCTGCCTCCTGACCTGCTTGACCACCCGGTGACCGCTGACCGTACCTGATCGGGACCCTGAAAGCACTATGACTCCTGTTCATGTGTCTGTAGGATATACATGAGCACAGGATGCTTGCTACCATTCAGGGCGCCTGTGTTGCCAATTGCACCTCGCATCGTATGATACGTTTGATGTGACTGCAGATGCAGAGAATTGCCGATACACGATCCAATATGTTATCTTTGAATTCTTGGGTTCGTTTGAGAAGCATTGCAGTTGTTGGGTGGCCTGCCTCTTCTGGCACAGCTGGTCCTTCAGTCTCTCATGCCAACCTTCTCAGCAGGCTCCTTGAAAGGATACGGCCATCAGGGACCAGTGACGATGACTGGGAGCATCTAGAGGACCCGATTGCAGCCCAAATGACAGCGCTAAAGCCTAGCTCAGAGGGGTATGTGGAGTCGATGGTTGATTGCCAGCCCAAGGAGCAACGCTTGACTAGCCCTGCCTTGCACAAATCAGCCTACCGAGAAGCACAACGATGTAGCTTTTTGCTCAGCAGGCACATTAGCCAGGCAGCTTGCAGCTCAGACGTCAATAGAAGGCAGCTTCACACCAGCTGCGCAGCGCATCCCCAGCAGATCTCAGTTCCATCCGTCGGGAGAGCATTGTTCGGGATATCAACGCAGCCACAGAGTCTCTGTCTGTGCTCTGACCGGCCAGGAGAGCGACGGGGGATTCCCTGTCAGCTGCTCAGCAGGCGGCTCCCTCACACAGACCCGAACACTGCCAAGCGAGTGTCAGAAGCAAACTCAATCCTGCAGGTGCGCCTCCCACATTCCTGTCAATGTTGCAAGCCCTCCTTATTTGCATTGCATTGGAAATTCTGCATTGCAAATTTGCATGCTTGCATTGTGCATGAAAATCCGTTGCTCTTTAGCATATATTGTCCACCTGCCTCCAGCAGGCAGGCTGCTGCATGCAAGGGATGCCCGTCATTGCATGCACTGCTCCTGTGTCATGCCAAAAACTGTACCTGTACTTTCTCCTGCATGCAGTATTTGCTCAAGATTAATGCTGACGTGGACGTTGGGCGCATCGTAGACCCTTGACATCATCCGCTTCCGGGAGCACCTGGCGCGCGAATCTGAGCAGAAGCTGCGCACCAGCTACCCCGAGCTCCTGCAGATGTGTAAGGACAGGTGCGCAGCACCCTGCATGTCCCTCAACATCGCATTTCGATTTGTCATTATTCAATCCCACCTTATCTTGCACATGCCTCATGCACAAATGCATGCAGTGCGTTTCGTCTCAAAGTAGTCCCCTCAGCAGCAACCCTTGCCAGTGAGACTGTGCCTTGATCAGTGGGATGGAAAGTCCCTGTATTCTATCAAATTATATTGCTTTGGTACCTAGAGAAGATTTGGGTGTGCGTTTTGAGGACTTCTGGCATTCACCCCGAGCTGACGGCTGCTGGCGCGTCATGTTGTTGCAGCGGTGCAGCGCAGTCTGACGCAGAGGCGGAACGCATCTGTGAGGCGCTGAGAGCGGCGGGCATCGTGCTCAAAGTGGGCGACTTGGTCTATCTTCGGCCGCAGGAGGTCACCGCCATGGTCATGCGGGTGAGTGGGCAGCCCTCTCTGGTCGAGAGATGGACCTTCCGCTATTCACTTTGGCTGTGCACCCTGTTTCACAACCCTGATATTACAGGCTATTGTTTAAGGCAGACCCATTGTTTGAAATACAAGCCTAGATGCCTTTACATACTTGATAGAGATTTTTGTGCAACAATCATCTGAGGGGTTATGTTCAGCCTGAGCAGTGCGCGCGCCTGACAATTTCCGCCTGAATTGCCTTGACCTTGCTGAGGGGCACAACAGTATGCTGCTCGGCCCCTCGGTGCAGTTCAACGCCATGCATTTTTGAATTTGAGTCCAAATTTGAAGTTCGAACGCAGGCGCTGCCGGACACAGAGGCGGAGGTGCTGGGGCGGCTGCGCGAGCTGGAAGCTGAGCTGGCGCCCCTGGCAGCGCAGAAACACAAAATCGACACGCGCGCTCGACGGTGCGCGTCCCCTCCTGCCACACCAATGATTTTTGGTGTCCCTCTGTAGACCTCTAGAGGACTCGTAATACTAAAAATCAAATAAACTGCAGAAGGAATAGTCGTCCAGGACCTGCAAGGGGAGTGAAGAGTATATTCCTTGGGGTACGTGGTCGTGGAGATGGAAAGTGCTTGCTCCTGCACGTGTTGTTTTGCTGGCGACTTGATCACCTCGAGATTGGGACCCTGAATTTGCTGGCAGGCCCTGCTTGGAAAGGCAACGTGAAGGCAGTGAGTGAGAGTCTGGCTAGTCCGCCTCCTGCCCTGGTGCCCACTGCCACAATGCTCGGCGGATTTGCTACTGCATGCCTGCCAAGCAGCAATAATGAGCTTTCCTTGCTGGTGACTCTGGCTGGCTCTGCTGGTGAACTTGCAAATTCTCAGCACACTATATGCAGAGCAGGCAGTCCCTCCTGGTTTGCTTGGCAGAGACCTCAAGAGACATATTCAAGTCTTAATTCAATTTGATGGAATCACTCCCACCCTTTTTTGCAGGCGGACAAACGGCGTGTTGTGGGCTGGCCTGGCGCTGCTTCTGGTGCAGTGGGGCCTGTTTTTGCGGCTGACTTTCTGGGAGCTGTCCTGGGACGTCATGGAGCCCATTTCGTATTTCTTCAGTTCCCTCTGGGGCATCGTCGCCTACTGCTACTTCCTGGTGAGACCCCTGCCGATTAATATGTGATGATGTAATCAGCATTCGTCGTGCCACATCAGCAGGTCGCCTCTTTAGGCATGTCAACGGTCATGCCTAAGGTCCTTTGTCATCCGCACAAGGGAGCCACACGCTACAGCATTTTGAATTTCTGGTCACCAGGGGCGTGAATATTTTGAGGATTCACATCCGCTCTCAGCTGCCTCTTGTTGCATCCATCTGTAGTGCGCGTATGGTATCCCAGCAAATCCGTGTTGTTTCAAGGGCGCAGAGCCTGTGCACCTGTGGTCTGAATATAGAATACGGGGCAGGAAGGTAGAATTGCATGTCTACCACATTTGCCCGACTTTGTTTGCACAGTGTCAATCTGTGCGCTGAGTCAGCTGTGACTGCGCCAGGTGACTAAGGAAGATTTCGCCTTCCGGCACAGCTACAGCAAAATGAACCAGACCTTCCAGGTGCGCACCCACACACCAATTGCTTCTGACTTAAAATGCACTTTGCAACCTTCTGAACTAGAGTGAATAAAGGCAGGGCTTGCCATTTCCAAGGGCTTGTGACATCAGAGTTCTATGCCTGCATGTTGCACACTCGGTGTCTTGAAGGGCTCAGACAAGCAAGGATTGTGGGATTGTGCAAGCCTTGTGGGAATTACAAAGATCTATATTCTGTATCCTCTGACTAGATGACCTCGAGGTGGGGCATTCTACTACAGCATGCACATCAGGGACGCAGAAAAGGCAGGCCTGATATCGGCAAAGGGCCACTATGGTATATATATGAGAGACAGGGCACGCGCAGAAATACCGTCTCCTGCACCTGAGTAGGACAGCTTAGATCCAGTACAAGCCTCCATTCGTTTCAATGCATGTGTGGCGATATATTTCTTTGTGCGCTCAGGTTGGCGGGGAGCGGGACCATGGCTTTGACAGGGCACGCTACGAACAGGTGCTGCAGGACATCAGGCGGTACAGAGGGTATCTGCGCAGCGCCACAGACAAGCCCGGTCTCGATGCAGATGAGAACGCCTCAGAGACTGAAGCTCAGCCCGAAGAGGTCACACAGGCGTGGAAGGGGGAGCTCGCAAGATAGCAGCGGCTGTTCAGCTTGGGAGCGAGTGGCGTGCTGATTTTTAGCAGTTGAGTGGCATTAATGGAATATTCGTGCGAAGTATGAGGGTCTCTGTTGAGAGTGAAGTAATCTATTTTACAAATGCCTGGGCATGGCAGAAGTTGAGATCACGGGTCGGATGAGAGTGCAGGCGCTTGCACCTGTTGGCCATTTTCCTTAAGTGTACAGCTAGGTCCAATTGGTTGCACATGCATGATGGTGGCCGTCCGGGGACTTCAATGATGCGGCATGCCATGATGGTATATGACTGATTGTGGTCATGACCACTTTGGTAGCATGTACGGTGTTTGCTTACATTCATCGTGCAGGAACTGAAACGAACCTTGTTCATGACTATTACTGTAGCTGCATGGTACACAGTTTGATGAGATGCTGACGCCTTGACTTGTGTGGCAGCTAACTTTTCATAGGCTGCAAATTCATCTCAGTTGCAAATTGATACAGCGTCAATTGATACTGCGACCCTTTAGTCCTCACAGTGCAAGTTGCAGATTGTCCCAAGTGCACTTTCTCCAAAAGTCTGTGTTCGACTGCCAACCTTCCTGGCAAAATCTTCAATTGATTTGAGCTTGCAAATTCTTCCAATACCACGTTTCTACTTCACCTTCTGTTAAAGCTAGGCCAGATCAATCTTGTGCACACATGCGTACTGCCCAGAAGGAAATGCTGACTGGCTGACCTGCTGAGTGCAGCGCAGATCCATAGCAGTACTAGAAACTATTTCTGGTCCGCACATACGCATTTGCTTGAACAAATGCCACTGCTCCGTCTCATCCAGTTGCTAATCCTGCTTGATTCAAGCTCCGCACTTCCTGCTTTTGCAGCTTGACTTGAATCTGGAGAGACCATATCCTGGCGCCTTGAGCTCAACATGGGCAATCAACACCCCAGTGCTGGGCGGACTGAACTGGAGTGGTCCTCACATAGGCTCTTGCTTGAGATATCATAAGTCTATGCTTCATATATCTGTGAGATTGCTGTTATTTCGAGCTCCCCAGCCCCCAATTTTGTAGCTTGATAAAATTTGGACAGGCCATAACAATGATGGCCCCAAATTCTCAGGTGCTCCTCTAGGTTGGGCGGACTGAAGAAGATTAGTCGCTGTCCCCGAGATTTGAAGTGCGCCGGGGCCGCGGCTGCGTGGGGGACAGTTTGGGTGAGAGGGTCTCTATGGGCTGCTCAGGGGTGGATAGATCGCCGGAGACGATCGTGCTGAGGCGTCCCTGCTGCTGCAGCACAAAGTCCGCGCTGTCGAAGCACTTGCGTCCGTTCCTCTGCATGCCACGAAGCACAGATCAGGACATCTCTGGGACACCTGATGAAGAACAGGTTAGTGAGGCACCTCGTGGGATTATGGAGGGACATCTGACAGAAGCAGGATGTCAAAACGCTGGCCGCAGTGCCAGGATCAGGCATGGCCACGCTATCATAGTTGTTCTTGACAAGCTGTGCCAGCTGATGCTGATCATAAGGACTTCTAGCCTTGCCGATCACTCCTCACTCCCACTGTCGAGCAACCTTTAATTCCAAAACAGCATATTGAGACTGGCGAAGCGATGGGAGCCACTTCTGACTGCACTTATCCCATCTTTCAATATACCAGGCAGGAAAGTGCTCGTGCCAGAGCATTACCTTGGCGAGCAGGCGTGGAGACAGCTTCGGTCGCATGCCATATTTGGCTATGAGCGCCGCTTCCTGGTCCTGCTCAATCTGCAGGGAGGGAGGCTTGGGAGGAGCTGCGATGGACTGTGCCTCTGCCATCCCTGCAAATCACAATGCCGCACAAAGCCTGACTGTTACAGGAAACTCTTCACATTCCATTAGAAATTGAATTGAGCCGCAAATCAATGACACAGAAAACATATGGCGATGGTGGTTTGAGAAGCTATACAAGAAGCTATACAAGCCTCAGAAAACTCATTTGAAACTACCAGAAGACAATATGCTGCGATGCGAGTCATCAAAGAATCTCAAAGAAACCATTATCTTTCTTACAGTGAGGACGTTTCGTAAGGAACGCACTTGCTTGACGGAAACTTGTTGAGAGTATGGTGATGTGGTGAAGCGCTTGTGACTTTCTATTGACTTCTAGATTTGCCAGTGATTGTGAAGGGGTCAATGATGACCATTATAGACGCCTGTGCGATGCGATAGATGGCTCTGGCTCGCTGAAATCAGGCACAGAAAACGTTCTTCGGAAACGACAATCAAGAGAGGAGGCAACGCCGGGCACTAAATGGCCTGATGGTAAGCATGCACGGCACCTTCTAAATGAAGATGGATCTCTCAGATGGAAGTCCTGGCAGTGCCATCACTTTCTCGTGTGCTGCCTGCCATAGTTTTTGCAGGAGAAGCACATCTTCACACGTCCAAGGCTGTGCACATGAACTACTAGTAATCAGTCATCCATGAGGCCCAGCTGGGGGGCCCGCTCGGCGGGCCTGCAGCTGCAGCACTTTTTTCGGCGGATAACATGAGACAAAGAGGCATGCAACAGTTGCAACCTGAATCAGAGAGCCCGGATAACAGATGCATGCAGTAGTAACCCTTCTGCGCTGACACATTTTACAAATCTGAAACTTACTTCTCAAATAGATAGATATACATGTAGCAGTGGAATCACTTCAAAGACCCAATAATTTTGCAATAGAGGACTACGCCTCAAGTGATCTACTTAATGATAGAAGCATCACAGTCACAGGGGACACAACAACATAATAGTACGTCTTTCGCATCCCAGTTTGGCAGCAATCTTGTACAGCCTTTCAGCCTGCAACCCGCAATCCCAAATATATGTACGCTCGTAGGAGAAGCTCATACTTTCAAGGAAAACCAAATGCAAAAGAATAGACACATACTTTCAAATCCAATTTGGTCCCAAGTGCGCTGTCACACGGGGCCCTAAGCACCTCTGCTTATCAATAAGATTAGTGTAGCAGGGAGTAATATCTGACCAGTAATATCTGACATCACACTGAAGCTGTCAGGGTCTGAAGTGCACCCATCGAATTCAAACAATCTGGAGAAACAGTACCTGACTTGATGCCAATCACAATCAGCTCAGCAGGAGCGAATGCTTTGGAGGCATTGACACATTGATGCAGCTCTTGAGAGCCACACAAATGCAAGCATCCTGGACAAGCACATCATATCACATGCACAAACCGGAACAGTCTTGTTTTGACATTGCTGCATACCTTTACTGCTTGCATGCCCCCTCTGGGACAATGTGCTCAGCATGCTTGCTTCTTGATACCCAAGACTGATTTGCGCTCCACTCGGGGCCACCTCATCTTCTTGCATGCTCCTAGGGCATGCTTGGCACATTAGTACACACAGACAGCTTGTGCTGCTGCTGCTGTGCTCCCTAAACAGCTGGCAGCAGCTGTTCACAGAGCACAAGCACAAAGACAACAGTCCTCATATGTTCTCCCCTAGGTCTTTGGGGCTGCATTGAGTGACAAACCAGCCTGCAGGGACTTCGCCCCGGCTGTTTCAGAGAACTCGCCTGCTTTCTTGACGAGCCCTTTCTTGGCCTCAGCACCTTGCAACCTCTCTTGACTTGGAATTTCTTGAGCGGCTCGGGGCTTCAACTCGACGGCGTTCCTGACCTGTGTGGCAGGGCCGAGCACAGGCCAACGGCATTGCCTGTGCATGGCGCCTGATTTGGCTTCTTTGCAGTAATAAGTAAATCAGCCCCACGTTCAGCAGCGCTCCCGTTGAGCAGTGCCTGATCAGGCGCCTGGATTAGTAATCGGGCTCCACCGAGTTTGGTAACCCAGCTCCACCGAGATTAGAAATCCAGCTCCACGTCGACAGCGTTCTTGCCCAGGGCGATCGGCCGAGCGTAGTCGCCGTACGCGCATCCGGCGTCGTTAATAAAAGTATTGACAGGGGAAAACGAGACATTCTGAACGTTCTCCGCAAATATCAGCGCCCCCGAGGTGATCCACCTGAAAGCACAAATAGTTCCTCAAACGGAACAGCATGGCTGCATCAAGTATGTGCGCCCTAGTCTGGCATGATGACATGCTATGCGCATTTGCAGCTGCACGTTGCATGCTCAGGCAGATTTTGCCCCAGCTCCTCACAAGCAATGTGAATCTGTACTGATGTGCGCTGGCAAGTGAGAATGATTACTGCTGACACGCTTGGAAATGGTGCGAAGCATGCGAGTGCAAGGCGGCCCTTTCTCCTTCCTCTCTGGCGGCCAGCCGCACTGCGTCGATATCAGCATTTATCTTTCCCAAAAGAATATTCAAGAAGGAGATAAATAAGCAAGTGAACTCACCCGAAGCCCTGCCCCGGGCCGGGCAGGCGGCAGAGGCAGTTTTTGACGGTATTCCCTCCGATGACTACCCCCTTGGCAGAGGTGACTAGTATCGGAGCGTAGGCCGCGTCTACGACGGTGTTGCCTGTGATAGTGATCCCGTCGTGCATTAGGTACTGCCCTGAACCCAGATCGCTGCGTCGGATCAAGCCCACGAATATGCCGCCGTAACTGGCTTGGACAAAGTTGTCGGATATGCGCAGGTTGCGCGCCCAGTCTGACTCCATCCAGCTCGCCTCTGGCATGACCTGTGGGAGCATAACACAAGAAATTAGGGGTTTGCTCAGCGAGGAGGCTTGACTCAAAAACACCTTCTGGGCTGTAAACACTTCAAAGCTTGACAGGGTCTTCCTCTTAGTGGCCATCACACTTGGCTCACTCTGGTAAATTAATTTGAACATCATGAGCAGGAGTCCGCGCACAGGATAAGAAGCCACAAATGAGAGGCCATACAGGCATTGTTTTTTCCATAATCTTGAGTAAGGAAGAAGGTTTTCTGCTGACAAATCCCAGGAAGACTGTCATCAGATATTCAGATGATGACATAATCATCCCGAAGACTGAGCAGAGAGTGTATCTGCAAGCGGCAAGAAAGGGAGGGAACGCCGCACCTGCATGCCCCACCAGGCGGGGCCAATGATGGTGTTGCGTTCGATGACGCCGTTGCCGGCCTTGATCTGCATGCCCCGCCCGCGATTATTCATAATGACGTTATCGCGGATGACAAATCCCGAGCCCTCCAGCTCAACATTAGTAATCAGGCTGTCAAAGCGCATCGCCTGGAATGCCTTTGGCCAATTATCCACGCTCACCTGGTCAGGAAATTAGGAAATGCTATGTCAAGCCCTTCTGCCATTTGAATCAAAATTCATGGGTCAGGACTTAGACTGTGTCTATATTCTTGCCAATTGAACCCAACTCGTCGCAAGCGGTGAAAAGGTTCAGCCTGGTATGTCAGAGAGCGCCAGATGTTGCTTGACAAATAGAATTTGAATCCTGGCTAAACTTTTTGTAGGGACCAACAAGTTGTGGCCAACCACTTCCAGCCAGAACAGCCCTCAACCAATGTCCTTATTGAAGGAGCAGGGCCAACCAAATCCATGCATCGCTAGCATGTGCAAAGCAGCAGGGCAGATTGTGTGGTTCCCAGCAGGAGGATTGGTGCCTGGCAAGCAGAAAGCACCCACCTCGAAGAACTTGGAGCTGGTGAGATTCTTTCTGATTGCCACCCTGCTCCGCATGGCCGGAGGGAGAGGATTCGGCACCTGCAAAGCACCCAGTGATCTTGAAAGCTCGATTTAGAGCTGATGCAACCTTACAACCTCAGCCCCAGCTGGCGGGGGGCGGTATAAATGCTGAGCACCGTGCCCAAGGTGAATTGGGTCTTGCATGGATTCTGCGATTCCAACAAGGGGTAGGGATTGCGCCAGCCTTTTTTGCAGCTTGATTGCCGGACGCACCTTGCCTCTTGGCAGGAAAGGCGGGTTCTAAAAGTAATGACAACAAAAGCACATGTCTGATGTGCTTCAATGGCAGGAGAGAGAAACAATTTCTATTCTGAAGGCCCCCTCAGTAAGGCCATTCTGTAAGACCAGAGCCGCAAGGCAAATTTGGAGGTGTGACACCAGATGATTGAATTATAAAAGCTAATAATCACTTGGACTCTGAAACCCTAAACCTCAACAGCCCTTAACCCTTGAAATATAGGCTCCAGGCAGCTGGCACCCACCTCTCTGACGGCAGTGATATTAGTATATCCCAGGAGTAGTAACTGGTCCCCTTCATAGACGCCTATTCTGGAGCCGACCCCCAGCGAGTTGGCGTTCCCTGCCGCCACCGTGAAGCTGCTGTTGCCTTGATTCACCTGTGCATGCAGCAGCACAAATGCATCAAGCTCTTACTAGCAAGGTGTCAGTATCCACTGAAAATGCTTGAACATTGCCAGTCGGATGTACAATAAAACTCCTCTGTAGGACAAGCACAACATTGTTGCTTGTGTGCACCCTCAAAAAAGAAGGTGCACCCTCTAGTTTATTATGCCGAAAATTGCTCCTACAATAGAATTATATAAAGTATCCTAGTGGAACAAGCGGTGGAATTAGCGGTGGCAAAAGCACATCTCTTCAATGTCCATTACAGGCAGATTCTGCTCAATGTTTGAGAATATCACCTTGAGTCATGTACACGTATATCACTTACCTCCCCCCAACATCTTGGATTGTCCATTAAACTGATGTGCAGGATATAATACTTCAAGGCATTCTTACTGAGAATCTGGGAGCAGCTCTCACCTTGACCACGAGGATGAACATGCCGTGAATGGAGATGGCATCGTCCCCCATGTTGGCGAGAGTGTTGCGCTCAATCAGGGGCCCAAAAGTTGCTCCCACGCTGTGAATACCGTCTCCATTGCTCGAAAGCAGCGCCGGCTGCTGCCCGTTGCCTATCGGGCCCGGGTATGGCGAGAGAGTGTTGTCCACAAACTGCATTCAAATTATATTATTATTGATTTGACGTGTTTCCTGCCAAGAGGCAAGGTGCGTCCTGCAGCTGAGCTGGTAATATATAAATTCCAGAAGTTTGGCATTGCTCATAAGTGTTTCCCCAACCGGCTAGCATGCATGTGGCCGCTGCAATTGTTCTGTCACATCAAAATCATGCATGCGATATCATCAAAATTGAATGTTTACAGGCAGCAAGGGATGCCCACCCGGTTGCCGTGGCCGCTCCAATCAATGATGAAGAACATGCCAACGTTGTGCATGGTTATGTTTGCGATCGTCACGTTGGTGCAGCGTGTCAGCATTATGCCGTGCGCATAGATTCCCCTCAGCTGCGCGCATGCAAAGTTACAGATTTTAGCCAATGTAGCACAGGAAAGAATGCAAAATTTTGCGCCTCAGCTGCAGCCATGCAATATTGCGTTTGTCAGCTGCTGTTGTCGAAATGCACATAATGCAGCAAGCTGTAATTTGCTCTGGGAAGCAATTGATTGTAGCAAGTACGCTCAGGGGCACATCAATCGTAGAAAGTCACCATTCCAAGAAAGCTGTTTCGCAGTTTACAGCCGTTGATCAGATCTACCCATTGCATGTTCGCTGCAGCTGGAAAGCAAAGCACCTGCCACAAACGTTCGTGTTCCCAGCCTCCTGAGAACAGTTCAAGACTAGCTGGGGCTGCCTCGCTTTTTGACTTAAACTTTTAAATCCTGAAAGCGGGAGGGAACGCGCACCGCTATGAGGTCGCCGAGTTTGGCCTCCGGAAGCGCAATTTCAAACGCGAATTTGTACGTGCCCGGCGAGACCTTACTAATCGCGTTGGGCCATGCGTCGTAGTAATTGTCCACCAGCTTCCTCGTTGCTCCATCGTAGCGCAGCAAATAACTCTCTCGAGTGCTCTTCTGGTCCATCATCGAATCCGTCGGGTAGCCGTCGTGAATCTGCGCATGCATGCATCATACCAGACAGTCAGTGCCTGTCTATTATCTGCGCTGCACAATATTGTGTTGTATAACCTCCCCCATTCTCAATTCTCCGTGTATCAATATTATGAAACAAGGTTAATCGATGCTGTGCAGGCTCAGGAGCAGATCTGCCACATGTGCAGCAAAGCTCAGCAGGTAGGGGAAAGAAGGGATAAGTGGGGGAGAAACTTCTGATGTACTGAATCCAGCGCCTGATTTGAAAGGCAGAAACCACCGTTGAATAGTCACAGCATGGTCAGAAGTGATGCAACATGATATTAGTAAGCGCTGACCTGGACGGTCCAGGTGTAGCCTTGTACGGTGTCGTTGGTGATGTCTGTGATGGTGCCCTGGGTGAAGGGCAGGGCATAAAGCGCGTGGTGCGCCGTAACGGGCCCCGTGAACTCCACGTTCACACAATCCGCAATGCTGAAACCCGCCTTCTTTATGTCCTGCGCAAAGCGCAAGGCCGATAAATTTTCCTGATTCCATGGCGTGATAGGATTGAAGGTTGCTAGCTCAATTCATCAGTTTGGAACATAACTTTTTGAACACCAGAGTTCAGCCAAAGGAACCTATGAGCAATTACACGGTTGCCATGGCTTTCAAATACTGAAAAGCAGAAGCATGTGTGCACGAGGCAGCTGACGCCCTCAGAATAGGAACGCTGCGAATGTACTCTCTCTGCAGCATGCTTGTGAGCTTTGGGCAGCAGAAGATTCATATACCTCGAAGCAGGACCCAGCAAAGCTGTCAGCAGAAGCCGCCAAGAAGGTGTCGCCTTAAAATCCAGGGCCCTCCGAGATGAGAGCGAGGCGCACCTGAAAGACGAGTGTGCTGCCGCTCAGGTCAACGGTGAAGGGCGTGCGGCGGCGGTTGCGGGGGTTGCAGAGGAAGATCAAATGCGCGTCGGAATTTCCCCCCGCGTTGACGATGTAATTCCCCGGCCGCAGCCGCACCCCGCGCACAGACTGGTCGTTCACCTGTAAACAACACACTCTTGATCCCTTAACATATTTTAGCCCCCCTCTTGCCCTTCTAGGAATGTCCCTCCAGTAGCAAGGTGTAAAAGAGATTCCCCTGTCAAGGGAGGTTTGCAGACGCGTTGCCACAGATCCTGCCCACTGCCGGACTGGTGACATCCAAGCAAGACTGTACTGCTGAAGGGCAAATGTCCGACAATCTTTGGCCTGAGCAAAATCTGCCGCCTCAGCATGCGACTAGATGCATGGCAGATCAAGCTCTCACAGAGGACTGCAGAACGTTGTGTATTTCACAGGTTGTTGTCTCCAACCCAAAGTAACTTAGTCAATGACAATGATACCATCATCTGCATTACTTTTGTGAGTTGATGAATTTCATCACCGTGGCTGTGAAGAATGCAGCAAAGCCACTACCAATCAGCGTGTGACTGGATGCATGGCCAATCAAGCTCAAATACAGCAATGCACAAAGAAGGCTTTATTGATTCTTACCGTGGCAGTGAAGAATGCAGTGAAATCGCTGCCGATCAGCAACCCCGGCTTTGAGGGGTCCGGAACAAACTCCATGACACCGCTGCCGGACATCACCATGGACAGTCTCGCCTGCGCAGACCAGCGCACACGAATTTCAAGCAAAGTTTCAAGGGTGGACCATTAGTAAGAGCGTTGCGGAAGCCGTTTTCAGTGCGGACTTTTGCTGCAGATGCAAGAGCATGCAGCAGCTTTCATTGGAGGATATCAAGTGAGCCTCCAATGAAAGTTGTACCACATACGCTTGCACACGCAGCTGCATGGTGTTCTCTATGCGCTATGCTTGGTTTCACCCCCTGGAGGAGAGTCTTGGACACAAGCTTCAGTTTGTAAAGCTTGGACGAACATTCGCCCTCACCTGCTCCACAGCGTCAGCCGCAGTGGCAGCGATGAGCGCCAATGCTTGCTGTGGGTTTCTGTATGCGGTGTCGGCGGGAATGGCCAGGAAATTGGACACGGACGCCGCATGCAAGCTACCATTGCGGTCCTGCAGTGCATGCATTGCATTCAGGGAACCGTCTTGATGTGAGCTTGAGTGCTAAACAACCTCGAATACCCTCGGAGACTAGAGCCTTTGAATGCCTAGACCTGCACACTGCCATTGCTGTCCTAAAAAGGGGCAGGCAGCAACACTGACTTGAGCCATCCAGCGCAGCTGCATCATTTCACTGCCACAAGAAGTCCCTGAACATGCTTGAAAGAGAGATCAATTCCCAACTTCTACAACTACTACATTCAAAGGCTTGCGGGCTGTGCAGCTCCGGCGTTTCTCCCTTTCAGCGGGCATCTAAGGTGCTCTTGAAGCTGCCTTCCTCAGTCACGCACTGACAAATAGCAGCAAGTGAAAACCTGGAACGCCACATTGATTGAGGCGCAGCTGAGACACCAGGCCTCCGTACCTCCAAATCTGCACATCGGCAAGCATGCAGCAACATTTCACCGGCTCTTGCACGCAGTCACATGCATGCACATGCGCGCACCTGCCAGGAGCTCTCAGCGGCCAGCTTCTGTCGCAGCAGCGAAGCCAGGTCCCGGGGAACTGCCTGCCTCGCCACGGACCACGGCGCGCTCGGAGGCGGCCGGAAGGAGTATGAGAATTCGTCATCGCTCGAGTGGGTCATTTTCTGTGCGGGAGGACAGCTCACATTGTCAGTCGCCACAGCACTGCAAGAATTGCCCATAGCTTTGTTGACATGGAGAGTTGACTGGCTTGAGATTTCAGGGGATGCTCTGGTTTGCAAGCAGAGCCTACCGGTGGCTTTTTCATGCCATCGCAGCTTCAGTTGAGGGCAGGGCAGCTGATGTCAGCTACCGTCCTGTGATAGGAGGAGGAAACTTTGCAGGTGTGACACAGAAATATTTTTCTAGGTAGGGGGTCCGATCAGCGCGCACCTGCACGGCACAGAGGTAGCCCCGGGCGCCGCCGCTGCGCAGCCACTCGGAGGGATCGCCCTGCAGACCCGCGCACATTGACTCCCCAGCCTCCACCTCACCCCCTGTCAGTGACTCATCCGCCGACCCCGGCGCCTCCGCGCCTCCCTGGCGCCAGCCATCCGCCGCCGCGCCTCCGACGTTTGAATTCGAATTTGGATCCGGCGCGCCGGTGCCGGACTCGGCCGGTGCCGGCGCGGCAGCAGTGGATGCCGGCCCGGGTGCCGGGAACGCTGCCGCAGACGCGTCCTCTGCCGCAGTTGCAGCGGTGTAGTGCCCTGAGAGGAAGGAGTGGTCTGCAGCGGAGTTGCCACTCAGGAAGGCCTGCACCAGGTCCGCTGCGGTGGCCACCGCTGCCGCGGGCGGGGGAACTTCGGCATCGCCGGGGAAGTCCACCTCAAGTGCCCGCCGCCTGGGATGTGCCTGTGCGCAGGGGAAGTGAACATGTCAGTGACGGTGCATAAGGCTGTCTCAGAAGTGCAGAACCTTCTAGAATGTTGTGCCCAGCTGGCCAATGTGGAGTTTGCTGGCAGTTGGCGCTATGACAGCCGGGACCAGGCTGGCTTGGTGGTGGCAGCGCATATCTGATATTACCTAGAGCACATGTGCAGGTACGACGCGTACTACAGGTAGTACGGCAATACTGCTCGATGGCCATTTCATGTGAATGGCCTGCAGGCTGTCAGGCCACACTTTCGCGGTACCTCAAAAAGACTCCACTATTGTAACAGTTTTGTGAGGGAACCTTTCGGGAGTCCAATCGATGCGTTGAAAACGTACTACAGTGACAATACTTTGTCATCCCATCGTACACTGTGAGAAACACTTTCGGCAGACACGCCCAACGCCGCAGTGGTAAGCACCGATGCGCTGCCCCGAACGTTAGCTAGCACAGTGCAAAAACAGAATAGCTTCTGTCGTACAATAGGGCAGGATTGCATCGCTAGACTCAAATGCCTTCGGAGCCCACTTAATACACCACCGGTTACTTTCTCCGTTCCGTGCGTAAGTAGGGCGCAACATATTTGCAAAAGTCGCTGTAATGCAGCGCTTTCGCCCCAAAGCTTCACGAAAATTCATGGAAAGGCTCCTGCTGACGCACCTTCTGGCCAGCCCGCCGGTAGCCAAGATCCGAGACTAGACGCGTTGTGGCACCATCCGTGCGGCCTCCGGAGTCCTCTGCTTCACAAAGGCTGGTGGCCACTAGAAGCACCGTCAAAGCAATACTGTACAGCCAACTGTGCCTTGACATTGCGCTGACAGAAGCGGCCCACAATATGACGCCCCAGCCGATCTCTAGCGCGCCATGTTCTGCTGAGTGCGTAGCAAGAAGAGGAATTGTCTCGAATGCTCCACGCTGCCTGGCACAAGCGTCCGCTTGTGCTCTCTGCCTGCTTTTCTCTGTCCCCTGCACCCCTCCGTCGGGCAATCAGCAGTGGTCATCGATCAATTCTGATCGCCTAGTTCCCAAACCAGACGCTGCCGTCACTGCGGGCATCTGTTTGCTGGCGTCCCTTCTCTGTTAAAACCCGAGGAACTGGCGGAAAAAACGGCGAAATAATGCAGATGGCAAACCTGGCGAATGCTGAGCTTATTGCATGACTCCCCCCCAATGGCCAGCTCACACGACTTTGAAGAGCACAGCAGAAGAGTTTAGTATCTGTAATAAGACGGTGAGGTGCAGAATAACTTGTGTTTGCAAGCTGACAGCGCGACAATAACGTTGCAGCGTTAGATGGGCCGCCCATTCTTGGAGGTGTGCCTGCCAGTCTCTGAATAAGCAGCGTTTATCGCTGAATGACCGAGCCTGTATGACTTGTGATGTTTTGTGAATATGATCTGTCTTTCAGCTCACACGGGGGTTTCAAAGTGGTGACCATGTGATATGCTGACACGTTCGGGGTGGGCATCGCAGTATGTAAAGGACGGTTCAACGAAATACACCTGCAGGTGTTGCAGGTGAGATCTCTACTGTCTTCAGTCGTAGTAAGTGCAATGATGTGAGCGCAACAATCCGATTGTGTATTCGAAGTATCAGAACCCTTTTACTCTTGGACGACAACGCCTTACCTTGCCTGGTGGGTATCATCGATCATGGCGCCGTTACATACACTCGAAGCCTTGTACTAACTGGGAGGCATTCGGACAACCGTTATGATTGAAAGTTCAATGAAGTGGTCAAAACACGCCATCCAACCTGATCATGTTGCTGCACCAAAGTCATAGGTGGGACAGGGCTTCAAACAGGCTCAGCTAAGCCAGTATCATTCGATCTTACTTTTGCAAGTCCCTTGCTGCATTGCAGCTACCAGCCGCTTCTCTGACCGTGTCCAGCCAGTCCCTAACCAGCGGACATCTAAACTGTCTCCAAGCTAGTGCCTTGCTCACCCCACGGGGCATTCGAGCGATTGGAAGAGCACAGTGACATGACGTGGCCATTAAGCTGACATGTGCCTGCATGTGCGCACAGCTGCGACGTTGCCAGCTCATCCGGGCTCGTGTGGCAGGGAGTGATGGGAGCTGCGAGGCAGCCGGCAGTGCTTCTGAGGGACACAGTCAACCTTGAACCCCTGGGCGATGCGCGCTCTGAGCGGCTTAGCAGCGGCAGGTGGGGACGTAGTGATAATTTTAATGCACCATAATTTCAATGCATGAGCATAAACGCTGGCAGCCCCTTGACCGTGCATTTTGCACCTTTTAGCTGCTCCCACTCCTTTGTCTCCCCAGCAGGAGTGTGTGTGTCTCCTTTGTTGGGACGGTTTTGGTTGTGCAACAAGGGGGGTCCCTGTTTGCCAGGACTCCTTCGGATGCTCTCTTGCTGGAGGGAAAGCTCACTTGATCGTAGTATTTAGGCACATTCAAGTGGGCTCTTGCCAGCATTAAGAAGGCACTAGACGAAAGATAGCTGAAAGTTAAGGATGGTCCTTCAGCCTGAGCTCTGGCATACAAAGATGCTCAGGATCCGGTGTTGGTGACAGGTACACCCTTGTAGACGTGACATGCCGAGGATGCGCGACCATTCTCGGCTGGCGCTACCAGGAAGCCAAGAACCGGGTTAGTCACCAGCATCCCTTCAGCGCGCTGCGCAGATTGCAATATCAGCACACCCTGTGCTCTGTAGTGGTCACTGGCGTGCGCCCTTCTTGCGCATTGGAAGACTTGCAGACTCTTGCTGAGTTGCAATCATGCATGAATGCTGCTTGCACAGGGTTTCGCTATCCCTTTCTGAAGCAATCAGTCTCACACATGGCAGCAAAGCACTGCTCATGTAAGAGTCGATAGGGCGCTTCACATGCATCAAAAGGTTGTCTGTGGGCCTTCCTTCTCCTGGCCTGATGTAGTCTTCAAATGCCTGATGCAGGACGAGAAATACAAGGAGGGCTGCGCGCTGCTGCAAATATCTCTGCTGAGTGCGGTGGACATGGAAGGGGACTCCGATGTAGACGTGCCCTGCCCAGCGCACAGAACAGCGCCACAGCGCAGCATCGCCACGCAGTGCTGAGCTGGCGCTCGTGCAGGGTTATGTAATGGTTACACAACCTCCTGAGGTGGCAAAAGGGGCGCGCACTGCTGAGCTGGCGACCGCGAAAGGTCATGTGATTGTGACACCATGTCCTGAGGGGGCAAAAGAGCCTGTATTGCTGAGCTGGCGTGTGCGCAGGGGAATTGTAAGGGTTTTACTTGTCATCCAAGGGGCATGCAATCCAGCCCTGCAGGGTTGTTGGGTGCTCTGTGATCCTGATAACCAAGACTGCAGGTCTCTGCTGCCAGTGTATACACTACATAGCGGGCACATAGCAGGGGCATGCAGTGCCAAAATCTGCACTGTTCAATGTAGCAGGCTTTTTGCTTTGTATCATGATGTCTGATTTGATCTTAAGAGATAAGAAACACGTGTAGTATGTAGACATCTTGTGCCGCATTGTGCGAACGGCCCAGACCTGAACGCAGTAGATTCAGCCCAGCTCAGCATGGCGTGATGCATGCTGCAAGCCATTTCTTTCAATGCACCGAGCTGCCCCTTGTTTTGGGTGCGCTGGAGTGTACAGCAGTGTATGTATCTCGGGTGTCTGTGGCCCAGCCCTCGAGCGCGCAAACATGAGGAGATGTGATGATCGATGTATGTTTCATAAAAAGTGCCCGGCAGGAAGTGGTCTTGTGACAGTGCCAGACTGCTGAGGCGGTTATGGGCAGAAAGGAGAGCATTTGATGTAGATTGTATCCAAGCTGTTGGGCGCATTTGTGGACCCCAAGTGAGAGACAGAGCACAGGATTGGCTAGGCCTTGTCAATACTTGCAGTATGGTTGCAGTGTCTATGCCATATGGTGCCCACAATACCGTCCTTGTCTTTTGAATGTGGCAGCTGATGCAAATTTAATGTGAGACCTGTAAGAGCAGATGCGTATGCACACAACGAGCCCGTCACACCTATTGCTTGCGCCATTTCCCTAAGACTTACCAAAAAGCATGCCACAAGCCCCTGACCACGAAATTGTCCCAAGCAACAAGCATGCATGCACTGTCACCGCGTGTCAACAGCTGGCCAGTAAATAGTGCGGTCCAGAAGAAGAGTCCAGTCATGGGCTAGCTCAGGCTCTTGTGGGAAGCAGGGGCGCAGCCGCTCTGATAGCGCAAACGTGTCCGGTGACAAACTCATGTCCCCAAGATTGGTCATTGCCGCCAGCGCTGCTGTGCTGTTGAGTCGTGTCTCCGCATCTGCTCCCTGAAAAAGCAGAGGGCTTCCATTCTTGTCACGTTAGTGCAAGACAGGCCGCAATTACTTGCCAGTCTCTCGAAGTCCAACATATCATAAAACCCGCGAGGCTGCATTTCTCCTACACAGGCGCTGGCACTGCCTTGTGTATCTTGCATTCACTTTTGGTATCATCTGCAAATTATTCATCGCCACAGGGGGTCCCACAGCAGACATTGCTAAAGGGCAGGGCCGCTATTCACAGGCTCCATATTGATCAGAAGTTACTAATTTTTAAGAAAGAACAGAAAGTAATAGGTGATGAGATCGCACATGCTGCAGCCAGGCAAGCAGCCAATCCAGCAGAGCAGCGTTGCAGTGGGTGCCGATATTTGTGTCATCAAAACTCGCACTGCTACCCAGGACTGCCACACGGCCCTGGCCCTCTTCGCCACTCCACACCGCACCTGAACACGCCAACGAAACTTTGGAAATGACATCTTGCAGGAAACATTGGACTTTCTCACACTACAGTACAAGCACTTCACCCCTTCCAAACGCCACTGTGCAATGCTACCCTCAATTTGCAATGCAATGCATTCCTATTTGATGGATTATCTGCTGCCAAAGCACTTGGCACGATCAAGCACACTTGATCAATCATGACCCCGTTGTCCACTGACACAAACAAGTTTTCAACACTTAAAACTCAGCGCTAATGAGATGTTTGCCTGACCTATAGGCAGCTGGGTTGGGCTGCAGGTCTGCCCAGTCGCCAGAACAGGCACCGCCGGTGCCTCAACACCCAGTGGTGCACCCCTCACATACGCCAGCTGCACGCCAGGTTTGGCAGCGTCAGCCGAGCCTGGATTCGAGTTTGAATGCGGCCCGGCGCCTGCTTTGGCCGCGGCGCCTGCCCGGAGCGCCGTGCCCGGCCGGACAGCTGGGCTGCCCGGAGGCCAGGGGGTGAGGGACGCTGCTGTTGAGGGCCTATAATCCAGGCGTTTTGACAGAGCTGTTGAGGGTCTCTGCAGGAAGTCACACAATACATTGCTCTGAGTAATGGCTTGAAGATGCAAGGCAGGCCTATTGAGCTGCTCAGAACAGTACCTCTCCTATCACGCAAGAAGATGCAACACCTGCATCGCATTTCATAGGCAGCAACTGCATCATTGTTGCAAAAGGTCAAACAAGTGTCAGGCGCATAGGAGAAGAAAGGCTATCCTCTCCACATTGGAAGCTGCTGTCTGACCACTCACCATGTAGCTATCTGCCTGCTGGGTGGTCGGCCGCCTCTCCAAGGCAGCCAACAAAGACTTGCTCACGACCCCATCCGCGCCGATGCATGCAGTTGTCGGGTGCATGCATGCGTCTCCCGGCACGGCCCGCAGCACCGTGATGTACTCCACTGCGATGCTGAACGGTACCAGCAGCTCGTCCAGATTGCTGCCTGGACAGGGAACAACACCTGCCTGACTCTTCTGTCACTGCTTGTATGCCCAAAGGACAAGTCCCAGCAATGCAAAGTAGCCTTGCCGACCAAACACCTTTCAACCGCTTTTCTCGCAAAACATTATGACCAAGGTGCAGGGTACGAGCTGGCAGGTGTTGTATTCAAAAGTCATCTCTGGCGCTCCTTGCAGAGCAGAGAAAGCTGCTCCCTCGGTGGCTCACTTAGTGCCTGTCTCGGCATGGCAGCCTTTCAACTATGCTGTGTGCTGCTTAGGAGCACAAGGGAGAGACTTCAAGGATTGGACAGCGCAGTCACCTGAGAGTGCGTCGCCACCGGCTTCGGCAGTCACAAGCAGCCAGCCGCCGGTCCCGACAAAGTGGTGCGCGCATGCAAGGTCTGCTTGGGTGAAGAGGTGGCGCGGGCAGGCGATGACTAACAGTGAGTAACCCTCCATTGGACAGGCCCCCAGCGACTGCTCCGCTTCCTCTAGGACCGTGAGTCTGAAATGGGACTTCAGCCTGCAACAGCGGATCACCTCAAATGGTGAAAATGTATCCCTCGTGGGTGCTCTCTGTGATTACAAGGGGTGCCTGTGTTGGGCCTTGTGGCAGGCTGGGAAGAGCTCAGATCGAATCCAACAGGTTGCGTTGAAGATGTGGCGATGAAAGCCAGCAGATTACAGTTATACACATGACAAATTGTGCTTGAGAAGCGCACCTTTTTATAAGCTGCTTGTAGCCTGACTTCTTGGGCTTTGATATGTGGCCGAATCCACAACACAACAGGGCCCTGGGACGAGATTGCTGCTGCGACTCGGCAAACTCACTGTTTGTAGATATTGCAGTGTCGGGGCGTCCAGTGTCGTAGCGTCCATCGCGGTTTGTGGACATCAGATCAGCCTGACTCACCATACTTGTGATCCATCCCACGAGTTCAGGTAGGATTCTCGAGATTCTTCTACTGCTGAAAACTGCACCTATTTCGAATATTATGTGCAACTATGTCAGACGATCTCCTGTGTTCCTTCCGAAGTTGACAGCACAGATCAGATCAATAGATGCCTTGCCAAAATCAACCGAGGCATTCTTAAAAAAGGACGTTTTGCTGGAGAACATCGACAATCTTTTGAATAGTTGCGAAGGAAATCTTGAGGAAGAATGAACGCCAAACCTCCACCAGTGTGACCGCAATCGCAACCTCGGGCGTTACGATGACACGTGGCACCACGTCAGCAACTAATGCTTTTGTGCATCATCGTGATCGCCTTCAAAGTACAGCGACAGCCATCAGAAATTGAACATTACAGAACAAGACTAATAGGATGCATCAAACAGAATCTGTAAAAACGATGTCTAAGAAGTTCAGGACAACGGATAAACCTCATAGATAGTAGCAAACAACAGAAGGACAGTCTGAAGCTGAAGACATGGCGAGGCATTGGTTTTTAACAAGGCACAGAAACCAATATCTCTTCGTGCCAAATCTCATCGGTATCTCGCTGCCCAATCGCTCACACAGCGGGCCTTGACAACTTGCTTGTGGTTGAGATGTTCTGAGCTGTGCACTTTTCTAGGCACAGCAAGGAGTTGAGCAACACCGTTCTCATATTGCTACATTCATCAATTAATGCACATCCCACCATAATCATGTTGTGCAGGCTATGCGAGGATATTGAGCGCTCTGTGCGCCTTTGCCATTGCGCTGCGCAGCCCAACTCTCTGCGTTGTCTTCTATTTCTTTGGGTGAGGATACGCCTGTTGCTTGCCTCAGCAACCATTGCTGCTGTCCCATGCACTGTATGTCCCAGCAGTGATGAGCATTTTCCTTCAACCTGGTCCGTTGCGCAGGTTTGTGTGCGATGAGTTGGATGGGAGGTTTGCGCGCATGCTCAACCAATCCACCATGCTGGGCCAGGTGCTGGACATGGTTACAGACAGGCAAGCCCTCGATTCACCCTCTCAGCACTGAGTAAGCATGTGAAGGCCTTGCAGTGTGCTGCATTTTCGCCCAAGGGCAATATGCCGGCATGATGTCCTCTGCAGTCAATGTTAATGCGCACAAGCCGCATGCAGATCACTGTCATTTGATCTGGGAACCTGTGCACCGCCCCCCTACAACCCTGACAATATTGGCAATTCCTAATGGGGGGTTATTTCCAAGCTGACTATGCTGCTTGACGCTGTGTGCGGGTGCCTGCCGTGATTATTTTTGCAATCCTGTGTTTGAAGGCAGGCTTGCTGTGGGATGCTGCTTCACCTCTGCGAAGAAATCTTGGCCCTACCACAAGCCATTATGCGCATTACTCGGCGCACCTTACCAAAATTGTGCGAGTGGTTTTTTCTTTATAAAAGTATCAAACCAAGCTCTTTGGGGTGTGAGCAGGCTGTCCACGGCGGGGCTGCTGGCGATCCTGGGCATGCTGAGCCCGAGGTGGTACTTTGGGTTTCTGGCGCTGCTGATGCTGGACATATTCAGCCACTGGTTCCAGATGTACGCCACCATGGCCTCAGGCGCCTCCACCCACAAGGTGGGTGGATCCTTGCTGCTGTAGACCTCCACGCGTTACAATTCCCGAGAAGTCACGTGAGGCCTTGGGATTTAGAGGACGGGGAGTTGCCGCAGCTAAGTAGCAGCATTAAGGCTTCTCTCTCACGTATTTGCAATGTGCAGCACGCAAAATCGAAACTCTTAGCATCGCCTGGCAGCTTGCCGGGACAAGTTGCATATCTTTGGATATCTAGTCATCATCATGCTTGCTGCTTTGCAAATGAGTGTGTCTGGTGGGCGGCAGGCTCGGGTAGCTTTTCCTTGCTGGGTGTCTGCGGCCTAGTTGTGACCCTGCCAATATTTTGCCCAATTGAACTATGTTCTTTACACTGTTGGGCAGGCCACGGACAGCCGCAGCGCTGTGGTGCGATTTTACTACAGGCAGCGCCTGTTCATGGGTTTCTGCTGCGTGTGCTGCGAGATCCTGTACCTCTCGCTCTACCTGCTTCATTTCCCCGGCTACCAGCGCGCGCCCCTTGTGCCCCTGCACCTGCCGGCAGCTGTCCGCACGCATCTCAACGGTGCGCGCACCCCTGAAAGCCCACTGGATTAGGGGTTTGCACTATCGAGGTACTTGTTATGCTTTGCCAGTGAAGGCTATGTCCAGATTGGAGATTCTGCTATCGGGTCTTGCAGTCGGCCTGTGCAGGTATCATGCCTGTATTCCGCTGTCTCTGTATTGCTCTGTCTCCTGAGGGGAGCGATCAAGGCAGCTTAACAAGAGCTCTGGTGGTTCGCATCGCAAGGGTGGTTGCTTGTGTGACTATTGTTTATCTGAATGTTACTCGCAACATGTCTGCCGGCAGTGCCCAGACTGCCCTTAACACCAATGAGCCCCAGGTGGCTCCCAACAGTCTTTACAAAGTGGTAGGTGGAACAGTGCTTGGCTGACGTGGCGCCTGATGTGGCTGCAGGCAGCGTGGCGCAGGCGGAGAGCGTTCCCTTGGCGGCAGTGGTGGCAGTCCTAGCAGTGCCGGGCTTTGTGATCAAGCAGTTTATCAACTGCGTGCAGCTGCGCTCAGCCATGCAGCTGCTGGTGGCGACCGACAGGGACCAGGACAGCCGCAGCAAAAAGAAGACACAGGAGGCGCTTGATGCCCTGTCAAAGATGCAGTGACAGTGTGCTGTTTGTTGTGGGGGATTATTTGTGACTTTATGTAATCAGCCACATTACATGAAATGTTGGCAGGCATTGACAGCAAGCTGCAACAGACAGGGACTCTACTAACCCCTGTGTTGGCCGGCACCATGTGATCTATATCTCTCTGGTTTGTGGGGGTTCTTTTCTGGGTGCCAGTGTGACTGGGCACATGCGCAGCAATTGGCAGAAAATGAAGCTGACTCTATGTGTATGCTGAGGCTGTGTGCTGTACATCGGCAGGGCAAACATAGGCATTAAGTGCAATGTAGCGTTGGTGTCTGTATGCAACAGGCTTCGAGGGCCTGTGCTGTGTGAACGTAGAGGCGTGACTGTTGCTTTCCAGTTTCTTGTGATTATGGCAGCATTGAGAGATTTGTGTGAGAGCTGGTCAACCGTAGCACTGATGAAGACTTGAAGAATTCTATTTGACTCGTACGTGCAGTTTTCATTCAGCAATCCACTGTATGGAAATTTGTTTGCTCTCATGAATTACAATGTACCCGAAAGCCTGGTACTTGTGATGCTTTGGATCACGAACCCAAAACTCCCTCTCGTGGACATGGCAGCAACCCGAGCTTCCCGTCTTGGATGAAGGCAAAATTATTACTGCATGCATAAAGTTGGATTGTGTAGGTAAGTCTAAGCAAGAAGCTTACGAAGGGGTCCAGATCCCTCAAAGCAGATATTTCGGCACCCACAGGCTCCACTGCGCAGCACGATAATGAAGGCCCCTGCTCTATCCTTTGACAATAGGGATTCGTTGACTAATATAATCTCCGAAACTGTTCAAGTGCAATCTTTTGCAACAACTGGCACTTTTCCTCTGGTTGTAGGTTTCGAAACGCCAGGTGGCGCGCCATAATCGCAGAAGTCCGGGACGTCTTAACAATTTCCGACACCATTTACTTTGAACAGGGTGCAAATCGATAAAGGAGATACCCACTCAAGTGTCTAAGATTTGAGTAGCCTCTGACTGCCTAAGACGAGCTCGCCAAGCTTCTGTCGTTGCCGAATGCACCGAGAAGTAGCAGTGTGACGGACAGTGAGCTCCGAGACTACCCTTGGCCTGATAAAGTCGAGTCCATTTCTCGGAGATTTCTCATTTCTTAGACAGATTGCTCCGGGAAGTATTCGGCTGTTAATCAAACAGCGAAGACACATCGTTCCTCGGCGGGCGATCTATGATGAAGGTGCGATCGCCTACCCAACTTCTTGAGCCTGCATATATCATGTTGAGTACCTGCATGGATAGGCAAGTTTTCCAGGTCTTAATGGAAAACGCACAGTATATTGAAGCTTCCAGCAGGAGTTTCCTCCAACCTCAAGTGAGGCATGACAGAAAATACGCAAGACGTGCTGACAGAATACCTTTCGTGTAGCCGCAGGATCTCGGTGTCGTGCGATGGAAGATACATCATTCAACAGTACTACTGTTGGCGATCATTGGAATGGCTTGCTTAAGGTCAGCTACTGGCGCTCGAATCCTGCAGCAGTCTCCCGCTCTTGTGGACGATGGCTCTTCCCAAGATGTTGTCTTACCCAGCGACAGCACAACGAAGGTAACCAGAACCTCTACACACCTCCTCCCGACGAATACCGCATAAATTCCAGTACCATTAGTGCCTGACCTTGCATGCTCAGATTTGGGTACTGTAGGGAGGTAGACAGTCGAAAAATGGTCATCAGAGAGCTTCTGGCTGCAGCTAACTGTCTCAAACATCTGCACAGGCCGCTGCTCCTGAGGCGGCAGCTGCTAGCGGGAATTCGCCAGCGCCAGTCAGGGCAAGATGGGCCAGCAGCGTCACACAGGCCAATGATGAAGGTACCTCCCCTGACCTGCAAAGGGATTAAAAACCCGAGCCAGCACGATATTCCTACATCCCACACCAAGAACCCGCAGAAGCTGTCTCCTGGTTTTTGCTTGCTTAATGCTTGAAGGAAGATGACTAAGGCACGGGCGGCAGCATGCCGGCTCCTGATGGCTGCTTGTTTGTTTGCCCAATGCTGCCCTCATTATAATTTGTAACTACTGAGGCTAAGGGCTTTCTGCAAGGGGTCGCACTGTTGCTTGTGTTGCCCTGCTCGGAAGGGCGAGCACATTCACTCCAATGGGTCAAGTTGAGGCATTGTGCATATTCCATGCGTTTCCGACAGCTGACTGGAACTTGCGGGTGCTCAGGAACAGGTGAGCCGGCCGCTGCGCCGAGGGCAGGCCTGTCCTGGGCAAACCAAGTCCGCGCGTTGCCTCCCGCCTACCAGGAAATCGGCGCACAAATTGTCAGCCAGACTCTCGGCCCCTCTGCCGACATCCCCGCAGCCGCAAACACCGAGTCCGTTATGGCTGTGCCCGAGCCCGTAGAGGACCCCGCCGCGGCGCCGGCGGGAGCGCCGGCGGCCACAGACCCGACCGCAGCGGCGGCGGCGCCCGTAACGGACCCGGCGGCCGCAAGTACGGTCCCGGAAGCGACGTTCGCGCCAACGCCGGTGCCGACGCCGCAGCCGACGTTTGCTCCGACGCGCACGCCGGCTGCTGAGGCCGGGCCGGTGGCAACGGCGCTTCCTGCGCTCGTGCCTGTTGAGGCTCCCGCCCTGGTGCGCTCTCTGGTCTGAACCAGAGTCTGAACTCTGGTCTGTTCTAATTCTGCGTGAAGCAGAAAGAGGAGAATATGTGCCCTACGGGGCAGCTGTATCCAGAGACTAATGCCTGAGCTGCATGTAGGAAATCCCCATCTGGCAGCTAGAAAGCATTGCTGCTTTGCAGTGACAAGTACTGCAGGAAGTGTGAGTTGGAAATGCGACGAAAACAAGGTAGGAGTCCTTTACTGAATTTTGCAAATGCATGTGCGCAGGTGCCAGCACCTGAGGAGGGCAGCGGGGCTGACACGCTGATAGTTGGGACGGCTCTTGCGCCGATCACGTCACCTGCACCGAGGACCGCCTCCTCGTCGCTGCAGTGCTCTGACAGCGGCTCTAACAACTGTGCGCCCCCCATCTTCTTCATAGTGCCCTGTAGAATACGTTTCTTACCATCCCTGCTGTGGTTGCATAGTACAGAGTGCTCAAAGTACAGGGCAGGCTGGTGCCTCAAGGTGTACTAATTCACATGATTGCCTGTCAATCCTTCTCGTGCGATTGTAAAGCTTTTGCGGCCTACCCCTTGCCTTGAGAATCCACTGGAGACCATTCCTGTGCTTGGCCAGTCCTGCTGACCCCACTAACATAAATATGTGCAGGATGAAGTTACCTCAGGTGCAGATCAGCTGTGCTAACATGTATACTTTTTCTGTGGTGTGCAGCGTTGGCGCTGAGTATCTGCAAGTTCATAACCGGCATTCTGCCGGCGGCAACGCGGCAGCAGATGTGCAGCCGCTATTTGCCCAAGTGTCCTCCGGCGGAGGACCCTCCAATATCCGCCACCGGACTGACAGCGACGGGGGATGCGGTACCCCCGGCGGTGGCGGCCCCGGCGCCGGCCCCAGCCGCGGACACCCCGGCAGCCGCCACTGCGGGGGGGACCCCGTCCATCTTCGGGCTGCCGATCCCCCCGCTCGGGGATCTGTTGGGGGGCCTTGCGCAGGGCTTTACGGGCATTGCATCGCCCACGGCAGCAGATGTGTCCTCTGCAGCGCCGCCGGCTGCACCGGTGACTGCTGTAGCTGGATAGACTTCATAGATCAAAGCAGATAGGGGGTTGAGGGATAAATCTTTGGGGTTCAGGGTGAAGGAAGTCCAGTGGTGGGGTGTGGATTAAATGCTTGAGACGGTACAAATGAATGTGACCTGACAGATATGTGACATAGATTCAGTACTGGAAACATGTAGAGTAGGTGAAAGAGCAGCTCCAGACTTTCAGATTTGATGCAAGGAATGTAGTTTGCTTGTAATTTAGTCACGTGCAGGTCCAGGTTATTAGCCATTCGTAAATAAGTTGAGGTTGACCCTAAAGGGAGTGATATGCGATTCAGACAAATCGACAGTCAATGCCTGATTTGGAAACGAACGAATTCTTTTCTACGCAAGCTGGTTGAGCAGACCTGTTAAAATGATTCCTGACATCGGCTGCTCTCCTGCTTTTGACACAGCGGGACGAGAATAATCAAACCTTTAACGATGGCAGTCAAACCAAAACGTGGGGGTAAAGAGACAAGATCCAAATGTTTTGCGGATGACATTATGGTGTTCCTCATCTCTCTAAGGGATGCAATCTGCTGTTTGCTGTTTTCGACGTCAAGAAGGGCAGCAAAATCGTACAGCAGCCGCAGAACGTCGGAAGTATTATGCGCAGGTATGGCGGAGATTGGTGAAATCATTTAATCTCATCTCCTCACACCCTCACTTTGAACAGATGGAGGAAAAACACCAACCAAATATTTGCACAGTGTCCAGATTGAGCATTGGCATCTTGTCACATGGACATCGGTGAAAAAAGCCTGCTTGATTGCAGAAGGTGTGGAGCAAAGGGCCAGACCAAAGGCAGAAGCACCAGCCGCTGAAATCCGCCAGAGCGTCAATGCCCCAGCACCTTTGCCTCAGTTGCCGCCAGATGCCTGGGGCATGATTCAGCGCCACGCGCCGGACTCAGAAGACTGGGCAGCCGCTCAGGAGGCCTGCATTTCTATCTGCTGTGCGCCAATCACAGCTCTGCATGTGAGCGTTCTGATCTCTTCTGCATTTCCTTTTTCGAAGAAAAGACCCCACCAATGTACACATTATACGGTACCTCCAAACAAGCACTAACAAGAAGCAGAGCCTGTCTCAAAGAACCAGGTCCGAGACTACTCGTACACCTATTGATCGGGTTGTTGGAGCTGGCCCCGGCTGGCACCGGGGTGAAATCCTAACCATCGTGCCCACAATTGGGGTCTTGCTTGGATCTGGCGAGTCCAACAACGGTTAGGATTGTGGCATCCTTTAGGTGCAGCTTGTTTGTAGGACGCACCTTGCCTTTTGGCAGGAAAACGTGATATAATAATTACAAATTCTGCTGTTTCCAGGTGTACTTGGATGTGCCCGGCGAGCTGCCCTGGGCTGCCCGGAGGTGGGCAGATGTGGAAACGCTGTCACTCTGTTCCCCGCACAACAAGATGCACAAAGAGACACAGGCAACATTGGATAGCTCAGACCCCAACGAGGTGCAGCCCCTGACGAAGCTGACTCAGCTGGAGATAAGCACAGGGGACGACTCCGATGACGATAATGACGTGGCAGATATCTTGAAGTTTGTCTTAAAGAGGGCACCGAATATTAGCCTGTTGCACCTTGAGGCATGGGGTCTCGAGAATGTCGACCGCGGTATGAGCATGCCGGAAATCTCTGGGGTCAAACACTTGGTATTGTCAACTCGCTACTGGCTGGAGGATGCACTTTGTGCATCTCTGCAGAATCTCTGCAGCTTGGAAACGCTTTGCATAGGAAACAATTTCACTGACAAGGATTTGGCGGTAGTCCCTTCCCTCAATCTCAGTTGCCTTAAGGCTTTGTACGCAGTTGCTTTGGAGAATGCTCACCTCAAAGTGTTCAGGGCAACCAACTGCTTACTTGAGTACAAATGTGATGGCAGCAGGTTGCAAGTGAGAGGGGTTCAGGGAAGTGCGTCTGCCTTGTACAATCACATAGAGGAGATATCAGACACAGATCCAACTTTCATTCTCTTCATGTACACTGTTATTCCGCCGCATAACCTGACACTTGTCGATCTGCGAGACAATTACTATCCAGATCCAGAAAGACGGTGGTGGTGCCTTCTGCCAAAGCTTTTCCAATTCTGTTTCGGTGCTGAGTACATGAATCTTGCGGTGCTCATGTTGGAGACTGCAAAATCTGCCATTCTGCTTGATCTACAAGTTTTGCCAAGTCTGACCATTCTTGTGCTTGATACGGATGGAGAGCTTCGCCTGCATTGCAGTTCCCATGTGGGATTAGCGCGGACTCTGACCAAATTGTTGCTGAGGTGGAGAAGCTGCAATTGCGGTGCATGGAATCTGGTGAAAGCCATGCAAGCGCAGGGCAAGGCTTGCCAAGTTGGGGAGCTTGATAAGGGAAGGACAGAGTGGATGTATCCAGAAGGCGCCTGCAGTGAGACTGACTTGAGGGCGTGCACGTGCCGGGCATGCAAAGAGTGTCTCATCAGGGAAGGAAAATGGAGGATCACCTGAAGGATATTGCAATAGAGATCCCAGCCAATTTTACAAGGCCTCAATGTTAGTGTGATTTGCTGGGTTGATTTGGAAGATCTTCTGGTCTAGGATTTGGTGACTCCAGTGTTAGTTGTATGTTGTATTTATATATAAAACCTGAACCCTGAAAGATTATGGCTTGTAAGATTTCTTCCATCGTGATGCGCCCAAACTTGTCTCAAAACAGACAAGACTGCAGAGAAAGCTTGACATGTGCTCTTTGAAAGCACCAAACGGACAAGGTAATGGTGTTGATGTGAGATCTGTTGAAAGAGGGATGCTGGTGTCGACATCACTCAAGAGACGAACGCCCTCTGGCAGAATGCCAGCACGTGCCTGCCTCAGGTGATCATCCCAGCAGAAGTCGATCGCAACAGAGGAAGGGATTTCCTTGCCGGCTGCTTTCAGTGAGTAAAAATGAGTCGACACCTGATCTTTCATTGAATCACCAAATACCTGGAGGCTAGCCATGATCGCTTTTATCATCGAATGGACTGCCATAGCGTTTTCGATTTGCCTGCTGTATTATGCGACGCTAAAACTTGCGATGGAAGTCATCCTCGATATCCTAGGTCTAGAGCGCTGCAGTCTTGACAGGCCGCGAAAAGGTCGCCAATTTCACAATACGCCTAGCGCAGGTTTGCCAAAAATCTCAGCGCTGGGGAATGGCATCGCCATTTCTTGATTTTATCCTCTGTATGCACAGTGCCAGCCTTCTGTTGTGTGATCGAAGGCTGAAAGATACTCATTTCGAAACGTCCTTTGCGCTCCTTGTACTACGAACAGAGGTGCTTGACACATACATTGCTGTGACTGCAGCCATAGCAGTGCGAAATGCCAGACAGAACCTGGAAGCACCAGGAGCTGCAAACAGCTGCCTGCTTGAATCGCCATCGCCTGCAGCTCAGCTGCCGCCTGAGATCTGGGGCACTATACAGCGTTATGTCATTGATGCCGAGGATTGGGCGTGCGCACAGAACGCCTGTACTTCTAGCTTTGATGCGCCAGTAACAGCTCTGCAGGTCACTTCTTGACACCTGTGCATGCCTTTAATGCCTTGCAAATGATCGTTTCCCATTGCTGACAAGCTTTGCTGAGTATCTTTCTTGTGCCAGCGCTTGATGTCGAATATATCAGTGCTTTGGGAATCAAAGCACAAGTGGGAGCCACAAAACCTCATGGTTTCATTCCAGCAAGCCGAACAAGAGGGGGTGGGGGCATTGCTGCCCCACAGAGTGGTTGATCAGGGATGCCTTGTTGGAGGGAAGCATCACTTTGTGATGCCAGGGTGAAAAGCTCACATGCGCACATGCTGCAGGTGTTTCTGGATGTTCCCGGTGAGCTCATATGGGCTGCCCAAAGATGGGCAGCTGTGGAGTCTCTGTCCATCAGCTGCAGTCGGCCCATTTCAGAGTGTGCTATGGCTGTCCTATCAGATCCCACTGCACTAGAGCCGTTGCCGGTTCTCAATGAGCTGGAGGTACTTATGATATACCCACACGAAGAGGAACACTTGAGGTCTCTTTTGGACGGCGTGTTAAGCAGAGCTCCAAGTGTGCGCACATTGAGCATCGATGCATTTGAAGTTTTGACCATGTCAAGGCTCTCTGATCTCAAGCATCTGATGGTCACAATCTGCCTGGATCTGCACAATATTTTCTGTGCCTCGTTGAAAGAGTTGTGCAGCCTGGAAACGCTATACATTGCCGATTCATTGCTGGAGGAAGAAGGGTGGATTGCGAGCATTGCTCACTTGGACCTGCAAATCTTGCCTGCCCTGTCTGCAGTGGTTATTGATAATCTCTGGAGAGAATCACTTAGGCCTCAGCTTCCGGGCGACTGCACACTGGACATTGTTTATGGGTGCTGCAGAACGAGATATAGATACCCTCAGACCCTTGAAGCTCACGCAGAATCCCATATTCTCCAGGAGAGCGGTCCGATTGTCAATATTGGGGGGTTTGCCATGCATGACCCTTCCGAAGTTGCTCTCATTGACTTTTGTGAGGATCCGGATGAGAGGAGGTCTGCTGCGGTGGAGCATTTCAGGCTGTGCTTCACGGCAGACTTTGTCAGCCTAAGGGAATTCTTCCTAGAGAGTGTCACTGTGCCCATTGTGCTGGAGCTGCAGTGTTTGCCCAAGCTAATTACTCTAGTGGCGAGAGCCGGTAGAAAGCTGCAGCTGGAATCGGCTTGCTTTAAGGGAGTAGCAAAAAAGCTGACCACTTTGCAGTTGTCTTGGGTCCATTGCAATATAGGGGTGAATGACCTGGTGAGAGCCATGAAGGCAAAGGGGAAAACATGCCTGTTCAAGAAACTGAAGAGAAGAAGAAAAGAAGTGGTGTATCCGGAAGGCGCATGCTTGGACAGGTGTCTGAGGCCGTGTACATGCAGGGCATGCAAGGAGTGCCTCGAAAGGGATGGAAACTGGCCATGGACGATTGCTTGAAATACTAAGCAAGCTCTGTGATGCTTGGCTCCAATTGGGATCCGCTGTTCTATTAGCTCTCGCATACAAGGAAATTTGCCTGGCTGACAAAGCATGCATGTCAGGGATACACCGCCGTTGTCCGTGACCTTGCCCTGAACATACCTGCCGCATCCACCCTGCAAGCCTTCTTGCACTCCTTCATGGCTTTTTGAAGCGCCCAGGTCTTATTATTGCATGACATCTATGACAGCCCTAATCTAGTGAGCCTCTGCGCTGTTGTCAAACAAGTAGTCAAGTTGAGTTTGTCCCCCGCCTACGCCACAAGGGTCGGCAGATCTTGCAAGTCTAGCACAATTGGTGATGTCATTGCCTCCAGAAAGATCTTCGGCATCCCTCAGCAGTGGAAAAATTTGCGACCACGCTTGAGGTGAACGTCCAGGGTCTACATGCCTTGTGTGCAATCGGTCTGGTCGGTTTTACGTTCTTGTTCACGGGAGAAAAGATGCCTTGGATTCACCACACGGTGAATGGCCAGAAAAATGCCTTGAGATCTGGCAAAGGCCAGATTACTGCGTATGACGATTGGGGGCAAGGGTACAATCCTGTAGCTCCTCTTGAGTTTGTCGGGGTGGGTGCATTCCGCATGACAAAGCCTTTGGAACCTGCTGCATGTGGACTACTGTGAGAGACCCGATAAACAAACGCCACATTACTTTGAGTTGTCCTTCACGCCTCAGTACGTCAACCTAGCGGAGATCCACTTAGAGACTGTCACATGCCCATTGTGCTGGACCTTCATAGCTGGCCTGAGTGGATTTGAGCTTTCTTGGAAACCAGTGTTGCAACAGCTGGCACGCCAACCAGGCTTGAGTTGTCCTGAGTTTTTGTAAGTTCTGGGCACAAGAAATTTCTAAATGGGGTGTGGGATCTTGTTGGAGGCATGCTGGCAGGCCTGCCGGGTCAGGAGGGGAAGACGGGAAGTGTGTTATCCGAGGGATGCGTGTTTTGACAGAGCGGCAAGGCCCTGCAGGTGCGCACGGCATGCCGTGCTTGCACGGAGTGCCTCATCAGGGAAGGGAAATGGGCCGTAATTTGAAGCTTGTGTCAGTGTCATGCAAGGCGGGTTTGGGCAATTGCATGTTATGCCAAGGGCTGTGATGTGATATGGGATGTGCAGAAACAAGAGGATTGAGATGAGCAGGGACAGCTGACAGAAGTGAAATTGGATCGAAAAGATTTCAAGAATGAGCCGCTTGCCTCGTGCATGACTGGCGCACACCGGTCTGCGAGCGAGACCCTCCACATGTGCTGAAAGCAGAGCATTCACCACGGCTGAGAAGAAGTATGTCCCTTCACACTCCCTAGCAGCTGAAAAAAGCCATGTCTGAGAGCGTTGCCAGAAAAAAGTCACAGAAGAGCAATCATTTTCCTGCAACCAGTGCATTCATCATGGCACCACACAACAATCAGCAGTCCAGCAACGCTGCTGGCTGGCTTGGTGTTCAAAAACTCCCAAGCGTGCTCAAACATCATGAATCCTTCTTCAGAAGAAGTCACAGAAGAGGACCCGTTCGCCGGCGACCCCTTCCGACGTCAAAGCGCGGCTGAGCGCCGCGGCCGCCTCTCCCGGCAGGCCGGCCACCAGTACGGTGCAGTCCCGCGGGTCCCCCCCTACAGACCCCATGAGTCCCCCCGGTCCCCCCAGCACCGCCCCGCGCACCGCCTCCTGCGCAGCCAAGGGAGATAGTGGAATCAGGGGTGACAACCTTAAATTGAGGTGATCACCCAATGTGATGCAAGGGAAGTTCACATATGATCCACTTGCAGCTCCTGCACACCTGCCTCCCGTGTGAGTACTTAGTAACAGAACGCCATTTTCCTCCCTAAACTAAGTTGCTGCGCACAATCCAAGGCTACTTTCTTACCAGTCCTTGTTGTCACACTCAGGCCGGCAGTGAGAAGGTAATTGCTAGGAAGAGAGGGCAGGAAGGAACAAGAGTATAAGCTGACTGCAGCTCACCCAGATGTCAGGCGCTGGGCTGCCGTTGCTGCCCTCTAAGTAAATAGGGTGCACTTGCACGCCGGCATCCCGCCACGAGTCCCTGCAATCGCGCACCAAATATCATCACAAGAACGATGCCCAGCACTTGCATTTCCCTGATAAAAAAACCCCACCTTGCCAAAGTTCTGCCAAAGTCCTGTATTGTGGGTTCCTACGGATGCCGTGAAAATAGAGCGCGCAGGCTGCAGAGTCTGGGAAGTGCTTCATCTGGCTCTCATTGACTTTGGCATCAACACAATTTACTACCATGGCGCCATTGTTGACGTTGTCAGCGAGTCTTGATGGCTCCTGGACAATCTTGCGCATGAACAAGTCATGCCAAAGGCTGCCACATATTGATCGGGGAGGCATTGCCACCGCAAACAAAGCATTCAGTGCTAACCAAAGTGGAGGCAGCAGTCGCAGCATAGCATGCTGGCTGTGACTTTCAAGGTCATCTAGACTATTTCAAGACCGACTCCAGATCAGGCTCGGTCATGCAGAGCACGCACCAGTCTTTGAGGTAGGCGGCGGACAGGGCAGAGGGAGCAAAGTAAAAAAGGGTGACCCGGCGCGCAGTGGAGTGGGCTTGAACCGGCGTCCACTCTATGGCCGCGCGCAACGGCGCGATCCCCCGGCAGCCGGCGCCAATTAGAAGCAGGTTCCGCGCGTCCTCCAGGCCGCTTAGTAATCCCACATAGCTGTTGAACAGCGAGGCAAATCTGCACCTCACAGCAGATTCATTACAGCAACTGCTTCATTCGTCTACAGCATATACAACGAGAGGTTCTTGCGACTGCTGTCAGATAATGCTGTGCACTTCCCGCCCACATGCGTGATGCCCTATATTGAACCGCAAAACATGCGCTCTACTAAACCACGAAAGCACTCAGTGCTCGCATAACGCAATTGTCTACTGCAGGAAGCGATCTGACGGGCCCTTTGAGCAACAAGAGTTTAATTGCACCCGCAGCCCACAATCTAAGCCCTAAACCCTTACACCCAAATAACAGGCTGCCTCAGGGAAATAAGGCTCACCCGCGCCCCATTACTTCGCTGACCTCGATGAGCGAACCGGGCCCCAGGCACGCCAGCCGCCGGTTGTCCTCACAGCCGTCCCGGTGCACCAGCAGCTGCGCAAGCCACCAACATACGTTACTCTACGTTACATACATTATTATTATTATTGTTATGATTACAGCGTCGGCAAACCCAAAGCCCGAAGGCCATAGGGCATACGCACAGAGTGTCTGCAGCCACATCTGTGGGGCTTGAAGGTCTTGGTCTGCAGCCCATATGGTATCATAGAAAAAGTCTAAGTCCAAGTGAGGCGTGCGTATTAAGGAACGTACCACCACCCCCACCACCAGACAATGCTACACAACACAGCAAGCAAATGCATATCATAGCATGACACGTACAATCAAGCAATCCCTGTCTCAGACCAGTATCCCTATACTTTATACGTTGCGTTACAATGAAAGTGATGCACAGAAACTCTTCGTTACAAGACACGCAGCCTCATCTCGCATTGCATGCCTCGGCTCTGCAGGCTGCGGGACGTGCTGAACGATGCTGTGGTCAGTGTGACAAATGCTCGGGCACTGCTGTAAGTACAGGCAGCAAAAGAAACCCAACACAGTGGATTACTGGATAACAAGTGAACGCCACGTGGTCTTTGCCAGGAACAAGCTGTACCAGAATGAGCCTTGACGGAGATCAATGCACAGCATCAGCTTTGGTAAGCTGAAGACTGTGCATAGGTCTTCGTCAGCGTGATCTGGGGTGCACCCGTTCCTGGCGCAGCCGCGGCCGGGGTTATCTTTCTTTAATCGCTCGATAAAAATGAGTTTATGCACACATGCATGTTGAGCGCTGCATGCCAGGGAAAGGCCTGCTAGGGACTGCACCATACTAGGTTTTTGGGTTTTTCTATTCTCTGGTTAGGCACCATGCATGCCGCACTGCCAGCAGGATAAGCTCGCTTGGGCACATCTCGATGATGGAGGCATGTGGAGAGTGCTGAATGCCAAGGGAGATGCCACCGCTTTTATTTATACTGTTAGCTAATCACATTGCAGTGGCGTGTCTCTGCACAAACAGAAAATTGCCGCTATTCGAGTTTTCCTCCTTGTTTTTCATTTTTTTGTCGAAAAGGCGCACCTCGATGATGGAGGCGTCCAGGTTGGCAGAGTCTCTCCTGGCGGAGTAGGGGGAGGAGGAGATGGCGAAAAGGGTGCGCGCCGTGGGCGGATCACCGGGCGGGTCGCCGTCCGAGCCGGCCGCTGGCGCGCTGGTGGACGGCCCATCGCCTGTTTAGGACAGAATGCGTCAATCTGAATTGCAGTAACAGCAGAGTCTCTGGCTGAACATTGTTTGGGCAGCCCGAAGGAGCCAAAATCCATAATACGTGCTCTTGCTGGCAGCGGCTGATTATTGCCAGTGTGCCCGAGCGCTCGGTGGTACTGTGGATATTGGACCGCTCTGGGAAGGTGCCCAACTGCCTTCTGCTGGATCTGGCCTAGCCACAGCTGCAGTAGAAGGCATTAGAACAGACCTATCCAGAGCGATTCGGAACACAGCCGCCGCTGAACAACCACAAAAAGGCACAAATGAACAAACTGCACATCAGAGGAATAGAATGCTTTTCTTGCACCATACATTGAGAGGATAGGACCGGAAAATGTGCAATCGCAACAAGCAGGATCCCCCAAGAGCGTTTGCGTGTCTTCTCCAGCCACAAAGGAGCCAATGATTGCGTTTTGGATTCTGCGCGTGGAGATCAAGAACAATGCAGAGGAGGACCTCCGGATCATGGCACGTTGTCTGCAGACCCCTAAATGGACCCAAGCCTGGGTCACCACCCAGAGGGGGCTTACCTTGCCCTTGCCTAGCGTTGGTAATGCAGGCTGGTATTGCATAATGACACACAAGGCTGGCGTGCAAAAGAGGGGCTGTCACACCTGCGTCGCAGGAGGCCGCGGCTGAGTCGGAGATGGGGTCTGGCGGGTAGCGGATGCCCACAAACTGTCCCGGCACCTTGTATGCATCCACCCACCGCGGCCCCTCCTGCCGCCGCCGCATCTTCCTGCACAGCAGCATCGCCCAGGACCTTCAATGTTTGAGTTTTCAGATCAAGGTTCAAGCCTGGGTACTGATGGGTACTGCCCGAGCGCCAGAGAAAGCTCGGAAGTTGTTGTCACGGCCTGCCCAAGTCCAAATGGAGCTTCATATTCAGATGCTGAGGAGCTCGAAACAACAACAAGATCACGGATAGACGAAGAGTAGAGACTTTGAATTCTTCAGGCCAGCGCCTACGTGCGGTGGGGGCCCAGAGAAATTTTGCCATCTGATCCGGGAAGTGAAGGAGGTTACACATGGGCTGTGCAACCAAGGTGTGGGGAGGATTTTGTCCCCAGCTGTATGTCAAGCCTGAGGCAGGACAAAGAGGGATGGCATGCCACCCAGTATTTTCAAATTAGGCCGGGCACCTGCCATCCAGGTAGTTGACATGGTCCTCCACGCTCAGCACCAGAGTCCGCATCTGCCCATCCGCTGACTCCGCCCTGCAGCAGATTCACACATGCATCTTGATTTTGTTTACTAATGCATCAAGGAGGTGCGCATGTCCTTGCTCAGATCATGCTTGTGTGCAGTGATGCTCAAGGACATCTGCCCAATCTCAAAGAGCTGCCGCTGCTGGCAGCTCTGCCTGTCGTCCCAAGAATGCCATTTCGAAAGTCTCAAGAGCATAACATCAACTTCTCTATCATACTTGTACAATAAGCATGGTGATCCTGCCACTTGTGAGCTCACTTGTTCTCTACCACTATGGCCCGTGCCCACTTCCTGTGTTCTTTGGCATCCTGGACGGCCGTGTTCAGCTCTCCTGTGAGGCTTCCAGGCGCTCCGTTCTCATTCCCCGCGCTGGCTGATGTCCTGACAGAAGAAGGAATTGCGAAGTTAAGCCGTATCCGCATAGGTCAGCAGATCAGAGATTCAGTGATGTTCTGTATTTTTTTTATGCATAAACTAAAGCCCCACATTTGTTGGGGCAACGTGGTGAACAGTGCTCACTGGCCGTTTTCATGAGGCAGGCAATCTGTACCTTGCAGTCTTAGAGCGCTTTGCCCAGCAGGTAGGAAATCTGTCTGATCGTCTAAAGCTTGCAAACTTCTTGAACACCCTTTCTCTGTGGATACCGGGTGCTAATGCACAGGGACCATGTCCATGAGTCTCGCTGACAAGCCCTTGTGACGAGGACGCACTGAGGCCCTTACCGTAAGACATCCTGCCTTTAATTTCACCACATTGTAGCAACCAGATATCAATTGTAATCGTCAGTCTGAGGGGTGCTGCACTCTGATGACGAGGATGCTTCCAGATCATGGTGCTGCCCATCCGGGCAAAGCGGGCAGGCAGCCGCTGCCCATTTCATGCATATGGGAGTCACATTTTGCTTATTGAAGTGTACATTTGTTCTCAGTGCATCGATAACCATTTTAGCCCTGCTGGTTGCAAATTCAAGTGACTTAAATTTACTCAAGTGAGCTCAGAGCAGGTGCAACTCTGGATCCAGAGGCCCACCAATATCCTTGAGCACTTCGTTGTGATTCACAGCTTATTCCCAACTTGCCAAGTCACAGCTCACTTCAAGTGCAATTGAACAGCTTGCGCCAGCCTTTGTGCAAAGAATTATGCAGATCAGAGATTGTAAACCCCTGCACTGACTAGCTTATAAGTATTTCCGACACCCAGAGGGCCTGATTCGCCATTAGCAGAGGCACATTGCAGGTGCTGCTACAAGCACACTGCGTTAAATCACAGAAGAAGAAGAATAACACACCCTGTGCTATCCAGCAGGCATATAAGAATCTACAGCAAGAAGTATGACTGCACACGCAACCCAAACATTTAAACATGTATGCATGTTCATACATGTCCAACTGCTACAGCAACAAATACTGCTACAAAAGCAGTGCATTTAGACTTGAGGCACCCCTTTGTTGTTACACCTTCCGCTCGCTCTCTGCCTTGATGTCTGCATTCCTCTCTCTCGCTCTCTCTCTTCATAAAGTAATGCTATGCTATGCAACCTGGCTGGCGGGGGGGCGGTATAAATCCTGAGCACCGTGGCCACAGTTGCTTGGGTCTTGCTCGACTCTGGCAAGGCCATCTGGGGGTGGGATATTCGGCAGCCTTCACCTGCAGCTTGCATGCGGACACACCTTGCCTCTGGCAGGTAATGCGTACAATAGCAATAATAATGAGTGCTGCTATCGCCGGGCGGAAGGCGCGGCTCGGAAGAGCATTTCGCGCAGAGCGTCCGTGAGTCGTCCCTGCTGCCATCCCATCAGCCGCCGCACTGCTTCCGGGTTCTGCCTCGAGTCCATCATGCTCACCCGCCGCATCTGCGCAGCACAAGCAGGCAGCCCAACATCAGCCCCACATAAGCATAATTACTACGTACCAATTTGCCTTGACTGCCATTTGTCCACGACACGGTTTGCCACAACTCTGCTACGGATGGTTGGACGGAGACAAGCTGCTTGAGATGCAGCTCATGTCCAGCTCAGCTAATGAGGTGGCGAGAAGTCCTCAAGCAAGTCAGAAGCCCACAAAAGCCAAATCAATGCTGCAGCTGTGGCAACTTGTTCTCAAGAGTGCAAGCTACTCTCTACAATCTGCAGAAAAGGGCCGCTACCATGATCGAGACACTGCGATAGCCAAGCACCTAGGAAGCTGTTGAACCTGTGATCCTACACTTCTACCGTGGCAGGGCTGACAAGCTTCTCCCTTCTGCAATTGTTGCCATGTCTGTCTACCGTAGTCAGCACCAAATTTGCCGCATAAAAAAGGGTCGAAAATAAAGACCTTAAATGTAAAATATATACCTTATGACAAATTTACGACCAATTTATGGAAGCTCTCGCTGAGCCCCACCCAATGGTGATGATATCAAAACCGTTTTATGGAAGGAAAGATTTTTAAAAAAGAAGTCCAACATTTCACGCATTTTGAGGTGCTGGAAAATGGTGCTGACTACGGTATCTCCTTGCTGACACGCCAAGGAAAGGTACGGTGGCATGCACATGTTTTTTGCCCGACCTCACCTGCGCGCCGCCGACGAAAAACACGAAGCACGGAACAGCTCGGACTCCATAGAGCGCCGCAACGTCCGTAAGATCGTCAAAGTCGTCGCGAATGTTGTGCTTCAGGAATCGCACTCCCGCCTGCTGCCCGTTCGCCTGCGCATTCAAATTCAAATCTGGATTTGCGAGAGATGATAGATCAGAGCTTTGCATTTGCAGCCCGCCAGTGCTTCTCACTTAACATTCTGTCAAGGTAGGCTTATCCTGCACCTATAGGGAGCTACCATGGCGCATCACCATATAGGCAGCTAGGAACAGTATACTGCAAGACAGCAGTCAGCTTGTTGCAATCGAGGTGCATTCAGGCTGACAAGGATGTAGTGGGAAGGCAGGCTCACGTCTCGGCACATGGCAGCATAGTGCTTCAGCATCTCCTTGCAGGTCCCACAAGACTGCGCATCACACAATTCTCGTTAAGTGCGCCCGGGCCGTTTGATTGTTCTTGTATTGTTGATGCATCATGTGCATTTGCATGGCAGCCCTTCCTCTCATCTCTGGCGCTCGCTCTATCACGCTGTCTGCATTCCCCTTCCTCTATATCTACAAGTTGTCCTTGCCGTTGAGCACAGAGTCAGCAGCAAGCTATCACGCTGTCTGCATTCCCCTTTTTCTATTTCTACAAGTTGTCCTTGCTGTTGAGTGCAGAGTCAGCAGTCAGCAGTAATTTCTTACAGAGATGGCACAGATCAGGAAGTGCCCTTCACACATTGGCTTGCAGATACTCCATGCAAAATCATCTGCAACTCACTGCTAACCCTGAAACTCCCTGACACAGTATTCCAAGTGCGGTAAAGGGTGCTCACCCGGCTGTAGAAGGCCACGACTACTACTGAGCTGGCAGCTGAGTCTATGACTCGATCCAGGTGGCGCAGGCTCCTCAGCTCTGTGATACACTCCACAGAGCAACAACCATCCTCCTCTGCCTTTAACAGTGCCTCTTCCATCTGCAGCAGATCAGGAGTCCACTCCATTTGCCATAATACGGACTTTTCCGGCAGGAGAGCTCAATTTAACATGTATCACAGAGGTACAAGTCCAAGGCTGTGCAAGGTGGAGCTAAACAAGAAGGAAACTATGAAAAGCCAGATCTGGTCAGGCATAGAAATAGTGTACCTGCTGTCGTCGCCATGCAAGCTCGAAGTGTTGCTTCCTGTCGATGTGCAGGGCTTGAACTTGTAGTTGTCTGGGTGCCTGCTTCCTCCTTCCCAAGCTAGGTGTGTTCGGTCTCGTCGGCTGCATGCGTTCAAGGATTGTCAGGCATCATATTTTCTACGATGATCAATAGAATTACATGATCTCGAAATGGCAGCAGCAGAATAGTAGCTGCCAGGAAAAGGGTAGGGCGATTATCACACTTACGCAACGGGCTGGTAGGAAGTGGGACAAGGACGTCAACGCGCTGGATTGATTGCAGACAAAATGGTCTCGTAAGCCTCCTGAATACATTGTTGATCTTGAGGGAGAGTCCAAAGTCACGTCAGCAAAAGGAAGCAGCCTCTGAATCTTTCTGTTCACCCTGCTCCAATTCAAGTTTTCAAACAATTGCGATGAATTCCATACTCTAATAATTTTAATCTTGGGCACGTTTTAACCTGCAAGAGAGGCTGGAACGTCTGCAAATGCCTTCGAATATCAAGGTTCTGTATCTTTGCACGCGTGGCTCGGTGACGTCACAGGGCACCAATGCCTTCGAGTGCATCTTGCTTTCAACAATTTCAAGGATCTAAACCTTATTTTCTAAATCTAATACTTGGATATTCAATTTATTTGTGACCTTAGTGCTCAACTAAAGTTGGGCCCTTGCTTTTCATTCTTGGACATGAACGTTTCCAGCGTTCTGTTTAGCGAGTGTACTTGCGATCTTACATGCAATATTCCAAAGCATACATTAAAAAGTTCCGTTTTTCAGCGATGCGTAAGTGCCAAACAGGAAAGGTGCTTTCGCAGATATAAGCCCTTGAGACATGCCAAACGCCATTGCCTACCAGCACTGGCCGCTTCCACGACAGGGACATCGCCGGCAGGGCGAATAAAGGAGGAGAAAGAAATAGCAGAGGCTTTAGTACAGGCCGATTTGCCCTACACCACACATAGCTGGCAATGGAGAGGGCACAAAGTGAACTATGCGGTGCGCATCCCACCTCCCAACAAGTTTTCTCCATGTTCCTATCAGTCAGTTTCTTATCCAAATTTGTTCATTCTCTGCTTTTGCCTCACATTCCTCATCACTCCGTGCTCACGGACAGCACGACGTGTGCATTTCAAGCCCCTCAGAAAATCGCAGCTCAATTTCACAATACAAGTTGGCAGAGATGTTGCGGCGCAGGTGGCAGGCTGTGGTCCGCCAGTGGTCCTGGTTCACGGCTTTGGGGCGTCCATCGGCCACTACAGAAAAAATATCCCGGCGCTGGCAAAACACTACAAGGTGGAGGCACTCAATTGCATTCCAAGAATCACACCCCTGGCTGAATCCCCTGATCTGATCTGAACATCAGCAAATTGCCAAGATGGGGCTTTCAGGCTTGCCCAGAAAGCTAGAATAGCAAAGAGCAAAGGCACAGTCGCCTCACAAGCCATTGCTAGGAAAACAGGGAGAACAATGTCAGAGGCTGAAGAGATGTTTTTCAAAGGTGTACGTGATTAATCTACTGGATTTCTGTGCAAACGACAAGCCTCTGACCAGGAACCTAGCTAAGAGCGCACCTTCTGGGTGCTGCAGAAGATAAACACCCTTCACAAGAGTAGATCCTTGATCATTAAATACACTTATGATTTTTGCTGCAGGTGTATGCGATCGATCTGCTGGGCTTTGGGGCGAGCGACAAGCCGCCGCTTGCATACTCGACCGAGCTTTGGCGCGACCAGCTGCTGGACTTCTTGCAGGAGTTTATCGATGAGCCAGCCGTGCTCGTGGGCAATTCCATCGGCAGCCTGATCGGCCTCATGGTGCGCGCAGCAATTGACGTGTTTCCTGGTATGCGGGAGTCAAACTGAATCTCAGGAATTGTTTTGGGATTCCCTCATTTTAGGATTTGGATTTTGGATTCAAATTCAAAATCCTACCCTACAGCCCTCGCATGAGCATGCAGCAGCAGTGGTGCGCACGGCAAACGTCCCACTGCTGTGCGCGAGTGAGCAAAAAGTGATATTAGGGTTTGTATTCTGGGTTCAAAATCAAAATTCCCAACCCAAAGCCCTTGCATGAGCACGCGGCAGCGGTGGTGCGCGGCCTAATCAGCCTCATGGTGCGCGCAAGAAATGACCGGCCTCCGGCCCACTGCCCAGCGGGAGTGAGCAAAACTGATTGGCAAGGTTTTTTTTTGGGCTCAAATTCAAAGTTCCCAACCCTAAAACCCTTGCATAAGCATCGAAAGGGAAGAAGGAAATGCATAGCCTCATTTGCGTCTGTTGGTAGTGCCGCGTATGCATGCTTGGCCGATGATAGAGTTCAAGGCAAGGAGAGGCAGCTGTAAGCGATGGGCGAAGCGTGTGCGTGTTATAAGGTCGTTGTCAAGGCACAGGAAGTATCAGTGGGGCCAGCAGTGCAATGAGGGTGCAAAGAGCGGTGCAAGGCTTGTTCGTGCCTTGAACACCAGCTTGGTCTATTTTACGCTCCTGTGTTTGCCAATGATGCGCTCTTTCCCGGGCCAGATGGAAATAGCACATACAGTTGTTATGTTGCCATTGGTAAAGGGTTTGAGATTTAGTGAACGTGCAGCAGTGTTGTTGCGCATGCTTGCAGATCCTCCAGAAATCGTTGATGGACCTTTGCTTCACATGCTGGCCAGGAATCGCGTCTGGTGTTTGCCAAAGATCCAGCTTTTTTTTTCCGCAGGCCAATGCGGAAGGAGGGCCTGGCGTTGTCAGGGGGACGATCCTGCTCAACTGCGCCGGAGGAATGAACACAAAGGTAGTTGCCACATTCCAAAATTATCATACACCACCTCGCGCATGCACTGTATCACCTGTAATGAAGAGTACAGCTGTTTTAAATGGAGCAAAGACAGTGGCAAAGTTGTAATAACAGCTGCAGCAAGTGCAGTGCAGGGAATCAAGCTGCTAAGTCAGCTGTAATGGTTGCAGCAAAAGTAGTCTTGACATCAGTATTCCTGGGTTCTATCATGTAAGCTGCACTGCGCCGCTAGAATTGAAAGATAAGAGGTTAACAACCCCGGTGATTGCAGGGGTTGACGGACGATTGGCGCGTGCGGCTGGCGTTCCCTTTTTTTCTCCTGATCGATTTTTTGCTTTCGCGCCAGCGCATCGCGCGGTGGCTGTTTGACGGCTTCCGCACAAAGGAGAATTTGCGCAAAGCACTTATGGTGAGACCTGTTGACCCCTGTGGCTTCTCTATTTGTCTTTCTGCACGTCCTCTGAGAGCGTTTCATCGGTTGGTTGTATTATTATCACTACACGTTTTCCTGCCAAGAGGCAAGGTGCGTCCTGCAGACAAGGTGCACTTGAAGGCTGCCACAATCTCACTCCTTGTTGGACTTGCCAGATCCAAGCAACCGTGGGCAAAGGTGCTCAGTATTCATATCCCCCCCCCGCCAGCCCGGGGCCGATTGCCTGTGTGGATTATGTACGCCTTCGCCCATTGCGCTGGGGCTGGTGAAATCCAGTAGGCGCAGATGAGGCTAGCATGGCATGCATGGCTTGATGATTGTGTGCGCATGCACCGGATCATGGGAAGCAACAGGGCAGAATACGTCGAGGGGATGCAGCGCTCAGAACATGTTTTCAAGTTCAATTTTCAATTTCAATTTCTGATTTCAGATTCAATTTCTGTGCAGGCAGTCTATAAGAACCCAGAGACAGTGGATGACACGTTGGTGGACTTGTTTCACACTCCCTCTGGTGAGTGCGTGTGCTTACCATAGGCTTCAGCAACCAAAACCAGTCTCTTTGTAAAGTTAACACTGCCACTTATAATAGTAGCCTTGTGGCGCCCTTAGCATCGGTACCCATAGCATGACTTGCTCTTCTGCGCATTTTCTTTGCCGCTATAGCAACATGTTGCTTATGTCCGATGGATGAGTGAGCATCATGGCTTTGCTCTCAATAAATGCAAGGACAGCAATATTTTGGGTTGATGTTCCTTGATGATGGCACTTGAATCGCTCACTGGGAATGATTTTATTACTGTCGCATGTGCTGGCAGGTACCGAGGGCTGTCTTAACCACTGTGGCAAGTGCCGGCAAGGGTGAAGGGATGACTAAGCACTGTGGCATGTGCCGGCAGGGGCCGAGGGCGCGCTGGAGGCCTTCGTGTCGGTGATATCCGGACCCCCCGGTCCGAGGCCGGAGGCAATTTTTGACAATGTTGGGGGACCGCTGCTGCTGCTGTGGGGGGAGGAGGACACGGTAACGCCACTGGATGGTCCCGTGGCTAAATTTTTGAAAGCCGCGGTCGACAGCCGGCCCGACACAGAGTTTGTTGTGCTGCCAGGTGAGACCCCCACTGTCACTGTAGATCACATCTGGAAATTTTGGCATCCAGGGCTCTTTGCTTAGAAAGGAATTCTGAGAGTTCTGAGATAAAAAGACCGGATAAAAATTGAATCTTGTTGCTAGGCGCCGTTGTTCACTGCAGCTTGTTTCTGAGCCAACTGCCCGCATCCCTCATAAGCTTTTTTTTGTGTTTTAACAGCATTATAGCGACTACTTCCATGCATGCACTTTCCTTTCTGGTGTAGTACACTGGGATAACAAAATGCTGGAAGGAGTGAGTCAGCAAAGACATCTCTTACTCTCTACGAATAACAGGGCGTAGATTGCCCGGGCGAGGTTTAGCCGGATCCACCCCTTTCGGCCAGACAGCGGCCAAGTGCCAAATGGCCGAAGGATCGTCGGGAATGGCCGATATATCTACTAGTAAGCAATTTAAGTAGTACTCTAGAGTAAGAGTTGGTATTTGTACTAATAAGTATTGTTATTAGCACTCTAGAGTAAGACGTTCGCTGTGGCATGCAGGGACGGGGCACTGCTTACATGATGATGACCCGCCGCGAGTAAACAGGGAAATTTTAAATTGGCTCGAGAGGCACCATGCCCAGAAGAGGTAGCTGAGTGGTGGCTGCCATTTGTGCACTAACAGAAATCTTAGCAGGATTGTGAGCTGCCCTGCAGGCTGACAGTGTGCTAGGTGCGGTTATGTATCCCATCTGTATGAATAGCTAATTACTTATGTTGAGTCTCACGCATTGAGAAGTTTCTTTGAGCTGATGCTGAAAGCTAGAGAGTACTGCATTCATCGGATTTTTGCATAGACAGGATTCCAAAACGGTCATTGACTCAAGCTAGGGAATGTAGGACAAGGGTTTCAATCAGTCCAATCCATACCTGGAGCGCTCATGATGCATTGGCTGTATTGCTGCCAGCCAAAAACCTGCCTTCACCATTCAAAGCAAGCACCAGAGCTTAACTCACCGGTCCTCTTTCCAGATCAATCCGACAGACATGCACTTTTCCTACTTCCTACTGCAGCACAGTGACAGAGCTTCAAAAACATCAAATTACCCCCGAACAAACAGCGCCTGCAGAAGTTCTGCATTCCCCTGCAGAGGCATCACTTCCCAGCAGCCTCGAGGGAAAGCTGAGACAATTGGCCCACCCCAATTCCTCCCGCTGACTCAGCGCCACCTGGATCTCCCGTGGCTCGCACCCTCGGCCCCGCGTTTGGCGCCTGCCCAACTGAAGTTGTGACATTGACCGAATTCCCTGAACCTGTGTTGTTCAATGCTGCAGTGCCAGAATCTGCCAGTTTTCTTAAACCTGAATTGACCGCCGCAGCAACAAATGGTGCCGGGGCCAAGTCTGGCGCCGCCGCCAAAGTTGGCGCGCCTGCCATCGATGAGTCACCGGCCAGAATTGGCGCCGCAGCCAGATCTGGCGTCCCGGTCGGTGACTCAGCGGCTGGCTCTGCGGAGGCGGCCGCGCCAGTATAGGCGCCGGGGGAAGCTGCCTCGGGGTCTGGCGTCGGTGCGGCGGCTGCGGCTGAAGCGATGGCGGGTACTTCAGAAGCCGGGAAAATATCATGTGCCGGCGGCGCTGCGGCCAGCGCTGCATCTGGCGCAGAGATTGGTCCTGTGAGATACGATTAGATAATATTTTCACTAATTTACTTTTGGTGGTGAGATTTGCAAGGCAAGATCAGTGCACGAGCGTCTGAAGAGCCCGCTTGAAGGATTTCTCTTCAAAGTTCTGCAAACACGCCTTGCCATAGCACGTCAAGATGGCTAAGCTCTTTGATACCAGCCGCACAGCAGCAAGGAGAGCAAGGAAGAGTGCATGTCTTACCGGCAAAAGAGCCAGTGTCTGACATCGATGGTGCAGGGCTGGGTGCAACAGCCAGCGGGCTGATGAGATTGGTAACCTCCTCTGGCCTCACCCTTGCATCCCTACACACCAGCACTACAACTCTCGAGACAGTACACGATGCATAGAATCGACATAGAATCGAGAAACAGCCAACAGAGCTATATATGTAACTGAGTAAATGACAGGGCACCGGAGATTGTGAGCTGCATGCCTGCCCAGACGAGAGGAAGAGTGGCAATGTGCCAGCCTGTCAGGTTGCGCTGGGAAAAGAGCGCTGTAGGACCCAGATAAACCAAGAGCTGTTGCTTTCCTAAGGGAACGCAGTAGTGTGGAATGCATCACGTGAGATTTATGGCTGCCAGTGACAGCCATGAACAAAAGCAGCTCTCAAATTTGTCATCGCACAGCATGATTGCAAGTTTGCTGAGATACAGGCGCATGCATGTGCTTAGAATGGACAGTACAAGTATGCCAGGCAGTGGGGCTAGCGGCAGGCCCTTGAAGTGTTGGAATGATTCTGTAACAGAATTTCTGTTTGAGAAGAAATTAGACGCCATTGGTTATGCCTATGACTGGGGAGAAATGCAATGACTGAAAGGAGTGGAGAGCAGCAGTACAGGTGTTGCTTGACGTGCCTGGTTGTTAGGACTGGAAAACGTGTGATCATGGTAATAACGGAATGTTACCTGGCAGGCAGCGGCGGGGGCGGGGAAGGTGGCGGCGGCGGCGGCGGCAGCTGCGCGGCAGCTGCCCCCTGCGCCGCGTCGGAGAGCGCCCAGTACTGCGGCAGGGCCGGCACGCGGATGCGCGCCAGCTCACACCGGCCATCATCCTCGCCCATGGGCCCCTGCAGGGCGACCAAGACATCCCACTCAGACGGCAACGTGTTCAATAATTCTTTTGAACCCAATGGTCCATGTCACCGAGAGGAAAAGAGACTCACAACCTCCATCGCTGCTTGTGGGTCCCAGAAAAAAACAGGGGTCAACCTGTTGGATGCAGGCTTGCAAACACCTGACAATGGCCATGGCACAGCAGAGCCACACCTTGGTTTTGTCACTTGCAAAAAGAGCATTTGTGCCTGGTCACAATGGCTGCAATTGCTGCCGAGCAGCCCTGTCTCACTAGCAGGTCAGGCAGGTGGCATGTGTCATCAGCCTATTTTGACAGGTTGCAAACCCATCAACGTGTGCACAAAGATCATCTTTGTCAGTGTCGAGAGAGATGCTGTGAGAGGATTACCGCCACATCACAGATGCCCTGGTTGTACAGCACGCGACCGATGTCAAAAGACTGCCCAGTGATGCTCGTCTCGTCTGCGCACAGCAATTGTCAGTCCTGACTAGCTGCGTAATCCCCTGAATCCCCTGATTCCCGTCACACGTCAAATGACTGAGAATTTCAGCAGTGGGCCTTTATAGCAGAGCTGCAAGGCCCCTAGTGGGCTGCAGTCGGGGTCCTTGCATTTCTCAGGACCCCGTGATCTCTAGGCAAGGCACACTGCCACATGCCTCGCAAAGTCAGATTTGCTCCTGCGGCAGGTTAGCTGTTCATTTGCAAACGGAATTTGATGCACGGTAGAGTGTGCACAGGGCTTCAGCGCATGCAGGTGACTGGCGTGCGACTATGGGTGACTGAGGGGTGACTCACTGCTGCTGGTGGCGACGACTAAGCCGCCGGAGCCGCTGAGCTGGGCGTCCACGCTGGCGATGTCCCCAGGGTAGTGCACGCTCGAGCCTAGATAGGTGCCCCCATCCCCCGATCCAGTCAGCTCGACCTCGCCTAAATTCCCCTGGATGTACAGCGTGCCTCCCCTGCAAAGAGCATGCGTCAACTATTAAGTATAATAGATAGCACACGACCCAACGTTCTTGCCGGCACCAAGAAGACAAGGTGTGTTTGCAGACTGCTTGCTTTACAAGCTTCTATACAAGCTTCCATGATTTTCAGCATGTGTGCAATGCCGCGCGGAAAATTATATTTGATGGGAGCAGAAGGGCAGGCAATAAGAGCACTCCTTGAGGCTGTTTGTTCTGTCTGATCTAATGACAGTCAAGTAGCAAGGGCTGCCGCATGCTTGACGCTTGTGTCTGTGCATGCAATCCTCCCAGCTCAAGCTTGGGGTCCTGTCCTGTTCTAGGATCTCAAGGGTGCTGCAAGTGCAAATGCAAGGCTGCTGTAGCAGCTACAAGCTGGGTTGGCACAACTTGACAAACTTGTGATGTGGCTCTAAGCAAAGAGTTCATCACTGTAACATCCTGTGCTGTCGCTTTCAGGAGCATGCATTTGGTCATCAGGCCTGGAACAGCAACGCCCTTTAGCAACGACACCTGCGGGACTCTTTCAAAGGCAGCAGAGCGCACCCTGTGTTCCATGCGTTCGTGCAAGCAGTCGTGATGCCAAGAACGACGAGCTTGCCGGCGTTCGTGAGCGTCGCCGAGAACGTAGGCGCAGAAAACTTGTCTCCCACGACGACGTCATTGGTGGTGTCGGAAATCACACCGAGCAGGGGGCCTCCGACTTCGATGTAGATCGCTCCCGTCTGCACGTCGTCGTGAACGTGCAAGAGATGGTCCAAAATCCTTGGTATGGTGGTGACCTGGCTCAGGTGAAGGGTGCCCTGGTTGACTGAGAAGGCGACGCCCGACTGACTCGCGTTCAGCGAGAAGCTCTGATCAAGGCTGGGCACGATCACTACGGTGGCTTCATTGTTGCCCAGCGGCCCGATGTGCACCGTGTCAAACGGTTGGATCAGATAGTAAGATGCTTGTGCGCGATGCAGCCCGAGACCTAAGAGCAACGTCAGAGCGAGCACTAGCATTTTGGTAGGTCTCGGTCTGACTTGATGCAAGAGAGGAAGCAATGTAAATACAGGATCACTATTTTGAAGATTGGCACCCAGAGAGCAGCTGCGTTTCAAGACATCGTCCAAGTCCAAGGCTGCCAGATCCGTCCCACGTGGGATGGTGATTTGCATGCATGATGAGTCAGAAATATGATGTCCAATTCGATAGCATTTTTTTCACGTGATGACAAATTCCGGCTTACATCTCCGATTCTAAAAAACCATTCTTGTTCCGCTTGCTGCAATGCTCCTACAGTCCATATTTAAGCAGCAGAAGCTTGCATATCCTGTGACGTTAACGTTGCCACCCTTGCAACACTCTTCCTGACTTATTTGTGCATGTCAAACCGTCCCCATGGCTCACAGACTCCTGTGTCATGGCCCATTCCTTACTTTAAACCTACACAGCAGGCTCTCTAGTCTAGCAGAGCCTGCTGCAGCAAGCCACCTAGTAGCCTCATAATCTCTCAGTAATAAGAATGTACTTCTGTTCATCACACGTTCTCATGCAGTGCATGCCGCATGATACTGTTTCTGCTGCCAGCAACTTCCTTAAGATTGGAAATTCAGCCTGCCGAGTCTTGCCTGTCATTCAGAGGTCTTTCCGTATCTGATGTTCGCCCCAGTCCGGATCTGAGCTGTACTTCCCGGAATATAGAAATGTCTTCAAATATCTGATAATTAAATCATAAAAGGTCTGTCTCTGCTGCTGTCTCCAGGTTTGTGTCCCAGACTCAAGGCAGCGCCAAGTCATGCTGATGTCACATCGCATCATGGTGACATCATCTCTGACTCAGCGCCGCTGTCATGGCCCTCAAGCCGGCGAGTAGACTTCCAGTACCAGTCAACTACTCAAATTCAAAACTCTCTTGCACTTAAACAAGGCTGTCGGTGAGCACACGGCCATTGCAGCCAGGGCAGACTTTCCCAGCGGCGTTGGTACGGAGATTTCAAGATCCATTCAAATCTTTGTCATTTCAAGTTTCCCCTAAAATCAGACGAGGCTGTAGATGAGCACACGGTCGCCGCAGCCCAGGTACAGTTTTCCACCGGCGATGGTGGGAAGCTGAAACTTGACAACTCCGACAGAGGAAGAGGGTGTGCCGCCGCAAACACCGGTGTTGTTGCTGCGGTAGATCAGGTCCAGAGACATGGCGTCCCAGCCAAACAGGCTTGAACTCTCGTCAATCTGCGCGTGCAAGATACAGAAAACTCTCAATACTAGAACTGAATATGTTTGCAGCAGAAGCATCTTTGCGCAGGGCACATGCAATTGTATGTTAGTCCAGAGTGACACAGTCCCGAATTGTGGGCCTGATGGGCACTCGGCATGCAGCACCCATGCACTGCGTTTTTGTGCAACTTCAGGCAGGCAAGTCCAGCAAAGAAAACTCAGCAAGTGGGGACCTCCAGCAAAAAAAAAGAAAATTTCTGCTGCACGTCATTTCTTGCTAGTAAGTGGCTGCTCATGCTCGGCATCGCTCATCAAAACTCCATACCTTCCCTGTCAGGTGCCTTACAGGGTTGTTCAATTCGCACAATTATTCTACAGAGTTGCGCAGCATTAGTAAGCGGATGAGTCACCTCCCACTGGATTCCTCGGTGGCGGTCTTGTTGACTGCCTGGATGACCAGGTTGGACCATAAAATGTTAAACTCCCAAATCCTATGCCCGAAACTCTTGATACAGGATTACTAAGCAGCGACTCACCTCCCACAGGATTCCCTCGGTGGCGGTCTTGCTGACTGCCTGGATGACGGGGTTGGAGGCGCGGTTCTGGAACACTCCCACACCGCTCGATGGGTCCTGCTGCGCCGTCGGCTGCGTGCTCAGCTTCCCGGTCGTCTCATCCCATGCGTACCTGCTCGCATGGACATCATGTTTATTATTTAAGTGACAATCTCAAGCTAGTCAGGATATATATATATATATATATATATATATATATATATATGGAAACCCCACAGCGCCACCCTTTTAGGGAGATTGTTATGCCTGCTGTCAAGAATCAGAAACGCATGCTATAGATTTTTACATTCTTGCCCTCAACTGGGAACAGAACAGGGTATGACATTAGTGCTATAAGGCACACTACACTACGCAGTAATTCTGCTGCTAATGAACTCGAAGTCACTGCTTCTGACCGCAGAATCAAAGCATCGATGAAAGGTTTATTTTGGGGGGGGGGGGGGGGAGAAATGCTCGTACCTGAACAACGAGGGCTGTGCGCGGCGGCCGCGGATGAAGATCTGGCCGCCGTTGGCCTCCCAGTAGGCAGGACCAGAATAGATGGTCTTGGCCGTGGGGTTGTTAAACTCCAGCCCTGTGGGGTTGACGACCTATAAAACACCCGCACAAATGCCTTCAGACCAGTATTTACAATGCCTGCCAGATGGCAGCAAGTCTAAATCCTGAATGGGACCTCATGAAACTGCACCCCGGAGCCTTGCCGTTGCTCAAGTCTGAAACAGTGCAATTGAAGGTTGCATTCTATATTCTATATCCACCATACATTATGCTCAGCGGGGTCAGAATGAGTCAGAGCTATTCAGTGGCAACGTGAAGGGTTTACCAAGGAAATCGAGTGAGAGTCACGCATATGCGTAAAAAGGTCAAGGTCAGGACTAGTTTGTAAGCGACACCAACAGAAACGCGCCTGGAAGACATTGGTGTTGTTGGCAGTTGGCTGGTAGCCTCCGAGGTTGGCAGCGTTAGCGATGTAGAGAGGGCCCTGCTTGCCTCCAGTGATGATGTACTTATCCTTGATGGCAATCGCGCCAGAAGATCCCAAGTCCAAATCCACCTGAAGTAAATGCAGAACATATTGTGTCATGATCTTCACTCTGCATGCATGTTTCTGAGCCGCGACACATGTACAGCCCATGATATGCACAAGTGTATTCTGCAAAGCTCCCAGAAGAGTGATCACTCCCTAGCTCAGTTGTCAGTAGAACTCTCCACTTAAAATGCATGTTCAGAGGCCTGCTGCAATGCAGGTTGTTGGCTCAAGGCCATGCTGGAAGACTTGACGCGTTGCGATGGCAGGTGGCCATGGTGGTTTAAGGACCCTGGACTAGGAGACCCTAAAGGGGCGCACATTATCAAGGTAGAGTCCATTGGCCGGGATGAAGAAGTCCTCAACATCAGACAGGTCCAAGGGGAATCGCAGAATCGCGTTTCCGTAACCGCCGTTCTCCGGCTGCACCGGGCCGCGGCCTGTTTGCATGCAGATCAAAATTCAAAGACGGAAAGAATAGACCTTGAGACATCTATGCAAACATTGATTTTCTTGCTCGGCCCAACTCTGCTTGTGCCCTCCTGCATGTGTTCCTGCAGGCTGCTTCCCTGCTTTGCCTCTGGTATGAGGCACATCTCCATTTTCCAATCCTCCCAGAAAGGACAAGTGGATACCAGTGTATTCTTGCGCAAGGGCGGCGGCCGGAATTATTGTTGCGCTATGTCAACAATTTTTTACCACCAGACGAGCATTTTCTGAAGATGTGTGCAGGACGGCCCTTAAATAAGCCTCCTGCAATTCATTACACTCCAGAAGCAAGCTTGAGAAGGATGTGCACGGAAATGTGCAGTTTTCAGAGCTCTGTACTGTATGTAGTTCAGGCTGCCCACCTGTGACAACGTAGAGCTTGTCATTGAAGATGGTGGGCGCGGTGCCTCCCTGCCAGATTGTGGGGCCACCGCCAGTCACATTCTGCTGCCTGGGGTCCGCTGGCGCAAAGCGGGCTGCACACCACACCAAAGCAAATTCAATCTCAAGAAAGCATGCGCTAAATCCTAAAGTTGGAGAACATACAAAGCACTTTGCAAGCTTGAACGCTGACAGCCCGGCCATTCAAGCCAAGTAGACACGGCCTTGTATTTCGCTGAAAAAGCAGTAACATTATTCGGTTAGGGAGTGCCCGTAAGACAAAGGAGCCTCAGATAGCTCCCAACAGGTCTCTAATATGTAATGCTATTTTTTACTAGTTCTGCCACAGAAACAAGAAAGAGGCCCGCAAGACAAGCCAGCTTGGAGTTTGAGGCAGGAAAGAAGAGAGGGCGCACAGATGAAGATGGGGGAGGTCCAGAAGTGCTTGATCTCCAGGCTCTTGGCGCTGAAGGCGAACAGCCAGGGGAAGTAGGGTGGCCTGTCACAGTGGGAACCATATGCCGCGTACACCAGTCCCTTGTACAGCACAAGACCTGCGCACATTTTCGAATTTGAAATCAAATTCCTGCAGCTGCTTTTGGAAGCCCCCTTCTGATGTTGTCTATTGGGAATTGCACGCCAGCTGCTTATCAAGTCACTTGTGCATGACAGTATCATATCACCATGTTTCCATCATGGCCCCGGTTGGATGGGGCGGAGTAAATACTTCAGCACCGCCAAAGTTTGTTCGGATCTTGCTTGGATTTGGCAAGCCCATAGAATTCTGGCACCCTTTGCATCCAGCTGGTCACACCTTGCCTTCGGCAGTAACAGCAGGTAATTAATAAAAGAAAGCAAAGTGTGGGTCTGGTGGGGCGTGCCTGGGCGATTCAGCTGCTTGATGGCCCGGAAGGTGGTGGCGTTGTTGGGGAACTGGCTGTCAGGGAATGTCTTCTCGCCGGCCACTGGCACTGTGGGGCTGCCCTTAATGTGCTCGCCAGTCTCCAGCCTCAGGGCATTCAGCCTGCCACACAGAAACCAGGCTCCTCTGAGAAAGCCTGACCCTACATAGAAGGCCACAAATGCAAAAGAGCCCTGAATAGAATGTAGCACATTTGGCCTGTGTCGCCAGCTCAACATTTAGGACGAAGGACAAGGACAATCTGGCCACCTATAATTCTAGGGAAGAATGTGCTCCGAGTCGCCAAACAATGCACCAGACGAAACTAAAAGAACTTCATTGAACGCAGGGGTTTTGACCAAGCAATTCATCTTAGAACAGCAAATTATTCCATTCCTTCTTCGTTTATATTTTAGTTTCTGGTTTCTGTGCAGATCTTGGGGCACACACTTCATGCCAAGTATGGATTGTGACAAAGCCACCTATCTATGGCCTAAGTTGTAGCCCATTTTCAAGCATGTTCCCTGTATTGTCAGCACAAGAAAGAGCACCACCTGTAGGCGACAGAGTCAATGTCTTCGCCCTCGAAGGAATGACTCATCACATAGACGATGTTTGTCTCGGGGTCAATCACTGGGGTGGAAGTGATGCCTGCACCAAAAACAAAAAGCCCGTGATCAGACAAGCATGACTAGCGCGATCAGGTCCTGCCAACCATGCACAACTGAAGCATGCTCAACATGCTTCAGTTGTGCATGATTGGCAGTACCTGGGAGTACCTGGCAGTACAAAGCAGTACAAAATCAGAAGGGATCGTGTTGCATGCACAGATAGCGCACAAAAGGTCAAGGTGTCCTAAAGTGCAGGCTTGGCATTGGCAGAAGGCAAACAGAACAGGCAGCAATGACTAATCACTTGTGAGTGCTGACATCAGCGTATGGCGCACCGTAGTAAGGGGCGATGTCATTGCAGGGGCCAAAGCCCGAGTAGGGGGGCCTCGAGGGCACAACTGGGATGTCTGTCGAGTTGACCACTCGTCCAATGGTCAGACTTTTCTTCCAGACCTGCTCTCCGGTGTCTGCAGAATCGCACAGTGTAAGATTCCGAGGAGTCTCAGAGGAATGAAGTCTAATTTTTATCTCAGCACAACCAGGCGTGAGGCATTCCTGTAATATTTGATGAGACGCGGTTGCAGTTCCAACTGTCTATTAGAAGAGAATTTCGAATGGCTCCGGTCACATGCGGGAGACTTTGCGCATGCGTTTTTGCAGAGCTGGAGATGCTACGGGGAGAGCAAACATCCAGAAAGGAAGGACTCTCATCTAGTGTTGTCTTGTAAAGGCTTCAGGTGGCAAGAGAGAGAGAGGAAGCTTGCCTGCATCGAAGGCGTAGACTGAGTTGAACTCTGTGGCGATGATGACTAAGTTCTTAGTCACTCCCTTAGAGATCTTGATCTGTTTGCACACACGCCACAACTTACCTCTGACAAGAGCATCAGTTTACATTGCTGTCACTGACACCTGCTTGCTGTATTTTAAAGATGGTCCCTCAAGGAGCCAGAAGGGCCAATCACAGCCAAGATCTGATGCCTGAGATCTCTGACGAATGCAGGAAAGAGACTTCACAGTGCCAAAAGGGCTTTGCCTCATTCTTACTGGCCAGTCAGGTTCTATGCACGCCCTCTCGTGCATTATTCATAACAAGAAGAATCAAGAAATATTGAAAAGGTTGGCAACAATGCATGCATGTCAGAATGTCACACCTTGGGAGCATACAGCGGCTGAGCATAGACTGAACCATCGACCACCCACTGGTTGGTGATCGCGAATGAGGTCTGATTGATGGTGGCGGGCGAAAACGCCGGCTCGACCACAAAGCCTGCAAGGTGTGAAAAATAACCGCTGTCATTAGCTGCTTCTGCTTCTTGCATGGGCTGTTTAAACTGGACAGGCATTGATGTTTGATGGCAATGGTGCAGCCCAGAATGCAGCATTCAGTATTGGCCTTAAATTGCCTTATCACTCCAGCAATAAGGCATTCTCTACAGAGACTTTGCAATTGTGGGTGAAGAGGCACTCACTGGTGCGCTCCAGGTTGTAGCGGTTGGTGTAGACTCCCTCTGGGTGTGCCTCCGCCTGTGCAAACAGACTTCAAATGAGCAGCTGACAAAATTCAGAAATTTTGCCCCTCCAAGGAACCGGCAGACCTGGCATCTTGTGTGTGCAATGGTCTACTGTTGGGCTCAGGTCCCATTCAGTGTCTTGCCACCCAGCACCCATACAGCAGTAAGGATATGAGAGAGACCTAGCATGCAAAAATGCACAAGCACAGGTGGCAATTTTGTTGTGCAGCATTAAGCGCCAGAAACGCACCGGGGCGAAACAGTCAAGGAAGCAGGTCTTTTCGATGATGCAGCTTTTCTCGCCTGCGTCCTTATCTCCCCAGATGCAGCCTGTTTGACAACAGAAGGTCAGTCTTAGGAGAAACACACAGGTTTAGGATGACTCAGGTTACAGCACATGTCAGATGGACTCGGGGCTTTTGTGTGCAAGGGAATCTTATGCAGCGACTTTGCCCTCCAAGATTTTGTTGCTGTAACGATCTCTGCTGGACTTTAAACGCTGCTGACAAGATTATGTGCCAGGGTTTGCTTCAGTTTAAGGACAAAGAACCGAAAGGAGTCGCAGCCAAGGACATCGAGACCACTGTTTACCTGTGAAGGGGAAGAAGATCCTGGCAGGTTCCAGGGCGCAAGCGACAATGCAGCTGGTGAACTTGGCCAGCTGGTTGGCCGGCACATCGTCGCCGCTGGGCACTGAAGCGAAGTTCAGCTCTGAAGCACACGAGCAGAGATGCAGGCCAGCCAGCAGCAGCAATGCCGCCGTGCAGGCGCCTGCATTGACATACAGGCGTCAAGACGAGAATAAAGCGACCGTGTTGAGTCGATGGCGACCTGTGAATGTATGACGTCAGACCCGACCCTGTGCACTGTATAGCTTATCTCGCTACCACTGCCTCCAAAAGTATTCTGGATGCTCAATAAATTTTTAAAGTCATACCAGTCCCCCATAAATGGCGAGAAGTGAACACTAAATGAGCTGCATACCACGGCATGTATATATCAAGATATGGCCACTCCAGGCGACCGAGGCTCCAATTATGACAACTTTGCAACAATTAAAGAAGCAGTTGTATATGCTGCTTTCATATATATCTGCAGCCTCGAAGGCAAGGAGATCGCCCACCTCCTGCTCGGCCCATCCTTTAGGCGTGGTCTGTGTCGCCGGTCGCAGATCGCAGGTCTTGGGTACACTTCCGCGTCCCTTTTCTAATCCCCAGAGCTGTGACGATTTCCCTGCAAGCACACTGTTCCTCGTATGCATGCAAGTATCCAAGGTACGTCCTGCGAAATCAGAGCGAGTGCAGTCCGCCTTCAGCGAATACAGCAGACGTAGAGACAACGCAAAGTGCAAGCGCACCTTTCAGTCGTGATTTCCGAACAGCGATAACACAAATATGGACGGAATTTTGGTATTGGCGGGTCTGTCCTGCCCAGATTTAAAGTCTCAACAAGGGCGCTTCTGCTGGGCACACGACGATTACGGGATCCTCGTGGTCTGCTCATGTCCGGGATTTGTCATTCTGGTCCACCCTTCGGACTTTGCCCTGCTGCAGAACAGCAAACACCTCGCATTGGGTCAGGCCCTTGTTAATCCCAGGGACACAAAGCTTCACAGCATGACATCACAGTACAGATGCACTTGTATGAACTGCATGTAAGAGTGGTCCATGGAAGCTTTGGCGAAAGCTGCAGCAGCTGCAGGCTCTTGCATGCAATTCCCATTCGGGCTCAGATGTATCTGAGCCCAATTGCCCTTTTGCTTTGTATATGTGCTCTTAGGCCCACCCTTATAGCTCCCTGATTCTAGGTCTGGATCAAGTACGTAATAATTAATTGCAGTGTTTTCCAAATGTGGCACCAGTGATAGCTACTGCTTCAGGCCTCTGTAGCCTATAGGCTAGGTATGTGAAAAAACCGTTTGTCGGACATTACTTATCGTAGGCCAACCCAGAAGCGTGTGATGATCATTTATACATGCATGTACATGTGGCGCTCATTGCAAGAAGCATTCCTAGCTGGGTGGCTTTACTTTAAAAATTTGCATGTGCCTCAGCTGACATGAGGTGCAACCCTCAATGAAAGTCAGAAAATTTTGCATCAACGTTCAACACAAATGGACAAACAATGTTTGTCAAACATGTAGACATGTATAGACCAAAGTGCCGACTGCACTTGCGCATGCGTTTTTTGTCAACCAGGATGCACACATGTGGAGACAAAGGAACGCTCAGCGTCGCTCACGTCTTTATAAAGACAATTAGAAATATTTCTTGAAGGGCGCTGCCATTTATCCTTCCAACGAACTTCAGACAGGTGCCCTCTTGGCAAATGCCCGCTGGGAATTACACTCTACCTTACAGCGGCTCATTTTAACACCTTGCCGGGGGGCGCCCATGCTAGCAAGCGCTTGGCAAGATGCTGGTGGCCGGCAGGGGATACTGAACACAACTGTGCGTTTAGTACTCCCCTGTGGCCGGGTGCCCACCGGTGCTTGCCATGAAACACTTCATCGGCTCCTCGAACTGCTCACCACCAGAGCTAGCTGAACCCTAGCTCCCCTGAGGGTTATACCCCTTTGCCCCGGGGGCTGTTAGGTACTCGCCATGCTTCTGGTGGCCGGTGGCTTTGGCGTGTTTGAGAGGGACACTCTAGTTGCTGAAGACCAGGCGAATGCGTACCACCCACAAATCTAGCTCCCTTGAGGTTTCAAATTCTGCCAAGGGCCGTTAAGGGGACCCTGAATCAACTTCAAGTCTGCATCCTCCAGGGCCGTCAGTACTCGCAATTTTCTGGTGCCCTGTGGCTTCTGCGTGCTCCCTAAAAGCTTTCTGTGGGAGTCTTCCGTAGCTAAAGGAAAAAAAATTTAAAATATTCTCAACCCTAGCTGCGCAGAGGTTTAAATCCCTCGCCCAGAGGTCATCAGTACTCGCCAAAGTTCTGGTGGCCGGTGGCTTTGGCGTGCTCCAGGGCCTCCTTCTCGCCCTTGACCCCCAGCTGGCACACCCCGCACCGCAGCGTGAAATTCGCCGTGTCCGTGAACTGGCGTGCTTCGTGGGACTGCGCAGCACAGATTGTTTATCTATACTTTCTCTATAGATACTTCCTGCCAGAGGCAAGGTGTATCTGCAGACAAGCTGCAGGTGAAGCCTGCCAAGAGTCCTACCCCTTGTTGGACTCGCCAGTAACCAACTAAGACCCAAGCAAGTTTAGCACGCTGCAGTTCATAGCCGCCAATTTTGCGGGGATGAGATTGTGTATACCTTTGCCACGAGCTCGGCCGCCGCTCGGCCGATGCTGTCAGCCTCGGAGCCGTGCGTGTCAAACATTGTAATGTCCACGTCCTCTGGAGCACCCTCGAACGCTGCGCATGCATGCACACCAATTTCATCAGTTGTCAAGGGACAATGTCTTCAACGCCACCTCGGGAATACATGAAATGCTTGCAGTCCACTGGCCTCAACTTCACCAAACTGGCTGACTCTCTCCCCTGAAACTCATGCTATGGTAGAGCAAGACAGGCGCAGTCCGATGCCTCGTTCTCACAAGCTGCGAACCACAAACGTTCCAATACAACCGGCAAAACACCAGCAACTTGTTTCTGCAGCACCTGTCAAAAAGCTGCACTTTGCACAGGGCAGTCTTGCACCAGCTGGCAGCTTGAAAGACGCTTAGTTTTCTTCAATGTTAACTTAAATCTCTACAGGCGCTTCGCGAAGTAAGAGGTAAAAATGAGCAGCGCACCAGCAACAGCCAAAGCATCGTAGTGCAGGCCATCATAGATGAGCATAACTCGCTCCTCGTAGCCAGCGTCCTGCCCGTACACGTCGCAGCGCTTGGTCTGCACATCGTACGCCGCTATCTCGCGGCCGAAATACCTGCGCCACATTAGCATGCGCGCCAGATCAGGTCTTTGCGTGCATGGTGGTGACATGAGTATAAACACCCTTGGAGATTCCTCGGCGGGACGTCTGGGTCAGGCCTGAAAGATGGATGCCAGTTTGTACCAATGCTTTGACAGAGGCTGCCAGATCAGGAACATTCACTTGCATGCATTGGCAGACAAGGCTAAGAACAGTAAAGACAAACCAGGCTCAAATTCTTTGCAGCGATGCTGGAATTGCAGAGATCTCTGCTGCTAGTGTCTGGTGAATGTTTCGAGATCTGCGTTTGTTCACTTTTTAGAAGCAGCATTGCCTTGATGCCCTGCCGAAGTTCTGAGCCCAAAAGTCCTTTGACTGCTCGACTGAGCCTGTCCGCCACAATGCAGCTTTTTACATTGCAGACACAACAGCAAGCGAGGGGCCAGACCTGGACAGTATGGAGAGCTCGATGGCGCCCCCCCATTTCTGGGGGTCTTTGATCCAGGCGCAATACTCCTTATTAGGCTTGCCCAGGAACGCCTCTGAATACTCCTCCGGATCCCCTGCCACCGTCTCTGCGATGACTCGCCTGTGCGCACACATTAGTCACATCAGTCACCGCACCCATTTACAGAAATTACATACAATTCTGGTGACACTGGCAGTCCTGCATGCATGTGTTGTATGGAGCTGTTCAGCAGCTGATCACATGCACTTTTATGCTGGGTGATGCTGCGTAGCCTCTGGAGACCAAATCTTGACCCTGTAAGGTCCGCACGGCAGTCAGGTTGAGGCATCAGCCTTGAGGCTGCTGCAACAGTGCGCAAGCATCACAAGGAAGATGCAGATATTACCAAAACAGCACATGGTACTTCTCGACAACCTCTCAAGCCTGGCAGGCTCTGGCAGGTCCAACTGTACTAGGGAATGAGCAAGACGGTGCGGTGAATACACCTGAGGTGGCTGGCCTTGTCGCGGCTGCGTTCGACCACATATCCGACAGCGTTGAAGAGGCAGCTGTTGTCTGAAGCCACCACTCTGCGCACCACCACAGACCCGGAGCCCCCGGGAACTGCCACGCTGGCAGGCGGAGCTGCATGCATGCAGACAGTGACTTACTGTAGTGCTCGGACTAAAACCCGCAATAATATGTGTGTTTGGCCGAATGGGTGGCTTAATAAGAACCTATCTCCCAAAGTATGAAGCCTCTGATGGTTTTGAGGCAAGATTCGGAAAGCCCTCGACAAGGTCAAGGGAGCATGACTCTGGTATTTTTAAAATCAGGCAGACCCCAAAAAATTGCTTTGAAAAATTTCCCGCACCGCCAGGGGTGCGGTTTTAGTGTGAGCACTGCAGTATTGAGAGGGCGAGGTTTGTAAAAAGGACATGCAGTATCCCTTGCGCTGCCGCTTGGGTTCGATTAACCCCTTCCAAATCTGTCCCTTCTTTAGCACCGTTGTTGCTTGCTCTTCTAATGCCCTGCCAACACACAAGGCTGAGGAACAGCCCCTTGCGTTCTTCCAATTTCTAATGTCACTCTGTGGCAGGTGTTGCGTGCTCTATATTCCGCGCAAGGGTGTTCCTGCATGGTTTCTTATTCTACTCGTCTGGCACAACGAGGGCATTCTGTAGCACACTGACAAGCAGGGCAGTCCTTCACCATGGCATGTCAAAAGGCACTAAAGGTCCATTCTGAGACGAGTATTACCTTTGTGTCCTCCCTGCTGTGATGAGGATGCTGGCGCTGCACTGGAGACAACATCTCCCGCCTCCACCTCACCGCGCGCCACCGGCCGCGGCCGACCTGAGCTGGCGGCGGATCGCTGAGCCGGCGCTGAGCTGGAGGCCGGCTGAGCTCGCGCTGAGTCATCCCCGAGGGAGGCCGCTATTGCGCGCGCCAGCTCCTCATCCTCCCGAGCCTGCATGAAGTTAGTGTCATCTGAGACATATTCAGACTCTCGCACAGGACTAGCACTACTCAAAAGCAGATAGTCAATGAAAGACAAAAATGGTGCGCGCTGGCTCGAATTGGCGCAGGGGGGATATGCCATTTATGAGCGTCTGCAATTTGTTATTTTATAGCCTAGTCATGCCCGCATGCAAGATTAAGGCATGAGCAGGAGTGTTGACACTCTGGAAGCATGCATGCTTGAGAAGATCTGATGCCAGGGCATGCCAATGAGCTTGACTTACAGCAGCATGACACAAAAATGAGATACATTCAGGCATTAAAGAAAGGTGGTTGGAGGTGAGGGACTGGGGATGAACAGGCACCTGTGCAAGCTGCTCCGCGCTGTGCTGTGCGGGTTGTGTGTTTGCTGCAGACACCGCAGGCTGCTGTGCAACCTCTGCGGCGCCTTCACCCCTCCTGACAACAATGGTGTCGCCATTGGAGATTGGCAGGTCGCCAAGACTGCCACTGCCATCAGCTGGCAGCTGTATGGGTGCTGGGGGAAACCCAGTGAGAATCTCCTGCTGTGGTGGTGCGACGCCTGTCTTCTCCGCTAAAATCTCCTGGAATGCAGCTATGCTGAGGCCGCCGTCCAATCCTGCAGGAATTACTAGCACCGTTGAGTGGGCTCATCCGTCCGTTCAAAATGGCAAAGCCTTGTTGCCTGGTAAATGGTGCCAACAAGAGTCTGTAAAACCTACTTACATTATATGTCATCCATAGTGGTCTCAGGCCTGGAGGAAGACTCGCAATTTTCTTGGGTGCACAACGCTATTATGGATGTCTACACATCCCGTATATTCAGTGCACTCTGAAAAGTATGCGTTACCTGCGAGAGTGGACTGTCCTGTTGGACCCCGGCAACGAATATTCATGGCTATTGGAAGTATGCTGCTGGTGCCAGCAAGTTGCTCTGTGTAGAATTTGCTGAGTGAATCGCTTGATATCCGCTAAAGAACGCGCCGTTGATAAAGAGAAGATAGAGATTGTATACACACTTAAAGCTCTCTGTCCTTCACGAGCGCCGCGGTGCTTCATGCCACTCCGATTGCTTTTGGCGTGCTGTAACTGTTGCTTTGTCACTTTCTATCCAGACTGGCAGGTGACTAACCCCTATGACTGCGACACCTTGACCTTGTCCAAGGCTCAGATTCAGAATTGCAAGCACGCCTTTGGGCATTCAAAGTAAAAGGATTCGTAGCTGTGGATACTGACCAATCGCAAAAGGTGCAGAAGGGGCATTCATCTATTAAAGTTACTAGTTGCCAGGAAGCCTCGCATCAAGCATGAGCCTTTGTATGAAGGGGCTGCAATTTTTACACAGTGCTGCAGCAAAGATTGCGCCTCCAGGCTGCTCTAGCCGAGCTTCAACGCACGCTACGGCCTCGACATCGGCCTCACATAGCAGGTCTGCTCAAAGTACTTTCTTTGAACGAAGCCGCGTATTAGTTGTTTTTCGGAGATAAAAGGGATGAAACCAACGAACGAAATTATGAATGGTTTCACTTGCACCAGGCACTGATAAATTGAGTTGTCTGCCAGGCAATCTGCTGTAGAACGTGTCCTGTTAGGTGCTTCCTGCCCTGCATGGAGACCTCAATCCATTCCTGTGCAGGCACACGCTAGCTGGACAGCTGCCCAGGCCTCGCCTGGTGTGCACTGCAGCATCCGCTGCCCAGAGCACCAGCGAGCAGGGAAGCAGCACCGGGCAGCAGAGCGGGGAGCGCGCATCACCTGCAGAAGGGTCCAAGGAGTTTTACGGTGACTCCTGGCGCATCATTCTGTGTCCCCTCCTTGAGCGGGTCTGTCAGCCATGCACAGCCAGCTTTGAAATTTTGGCATGCAGGGTGCTGGTCTCGCAGGCAGCATTAGCGCGGCTGTGAAACATTTGTCAGGTTCCATGAGGCACCCAAAGCCTCAGCTGCCCTGCATGCAGAAGCTCGCTCAATGCAGTAGCTTGTGGTTGATCCAATGATAGGGGCATGTGTGTTATAAAAGGGAGTTTGATCTGCTGGTGTCACAAGCTGAAATATTGCTGATGGCGTGTGACAGATGAGCTGGAGGCGTACATCAGTGAGCACGGCTCAGAGAGGCTGCTTGAGGAATTAGCTAAGCAGCCGCCGCGCTTGCGTAAAGAGGACTTCCCTGTCACCGGCGGCCGAAACCGCGGCTACACGCCGTTCGAATACATCACATTCACCGACGAGCTCATCGAGCACACGCTCTCTATCCAGGTCTGTTTACTTAATAGGATTCTGTGCTTCTGAGATTGGCAGATTGGGTCCAGCATGTGTGTGCATGCATAAGCTGGGCAAGAATGCAGGCAGCAGTGATGATAGGGAATGATACTGGTATTTTTGCAGTTCTTACTGCACCCTAAACGAATCCCCAACATCCTGCCATTAGTGGCAACAAGAGGGTGTGTGCACATGCTGAACGCATGGCTGTATCCTCTCATAACAAGGGCGATGCATGTGTGCTGATGTGCTGTGTGAAATTGCAGGTGGATGCGCCTGTGAGCAAGGTGTACCGCGTCTGGGCCAACCGTATCAATTACAACGAGTGGTTCGACCTCATAGGACAGGTGCGCGATCCAGCTCTGACCTCACTTGCACCATTGCCTCGCCTTGCACTATACAATCCTTTGCACTCGCATCAAGATCCATGCAGCCAAGTGTAGCTGCATGGTAGTGTCATGGGTGAGCCATGCAAAGAAGCCGCATGCATGCTCTGGTTGCATCCTGCAGTGATACAACTTCCGTTCAGCCAGAATGGCGCTTCGGGCGCCCCTGTTGTAGAGGTTGCTGCGCCCGCCCTCTTCCAATTTCTCACAGAAGAGGGTCAAGAAATCCGCTAGCAACCCAACTGACACCCCCTTGGGGCTCTTACAAAGACCATTTATGTGGGAATGCAGGTGGTGCTGCACACAGAGGATCCTGAGTACGCCTCCTACTTCCTCTTCTACAAGTGGGGTGCGCTCCCAATCTCTACCATCCACATTGCTATAATCCGTTCTGCTGTCAAACCTGTAAGTTTCAGCTCGACTGCATGCGCTCCCGGCCTTGCCAATCCCATGCTGCCGAGCCCAAGACACGCGCCGTCAGGGAATGCCAATGCTGCGGAGCACCACAGCTGCCCTCCCAAATGCTACGAATCCTTTTGCCAGACATCTCAATGGACCTTTCTATGAACTTGAATTCGAATTCGAATTCGACTTTCAAATTTGAGTTCTAAAAATATTGCAAAACGTAAATTCGAAAGTGAAATCTATCACTCTGCCGCGCAGGCCAGCTGCCGACATTGGAGCTGTATGTGACGCTGCAGCGGACGGCGGTGGAGAATGACTACATTCTGGAACGCGCCGTCGATGGCATGGACCTCTCTGTGGGAGCCTATTTCAGGTGAGCGCTTCAAGCCCCCAGCCACACTCCTGTGCATCTTGTTCTTTCGACAGGTTTTGACTGGGCCTCAAGATAATCACGACAAACCGAGCCCGACAAACCGAGAGAGTCTCTGCCTGGCGCCCCTGGGAAACCTATATTATTGGCAGCTGCCTGGAACTTTTGGCAAGGAGGATGGAAGTTGTTCCGGCCGGCTCAAAAGCCCATCCGAAAACTCAGAAGGCCGAGACCAACCCCATGAGGTCCCATCCTGGTATTGTAGAGCCTACCACGGATCCCTGAGTGCATACAGCATGTATCAGATGTAGACAGCATGAATCACGTTTTGTCCTGCTAATGCATTGGGATCCTATGCATGCAGGACCCATCATCGGCAGGGCAGGGTCCAGGGCTGCTGTTGCGAAACACGATATGCAAGAATAATTGTATTCAGTACCCTGTATAATGGCTAAGACGACGTTGGCAGCAAGGATCTTGACAGGGGAGTTGATGCAAGCGCAGGGAGAAGGAAGGGGGGACCGAGGTCAGCCTGCGAGTAGCGTACCTCCTTCCGGAGCAGCTGCACCAGTACGTGGGGCCTGTGGGCGTCTGGGGGGACGTCAATGACATCCTGCAGGAGAACCTGGACATGATGAAGGTGTGCTCTGCACTCTGTACGCTGTGAGATCGGCACGCGCACAGAAGCAGAAAATGAATAATTGTCTGCATGAGAACGCGCTGACATGCGGCAGGAGATGAAGCTCTTGCCACACTGAAGAGTAACAATGGTGAATAGCATGGAAAGCAGAAATGCAGCGGCAGATATGCCTATCGTCAGGCTAGAACACGCACTTGGAAAGCATCTTGTGACGGACCTGGCACTGCAAGGCTCTTCTCACGATACAAGAAACCTGTGGATCTGTGCAGAAACTTGCGCCAAAGCTGTTGCTGACAGAAGGAAAATTTGAGTCTGGCGTCAATCTTTGCCCTCCATGATCCCACCTTGTGGCCTCGTATATAATTACCCAGTTCCCCTTAATTAAAGACCTGGTCCCTCTAAAAGATACCTTGCGTCCCATTCCCAGGTATTTGTGGAGGCCGTGGACGCGGATGAGCTGGATAAGGTGAGGGCGCTGGATACACAGGTCATGGACCAGGGCGTGGCCGACACCAATGAGGCCCTGGACGTGCTCAAGCAGCAGGTGAGTTGCTCTCTTTGCCTCAGATGACTCAGTTTGTGACGCCTTGAAAGTTACTCTCACAGAGCATATCTTGGTATGTGCATCTACCGTATAATTATTTTTCTCACAAATGCAGAGACAGGCAGATTATTCGATATGGCACAAGAGCTGACAAAGTATGGTCCCTGCCCTGCCTGGATGAAATTTCACTAGCAAAATAAGTAACCTCTCTGATCACTGGTTGTCTGTAAGTTCTTTCTTTGTGCCTGCCATCGCTTGCTTGTAGAAGGACGTGTGCTCTGGTCTTTTACATTTCTTGCAACATTTCTTGCGACAACGGCAGAATATTCTGCAAGGCTGCTGGATTGACAAGAAGCGAAGCAGAACCTCACAAGGGACACTGATGTTTGCATGCCAGGCAGCACTGTAGAATTGAGGCATTAGAGTATTTTTCTGGTGATGTGCAGCTGATTGATGAGGGGGTGAGGCCGGGAGAGGGGTCGCCGGAGGCGCGCGCAGAGATGGAGAAGGTTCTGGGGGAGATGGGCATCAACTTAGATGATTACCCCGATGACTATGCGGATAACTACGACGCTACTAAGCAGATGATGCAACAGGCGCCAGCGCAGCCGCAGCCTAGTCAGGCGCGGCAGGAGCCTCCTGCAGCTACAGGCACTGAGGTGGGAGATTATAAACGTGGTGCTTTTTTGCAAGTTCCATGCACCATACTTTGATCAGTCTTCTGGTGGAGTGAGGCTGTTTAATTGTTGCGGTAGAAAACTTAGCAGGGCCCCTCGATGCAGTCATCAGTCATGCTGGCATTGGCGGATGTCACAACGGTGCTAAAGTGTAAAAGGAAGTCTCTGGCCAAAATGAAGAAGGCATGCAGAGCATTGTGGCATGCAGGTTTACATTGCACCAGCAGTGCCGGCCGGTGGTGGGTCAGGCTCTTGAAAAGAGGTCGTGTTGGTGCAGGATAAGCAGAGGCGCAGCCGAGCCCCCAAAAGAGCGCCGGCAAAGGCCGTAGCGCCCTCCGGTGAGTCACAAGTCCTGGAATGCATCTTGCTGAGTGTTGGAGCGATGGATGTATCTTGGATGTCCGAGAATGAAAACATGAGTTCCTATTTCTAAAGGCGAAAAGGATTCGCGGCGGTTGAGACACAGGCAGATTGTCAAGATGTCTTTGCACATGCTGCTGCTTGCACGCATTGCGTGTGGATATTCTCCCACATGCTTTTGATTGAGGCGTGTCTTGATCAGCATGACCACGACCCTTTACTGTGTGCCACAGCTTGTCAATGAGCTGATCAATGCATAGAGTGTCTCACATCACATTATCCTGTGGCGCTGCCTGCGCAGGGGTTAGAGAGCCGGCCGAAGCCAAGAAGAAGCGGGGGCCCCAGGCATCCAATGCCATCACAAAGGAGGCCCTGCTGGCATTCTCTGGCAAGCCACAGACGGTGTGCTTTCCCCTATTCAAAGTAGCTCTCCCACTCACAGCATGGGACATTTTAGGTGCCCTGGTGGCTCTGCAAAGTTTTGTGCGCGCCTTGTGTTGCCTGCCATCGGCCAAAACAAAGAGCTCAAAACAGCGCAGCAGTGTGCGATCAGATCTTTGTCGAGTCAGTGTGTCACGTACCTGCTTGCATCCTCCGGCAAGACACAGACGGTGTGCATCCTCTGTTAAGCATGAACACACCGCCCACTGCATGACTACTCATAGGCATTGTGCTGATTGTGCACGCCATGTGTTGCCCCCCTTGCATGACAGCCATGTAACATACAGCTCAAGGCAGCAGCAGTGGGTGATCTGCTTCTTGCTGAGTCAGCGCGTCAGATGCTGAGTCTGTTGCAGCGTTGTTGAGATCCTGAGATGCTCAACAATTCTGCGCTGCTCACCGGGCTATCTTTGCCTGGTGCAGGTGTGTCTGTGGCAGCCCAGATGGCTGAAAAGTGCATAATCAAGCAAAGCGAACTCTGCAATTGATCCCCTTTTCTGGTGTGTTGCTGGTCTTTTTTACTGGCGCTGTGTGGGTGTGCAGGAGGCGGCAAAAGCTTTTGGGGTGAGCGCTTCGACCATCAGTAAGTATGCGCGCGAGTATGGCATCACCTGGAGAAAGACCGTGGCCGGTAAATTTCCTGCGTTAAGGGGTGTTTCTAGTTCAACTTGATGAAGGGAACAACCGCTGTACCATTCACTTATCCCTCTGGTGTTCACTATTCGATGTGCAGACCCGGCATTCTGATACCTGGTCCTCCCAGACTGCTAATGTGCATGTCTATTGCTGCTCAGCGCTCTTCTGTTTGAACCCTGGATTGGGGTGTTGTTTTGATATAATTCTGTGTTGTGCCTTGAAGGGAACAAGAGGATGGAAGAGAAGAGGCAGAGCGAGCCTGGAGCGGGCGCGGGAAAGCAGTGAGATTCAATCACTGCAAGGTTCCAGGGTGCAATAGCATCGACGCTTAACCGCTGCGCGATTTATGGTCAAATGCAGGCCTTATGAGAGTGATGCACAAATAAGGGCCATACGTGTGCACTTGCTTTTTGCATGTCCTATGTTGCCGCACTGAGTTCATGAACATGCCAGCTGTGCGAGCAAGCCTGTTCGTTCTGTAGGAGATCTTTAGATGCTGAACTTGAATCTTCAAGGTTATGTGGACCATTTATGCATACGAAATTGTCTTGCACGACGTGGAGTCATGTTCGAAATTCTAATGCCCATGGACAGATCTTCCCCTGGCGGTCTTGACATCATGCTCATTGCGCACCACACGGTGAACATGCACAGCTGCAGCATCATGCACGGGATAGTATGGAGGATTGACTGTACCTCAGGGGCACGCAACAAGGATGTGCATGCATGCATGACACTGTCAGTGACTGCGGAAGGATATCTTATCTATTATACACGATCATAGATGCATTCATAAAGATCAATGATTGCAGTGACAGGCCCAGGCTCTGCCAGCAGCCTGCAACATTTGCAGTGCAGCAGTGCCGGCACGAGGCATGCAGCCTTAATGAGGCTAGGTAAGCGTCAGCTCTTTCAAGGGCTTCGATCTAACACAAAGAAGTGCGACAAGGAAGATGGCCCAACAAGTGGCATGAGGCCCTGCCCACATCCACATGGCCTTTCCACGTGGCCATGACAAAGCAAAGTTCAGAACCTGAAGAGCCGGAGGGCGAGAACTCACTGGAACTAAAGCTAGATCCAGCTGTGGTCGATCGCAAGTTCTTTTGCTAACAATTACACAGCCTAGTGCAGTGCAAAGCGGTTCACGCAGTGCAGTTGGCAAGGTCTAGATCACCTAAATACTTAATTAAGCTTTATAGAAAGGATCCTAAACGGGTATTCCTTCGCAAGGTAAAACTGTGACTTTTTTGGTACCTTGAGTCCTGACAAGGAGAGGGCTGGACGTGACGCTGCCTCATCTTTCAGTGCCTGCCTGCAACGAAGGGCTCTATGTACCTTTGCTAAAAGCGTGCAGTGCAATCGTTTTATATTTTACATCTACAAGGCGCTGAAGTGAGGGCCTGGGGAGCCGACACAAGCCAAACGCCAAGTGGGCTGCCCAGATCAGGAGTGATGCCTCCACTGATCGACGCAGATACCTGAAAGCCCAATGGTGGAAACCAAACAATGGAAGGAGGTCAAGGGGCCCCTTTCCATAAGCCTGGGCATTACAGCGCTGGTGTGGCTGCTGCTCTTTGTGGTGGTCATCCTTGACCCGACAGGACACCATGCTGGCAGCAACGAGCTTGACCAAGCAGCATCCTCCACTCAGACCTTGCCAGTGAGCCCCTTTCTTCTTACTACCCTTGATCCCTCCCACTACTGCTGCATGCCTTGCGCCGTGCTCAATACCCAATAAGCCTAGGAGAGAGGCTAATGCAGTCAGAGCTCTGCACTTAGTGGTAGACTGCCAGTGTAGGCAGGGCCACTTGTGTGCTGCATGACTCAGTCTCTGCACTCCATCTCATGTACAGGTCACAGGCAATGCTCAAGGGCCGCTGCAGGGGGCAAAGGGGGCTGTGAAGAGCTCGGGATATACACCCGAGCGCCCCCGGACGGTGCCCTTTGATTTCAGCTATGCAAAGGGGTCAGATGATCTGCCCCTAGACCGGCCGCCGCTGGCCAAGATTGCCTCAGAGGTGGAGCCGGAGCAGATACACATTGCGCTGGCCGGTGGGTGAACACTGTCCTCAGCAATGGTCATCATTTTCTTTGGCTGGCAGACCACATCGGCTGGCAAGACACACAGCCCAAATTACTGCATGTCCAAATCATGTTGCTTGGTGTCTGCTTGACCACACATCCTTCAGTCACGGGAGCATTGCTGCTGGAGATGCAGGCAACACTAATGCTCATGAGCTTGCCAGGCCATGCTGTTTTTCTTTTTGCTAGCTGGTCGCGCCGAAACGAACTTGGCAGTTCATATGGGGATGGGCAGGATTTACACAGGTGATAGGATGCTTGCTGTGCAGGCGAGGGCGCTATGTACATCTCTTGGGCAACAGGGAATGCTAGCGTAGTGGAGGGTCTTCCCCGAATAGTCTCCAGGCACACGCTGGCATCTGTGGTGAGCACCATGTCTCCCGTTCTGCTGGGCGCCTGATTTCTTCCAAGGGTCTCCATGTTGCCTGCAAAGCCCATGCATGACAATCCCATATGCAAGCCCTTGGCGAGACAGACATCTGTAGTACTGGAGTTTCCGCTGAATAGCAAAGACGCCTGCTCCAAAAAGGATCGCGCAGCATTCGAGCTCTGGTGTGCAGCGGCAACACATGCTGCCCGTCCAACACCACATCACAAGGCCAATTCACCTCCCACTCAGCTCCGCGCATCTCGGCCTCTCCAATACCTTGTTTGAAGATGAACTTGAGATTTGAAAACTGTGCAGGTGGTGTACGGCAATGAGAGCGGCTGGTATGACGGTGTGGCGAGCGGGGAGGCGACTGCGTATGTGCAGACGTACCCGGATTTTAGCTACATCTCTGGGACATTCCACCACGTGCGGCTGACTGGGCTGCAACCCAATGCCAGCTACTACTTCAAGTGCGCGCTGGCTGCTCTCTATATACTTTTTCTTCCTTGGCTCATCTTGCGTGGTGCGATTGACTGAAAATGTGCCCCTGTCTTGCTTCCCCAATCCCCGGCAAAGCCTAGCACAGTCATTCCCGTGCATGCTGTCTCCTGTAACTACCTTGAGTCCCAGTCCCGCAGATTAGTCCGCGTTTTAAACCGAACATTTAGCCCCCGCCATAAACTCTGTAAACCCCCTGCAACAGGTGCAGCGACCCCCATCGCCAAGACCCGCAAGCTGCGCTTCAGCATGCCAAACCCCGAATTGAAAGCTGCGAACACAACCAACTTGCGATATTCTCTGTTGCAACAACCCTTGGTTTCAAATCCTACAATTCCCCTGCGGCAGGTGCGGCGACCCCGGGGTGGCGATGAGCCGCGAGCTGCGCTTTGCCACGCCGCAGCCGCCCGGGCCGGCCGCCTTCCCGCAGCGCATTGGCGTCATCGCAGACCTGGGACAGACCCACAACTCCAGCGCCACCCTCCAACACCTCATCCAGTCGCAGCCGCCGGTGCGCGCGTGGCATGATTGTTACTAATCTTGTAGTCGTGATGTTGTCAGCGCATGCACAAATCCAGCCATAACTTTGCAACACGTCAACCAGTCGCAGCCCCCGGCGCGCGCATGTCTAGATGCTTATTTGCCGCTTAGTCACTGTGTAGTCAGCACATGGACGTTTTCAGTGTCCACTCTGCAAGAGCTCATTGGTGGCAGCCCCCGGGCGTGTGCAGTCCCAAAGTTGGGGCTCCTGAATTCTTCTGCCCTGAATCCTTCTGCTCCCACTGCAACATGTGGCTTTCCCAACGTAAACGCTGAATCAACTCCTTTCTGCTGCGCAGGTGGTTCTCTTGGTGGGGGACCTGACCTACGCAGACAACTATTTCACCAACGGCACGCTTCGGCCGCCAATGACACCGCCAAAGGCTTACCAGGAGACTTACCAACCGCGCTGGGATGCCTGGGGCCGATTTGTGGAGCCGCTCGTATCACAGGCGGGTATACAAATTTTACAGTTCTGGCGTCCACCCCAATGTTTCTCTGCTGAAGCTCTGTAGGAAAAGTACTGATCCTCGACGCAGCTGCTGGCTTTGCTCTCTAGGTTCAGTTATGTTGCATGCAAATTTGCCTGACACGCGACCACTTCCAGATAGCTTCCCTCTCTGGATATCTCCTTGGTGGTGGCGTCTCATGATGTCCCAAGCTGAGATCCCTTCAAAGACAGCTCCTTCAAGTGCAAAGAGGCTATTCTGGAGGCTACTTTGGTACTGAGCTCGCCACCTTGCATGTAGCTGCGCCCTGATGCGTTTAAACACACTTCTTGGACTCTTATCCTCGTGTTTGGCTATGGATTTGAATGTACAGGTGCCCATGATGGTGGTGGAGGGCAACCATGAGGTCGAGGCTGACTCAGCAGGCAAGAGCTTCCAGGCCTACAACGCCAGATACCGGGTGCCCCATGCGGAGAGCGGCTCTGACTCGCCCCTCTACTACTCCTTCGATCTCGCAGGTGCGGCACTGCTCCTTCTACTATCATTTTGATTGGTACATGCTCTTCTGACCAAGAGGAAAATGGCGTCTGCAGAGAAGCTGCAGGTAAAGACTGCCAGAATCCCACCCCTTGTTGGACTCGCCAGATAATCGGGGCACGGCGCTCGGAAATTAAACAGCCGCCAGACAATATAGTTCTAGAATTTGTCGGGTGAGCGCCCTCTGCAAGGCAATGACTTGCAGAACCTGGATAGTGGACGCCTTGTTGTGCTTGTTTGGCTACACCAAATGCGTTTTGTAAGGCACCAGGCACAAATGGACTTGCATGTCTAGCTTCAGCAAGTACTTGTTGTCCTGTTTTAGACATCAACAAGTGAAGTTTTACTGCGCTATGTCCAACTTTGAGTTGCTTCTGTCCCTTCTCGGAGTCTATATATGATGTCGTATATCTTTTGAACAGAATAAACAGAGCGGTAGGAAAAGAGATGGGGGTCGCATTGTGTGGGGGAAGAGGGCGGCGGGCACAGCCAGCAGTGCACAAATGAGTCCCAGGGCGCCGTACGCATTGGGCGAGCTGTTATAACAAATTATAACAAAATGATGGCTGTGATCTGGCATGCGAAGGGAGCCACATTCTGATGCTGGGGGCATACGCCGATTGGGGGGAGGGGAGCGAACAGTACAGGTGGCTGGTCGCTGACCTGGCGGCTTACAATCGCAGCAGGACCCCCTGGCTCATCGCCACGTTTCACGCCCCCTGGTGACTCAGCGCTCCTGTCACCTCTCTCCAGCATACCGCTTTCTTCTGCGTTTTTCTGTGCTTTCTTTGGCAACAATCGGCCCCTACTGTTACAGTCCCTGCTTGCTTGCAGGCCCTAAGCACACGTGAAACCTCCTGTTGAGCCGTACACAGTAGCCTGCCCTTGCCTCGGAAGGGAGGCGTTCTTTTACTGCGCCCATATTTCTCATTTTCTACTGCATCCCAGGCTCTTGCTGAGTCTCACTTCACTGAGAAACCTAGGAACCTAAATTTCTGTTTTTTGTTTGTTTGTAGTTCTTGTCGTCTATTTATCAATTGGGGATGTCTGCGCAGGTACAACACATATATTGCGCACTACAAGGAGCTGGAGTGCATGCGGATTGCATTGGAGCCGTTGCTGTACGAACATGGGGTGGACATCATTTTTGCGGGGTGCGTCCCCTGGGGAATCACCTGACTGGACCTCCAAAGTTGCATGCCTTGTGATTTTGTAGTGCCTCGCATGCACACGATAGCGTCTTCTGAGCACGCAAGAGCAATATCATATCCAACTGCCTCACCCCGTCCATGTGCCTAGACTTTAAAAGCTCAGCTTGCCAACTGTGACCTGCAAACAGGCCGGATGCAGATGGCAGCTTCATTTGAGCATGCTAGAGCAGCATGGTAGCCATGCAGCTTTGCTGGTCATTCAGCTTTTCAGCTGGTGCGTGTGAGGTTTTAACTTGAAATTGACAAAATTGCTGCCATGGGTCAGGCATGTGCATGCGTATGAGCGCTGCAACCGCGTGTACAATTACACCGTCGACCCTTGCGGCCCTATTCACGTCACCATAGGGGACGGAGGTATGCATTTCCTTTCTTTCTTGCGCAGAGCACCAGTATTGGCAGCCTGGGTTTTTTTGTCACATGTTCATCTTGCACGCACTGCATGTGAACTGCGCGGCAGCTTTTCTCCATTCTTGGCGCGTTCGCACCAATTATTTCTGTCTTGGAACCTGTGTTGACTTACAATGTCAGCGGCAGCGGTGACATTCGCACTTGTGTGCTGAGCGCCAAATGCTAAGTGCCCGAATGTGGCATCTGCCCACATTTCATAGGTGCAGCTGTGCTCTGAACGCCAAATGCTGATCATCATCTACAAATTGGCGTTCGTGCGCAGGCAATATAGAGAAGCTGTACACGGATTGGGTGGATCAGCCGCCCAGCAACTGCCCGCTGCCGGGCACTGCGGCCTGCCCAACCCTGCAGGAGGGCAGCTTCTGCCCTGCCCAGCAGCCGCCCTGGTCCGCCTACCGGTGAGTGGCTTATTGTGTTGCCTGCAATCACAGTAGTTCAGCACAACATTCACTCATGATTTCAGCAATGCTTGCAAAACGTTTGAAGGATTCAATCTTGAAGTGATACAGTGGCTGAAGGCGTTTGAATTCGCACAGCGCAAGGCTACAATACTGTTTGTGCTACAGATTGATTGATCGAGACACATTGCCATTAGTTGTCAGTTAACAGGGCGGAACTTGGTGCAAGAGCTTGCTCCAGTCGTTGCAGACCACTGCTCGCGAGAACAGGGTCTATATGCAGCAGGGATTTGCGCATGGCTCATTCACATGCGGTGAAATTTCTTCTTAGACGCGACCATGCAAAATAGTTTGATGTCACATGCAGGGAGCCGAGCTTTGGACATGGTATCCTGGAGCTGGCGAGTACCACAGAGGCGACTTGGACGTGGCACAAGAACCAGGACAGCGTGGCTGTGGCCTCAGACACCGTCAAGATCAGGCGAAACTTGCAGTGTACAAACCAGCAGGAGCGGAGAAGATGACACTCCTGTAAATGCTTAGACTACTCTAGGAGATTGCAGAAGCGAGCAGGCATGTAAACAAGTGGTTTAATTGACGATTGACCGTATCCGGCAATATCTGGTCAGGCAGTCATCGAAGCGCTCCAACTGAGAGGGTCAGAACAAGGTTGCAATTGCAGAGTGCTAGACTGCTACATTGTAAGCCGTTCTTCTGTGTTTGTGGGTCTAGAAATCAATTGTCCCTACCATCACAATGCAATGAGTTCCCTTGACCAAGCACCATGGCCAGAGAGATCTGCAGCGGGGTTGCATGCATGATGATTAAACAGTAGAAGCTAGTGGGTTGAGCATGCATGCCATCTTGTCAAATCATGGTGACTTTTACATTGTACTAATTTTGGCTTTCGGCAGAACAAAAAACACTTTAATGCCAAACGACTCCAAGGATGCTGCGCATATATGCTCTTTAACAAAATGCTTGCCCACCTGCAACTGTCTTTCTGCGCATGACGCAGACCTTTCAAAATTGATACACATCTCGACATTCATGATGGCAGCTCCGCAACACTTGCTCGACTCTTGATGATCATGAAACAACTCAATTGAATCCATCGCGTTCATATATCAAAATTTGATTCAAGCACGTTTGATTCTCACCCCACATGTTCATGGACCGAGAATCAAACAGCTGTCGGCAGTTGCGGCCTCAAAATTGCACAGGATCCTCGCAACAAGATCTTGCAAGATCTGCATTCCAACAGAAAATCACATTGCCACTCACATCTGACGCTTTCACAATTCTGGGGCTGCCAACAGCTTTCAAAAAGATGCCTAGGAATCTGAAGGGTTGCGCATATGATCTGCCGAACAGGAATACGTTTCTGGCCCAGTGGCCAAAGTCATGGCTGTACAAGCCAGCAAAATTGCATCATACCGTCCTGTGCTCACACTCTCTCGCTGTCTAAGACCATCGTCCTCAGTCATCAAACTACCATGCTTGATGCTTCCGTGCATGCGAGATGTCTGTAGCCTTCTTCACAGGTATACAACGGCAAGCTGCATCGTCCTCTGCTGACTGACTGTAAAAGAAGTCTTTGTTGCTCAGGGCTGGCACTTGTCATTGCATATATCGCTGTAAAACTGCGCCGCGCCCATGCACACACATGGCCCACATTCTTAGCCGCTCGTCAGCATCATCGCTCTCTTCATCGCTTTTCCTCCTGCCCGTACCAAGACACACCTTTCAGTACTGCATGCGCAGGTGTGAAGGGCACGTTCCAGTCGCAGGCAAGTCCATTATCAGAGCGTCCAAGGCAACCAAACCATGCAACTAGATCACCAGCAGTGCGAGCGCGCAGGATGCAAGCAGTGATAAAATGTAACACAGAGACGCACGTCATCAGAATCCCAAAAACAGGGAGACAGGTACCGCCCAAGCTGCTCATACAAGTGGACATGCACGACATGCATGATTGAAAGTAATTATTACCTGTCCAACGAAGAAGGTTTATCAGCATCATTTATAGCCTGTTTCTGCGCTCTCGCCAGATCCGATGTTCTCCCCAGAGCTGGGCTGCTTTGTTCGGCGGCAATGCCCTTGCTTGAACGGACCCGAGGTACAGGTCGCGCAGCATCCTTGGCCACAACGACGAGCGGTCTCGAGGCACTGGACACTGCCTGGAAGTGGGTCGGTGACTTAGAACCCAGATTCATCCCAACAGACCAAGGCGTGCAGGACCGATCTGGGCTGATTGTCTCGGATTGTCACCAGTTTTGTAGACCTTCGTACAGCAATTTTTGTGCACGCCCGCGCCAATTTGATACCACGGGCTCGGTGTTTCGAGATATAATATTGCTGACTCAGCACAGACCACAATGTGCCTAATTAATCGCCTTCCGGTTTAACCTCCTCCCATGACAGCTGGCTTGTAATTCTAGTCACAGGGTGTCAACCCAGGCATTGCCAACTTGCAATTTCCATCAAAAGCACTTCTGGAGCCAGCATTAATGACTAATTTTGCTAGTTTGCATATCAGCCGATGCAATCCTTTTTATATAATCGATATATCATCGATGATCCATGATGCACAGGAGATGTGACATCTGTATATGCATGCTATGTTTAGTAGAGACTCTCGGATTTCTGACATGAGTATTCTGTCACACGATCTTGAAGATGTCTTTTCCCTGCTGACTTCAACACCAAGTTAGGACCCGTACTTGAGATGATTAAAGAGATCTGTATACATGTCGAGAAGCCTATGCCTTCAAATGTTTACTCTTTGCAAGCACTTGCCAACTCACACTGTCACAATCTACTCAATGTTGTGTATGTGCATTCGAAACCACACCTGTAAAGTCGACAAAAAGTCACCATTCCAGTATCGCAACAGCAAAGGTGCAGTCTCAAAAAGGTACACTTGGTTTAAAATGTGGAATATAAAACGTCCGTTGCTGCAGGATCAGCCAACGCAACCGGGGCATCGCCATGAAAAGGAAAGCCATAGCCTGAGAACCTGCTGCAGCGAGCTCTGCCGCAGCCCAAAGATAAGCTGGAAGAGGTAAGCAGGCGGCAGAGCTAGCTGCACGTCTGGGAAGAAGCTTCCTCTGAGGAGGGCGCGCCCCTAGAGACCGGCCTGCGCAAAGCAGCTCTCTAGCCGCGCCAGCACAGTCTCATCGCACAACCTGCGGCGCCCACACATTTGTTTGAACATTTGAAATTCGAAGGGTTTTCAGGCACGCCGCGTTTCACGGCATGACAGGGTCAGCCGGGCGAGGCTGACGTGGCGTGCCTGCTGTTGGATTCTACCAAACGCATGGATGCATCAAATGTCTGGATTGCAAGCATGGTTCAAGGCAAATTTGTTGAAGAGATGGTGACTCACTTTTCCAGGATGCTTGCGATGCGCTCCTGCTGCTGCAGCGGCTGCAGTGCTCCCGAGTGCTGCTTCACTGGCGAGTCCCCTGCGTCTGCAATAGCGCCACACACGCATCAGCTGACGCTCAAAGACAGGTGAGAAAATCCAGACTGCAATTGATCACAACAAAAAGCACTTTAATGCGGTAAAGGCAGCGTTTCACTGTGCCGTCCTGTTGCAGGAGGCTGCTGCACTCCTAGGTAAGGTGTGAAATTTTAAAAAGAGTCTGTATCTAGTCACAAAGGTGACTTGCATGCGGCAACTGGAGCAGATCTCCAGGTTGGATAACCTGGAGATCTGGTGTGGTGTTTAGTGAAACAAGAATAGTGCCGGTGCAACAATGGAGGACTCATGATTGCTGCAGACAATGCTGATCTGCAGCAACGGACAGTTGTGACAGGAGGGTAATTTGGGGTTCACCGTGAGTCAGCGCTGATGTGGCGGACAGCGAGGCGGCCGCGTCGCCGGCGGCCAGGTCCTTAGTAATGGCCTCGAACTCGCTCTTCAGCTCGTCCAGCGCCTTCTGCCCCTGCAGCCGCAGGCTGTGCGACCGCTTCAGCTGGTCCCTGCACATGCCGGCACATGTCAGCATCGCGCATGCATGTTCACTGCATCCTTTTGCCGAGCCCCGCAAACACCTCAACACCCGGAGTGAGGGATTGCTTTTTACTCTTTGGGACTTCCAATGCTGAAAGAAAAGGCACCACAGCACTCTCTACCTCTAATTTCTTTTTCTTATATTTTTAGGATTGTGTCCAGGTGGGCACATAGCAGGTGACCACGCATAACCGAATAGTTTTACTCAAGCCAACTTGATTGTGGAGGTCTCAACTGCTGCTTGTTTGCAGTTGTGAGCATTTGTATCAGGTGGGGGCATCAATTTTGCTGAGGTTGCAGCGCACCTCAATGATGTCACCTCGCTCTTCAGCACATGGCACACCTCCCTCAGCTGCGCTGTCTCTGCCTCCTGCAAAGGGCAGATCGACGCTCATCTCAGGGCGAAACATGTTGGTTCAGACAAGGTCATGTAAATCGTTGTAAGGATCGGCTCCTGGGCTGAAGGACTGCTGGCCAGGCAGACACTGTGAAGCTCAAGTAGCAATGCCAAGCGACGCCTGGTCAACAGATGACAGATACGGAAGTTCCAGTGCTCTGCCAATCAACAATCCAGGAGGGGGGAGCATCAAAAATGTCAAGTGCATTGAAGGCCAAGCGGGCTGGAGCAAAATCAAGAATTCTAACAGCACTATGGGTAGAATCGTTGGGCGGAATGCAATAATGGAGTCAAAGGGGAGACTGCAGAGAATGCTATTCATACCTTTGCTGCTGCCTGGTCCGCTGCAATCTGCGCCCTGGACAGCGCCTCTGCCTGCTGTCCCCTGCACTGCCTCCGGGCAGACTCCAATTCCTTCGCATCTGCACAAAAGAGCAAGCTCCTCTCCTTACCACTTGGATTACCCCAGTCCCAATCCATGTGATGTTAGTCATTGGCATTGATGCAAGCCCTCGGCCAATCCAGCTGCTTCTCATTGTTGTGTGGACAAGAAGCGTTGACATGGCACACATGCAGGGTTTGAGCTGGTGAAAGCCATGGTGCGCAGATCCCTTTTTATCAATACCACACGATGTTTCTGCCGGAGGCAAGGGGTGCAGCACATTAAGATGGAATGAAGATGTAAGTGCGCACCTGCTTCGGTCTCAGCCTTGAGCCGCCTATTCTCCGCTAACAGCTTCTCAACGGATCCCAAGGAGAAACCTGCATGCCAAATTCGCACACCTTGAGCTCTGGGCAGGTATATTGAAGATTGGTCGACACAACAGGTTGGTCAGGGCATCCCATTGGATGGATGCGCAGGGTCGCGTAGAGCACTACCTGAATTCGTGACTGCAACAGCAAGCTTGCTCGTCCTTGGAGCCAGCTGCATGCCCTCTTTCACCTCCCTGACCTCATACAAGGTGAGCTCAGATTGCCTGACTCCCAGGGCTGCACTGAATTTTTCGAGCGCATTGGATGCAAGCTGGGGCCCCTTGATCGTCCCTTGCTGCTCCAGTACAAAGGCATCGGACATCAGGCTTATGCTTACGGCTGCTGCATAACTGGCCTCTCCATCACAACGGTCAAGCCCAACCGGCTGTGGCGTGGGCAGAGACGATGCTCTCGCGCTGCTATGCTGAGACCACCTTGGCACTGGCGCTGCAAGTGCAGCAGCTGCGGGCGGCTCACGAACTGCAGCAGGGTCCTCGGCAGCCCTCGCTGTAGGAAGCCTTGGAATGGACAGTGATGGCCGCCCTCTTGCGCTCTCAGGCTGCACCGCTGTCCGTGGAGTTGCGCTCCCGGGTCCCCTGTGGGCGCCTCCTCCATCTAGGCGCAGGCCTAGGGTTGGTATCTTCGGCTTGACTGTCCTTTTCGGGCTAATCTGTCCTTCAGGAGGAAGTGGCCCCAGCGGAAGGCTGGTGACCAGGTCTTCCGAGCGCGGTGTGCTGCATGGGGAATCTGGATCCTCCGACGACTCTGCATCCTCGCAGCTGCTGGCGTAAGAGCTGTCATCGCTGTCTGTATAGTCTGAGGCCTGCTCGTAACGGGTGAGCTCCATCAAAACTGCACTGCTCTTGACTGGCCACTGCACCTTGCTTAAGACCTTCTCTGAGCTCCTCTCGTCCCCTTGGCTATCATTCATCAGAAAGAATGTGCCTGAGGTGCCCTTCTGGCCATTGTTTGAGCATTGGAACTTGATCCCGCGCAATGATATCGGTTCCCCGAGAAAGCCCCAAAACTTCCCTTGAATTCGAGGAGCCCTAGGGCACAGCCACTGGCTTCCTCCAGCTTCGTCAGCTCCATGTACATGAGATTGGTGCATCTTTGTGACTCGAGAGACTTGTTGTTCACTTAATGCACTCAAAAGTTTCAGGAGAGCAAAGAACTTCTCTTTGAAGTGACGAGTCTGACGAAATTCGACTCTGCAAAATACCATCAGGATCCAAGAAATTGTCCTGTGAATTTTGCAGCTTGATTCAGACCCTGCTACATCGTCAGTGACGATAAAAACCTTTTGAGCAGTAACCTCGGTTTACATCCGCAAGGGGGCCTTCAATCTTTAAGATGGCATTGAGGACCAGCTTTACGAGGACACTTGATCTGTCGGTTCCGATCGTCGGGGCGCCGATGGCTGGCGTTTCAGGACCTGCCTTAGCCGCAGCGGTTGCCAGGGCTGGAGGACTGGGGCTCCTCGGCGCTGCGAGATACACCGAGGCACAACTTCGCAAGTTCGTAATACTCCTGACTCAGCCTGCCTGCGTTGACCATCGTGCCCAGATTCATTGCTCAGATAGCGGCCAAGGGGACACTAAACTATCCCTCGAAGCCACTTCTGCAACATCCTGTCTTGCATGGCAGGGATGTATCACCATCTTGACTCCTGGGGAGGACACCCACAGGAAGGTTGCGCCTTTTCACACATATAACATTGTGCAATTTTGGGGACTCAGAAAGCAAAAATTTCCGCCTCACATACAAAGTGTATGCCTCGTTGCAGGGAGTTTGGAGATGCTCAGCAGTTGGCGAAGGGCAAAGGGGCGGTTGGCATCGGCCTGATGGCCTTCACAAACACACAGCTCCTGGCTACTGCAATCGACCTCAATCCCCACACCATCGTGAGTATCATGCACACACTCTCTCTCTGCACCCTGTGCAATTTGGAGTGAGGAGCATTCCATGCATCCACACTCGCGTCTGAAGGAAGATCTATGGAGGCATCAAGATCCAACCTGCTTGTTAAGTGAGAGGGTGTGCTGCACAGGAATTAACATATCTTCAATGATTACTTGATCTTAAATCTGGCACGTCATTGTGACAAATGAGCATGAATAAGGCTGCACTGGCCAAGACAATCACTACAGTCCTTGTGCACATGTGCAGTGGTTGTCCTTTGGGGATGTGGCGCCAATGGCAGCCCAAGTGAAGGCGGCAGGCATCAAGCTCATGATCCAGGTGCAGAGCGTGGAGCAGGCTGTGCGCGCTGTGTCCCTGGGAGCAGATGCTATCGTCGCGCAGGTGTGCTAAAACCAAATGGAGCAGCCTGTGCTCGGTTCTGTGAGCAGCACACACACACAGACACAACCTAGGAGCCTGCAGACCAGCATGCTTGTGTGTGGAGAGATTGGTCATTATAACGTGCTGTACATTATTCTCAAAGCTTACTGGATGTGCATTCTTATTGCATTCTGCTTAAGAGTCCGTGAGAAGGAGCAAGAGAGTGGCAGTTAACAAGAGTCTTGCTGCCTGACAAGACATGGGCCGATCACTGATCTGCACTGGTTTACGACAGCTAGGTCCTGATGAATTCAAATATGTATGATTTCCAACCATTGTTGTTATGTCTATTGACTTGTGTGGGTGAATGAGAGGTCAAACACATTTATAGACCCCTCATAAACTTCCAAATTATCAATGCAGGGCACGGAGAGCGGGGGTCACGGCGCGAGCCCCACAGGGACCTTCTGTTTTGTGCCAGAGGTAGTGGATGCAGTGGCAGGGATCGCTGCGGAGACCGGCGCGCCTCCGGTGCCTGTTTTGGCTGCCGGGGGCGTTGCAGATGGCCGGCAGGTGCGCGGCGGCTTCCGCTCTGCCAGATTGTGAAGCTATAATGTGTTTGTTCCTACCGTGCAGATGTTCAGGTCTGGCAGCATGTATAAGGGCCCTTCAATGCATTTCTTACTTGTGAGCTACTTAGGACGGAGCCTCTGGGACCCCGCCAAGTCTGGATGTCTGTCTTACTGCATGGTCTTTGCCTACTGCTGAGTTCATTGTGTTGCGTGTCACAGCGCCGCGCTGTGATACAGGCCGCCAGTATGATCACCTCTTGTTTGCAGCTGCTTCAGCTTTTGCAAAGTTTTCGTTGAGCCTGATGAAGAAACGGTGATGTTAATGTACAGGTAGCTGCTGCGCTGGCGCTGGGGGCATCAGGAGCAGTGCTTGGCACGGTACTGGTTGCCACTGAGGAGAGCATGTTCCCAGCTGCATGGAAGGTGAGTCAGAAACTTCATGTTCCACTGCAGCTTGTTACTTTACATCACAAGAGCCCAGTCTTATGGCTCCTTGTGCTATGTCTCTCCACAGATAGCATGCGATACCCGTTACGCGGCCACAGAGAATGAAAACGAATGCCCCTGCGGCCGTGCCTTCACTCGAGGCGGGTGCCCCGATGGTGTACAGAGATCTGTAGACCGATCGGCCCACAGCAAAACATGCAGAGCAGGAATGCGATGACCGGCCTGGCTTGATCTGTGACTAAGCAGGACATGCTGAAGTAATGAAGCTGCACCATTTGCAGGAGCGCTATGTGGCTTCGTCGGCGGACGACACGGCTAGGACGGTGCTGTTTGACGCGCTCGGCCCCATCGAGTGGCCGCGCGGCATCGACGGCCGCGCGCTGAGAAACCGATTCACCGACGCCAACCAAGAGCAGCTGCTGGGCAAAGCGAGTGTTCACCGCTGCACCTTCCCTGACTACATCCTTGAAAATTCTTACTGTGTCAAGAAGCAGGAGAGGGTGTTGCATTAATCCTCTGCTTCTTTGATTCCTTTCTGCGCCAATGCTGCTGTGAATGTGGATGCCAAGTAGTGGTCACGCCAGTATTGGCGTCAAATTTCAGAGCGCACGTGATCTGTCTTGTACTTCAAGAAGTGCACCCAGCCTCCGGTGCTTTGTATTGTGAGGCAGTGGTCCAAATGCAAGGGCACTGACACGTTGCCCTGGTTTCCATGACCACATCCTGCTCAGCATAGGCAGAAGCGATGGGCTCAAGACAGCATTTGTCTGATTTGGAGTTTGAAATTGGGCAGGCGGACGAGAGGGAACGCATGCAGGCGGAGCTGGACAGCGGCCGGGCGGAAGCCGATCCGGAAGTTGCCCCGCTGTGGTGCGGCGCCGGTGTGGGGCTTATTCACAGCATTCCCCCGGCAGAAACCCTGGTCAGGGGGATTGTGGCGGACGCGGCGGCCACTGTAGCAAAGCTGCACAGCTTGGTGGAGTCCTGATTGCGGCGTGCTTCCTTGATACAGCTTGCGCAAGTGCTAGTTCACTTGCATGCGCACTAGAGGTTTTGGTTTTGCCATGTATGTGTTGCAGGATTGAGTAATAATACGGCTTGGGCAAGTGCTAGTTCACTTGCATGCGCACTGGGGAGTGTTAACAACGTTGGTTTGCCATGTACGTGTTGCAGGAATGATTGAAGGACGTCTGATGTCCAGATCCAACCTATATCAGATTGCCCCTTTTTGGGGTCAGATCAGGGATTTTCAGAACATTTGGACGTGCGCCTTGGGTTGCGGCATGTGCATAAGGGGATAGGAGGCTGACAAATGCATGCGGAATTATGTGTCATGCATGTGATCTGTGATCATATGATCTGCTGGTTTCAAGTTATCCTCACTGGTATCATGAGTGATAGCGCTAGTCAGCGCTTTTTATAAATGTGACGTAAATGTGGTTATACCCGAGTTTGGTGGGTCTGCACTTTGTGATGTCTGTTTGCTTGGCGCTTTACACCCGATATGGTACATTACTGGGTTCGTTAAAGACATATGGGATACAACTTCGGCAGCTGCATCATGCAGCACTGTCTTCATACGGTAAGAAGAACGCCAATTTTTATGCATACATATAGAGGCATCTCTGCCCAATCTTCTCGTGATACTCCACAGCATCTGGACCTGCTCGAATTCGAAGCTCTCACTTTCAAACTATCTCTCGTCCGTGCACTCCTGCACATACTGTACATTCTCTGCTCTCGTATTTTCTTCTCTGTACTGGCTTATTCAACCAGCTGGCCTGATCACATCAAGGACCCAAGCTATCCACTTCTCCAATTGGTATCCTCAAAGCACAACCCAACAGCTTGGGCACACGACCTTCGTTGTTGAGCACTGCGTGCTTCACAATCATCGCCTCTCCTAAATCTTGGAACACCCGGTTGCATACTGTACACCAGCATCCAGAACCTTCGCAGCCTCTTGCCGGCATGCAAGCAGTTTCTATGCTTCCTTACATACATTCCACAGATTGGCACAACTTTGCCTATTTTGCCGCTGCGGCAGATCTTCAGAAGAAGCGGCCGGAGGGCTGGAAAACCTGGTGCCCAGCGCGGCGTTTAGCGCGCGTGGAAAAGCGGGGGGACCGGGCGCCACCGCTGCCCTTGGGCTCCCCCTTGGTGGCCGCCAGGCGGACCTCCCGGCTGTGATCCCTCAGCTCCGCGCGCCTGCTCAAGTGCAAGTCCCAAACTTTCAGATTCAACCTTCTTATTAATTGTTCTTCTCGTTATTGTTATTGCAAACATCCTGCCAGCAGCAAGGTGCATCTGCAGACAAGCTTACTTGAAGGCTGCTTAAATCTTGAAGTGGCCAAAATAATCGGTACCAACTGGGGTCCTGCCGTGACGCATTATGGATGCAGCCAGAACCAAAATTTGTGTGCGCAACAGACTTTCCAGTGCATTTTTGCTTCGTCTGTTCGTCAGGATGAAGCTTGAGCAACCAATAGTAAATGACAAAATCACAGTCCATCCAATCTTGATACTGAGAGAGGAAACCCATGATGACGGCAACATGACGAGGCTCCTGCCAGGGTAGCAAGCTAAGACGAGCCACAATCTTGCAGCGATTCAGTGCTGCATGCGACGCAGATAGGACGCTAGAGACATGCAGCAAGATCAGTGTGGAACTTCAGTCAGAGGCGTGAAAGGTGGAGATAGGACACCTGAGGTTGGGCGGTGCGTAGCCGAACGTCCCGGCGTTCACGAGCGGCATTTCATTGGGTCGCGCGCTCGCTGCCAGCTGGGCCTTTGGCTGCGGCGGAGACGCGCCCTCACAGGAAAAGTGCGCCGATCCTGACCCGATAAATACCTTTCAATTGATACTTGTGATGATCTGCAGCAGCGCTCTAAAGATGTGCGAAGGTATGCTTCTGGATATGGCGGTTCAGTTCCATGGTGACTACTGGATAGCAAGGGCCGGTAGACCAAAGGCCCGAGAGCTCTGGTGTTGCTCCTTGGAACAAACATTCAAGACAAAAGATTTGCAAATTTGACATGAGTAGCTTTGCAGGGTTGCAGAACTAGAATCTGATCAACCGTGAACGCAATAAATTAGCCAGCCGATGAGCTGGCCAATTTGCTGCCATCCAAGCCTATCAGACCCTAGTTGCATGCGAGTGCCTGTCTCTTCTTGACTCCCTTCTCATCAAGGTGGATGTTCAAAGCGAGGATACCAAGATTCAGAGGTTGAGGTGGGTTTGGTGTACCTGAGCGGTCCAGGTACAGAGTGGGGCTGGGTGGCTCATGCTCCATAGCCTGACTGGCACCGTAAGGTCCACACCCTGATCAGACACAAAGAGAATTCATTCCTGCCATTTAAAAATATATGCAAGGAGTCCAGATAGGCGATAGCATACTGTGGACTCATATTTGGTGTTTGGGCAACCATACTACAACATCTGATGAGTCCCACTGCACTTTGACCATCGTTTAAAAATCTCACTTGACGCAGTGTGTTGTCTGCCCAGAACCCAAGCAAATCACATGAGGCCAGAGTCATAACTGCATGAACATGCGTAGGAAGTATAGCGCAGGTGCTGCCTTTCAAGATGTTCTCAACAGCAAAAGGGTTGCAATTGCGATTCATACTAACGAGGAGGCAGTGTGCGCACATGGGCCCATGGCAGTCCTTCCAGTGACTCGGCTGGCAGCTCTGGGCGACGTGGGCACATGCTGCATGATCAGCTCCTCAGAGGCGCTGTCCACCTTAGCACGGCCTGACCTCCTGCCGGGCTGCACGCTCGCCAGGCGTACCCTGACCTGTATTGTGGCAAGTCTGGAACACGTCAAGAAACAGAGGCTGCTGTATGTATCACTCTCTATGTATCTTGTGCATCTACATTCTGGTAAGATCGAGGAAGTAAGCACCTGACGCGGCGTGTTGATCGAGAATAGGCCACCCTGCGAGATAGCATGAGTAAACAAGTTTAAACATACGGCAACGCAAAGTATCGCAGATCTCCGGTTGTAAAACAAGGAAGTACCATGCCCAACGACCTTTCGACACTTATACCTCCAAAGCTTCAATCTCGGTCCTGCTGACTTCCCATAAGCCAAAACAGAAAGTTGACAGCCGATTTACGAGTATCCTGCGTATCGGTCAATGATTCGAGACTGCCTTTACCAAACTTCCTGACATCAACAATACGGAAGTCCGGCTACAAAAAGACGCTAATGGTCGCTGTGACTTACTAGTGATAGTGTGGGAAAGCTTACACACTTTTTCGTGACGTTCTATCAAGGATGTGACCGGGCTATTCGGGGGACTCTGGTGATGAGGCCTCACCGAGGTGTCAAGCTTGTTCGTCGCCAGAGCGTGGGCGGGGATTATCTTCTCAATGGTCTTCCTTGCTGATGAAGTCCTCTGCGTATGCGAATAGCGTCGATCAGCCCTCTGACAAGCTCAAACGAAGAAATGAAAAGCCCTAGGAAACCGACTAGGACCCATACTGACCTTCACATCGGCTCCGGGAAGTCCGACGCGCACGGCATTTCGAGCTGCTCCCATGTCCAGTACCGATTTGTATTGCAATTTCTTTAGAGACCTAGTTTTGTGGCACTGCTTGTGGCAAAGATTGAGAAATCTTGGGTTCATCAAGTCAACCGAGTCAGCTTCTCCGTTGTTCTCGAAGACCGCAGCTGCGGCATCTGAGCGGGGGGCCCCTTGCTTCTGCTTGCCCATTCAAAAGCGGGAAGTGCACTGCAGTCTCATCAAGATTTATCATTGCCCAGCTTTTCTAGTAGAAGAAGCAACGTTTAAACGCAAAGAGAGTGTCCATGAGGTGATGCGCGCGCATTCCAGATAGCAAGGGCTCGACATCTTGTTGTATTGTTGGCTAACATCCTCTCAGTGGACAAAGCTAGGAGCTTCAGAGCGTTTGTCAAAAACGCCCCACGAAAGATTTCATACAATGTGCGTAGAGCAGACAGCACGCTATCACATGACGTGAGAATACCTCCCAGACATCTGCAACCAGATGTATATAGAGGAGATTACTCTCGACGGCTTCAAGTCGTACGCCACGAGAGTGACCGTACCCAATTTTGATCCTTTCTTCAACGCCATCACTGGTCTCAATGGCAGTGGGAAGTCCAATATTCTGGACGCCATCTGCTTTGTGCTGGGAATCACCAACCTGTCTCAGGTCAGTGTCACATTTCCTCTAGGACTGAATAGGGGACACATATCCTCTGTGAACAAAGAGATGAGGCAATTCGTTGGCAAATGGCAGATGCACAACGTTCCCATATTGTGAAGTCCTGCTTTGATGGTGCCTGCGTGTCGTAATGCACAGTGCACCTCGTCAGCTTATGGCATATTGCATGATAGAGCACATGCTTCTCCTGGTACAGATTCATCCAAACGATTCATTCGAGCTGTGAACACCCTTGCAGGTGAGGGCGAACAGCTTGCAGGAGCTGGTGTACAAGCAGGGGCAGGCTGGAGTCACCAAGGCTACAGTGTCCATCGTGTTCAACAACACAGACAAGGCCAACGGCCCTGTAGAGTACCAGCACTTGGACCAGATCACAGTCACCAGACAAGTGCGGACACCTCAATGCAGGAGTGTCAGACTTGATGACAGCACATCCCGCCAGTAGCGAGAATGTCAGACATGAATGTGCCCACAAGTCGCTCTGCTAGAACAGTGTGTGCAAGCCAGAGGGACAGTAGGATTGATGCCACACAGTGGAAACAAATCCAAGAGAGTGGCTGCATGCTACAGTTGCCAGGGCAAGGATACTGCTGCAGAAAGTGATGTCTCTGTCTGTTCTCTGTGCAGCTGGTCATTGGAGGCAGGAACAAGTACCTCATCAATGGCCATGTGGCACAGCCAACGTGAGAGTCCCATCCAAACTGGAGGCACACTTGCTACTGCAGCTCCTCGTGCTTTTCCAAAGCAAATTGACTCATTGACTTGCTAGCATGGTGGCACCTGTGGCAGGTGCAGCTGTCGAAATGATTTTTTTGTGGATGTCTGCTTCAGGCGGGTGCAGAATCTGTTCCACTCGGTGTCCCTCAACGTCAACAACCCCCACTTCCTCATCATGCAGGGCCGCATCACAAAGGCGCGCCCCTGCCTAATTAAGAATGATTTATACCCCACACGACAGATTGAGCGCACAGCGCAAGCAATATCTCACAAAAAGGTAGCATGCCATGGCAATATCAGTCTTGAAGATTGCTAAAAAAACATTGCTGCAAACAGGCTGGGAAAACCAATTTGCTGCATCATGTATGCATTGACGAGCTGTGCTCGCGCGTTGGTCCACATTCCTGCACTGATGTTGCTGGCAATATGGATGATACCTAATGGCCTCGAGGCAGATCAAGGCCTTGTCGGAGCAGCTTGTCAACCCATTAGAAAATCCGGCTGGGCCTCAATGGGTGCACCAATCGCTGACCTGCAGTAAGGTACATTGCTGCATAGCCGGGCGCTTTTTCTCCGAGAAAAGGAGGCCAGCCAAGCAATCAAGATCTGAGGAGCCATGCAGCACTGCCAGAGAGCCTTCCCCAGGACAGAATCGAGACGTGGGAGCTGACACGGCCGCCAATTTGGCATGCGTCCAGAACCAACAAATGCTGATGTGGCGCTGACCTGGCATGCTGACGTGGCACATGTGCGCGCAGGTGCTGAACATGAAGCCGCCGGAGATCTTGGGCATGCTGGAGGAGGCGGCCGGCACGCGCATGTACGAGACCAAGAAGGACGCAGCGCTCCGCACGCTCGAGAAGAAGCAGGTCAAAGTCACCGAGATCGAAAAGGTGCGCTCACTCTTGAATTTGTATCTGATTTGGAGCTGAGCGGGTGCGTGAGGACGGCGGATGTTGAGTTGCTCTTCTGGGCCTGGCTGTGGGTCAGAGAGGAGTTTAGCCGGTCAGCTAGCACAGTCGTGGATCCTTGTCAGCTCGGCACAGCAACGTGAAGCCGTGTGCTGTGGTGTTCTGTCACTTGCAGCAACGTGCACGTGAAGCTGGCGGGCGCTCTTGCATACTTGATTGTCTCAGCAGAAGGTTCAGCAAGCACAAGGGGAGCACGTGAAGTGATAGGCTGCCGAGAAGATCTGCGCAGCACCAGCAGAAGCAAGACACACGTTGTATCCCATAGAACCAAATGCCTCTCATCTTCATCGCAGTCGCAGAGGCACATGCAAAAGACGCACTGAAAGACATTTCTATCAAGAATATTCTGTAATCCGTTGTCTGCTGACGAGACTCTGATAACACCGGAGGTCTAGCACAGAGTGTTTCATGATTGACATGCACATTGACTTTTGCACACACGTGCGCCAGGTGATGAACGAGGAGATACTGCCGGCGTGCGAGCGGCTGCGGCGGGAGAAGGGGCAGTACATGGAGTGGCAGGCCGCCAATGCCAACGCCGACCGCCTCCGCCGATTCTGCGTCGCCTACCGCTACGTTCAGGCGCAACGGTGGGAGCAGCATTTGCTTTTGTAATCATTTGGCTTGGATCATCTCTCATCATTATTTCCTGGGTCTCTGGGGTCAATGATGACTGTGAAACGTTTTGCAGACGTTTCACTTGTTTTGAGGCTGCAACAGAATGTAATTGTAGGAGATTGTCTTGCAGCACACCTTCTCTGGTTGTCCACAGCCCACCATGCTGCACATGGAAGCAGTTTGCAAGGGACAGAATCTTGATGTATTCTCAGTTTGCGGCAGTGTCAGGGGGTGCAAGGGCTTCATTTCCTGCAGGACATGTGTCAGTGCATCGACAAGATGGTGCAATTATGGTGCAGATATGTCCATGAAAGTCACCACTCACTGCTGCTTGCCCGCAAGTTGTTCAGGTGGAAATTATAATGCATGCACTGATGTCAGCATGATCTGGCGCTGATGGAGTGATTATACCCCCTGCACCGGCTGATTTGGCGCCACTGGGGCGCAGGATGGAGGAGAGCGGGAAGGAGGAGATAGAGCGGGAGCGCGAGGGCGTGGCTGAGCTGGCGCGACTCATCGCTGAGCTGGACGCGGAAGCCGCCGAGAAGGAGCGCGACATCGCCCAGCTGCAGGCGCAGAAGGAGCGCCAAAGCGGACGCGAGGTCAAGGAGCTCGCCGAAGAGGCCGATGGACTGTCCAAGAAGTGCGCGCGCTGTTTCTGTAGCCTATGTCTTAACACTCTTACATGCTGTTGGTGTTCCCAGGCCTGAACGTGGTCTGTTTGCTGTGCCCTGGTCTTGATGGCATGCTATATGATAGAGTGCTCTCCTGGATTCCATATTTGATTTCTCCCATTCTGCAGAACTTTTCTCCCCCGCTGGCTGAGTGCCGCATGATGCCATGACAGATCCAAAGCTCCTTGCAAGTGCTCCCTCTAGTTGCCAGCCTCCAGAGTCGAAATCTCACAGCAGGCTCGAGCAATCAAGGTGGGAGTTCAGTGTGACGCAGCTGCGAACAGAGGGCATTCTGCATGACAGCACCCCAGTCATTAGGAAACAAGGGCAGGATATCTAAAAACTAAGATGTGGTACCGGCTGCCACAGGCTGGTTCAGCTCACGACGGGCAGGAAGAACGCTGGGGAGAACCTGGACGCAGAGAGGACGACCTGCGACCAGTACCGAGCATCCATCAGCGAGCTGGCAGAAGAGACGCTGGCTGCCAAGGTGAGCACCCACGTACTCAGAAGATTCTGGTAAACACGTCGCCAAAGTCTGAATCGAACTGGGGGAGCAAGGCTTCGTGCCTGAAATATATCTCCTTTATCTGTACATCGCATTGCAGCAGGCCTGCCCAGCTGCTGCTTAGGTGCCCTAAAACAGGCGTTTGAACAGTCGAGCGGTGCCATCAGAGCTTCAGGCCTGTCATAAGCATTGGGGGTCTTTGCTCGCATACGAAGCTGCCTGGATTGTCGAAGCCTTCTACTCAACTTTGTCTGCAACATCATCGGCCAGATCTGCGAGCTTCAATGGGCTTCTCTTGCAGGTGGCGGTCGCGGCCGAGGCGCGCGACGCGGCGGCTGCGGCGGCCGATGCGGCGGCCGGGGCGGTGGAGGCGGCTGTGCGCGAGCTGGCGGGCGCTGAGGCCGGGGACGGCCGCGACGAGTCCAACCGCAGCGTGCAGGAACGCCTGGCAGACGCGCAGACCGCCCAGGTGGATCCACCCCTCCGTGCTGTTTGTACAACCCATGCTTGTAACATGCAACCGCACAGGTGATCCCTCTCCTCTGTGCTCACCCCCCTTGTCACATGACCTTTTAGTAGGTTGATCGTGTCATGGTTACCCAGAAGCTTTTGGCCTTGAGGGTTACATATTTGGCCATCCCTGCTTTGAGCAAAAGGCTTGCGCTAGGACTCGCGTTAAAGCCGACCATCTGCTAACGAATTGAACTGCTACAAATGTACTTGAAGTGTCCATGCCTTTGGAAACAACCCACATTATCAGGCACTTCCCAGCAAGCACGTAGATGTCTGCAGTGCTCCATCTTGATCACTCACCCTTTCTGGCATGGAAACTGTTTCTGCTACTCTGGCAAAAGCACTCATCTTTGCTGGGGCAATCTCGCGCAGACTGCGGCGGAGGGCGAGGTTCAGGAGGCGAACGTGCGCGCGAAGCACCTGGAGAAGCAGCTGTCGGAGCAGCGGAAGGCGCTGGCGGCCAAGGAGAAGGAGGCCGGCTTGCTGGCGCAGGAGCTGAAGAGGGAACGCGGCACCGTGGACGCCTGCCAGCAGCGGTGAGGATAATTCTCTCCCTGATTTTGCTGCTCATGTGGTTTGGTTGTTGGTGCATGTTGATGATACACAAAGCCTGTTGATAACAGCGCCGCGCAGGCTAGCGTGAACTGAGATGCGTTGAATCAGACACGGGCAGTCTGGACGGCTAATGACACCGCATGAACTTCCAGCCCTGTCATGTACTTCTGGACTGTCCACATGGAGTGATAGGAGACTTATTTCGGCGAGTACGCTCCAATGCACGATTTTAGGCGCCTGACATGTGCTGTCTGCATGTTAAGGCTGTGAATTGGGGAAAATGGGTTTTGAGGGTCAAGCTCTGCCTAAAAACAGGCTGGCCAAGCTGGCCTACGACGAGGCAGCTGCCGCGCAGCTGCAGGCGGCTGCTGACACAGCGCGCGTGCAAGTGCAGCGGTGCAAGGACCACGTGGATCAGCTCTCATCCACGCTCACAAGTGCGCAGCCTTTGAGGCTCCATGCTGCTCACGCTAATGCCAGTATCTTAAGAAGTCTCAAAACTGGCATTACCACCATACACCCTCCGTATGCAAGGATCACTCTACAAGACGTTGCCTTTGTCTTGAGGCTGGCGAGAAGATCAGCAAGCATTTGCAGTGGCTTGAGAGGACGAACTTTACATATTATAGATCTCACCAGGACTGCGCTGCGCCATGAACAAAGCTCTAATGCGTAAAACAAACTTTTTTGTCCTGAAGCGTTGGAGCCATGGTTGTGCACGCAGGCATGGATTTCCAGTACAAGGATCCGGACAGGGGCTTTAACCGGGCGGCGGTGAAGGGCGTGGTGGCAAAGCTTGTGCGCGTCAAAGACCCCTCAACCACCACCGCCCTGGAGGTGGCAGCCGGCGGCAAGCTCTACCAGGTGACGTAATCTGTCAGGGGCTCGAGATATATATGAATACCCACTCATAGAGACTCCGAAGGCCTCTGTTGCGTCTCACATAACCTGAGTGTCTGTTGAGCCCCTCTGCCAGAGGAAGGCCTGTCTTTCCGGCATCCCTGCCAATTATGTCATGTAATGAGTAGCCACATTCAAGCAGTTATCTAAGACATTTGAGGTTCAGTGCATCCAAACAGAATGGGAGATGTCCCTTGGGTCCATAATGTCCTGCCAAACTGAACAATTATTATTACACGCTTTTCCTGCCGAAGGCAAGGTGCGCCTGCAGACAAGCTGCATGTAAGGGCTGCCAAACTCCTACCCCTTGTTGGACTCGCCAGATCCAAGCAAGACCCAATCAACCGTGGGCACGGTGTCAGTAGTTGTACCGCCCCCCGCCAGCCGGGCCCAACTGAACATGGGCCGGTCTAATTTCCTGAGGTGCTTGCATCAGTCCGTCCTGGCAGAGATGTTGTACTGCTTGCCTTGGATCAGTTGCGCCCGGTGAGATGAAGCATTCAACGTTTGGGTGTGGGCTCAGGTGGTGGTGGACAGCGAGGCAACTGCCAAGGCGCTGCTTAGCCGGGGGCAGCTGCGCAATCGCGTCACCATCATCCCACTCAACAAGGTGCTCACCCCACTGGAGCCCTGAACGCAATAACCCATACCTTGAAAACACCAACCCCTACAGCACTGTCCAAAAAGTGGCCTTGCACGACTGCGTTTGGTTATACTCCCCTTGTGATACATGGTCCAGCCACTTCAGCTCTGTGAATGGTTGTGAATCGAGTCCAGAGCACATGGTGCTTGCTGGAAACAACCCCCCGGCAGTCTTTCCTTCCGCACGATGCCTGCTTCTTATTACCCATCACAAAGCAGAATGCGGCCTTCCTTGCAGTTCTCATGAGCAAAGGTTCACAGCACACTCCGCCAAATTTGCTGCAAGGGTGGTCTTTGGAAGCTTGTCCTGTCTGGCATGTTGGGTGAACAAGCAACTGACTCAGCAGTGAGTCACCGCGCAGGTGAGCGCCCGCGTGGCGTCGCCAGCCGTGCAGGCGGCGGCCGCCAAGATTGGCCGCGGCCGAGCCACCATCGCGCTCGAGCTGGTCGGCTTCGACGCCGATCTGGGCGCTGCCATGAAATATGCTTTCGGCAACGCATTCGTCTGCAAGGTCCGCTAGCGCTTCCTGCACAATATTTCATGCAGATTTGCGTGCATTTCACCGGCTGAACGCAGGCACTTTTTGCTCTATGTTCCATGCCCACTGCAAGCTCACGCAGGATTTTGTGCATTGAGTCAATTGAAGGCATGTCGCATTGCGCTCTGTGTGTCATTAGTAAGTGGCTGAGCGGACCTGAGCAGACATACCAGGGCTTCATGCCAAAGTTTCAGGACATGCAGATTGCAGGCTTAGTATCCAAACGAGTTTGGAGGATCTGCAATATTGCAGATACAATTTTTGACAAAATTTTTCGTTGCATTGGCCAGGATGCGACTACTGCGAAATCGCTGGCGTTCCACAAGGAGGTGCGCACTCGGTGCGTGACCCTGGAGGGAGATGACTTCAACCCCTCCGGAACCCTCACAGGTACGGTGCCGCTCCACTCCCAATCAACATGAACCTGCTGGCCCCTGTCACAAAGCATGCCTGCCAATTGTGTTGCTGATGAGCCGCTGTATTTAATTGTCCATCATGCTGAAGGATGGTTGCAACCTTGTTGCCTGCTGTTCAGCCTGCACTACAGCCGGCAAGCACCTGACAAAGAACCATGGGCAGGGAGGTTTATGTCAGGCAGTCAACGCGGAGCATTTGAAATCAAGTTTGAGCAATCCAAATCTGGGATGCGCAGGCGGGTCGCGCAGTGCGGGCGCTTCGCTGCTGACGAGGCTGCATGAGCTGGCACTGGCGGAAGAAGAGCTGGCGGGCCACTCGGAAACGCTGGCCGCCGCCGAGGCGCAGCTCAAGGGCATGGCCGCAGCCGCCAAGGAGCACGCCAAGTGAGTGATCAGAACCTTGTGCTTGACATCTATCTATTTTGTGACTCTGGCAGCAGAAGGTCTCCTTGCTGGCGGTGAATATTGCGCCTTTGAGCGGGAGCGTCCCGTGAATCAGCGGTCAAGGAATGCACTGGAAGGAAAGCAATGCATTTTGCGCTTGGAGGGTGATCAATCTTTGCACTCCTGCGACCATCTCTACACTGGGGGATGCATTGCCAGCTCAGGCACGGAAGGAATCATTGTTCTCTATTGATATTGGCCAGATATGAAAGAAGGATAGTTCAGGCGCCCGTCCCAGGTCAGGCCAGGTCAACCCAGGGATTGCGATGCCCAAATGATCACTATCCCTTTCAGGCAATGACTAAGCACATGCAATGATGACTGACCAGATCGCTGCTGCATGTGTGCGCAGGCTGATGCAGGAGCTGGAGTTGAAGGCGCACGCGCTGAGCCTGCTGCAGGAGAGGATCGCCGGGTCGGAGAGCGCGCAGCTGGCGGAAGCTGTCGCGGCGCTGGAAGCTGACCTGGCGGCCGCCAAGGACGCCGCGGCCGCCGCCAAAGCGCGCAAAGCGCAGATGGCCGCCTCCGCCAAGGTGAGCGCGGTTATAGACTGGGCTCTTGCACTTCTGCCCTTTCTTGGCTTTCTGGGGGGACTTTGCATTGTGGTGCTTGGGTCCTGCATTGAAAGGAATTACTGAAAGATAAGGTCAAGGTATTTTAGCGCGGCATAGTCATAGTGCAGACTTCTGAAGGCATGCCCTAGTGCCCTTGCAACTAGACATTATGCATAGACTTCTCTGATCAGCAAATAACTTCTTCCTTGCATATAGATCAAACGATCTGGCTTGTATCTTGCCTACAATGAAGTGTAGACTGCTGGGATGGGATGATGGGCATGGCCAGTAATTTTCAGAAGTACAATGGTCCTTTTTGCACTAACAGGAGCTGGAGAAGGAGCTGGGAAACCTGGGCAAGGAGAAGGACAAGCATATAAAGGCGGCGCAGGCGAAGCTCAAGGGGGCGAAATCCGGCGCCGAAACCGTGCGCGGAAAACTCAAGAAGGCCGCCGCCGCTCTCGCCGAAGCGGCCGCCGAGAAAGAGGCGGCCGCGGAGGAACGTGCGGCGCTCGAGACGCAGCTGGCCGCTGCCGAGGCGACCGTGAAGGGTGCGCTTGCAGTTCGATTTGAACTTGAATCTGAAATGGTGCCAATCTTGGCGCAGGGCCCATTACGCTGGCGGGTGAAAGATAGGTGTAGCAGGGCAAGCTGACACTTTAGGGCCGAGTGGTCGTCAGAAATACCATGCTGCAGAGATACACTTATGTGGGGTGAGACGGAGTGAGTGGCGGAGCGATGAAAACACACAAAGGAATCCTTACGGATGAGTGGGAAATTGGCGATTAAGATTTGGGGGCAAAGGATGAGAGTGCGCTGCGCAGAGCTGGAGGCGGCCGCGGAGAAGCTGGACGCTGAGGTGGCGGAGGTGCGCGGCAGCTACGAGGCAGCTGCCGCAAAGCTGCAGGAGCGCCGCGACGCGCTGTCAGAGTGTGAGCGCGGCATTGGAGACCTGGCCAAGCAGCGGGCGCAGCTGGAGCGCGAATCCACTGACGCAGCCGTCAACAAGAAGAAGCTCGAGCACAAGTGCGTGACTCCATGACTCTTGTTCTCAGCGCATGCAATTTTGCTTTACTGTTACCCCGTGCGGTGGCATGTTCTGTACCAGAGACAGGCTCTGCTTGAGCAGAACTCAAGATAAGGAAGGATAGATGTCTATGTATTCCTCTGATGCACAATAAGTAGCTGCGATTCCTGCCTATCCTGAGTCCAGTAGTTTCTTGCATTACACATCGAACAGCCCAATCTGGCGCCGTTCCGATGCCTGACATGCTTTGAGGAGACAGTGTAGTGCCCTCCTAACCACTCTGGAATGCCTCAACGCTGGCATCCAACTCTACGTCAAATGATCCTATGCTGACACCAGCATGTGTCACATGATGCCAGGCTGGCGCGCATGGAGAAGGACGCGCGCGATTCAGCGGACGTGTGCAAGCAGCTCGAGAAAGAGTACCCCTGGATCGGCTCAGAGAAGCGCCTGTTTGGACGCCCGGGGAGCGACTACGATTGGACGGCGCGCGACCCCGAGGCCGCCTTTGCCGAGTACAAGAAGCTGGAGGACACCCTGCAGGGCCTGTCCAAGACCCTGAACAAAAGGGTGCGCGCAAGGGGCTTTGTATATCTTAACTCTCTGGCCTTCAGGAAACCAGATTTGCCCCACTTGGGGTCTCATACCACAGCATGCATAGCAGGTTATGTGCAAAAGGCAGGCGAGCATTGAACCCCTTTGACATGCATGCGGGGCATGGACATGATGATGCAGAGAATGAAACCCCTCTGGGACAAGCTGCAAGCTAATGGAGGCTTCAAAAAGATCTTATGCCTCTAATGCAACGAGGAGCAAAGGTTCACCTTGTGTACATCGCTTTGTCTTAGATCTGACATGACTCGCAATTATGATCTAATTTTGAGATGCTCCCTTGGAGGCCTGGAGAGAGGTAAAGAAGGGACGAGAGAGAGTTGTAAATGCTGAAATGCAGGCAAGCCCTAAAATTGTGAGTTGATAGGGATTGCATGGGTGTTGGAGCGCAGGTGATGCAGATGTTTGACAAGGCGGAGGCTGAGTACCGGGAGCTGTCTGAGAAGAAGCGCATTGTGGAAAACGACAAGGAGAAGATCAAAAAGGTGGGCGTTGACACCTCAGCATCCCTGACAATTCCCATAACAGCTGCAGTGTTTGTATGGACCTCCCAGTGCAGGAATTGGCACTATCTGTGACAAGCTTGCAAACAGAAAAACATGCAGGCATTGTCTTTCTGTCGCAGCAGAAAGTGACATGCTGTCAGGGACAAGCATCGTCTGTCCTTTTGTCCAATGCATTGATTGCGGATGCTGGCACCCAGATCCTTTGCCACAGATAGCAGACAGACAGGCAATACCCTTAAAAATTTTGTGGGGCCAACTCGATTAATTAAATGTGCTGATTCCTCTTATGTCACCCTCCATGAAGTGCCAGCATGTCAAATTGCTGACTCATGCTGCCAGGTCACCTTCAAAGCGCCAGAACATGGCCCACCTTCACAGACCTCGACACATGCGCTCCCACCTTCAAAGTCCTATGCACAGACACTTTGGCGCTGACATGTGCATGATGACTTATGCGCCAGGTCATCGCTGAGCTGGACGAGAAGAAGCGCGAGGCTCTGGGCAAGACGTGGCGCAAGGTGAACCAGGACTTTGGCTCCATCTTCTCCGTGCTCCTGCCCGGCACCTCCGCCAAATTGGAGCCCCCCGAGGGCGCCACCTTCCTCGACGGTGCGCCCCCTCTTGACTCTTTGATCTTTTAGTCGTGGAATGCTGTTTTCCCCCGACAGAGGCAAGGTGCGCCTGTAGAGAAGCAGTAAAATTTGCTGCCGGAAGTATCCGATGTTGCAGCTCCTGTTAGCGTCTTCTGAGGCCGGCCTGATGTGGCGTACATATTAGTCATCACTTACTAACATAGGCAAGGAGTGATCCATGTGGCCTGATTTGGTGCGCAGGTCTGGAGGTGCGCGTGGCGTTTGGGGATGTGTGGAAGGAGTCGCTGACGGAGCTGTCTGGTGGGCAGCGTTCCCTCCTCGCCCTCTCCCTCATCCTCGCCATGCTCCTCTTCAAGCCCGCCCCCATCTACATCCTTGACGAGGTCAGATACTGCGCGATAGCCTGTTACTAAGACTCTTCCTTGCAGACTGTCACCATGTGTCAAGAGCAGGTTGACCTCCTGTCCATCATCTCTTGAGAGACACATTGGCTATGCGCATTGTTTGTGGGGGGGCTGATCATGTTGGTGCTGGTCCATTCTGCTATTCTGGAAGGAGTGACACCTGTGACACACTCCCCATAGCACGGAGACCAGGCTATGCAGAAGGAACCATGCAAGGCCGGGGTTTCAGACAATGCTGTCGCTAGCACCTGCACATTGGGAACTGGACCAAGCATTGAGGCCTGCAACCACGCGGATAAGGATGATATCCATGCATTTGATCAGATTGAGGGAGGGGATGCAGTAATATCCACCCTTGGAGGCACCCCCGGCTGAGCGTGCGCATGAGTTGGGATGCTGCATGAGGGGCAGCTTATAATGCAGATTTATGGAACACCGTAGCAGGTTTGTACGGAGCTACTGTAGAGTCTTAAGCATCCTTGGGTGCGTTGCAGGTGGATGCTGCGCTGGATCTGAGCCACACTCAGAACATCGGGCGCATGATAAAGAGCCACTTCCCCTACTCCCAGTTCATCGTGGTGTCCCTGAAGGAGGGCATGTTCTCCAACGCCAACGTCCTCTTCCGCACCAAATTCGTCGACGGCGTCTCAGCCGTCACCCGAACCGCCACCCACCAGAAGTGCGCGCCCTGTTGACTAGTATTCATTCTAAACCATGCATTACTTAATTGTCTATAATCCTGCGGGTTTAAGATTTAATGAAGGTGGAATAGAAGATCATCAACGTGCAACAAACTGCCTGCAGAAACAACCTCTACACTGTTTCAATCCGGGCTTTAAATAACGAAAACTGGGTCATGACTTTATCAACTCTCTCCCTGGCAAGAGAAGCAGGGGGCTTCTGCAAAAGATCCTAAAAGCGACATGTCAAACAACTGCGAGATGTCGGCTCTTTTGGAATGGCCGCATTCAAAGCAGAAACTTTCAATTGATGACATGGCCCTCAGTGTTTTTTTAGCCGTTCGTGGCCAGGTGGGACCAGAAATTTGCAACAGGAAAGCACTGCGGCGGCTTAGCAGCATGTGTTTTGGCATGCAGGGAGGGAACAGCGGCTCAGCAGCAGAAGGCCTCGCAGCGCCAGAAGAGGCCCGCGCTCACAGAGAATGTCCGCGTATGAAAGGAGGATTGCACTGGCGGAGTCAGCCTCTTTGCAGCTGCGGGCATCACCTGCATGCGCATGCAGCTTTAATAGAAAGTTCTGCTGTTCAAATACGCAGTCAACAGCGAAGGATGTCTTTGTGATTGCACTGTGCGGCACAGTGGCAGTCCCCGGCACCATGCTCAGCAAGTGTATGTGGTTTCTCTGATTTGGTCAAGGTGATCACAAATACTTAAGTAAGCTTACCATATACGGCATTGATTATTATGGAATTGTGTCACACACAATACACTATTGTTTTGGCGGTCCCTGTACCGCGGTGCATACGGCAACCTGAGTCCATTGAATCATGCATCTAAAAAATCATGCATCAACCGAGTATTGTCATGTAGAAAGGGCCAGAAGTTGTAAGTGAATATTAGATCAATGTCTAACACTGTTGTGACTGATATATGAACTGCGGTTTGAATATGCTGACGAGCTAGTAGCTCCACACCTACATGGAAAGGGCACGTGAGCCTGTTCCCTCACGTCCTCTTAACGATGTCAAATTTGATTGCTTGCAACTCCTTGACTCTAAGCGTCGAGAAATGATCTCCTTTTTGCTTGATACCGGTCTGATTTTAAGGCATACTCATGTGCGTGGTGGGCTTTAAACACCCATCTGGCAGTATACTGATCAACAGTTGCGTCTTCGTGTGATGTCGCTCGGCATCACAAGCGGGCTATCAACAACAGGCATTGTTATTGGATGGGTATTGCAGGGCTATTAGGGCATGAGAGCTGGAAGCGTGCTTCTGATCGTGGGAGCAATCCTCCTCGTTAGTTTGCAGGTCCTCCCTTTCGCTTGATCGGTCCTGCGTTCGGCCTGTCACAACAATGAAAATGGAATTTGTTGGATAATCTAACGTCTTTCCTTGACGATCTAAGTTGTACAGGTTGTCCTCTTTGGGGACTACAACAAGGAGCTAAAGGGACTCTCTGAGCACGTAAGTGTCCCCACAGGACTTCTTGAATATCTCAATCAAGGCATGTGAATTTGCATATTCACTTGATACTTGTTTTGCTGCACTATAATGAAGCAAAAAAGACACATTTACACGGCTTGCACATCCAGGTCCACCGCACGGAAGAGCTCCGAAATCAGCTACGCCAGGCGCTGGAGGGCCATGCAAACCTCAGCAGGCTCTACAATGACCTCGATCAGCGCATGGGAGCTGCATACGACAGAATAGCAGGTCTGCTCACGACCTCTTCTAGGACATACAGCAATTGTACTTCATTCACTGCCAGGGCATGACCCACAATTCTTGTAACTTACTTGCTGACATCTTTCTATCATTACTTACTTTACAGTCCTGTATCTGCCACCCAGGCATTTCAGACCCTTATTATTTAGCATGCCCGATCATGACCAGAGCCCCCTGTGAAGCAACTGATGCAAGCTTTGCCTCTATGTGTGCCTGCAGAGGAGCAGGCGAGTGCATCAGCAAGCGAGGCAGCGCTCAGGGAGAAAGCCAGGGGAGGCTTCCGGCAGACAGGCTTGGGGACAGCGCCCCACAGAAAGGTTGATGCAGGAGGCAGACGCAGCAACGGAGAGGCCAAGGCACACATCTACCCCTCGGGGCACGAGGATGAGGCGTGCGTCGGCCCCGCGCTCGATACAACGGGGGTCGTTGCAGCGGTTGTGAGCGTGGTGTTCAACCGGCCTGACTACCTCAAGCGGCATGCTGCCTCCCTCCTGGCTGTACACGGCTCGGATCCCACCTTCAGGTAAGGCCACAGACCTGATTTGTGCAAAATTGGGCAGGTTGATCGAGACTAAGCTTGCAGTTCTTGACTGCATTGAGGACAAGCCCGCTGCACAAGGGGACTTGTGTACAGCAGCACTGTTGCTATTGTGGAGCTCACTCAATCTTCTTTTTGGCTTTGCCAGTCATATGTAGATTTTGAAGTGGCGGTGCTCACTTTACATGTGAAGTATGCTGGTAGGGAAATGCAAGGAGCTGCTCGATCCAGGGATTACAACAGTTGGCACCATGTATTGTGTCTTGGGCTGGGAATTATGTTGTGATTCTTTGCCTTGCAGGCAGAAGTTCCCGCTCTTCTTCTCCCAGGACGGGAATATGCCTCACGCAGCGACACAGGAGGTAGCGCAGTCATATGAGCAGGTGAATGCGTTTTCCTGCCCTCACTCAGGGCTGCCAAAAAGGGCCCTTGCACATGCATTCCACCACCGCGCATGCCATTACAGAAGACATAGCTGTGGCAGCCTAATCAAGCTTCTGCACTTCATGGGGCCGGGCCTATGGTTGCCTTCTGTGACAGAGGACCACATGCCAAGAAACAGAGCCAGCGGGAACACAGTGATAGCAATAGAGAGTTTCCTACTGAATTTGTAGTATTTCTGCAGAGCCCAGGGGTTAACCTGATCAGAAGGGCTGTGCACCACTAGAGCCTGGGCATATAATGGCACTGACAGCTCTGCTGGTCTGCCAGTGAACCAGCTATTTTGCCAAACAGAGCGGCGCAGCTATGCGTGCTTGGTACAATCAGAGGATGCCGACAAGCCCAGCTAAGGTGTCATTACATACTCGTTATGCCTTCTGCCTGGCTGCCTTTGCCTTATCATGGGCATCTCTACTGTGTCTGCCGTCCAGACGCTCGTAACCACCACAAGGGAGATGCCAGCAGAGCTTTGGGTGTATAATTGTATTGGGAGGAGGTCCCGGGCTCCCAAGATGACCATCAATCTTTGCTGAGGGATCTCTTCTGTGTCAGTGTGCAACCAGAATGGCAACTTCTCAGATGGCCTAATCCGGCACAATGAATGCATGCATGCGCAGATATCGTACCTGCACCATTTGGAGCGCGTGGCCCCGGTGGTCCGGCAGAGCCAGGAGAAGATCGAGTACTACCGCATCGCAGCGCACTACAAATTCATCCTGCGCACCATCTTCGACTGCTTCCGCTACCCACGTCTCATCATCCTCGAGGTGACTACTTCATCATGACTAATTTTACTAACCCAGCGCCTTTTCATGCTGGAGGTGACTTGCTCTATTAAGCTGGTAGTACCAACCCAGCGCCTCTTCATGCTCGAGGTCAGAAAAGCATACGAATCCATAAACAATCTTCATGTATCTGTCCAGCAGTTACCGACCAGGTCTTTCACTTCTCTGTACATCCTTGGGAAGCACTGCGCTTGGGGGCCGAAGGTGGCCGCGAGAGCTTTCACTAATTATGTTCGCGTGCGATGATGATCAGGCTTGCATGCTTACGCCCAGTGTATTTCCGTCCTCGGCAGCAGCAATCTGGATGGCCTGGCCGCATACTGGGAAGAAGCCATTGTAGGGCCAGGCTCTGTGGTCTGCTTGCATGCATGCAGAGCTGTGCTCCCATGGAGTGCCATGGCGTTATTTGTGGTAAGCCGGCAGTGAAGATTTGGATGTCTCTCATGTGACTTTCATGGCTGCAGGAGGACATGGAGCTGGCGCCTGACTTCTTCTCCTACTTTGAGGCGCTGCACCCGCTGCTGGACACCGACCCCTCCCTCATGTGCATCTCCTCCTGGAACGATCACGGCCAGGTCAGCACCAGATCTTCTTCTTTGTGGAGTCTTTGACGACGACTGATACAACTGATGCTGGCCCATCCGCATGGCTGGGGTTGGCATTCGAGCCGTGTTGGCACTGTGTTGTCTCGCCAGCACAGTGTCATGCGATGTGGTGGTCACTTTGGAGATTGCAGGTTGAAAAGTGTTTAAAGTTGTTTACTTGCGTGGCGCAGGACAAGTTTGTGAGGGATGCGCATCAGCTGTACCGCTCGGACTTCTTCCCTGGCCTGGGCTGGATGCTGCGCAACGAGCTCTGGCAGGAGCTCAAGTGCGTCCCCAGTCAAACACAATGGTCCCTGATACCCATGCCAACACGCAAGTTGCCTTCAGGCATTATTGCAGCAGTACTCTAGGCTTGTGCTAGAAAGCTGGAAGGTGCCCGGGCACAGGGGCTTTTTGCTTGGTGAGAGTGGCAGCCAATTCACAATAGATCGTCCTAGGTATTCCATTATTTGAGAGGCAGCGGGTGTGGACCCCGGGAGGGCTGGACAGGAACAGGTGGTGGACTGTGCCTGCACACAGATTCGCCTAGCCGTTTTCTTTTTGGTCTGTTGGCTGTAGAACTACTGCTCTGCAGAGAACAAAGAAGGGCTCGAGCTTGAATAGTCGATCGAACTGCACGAGGGTTTTGGACCCAGGAACCCTCAAATGTGAAAGGGCTGGTGAATCGTAGGGGCGGCTGGCCGGGCTCGTACTGGGACGACTGGCTGCGGCAGAACGGGACGCGCAAGGGGCGGCAGTGCATACGGCCCGAGGTGTGCCGCAACTACAACTTTGGCCGCGACGGCTCCTCCAAGGGCATGTTCTTCAGCCAGTTCCTGGAGCCCATCCGGCTCAACAAGGAGCCTATCGACTGGCTCGCTGCAGACCTGTCCTACCTGCAGCTGCCCAGGTGAACCCTTTTCTAGCTCTGCCTGCATGTGGAGCCTGCTTGCTTTCTCAAGAAGGAGGAGGCGTTGTGTGCGGCACACGCCATGTCGCATGCACTCCAGCAGGAGTTTACTGTGAGGGCCGGAGTGTCTGGATGCATTCATCGGCGTTTGGTTGGCAGTGCTGGGCTGGCTAGCCATCGTGACAACATACAATTACACCCGATAGGTGAAAATGGGATTCGGGAGATATCAGGGTATGTGGTTGTAAGGGCGAGGCAGGTAGAGTCGGGCAATGAATCACAGAGTAAAGGGGTCCACAGCGGCAAGGGAGCCGAGGATAGCTACGTTGCCCAGGCATAGCGACTTGAGGCCGAGCACATGAGAAATCCTATAATCAACATTTGCTGGTGCAGGTACGATGAGGAGATGGCGGCGACGCTGGCAGCGGCAAAGGAGGTGGGAGGCGCGGACGAGGCTGCCGGGGTGGCAGGGGACGTGGTGCTGCGCTATGACAGCCAGGAGCACTACGAGAGGGTGGGCGGGGGCTTCGGCATGCTGCTGGAATGGCGCGACGGCGTTCCCCGCGGCGCCTATAAGGGCGTGGTGAGCATTCCTCCGGTTATTAACTGAGCTCATTTGGTGCCCCCTGACTGAGTGTCCTGGGCTGCCTCCTGCTGAAAGTTAGTGGCGTTGGTCAGCCCATGAACATGCAAGGTTCCGGTGAGTCCAATAATTCTCACAAGGGCATGGTGCGCCCCTTTGTCACTGGACGCGACGTCCATCTTTGATGGCTAAATAAAGAGGTCCTTGCTGCAGGCGCTTTGCGCAGAGCAGTGACGGTGCACATGTGCCTGAAGCCTCAAGGCTTACAGATTGGGACAGATTGACAATTTATCCACATGCACAGCAACTTGGAGCCTCTGCTTGTCTCCATGCTGGAGTGGGCCTGAAGCGTTGCATGGTGGGTAAAAGGCTGAGCGCAGAACCGTTGACTGCAGGTTTCAATCCGATGGCACGATGCGCACGTGTTCTTCGAGCCGTCGCCGAATTATGTGGAGCCGGAGCTTCACCCAGAGGACTATGTGCATGTGGACGCCAATGGCGCCATCATGCGCGGCAGGGCCCTCTGAGGCTGTTGAGTGTATCACATTGAAGAAGAATTGCATGAACACCATACACGGGATTTACCGACGCAGAAAGGATCCTTGAGAGAGTAGGCCTCTGTCCCTGATGCCTCCTCACAGGAAAAGTGCCACAGAAATCCTTAAGTTGAGCAGCAGAGAGATTCATGTTGCTGGAAAGGTGGCTGTTGAGAATATCGACACATCTTGACTCGAGATGTAATTGGCTTTGTTGGCGTGTGCAACGTGTACGAGTGCTTCTCCAGCTTGCTAGCCTTGCGGGTTGATCAGCTTTGAGCGAGTAGCCGAGAATGTGAGAAGGCTCAATTGTCTTGCAAGACATACATTTGCTGTCAGTCATGGCTGCATCAAGAAATATCAAAGCCATCTGAAATGCCAGGAATGAAATTTTCATGATGTATCTACACATCGTCACAACCTCGCAGATCTTACAGCACCACAAGCCATCGAGTTGTAATGCATCCTGTGATCACATCCATGTAAGCAGCGCTCGCTACTGTAAGCTAGCCGGCTCTGGTGCTGGCCCTGCCTTGATGTCTAGATTCCTCTCCATCTTCTTGACGATTCTGACACTTCTCTGCAGTCAGCAGTCGGTCTGTTGCTGACTCTATTGTCGACGAGCAGTGACATATTAGCGCAAGCCAGCACCTAGATACCTGCCACAAATGAAGCAATCCCCTGTGAACGGAGACAGGCAAAACATGCTCCACAAGAACATCTGTCTGTTTTGCCATCGCCAGCATGAAGTACGCTCAAGTCATATCTCAGCCTTTGGGCATGCCACTTTCTGCCCTCTGCTGCCAGGGCCCCACAAAGCTCAGCCATCCAGGGACCCTCCAAAAATTGATATCTAAAGCGCATGTTCATGACATCCTTTGCAAAGCTGTGAGGTTGCTTGAATGAAAGATCCAATTTTTGCTTCGCAGCGATGTGCAACCTCTTCCACAACACCCTTGAAGGCACACTGACATACACATTGGTGCCACGGAGTTGCAACCTGGTCACATGTGCCAGACCATCTAAGGGCAAGGGCGCACGTGCCTCACCGATCTGCGCAACCCAAAGAGCAACGGTGCTCAGGTTCACCAGTGAGTTGCAAATTATGGGTGGAATCTGATTCAAAGGCATGGGGAGAACATCAGACTCGAGTGTGAACACGTTCTTATGGACACTATTCCACACCACCTGTGACAGATCATGCTCATCCAGGCTTTTGAGAGAGAGTGCACAGCTTTCCGACAGAAAAATTTCAGCCGGACGAATGCTTTGCAGCGCCACCACTCGAAGCTCCTTGAGCGCAGTGAGACACAAGGCAGGAGCCTCCAATACTGTTATCCCATTCCCGGACAGGTGCAAACCGAGATACAGAGTGTGCAGCCCCACTGCATCACGCAAGGCGCCAAACACATTGCCAGGTCCCTGATGGCTGAATTTCAACTCCAGATGCTTCAGCTGAGCCATGGGCGGAAACCATGAGATGGGGCCAATTGTTAGTGAGAGCAGCCTAAGATTGGTTGCCTGCGACAGGACCCATGTAAGGCGCATCATGAAGTCGCTTGCTGATGCAGCAGCCTCCTGTGAAAGGACCTCCAGCTGCGCCAGGGCGCTCAAAGCTTGCATGTCTCGGCTTGTAGCTAGTGCTAGCTCCTGAAATCCATTCACACGCAAGCGTAGCACATTTACCCTGCTCAGCCTCTGACATGCCCACGGAATACCTGCACGCAGATGAACAATTCTGTTGGATGAGCATCAGATGTACGCTATCACCCTCCTCATCTCAGAGGTCACAGATGATGGAGGTGTGCAATCTACCTGAGTGTGGTGTCTGAGGCGGGATGCTCATAGCGTCTAGTTGCAGGCATCTGGTGGTCTTGCAGGTGCCTGACGCTTTGGCCCAATCCCTTAGAGATAGATGTCCGGCGATTTTGAGCCAGACTTCTTCCGGCAATTGCGCAGGAGGAAAGGCAGATCGCGGTTGACGAGGCGGCATTGAAATTATGCCTGGTGAAAATTGCACAAAGCTATGTTGATGCACCGCAAAAAGAGGACTGTAATCTCCGGTACATACAATCCTCAGCTTGCTATCGAGCATGTGTTGCACGATTTTTTTGAATATCTGGGTTGAGGTCACCTGACTTAGCTGTACTATGGGCTTAATTGAGAGGCTCAGGAGATCCAGCAGCTTCAGCGCGGCAACTACTCTACAAATTTTTCGAATACTGATCAAGTGATAGCGTGGGATGCCAAGAAGAGGTGACAACAAAATCCAATGCTATCACCTTGGGCTCCGCATTTCACCCGCATGGGCTGCGAGCGTGCCCATATATGGATCTCAATAGCTTAAAATGTAAAAAAGTGATTATTGGAAGGTCTTTGCTTTTGCATCGGCTGAGCTGGTGTCCACAGGCGTGCACCAGAGGCATAACAAGTTAAGCCAGATGATAAAAGATTATATAATTTTGTTGTTTCGCCAGCTGGCGGAAGTCAAGTAGAGTCTCGAACGCATTCGCAAGCCTGTCGGGCCTTTACGCTCTTAAAACCTTCACGCATCCCGTGTGTTTGCATTGTGCTAGGTCAGCTTTTATTTTCATTGCTGCGTATATGTTGATTGTCAGGCGAACGGAGGTTTTGAGGCTTCTGCATGTAGCAATGTGTCCATCGACTTCAGGAACGGCCGGGACTTAACGCATACCGCGGAGTGCTGCGCACACGTGCAAAATATCTGGACATCATGTTTATGATCTCGATGAGTGCGTGCCCTTCATTTCCCTTCTCGAGCATATCACGACGCCCTGGACGAGCTCCGGACAGCTGTGCTTGCGTTTGAGTGCCAGCTCTGAGCTCCCAATGATACCCGTGCCAATGACGCAGCCGGAACACCATTCAGGAGTTCAACATTCTAAACAATCCATCTTGCATATCGAACGTCTGCCTCGAACCTACCAGTATATGAGAGCCCTGGTGTACGGTGCCCTAGTTAACCGTTTTGGCACAGAGGAGTAAGATCTCAAGTCAGCACCCTCTCTTAATATAACAGTCTGAATCATATCTCATGATTGATCTGCAGCCTGGCTGGAGGAGACGCCCAGCCCCGGCGTAAAAGGAAGCCAAGGGCAGGCAGGATGGCCAGGTGGATCACCCACCAGCGATGTGTCCGCAGCAAGGTCACGCCTGGAGGAGGCAGCACGGCACGAGGACTTGGAGGGCAGCTTTAGCACGCGAGCTTGGAGAGATGCAGACAAGCCACCCAACCCCAACACAGAGCAGCGCAGGCGCAGCATCAGCAGCACTCACAGCCCAGCCCAGGCTTCTCCCCTGCCCATGCGCTGCTCAGGTGCGCTTGGACATTTTTTACATCATCAGTCGTGTGTAAATAAGCTGCCTATATATCAGGATATAAACCCGCAGCGTTTTTGTTGAAATAGCACGTCAGCTGCCTGTATACAACGCAGGGCATATTTGTGAGACCATGTAGGCTGCGAGTAGCCATTAAGATGGTTTGCCCGCAAATGTAGCACTGCTTATCTGGTCACTGGTCACTCACCTTTCAGCCAACATATGAGCTATCTCGAGCAAAGAAGGAATACCACCCCTTTTGGCTGTCTTGCCTCTGTCCATTTATGCTGGACACTGGATGCGCACGTCAAATAAATTTTGGTGCTTGTGCAGACGATTGGAGGTTGAAGAAGCTGCATGAAGAGGAAGTGGCCACATGGAGTCCTGGCGTGAGTAAGCAGGGAACCACAGCGGTGAAAACATGGCAGCGAACAAAGGCTGATTAGACCTCGAGGCTTGCAAGAGGTTCGGGTCCCTGGTCAGGTGATGGCCGCTGAAGGTATTGCATCCTCAGTGGCATCCTTTCGGTGTGTTGAGTAATTACACATCTACTGTATTATTACTATTGTTGTTGATACACGCTTTTCCTGCCAAAAGGCAAGATACGTCCTGCAGACAAGTTGCAGTCCGCTGTATACCTGGAGGTAATTTCTGGAGGGATTCTTTCTTCACTAGTTGGGCTTGGCGCTCAAAATGCACTGTGCATTATGTGTTTGAGGTTTTATTCTTGGCTATCACTTTACCTAGAATTTGCTCATGGAGCCAGACTCGTACTTGACCTTTTTTGCGATCTCCTTCTCAGCAGAGCGAGAACTCTAGCTGTTTGGTTAGGTTGCACCTTTCTCGGGACTGCTGAAATATATGTCATCCTTACAAATAGCACTGTGATGTTTTGAAGCAGAGAATTGTGCACTGCTCTGAACGCGTGAATTTTGAAGTCTGCAGCCAGGCTGTGCGCTGATATTGCTAAGATGTGGGTGGGTTGCTTTGAAATGGCCTCAAGTATTGGCTAGTCTGCCGTTAAAATACGAACAAGGATTACATCAGGGTGGTATCATGTGATCACTAGAGTAGTACCGTACACTAATTCAATTTGTAAGTGCCACTAGGCATGTTTACCCTGTCCTGTGCAAATCAGTGATCAGTAACATCTGCTGAATTCTCACAACATCATGCTCAAAGCCTGCACTTCAATGGAGATCGAATGTTTGAGAGCCCTTTATCATTCATCAGCACTTGGCTAGGCATGCAGTTCTAGTCTTGTCACGCACCAAACACACGTAATGGTTCATTTGATTTGGTTCTTAGGTTTGATGTGATGTCGACCATTGAGAGCAGCTCCGCAATAGCAAACCTGCTTGCCAATCTCTGCGAGTTGAGTTCTTGGCTGAAGTTCACTACTCTCAGGCAGCAGAGTGCCTGAAATTGATTGCGCAAGACACAAGCACAGGACAAAAGAGGGGCCATGCAAGGCCTGCCAGCTGTGCAGCTGCCAGAGGTATCTGCTTGATCCAAAGCTTCTTTGTCCTGCCCGAGTGCATCTGCCTGAGCTGGTGAGGAAAGGTGCTCCGCCTGCTTCTACCTTCTCACAGGTTCAGCTGAGACATCCATGCAATGGTTGTGTCTGTCTTGAGCGCCGTCACCACATCATCGGTGCTCACATTCAGCGCCAGCCTGCAGCCGACCCACACAGAACTCTGCTCAGTCCACAGGCCCTACATGCAAAGCTTCAACCATGCAGATGCCCCTATATGCACAGACAGTCAGAATGTGAAATCATCACCATTGCAGCCAAAGATGCAAGACACTGTTGCCCTATTACTGCCATCTTGCTCAGCTGTGTTGCCAGAGATACAAGAGTACTACAGACGGTGTCACCATGAGCCGATTTCACGCTGAGAACCCTCAAGCTGAACTTCTTGAACGAAACCTGCCAATTACGTCACAACCCCAGTGTGCAGCATCTGCAGGAAACACTGCGCCGAAACCGCCCACAAATATTGCTATTATTATTTCGATTAAGATTTCGAAATATAGGGTTTCGGGGTTCCGATTTGAATTTGAATTTTGCACCGCCCTCACCTCATGGACAGGCGGTGCGCCCCGGGGCCGGCCAGCACGAGGCGCTTGGCGCCGAGGCGGACGGCGGCCGAGATGACATCGCCGCAGTACGGGGGCGGCTCCTGCCGGGCCGCGCAGAGCTGCTCCACCCGCGCCATCACACCCCGCAGCACCGCATCCGATCGCCCTGCGCACACATCAAGCTTACGATCGTGTTGGCTTCTCTACACCTGACCACCTCGCTTGAGAACTGCCAGATGGCGGCATGCCTGCTGTGGTAAAGATCGAGCTGTTTTGTCTCGTTGGGGCCCTCATGGCCTTAAATAAGTAGTACCGATCTTGCCAATAACTGGCATGCTGCTTGGAAACCTGCAGCTGCACCTGACTTGCCAGGGCCCTGCAAGGCTCCACAACACAAGGCAGGCCGGGCCGACGTACACAAAGTTCCACATGACAAGAGGCACTTGACAAACGGATACTGATCGCGCGGTCACCTGTGGCGCGTGTCTCCATGACGAGGGCTGCGAGCGCGATCTTCTCCAGGCGGCAGCAGTTGCCCAGCAGCTGCATGTGCACCGCGCGGAACATCTCCCTTATCGCCGCGTCCACGTGGCCCATCACCACCGTGCCGCTCCTCCTATGCTCGTCTACCGCTGCCGCCGCCGCCGTTGCGCCTGCACAAGCCACGCTCCTTGAATATAGCGGATGTGCAGGTTCATGCTTAGAGCAGGATACTGGATGAGGGACCATGCTGCAGTACTTCTATGGCGCGCACTCACATGCCTGCAGAGCGCACAGCCTCCGGGGCACACAGTCTAGCACAGAAGTGCAGCGCTGCTCTGTGAGGTGCTGCTCGCTATCGGAAGAAACAGTTCATCTCCTCAAACAGCCTGCTGAATAAATCCTCCGCCCAGGCGGATGGTACAGAGGAGACAAACACAGCTCTGGTGTGCTGACTCTCAGAGTAAAGCAGTCATCGATGTTGCGCACCGGGCGACTTGGGAGGAGTGGAGGGGCCGGGGGCGCCGTCGGCAGGGCCGGCCGCGGCGGCTAAGGAGGGAACGCCTGCGGACGGCTGCTGCTGCTCCTCCTCGGCGATGTCGGCGGCCTTGCGGCACAGCTCCAGCGCTCGGCGCGCGTCTCCTGACACCGCCGCCACCTGTCACGCAAAACAATCACTACTAGCGGCTGTGCTTGGTGAACGCTTCTCTGGGAAGCTCATTACTGTAATGGGCCTTTTCGTGAAGAGTACACTAGCAGTGTAGGATGCCTTGCTTTTGTTCTACAGGTGCAACTGCCTAGCACAGCAGCAGGCAAGCAAACAAACGAAGCCCTCGCAGAGCCCAATCTTATGCAAGAGCATGAGACCTGCAGGAGCAAGAGAATTACATATCTTGCTGGCTGCGATTCCACCGATCTTGCTCTGGCGTACTGATTGCATTCTCGTGAGAGCTCACATCGTGAAGAGCTGTCTGCTTGCCAGGCCAGGACTCCTCCCAAGGTGGAAACTGCTAACTTTTGATTCTACTCTTAGCATTTGTTACGCACCTTGCCGGCGGCGTACTTGATGGCGTTTTCGTGGAAGACGGAGGAAACGCCGGCGTCTGTCAGGCGCTGCTCGACGATGCGCTTGAGCTGGTCGCGCTTGTACGGCTGGAACACGACACGGCGGCCGCCCAGGCGCGACGCCACACGCGGCATGAGCCGCTCCGGCAGATCGAGCGTGTTTGCGATTCCGATCACCGCCAGCCGCGCCCCGGGCCGCGTCGGCCACTCACACAGGTTGTAGAGCACCTGCGTGCATTGCACTCTATTAGCGCATACAGTACAACAAGGAGGGTTCAAACGTACGCACACTTAGACACTTAGAGAAAATCTACATGGTTGATGCCCGGCTTTGAATCTGCCATCCTCGGCATTTGATGGGTGTTGGGTATTCGTGGTTGCAAGCCTGATAGAGCAGGTCAAGTATTAGCCGCCATGGCTGACACAATTGCACTGCGCTCAGCTTGGCTCACTGGCAAATTATCAGAAAATTGACGCAGTCTTACCGTCATGCACTGTATCTTCATCCTAGAATGGTGCCAATCACAGGTTCCTGATGTTCTCTGCAAAGCATGCAACAGAGGCGGCAGGAATGACAAGGGTGCGCGCCTGCTGCTTCTTGGTGATGAGCAGGTCCATCTCGTCCACGAGCACGACGGTGACGCGCTTGGGCGCTGCTGCGCCGCGCACGCCCCCGGAGAACATGGCCTCCAGCTGCTCGGCAGCCGTCGCCGGCGACGCATGTTTGCCGGTCAGCGCCTAATCAGGAGGCACACAATTGAGCCGCCTGATCAGGCATGCATCATTAATAAAACGATGCATATGGGTCCTCTTTTCTTTTAAGGGTCCCCACACAGCCGTGTCCCTATTAATTATGAGATTGTGCAGGACAAGGGTTAACTCACCCGGTACAGCTGAACGTAGGCGTGCTGCGGAGAGGGCAGGCGCAGGGCGTTGATCTCCACGAAGCGGAAGGCGGGCAGGTCGCCGTCATCCATTTGCGACCGCAGCTGCCGGATGACTTCGTGCACCGTCGCCGTCTTGCCGGTGCCCGGCACGCCCGCCACGTACAGACACTGGCCCAGGCAGTCCTCGCCTGTGGCAATGTGACCTATTGGATGCGCGCTTTACCGGGGGGTTTAGTTCCCAGCAGAATATTAATAACCTCGGGTTGTTAAGAGCAGTGGCCGCTACACAAGTGCGTGACAAGTGCGTGCACTCTCTGGCGTCAGACGAATCATGTCTGTGCCCCAGGCAGACAAGCACTTCTCTGTGAGCTGATCAGAAGGGCAGGAGGTGTCTGTTTTTTTTTCTAACCCGCAGAGGTGCTCATTGGGAGTGCGGCAAGCTTGCACAGCCGTTTCAAGCGTCCTAGCTCCCCGAGAAACTCTTCACAAGAAAGCTCACCTGCTGCGACGGCCTCCTCCACGAAGCGCGCAATGTCGGCGCGCTCGACCTCGCGGCAGGGCATGACGCCCGGCGCTGATGTCAGCGCTAGCGCAGCGCGCGCCGTCTCCAGAGACGTGCGGTCTCGCGCGCGCGCCGTTGCCGGGATGCCCGCCGCCCCCAGCCCCAGTGTCTGCTTCCTCCTGCCGGACGCCCACTCCTCCCCGCCCTAATCAGGCAACATGACGCATTCAATTCTTTTTCAAAGACTCAAATGAATGTGAGGCCATTTGCGTGCTGCTCATCGCTTTCATGCAACGGCCCATTCCTCCCCGCCATGATCGGGCAGCATGACACATTTGAATATTCTCTACTTTCAATGTTTGAAATGCCGCTTGGGTGCTGCTCGTAGCCTTCATGTGCAATGTAAGTGAGATGGAGACAAGAAGCAAGAATGCAAACAAACTTATTGCACAAGGTGGCCAGCAGCGTCATTGCCCAAGGACAGGATGACAATTAAGGTTGATTGTTGGCAGTGTCAAATTACTGGCTGCATCCCTCCGCTGCCAGACTTTTCTACAGTGGTCAAAAGATGCGAAGACAGGCATTGAAAGCAACAGTGTGAGTGGAGAAAAGGTGCGCACCTGCAGGCATCTGCGCCGGCCGCCGTTGCCGCCACGGCCGCGGCCGCAGGCGTGCACGGGCCGGAAGGTGTCGTCCTCGTCAGCGTCGCTATCATCATCGCTGATGTCAGCGATGTCACCGTCCTCCTCGTCATCCAGCGCCTTGAACACCTGTGTGTGTGTGCATGAGTACCTGACAGCTGCCCACCTCACACATGTCTACTGATGCATGTCAGACACCCATTTGCTGCAGTACCTGCAGATTATGTCTTGTACAGCTCAGAGAGCACGGTGTCCGATTGGCAAAGTATATGGCAGCCTTTACCTGCTGCTAGTCTGCATATGCACCTCGCATCTTGGCAGGACTGCATGTGATTACAGTACACAGCCTGATGACAGAAGCTTCTTCGGGGAAATCTGACATGGACTGAAGATTTTGAAGACTCAAATATCACAGCACCGGTGTCGCTGCACGGGCTTATTCCAAGGGCTGAGGAAGAGCTCATCATGACATCACTCCAGGCAGGCGGTGACTCACCCCGCAGCCGGCATGGTACATGTGATCGCACACGAACACATCATCGCCCGGGTGATCATGCAGCTCTGACGGCGCGCACACAGTGGCCGGCCGCAGCAGCGTTTCCACATCGTTCACGTCCCTCACCTCCTGCAGGAACACCTCGCGCGCCGTGTGGTGCTCCTGGGGCCAGAACAGGCGCACGATGATGTCAGCAAGCCTTCATATTCCCAAATTTGCCCTTGCAGAAATTGCAGTTGAGGTTTAAGGCATCGTAGCAACTAACACTTTGGGTGCATGGACTCAAAGCAGCAGATGTGACACGTCTAGATTGACTGCTGATTGACCAGTGCACGGCCAAAGAACAGGAAGCCCTCAGATTGTGTCCTTAAATTCCATTCTTAGGCGCCAAATAACCTGCATACTCACTGCCAGTACATCAACAAGGCAGATGCCATAAACTTGAACACTGCAAGGATTGATATTGACGGAGCCTTTACCTGGCGACCCTCCACGGTGTCCTCCGGGCGGCAGTACCAACGGCAGCGCATGAAGACCTCCTTGCCCTGCTTCCACAGCGCTTCTATCCTGCCCAGCTCCAGCTTGCCTGCCAGGAACTTCTGCCGGTCCGTCTGCTGCCGCTGCTGCTGCGCCCCCCGCCGGGCCCCTCGCTTGGGGTCCCCCGCCTCCGCGGTGGCCACCACTGCGCCCCCCGCCACACACCCCGGGCAGCGCCAATCGCCCTGAGCAGCAGCCACACCCCACACGCTTCAGTATCAGTTGAAATTAAGCCAGCTTCCATAATTGTTAGTTGACAAAGCGCCAACAATACCTGCTGTGGTGCTGAAAACAACGCAGGTGGCCCAAACTTTGCACAGGGGTTGTGGATTCAATGAAGCACTTTGGGGCAGAAGCCCAGGTTCAAATGTAAGGATCACGATCGATGCCCACAGTCCGCCGCCATGTGAAACAAAACTTGAGCAATATCCTACTCATGAACTTAAGAATAAAGGATATGCATGCGGCAACATGGCTCTTGCAGCTCAAGGCGCACACCTCAGGGACGGCTGTGAGATGGGGTTCCAGGCAGTCGAGGTGGTAGCCGCGCAGGCAGCGGTCGCACTCCAGAAGGTCTATCACCTTCTTGCCGCTCCGCTTCTCTGTCTTGTTGCACACCTCGCATACCTCCAGGGCCAGTGCGCCGTCATCCTGTACCAAGGAAGCAATTCGTCATTGGTGTGGCCCCATCTGCTGTCTTGCACTGCACAATTTGTACACCGCATTATCACCACAGGTAGCTTGGATTGGCCTCCCAAATATGAGCTGCACCTGCAACTGCGTGTTTTTAAGAATCATTTGATGCTTGGCATGCATGCAGCCCAAATGATCCCAGCAACCGACAGAACTGCAGATCACTAGCCAGTTGGTGACCCTCCCACCTCGAAGGCATCATCCGTGATGACGTAAGCACAGTCTCCGACGCGATAGGTGTACTTTTTGTCTACTTTGCACTCCTGCAGGGGCACGCGCTTGGCTGTCTTGGCGGCAGCGCCAGATTCGGTGGCGGCGGTCTCTTTTTGCGGCTGCCGGCTCTGGCCGCGCGGCCGCACCGGAGCCTCGGCCGGCTTCGCGGGCGTTACGGGCGCCGAGACGGCCGGCGCTGGTCGCGGCCGAAGCTGCCGCACCTCCGTCGGCTGCGCGGATGCGCGCGTGCTGCGAGGCTGCAGCTTCTGTGCCGCTGCCTGCTTCCCCTGCCCGTCCTTCCTGCCCCTCCAGCCCTTGCTTGCTGTCTGCTGCAGGGGCTGCTCTGCTGCAACATCTGCACCGGCACCCCTTTCTGCCTCCATGCCACCGGCAGACGTCGCTTGCTGTGCCCGCTCCGACCCAGAATCCGACCCCTTCTCCCAGTCTGAGGCAAAATCCAGGGCTGCTTTTGCGCGGGGGCGCCCGGCCTGCTGTGCTTGCCTTGCGCGCCGCTTCTTGCTTGGCGTTGAGTCTGATGCACATGCCTCCTCGGCATCTGCTCCCTCGTCCTTCTTTGGGGACGGCCGCTTGGCCAGCCGCGGCCTTCCAACTGTTGCAGGAGACCTGACTCCTGTGCTTGCATCCTCTGACGCCCCGGTGCTGCTGGCCTCTCTGAGACGCTGGATGACCTCATCACGAATTTGTGATGAAGTTGGCCTCGCCAACTCATTGAGTCTCTGCTGGGAACCTGATGGTCGCTGCTGTGGGACTACAGGCTCCATGGCTGATAGAGTTGCTGCACCTGGGCCTCGGTTGAGTCCTCTTGGATGTGGAGTGGCCACATGCTGCTCCTTCAGTGCCTGATGTGACAAAATATGTGGAAAGTTCAACCTCAAAGTAAATGGATGTGAATCCTGAGACAGAGACGTGGGCTGATATTTTGGTACATAAGGTTAAGTAAATTGTCTTCAGATATCCTTTTGATTGAAGTGGAAAAATATTCCGAGAAGTAAATATTCAGTGATGAGCACCTGCTTCCCATCTGCTTGCGGACGCCTCCTCTGGCGCAGGACTGGTATGGATGATGCTAATTGTTCCTGTGGCACTGCGACCTTGGTGTTCGTCCTCCGCGTGCTCGGCATAATTGTTTGATGGTATGTGCACCTTCAGAATGCTGGTGCAATTCTATTCAATGGTATTGGGATAAACCTCTAAACTATGCGACAAGATGCTCAACGTTCATATTCTTTGTGAGGCCGCTTCCTTTATTCAAATGCGGATTTCTGATGTAAGTGCTCGCTCTGTGCTCAAAGGCTGTCAAATGGAGAGATCAACTGATCGAGGAATTGATGACGGTGGCTTGCAGGATGGGCTTGATCGTTCCTTCTGTTCTGCGGTTTCCCGCCAGATGTCCAGTCAACCGGCCGGGGGATGACTGGACCACCTAGCACTGCAGAAGGTCTAGCTGAAGCTGGACGATCAGTCAGATCATGGTCCTTTTGGCGTGCATCACCCTCCGATGCAGCTTCTAGCGCTATTTTGTTGAACCAAAGATCGCACGGAAACGTTGTGCGCCACCTGAGGTAGTTGCAGTAGGGTCTCAGTCACTTTTCTTCTTACTTCTAGCCAGGTGGGAGCCTTGACACGATGAATGATCACAGCTTTTTTAAGTATGACAGTTTGTGCTATATTTGATAAGCCTGTACGTGTGGGAGTGTGCCGTGCCGAATTTCACAACATGGATGTGGTGGTGACTGAGTACAAGTTGAGTTATACCTTCACGAAAGACGATGAAGAGCTTGTGGATCCGCTTACAAGTGCCTAAAGAGGTTATGTGATGTTGTTACGTCCAGGAAGCAATTCATTGGGCCCTACAGCGACGCTCCCTCCAGTGCAGTCAGGCAGCCCAGGCAGCTTCTATGCGGTCAGCTTCCGAAGAGGGCATCTGGAAGCAAGCTGACATGTAGCGAGTTCACATGTGCTAAGCGAGAAGGAAGATCGGCTTCGCAGCACCCAGTGCAAGGCCTATGGTTTTCAGAGGGGATCTTGGACCCTTGATGGGGCCTGAGGGGGCTGCGGGCAGCGCATGGATGGTGTAGAGGGGCACTTGGTGGAGCCTCAGGATTCGAATGGGGCCCACCAGCCCTCACCAGCTGGCCAGGCTGCACCCAGTGCTAGCAAAGCTCAGCCATTCGAGCCCATCACAGCTCGCTCAGCCTCACCGCCTGGCACTGTGGGACACAGATTGCAGCACGTGCACCCTCAACCTAACCAGCTTCAGAGCCTGCCAACTGCGCTCGGTCACATGCCCCTAAAAGGGGACGCGAGGCCGCTGCAAAATGGGGTCCCTTCAGGAGGCCCAGGCCAGGCCAGCGGGCAGGGGCAGCCGTGGATTGGGCAGCCATCTGGGCAGGCACCCCTGCCTCAGCGCATGCCTGTGCATCATGATGCCCCTGGTTTCACGCAATTTTTGGCTGACCAGGTAAGAGCTTGTTATGAATGCATCCGCATGTGCATGGTACCTTTCCCTGCAAGCCTTTCGCACGCGCTCACTTGAAGCATGTATCTCAAAAGCATTCATGTAGACTCTTGCTGCATTGCAAGCGCCCTGTATGTTGTTGCTCACATGGGGACAACGGTGCATGACAGGGCTCACAACCGCATATGCCGGAGCGCTTGGCCGCTGCGCAGCTGATCAGCCGCCCGCGGTCGGCCGGCGAGGCCGGAGCGGCGTGCTCCTTCGCGCCGCCGGGCCAGAACATCAACGTGACCCTGCACATCCCCAGGCTAGACGTGACAGGCAGCCATGCAACTGGCACGCTCCCCTCACAAGGGCACAGGCTGCCCTTCGGAGGCTTCTGGCCCATGCCTCCAGCGCCCCAGCAGCAGGCAGCAGCCGTTGACAGCTACTCAGCAGCGCTGATGCTGCCGCAGTGGCCGCAGCAGCAGACGGCCGCGAATGGGCAGCACTTGATGCAGCCGCAGCTGCACAGTTGGCAGTCCGCCCCGCCGTCCCAGCATGCAGCCCCTGTGCAGCGGAGCGCGGCGCAATTGATGCTCAGCAGCAACTGGCAGATGGCCGACAGGCTGCAGCCAAGTCTGGCGCCGCCCAGTGGGGGTCCAGGCCCCCCGCGGCACTGGGCCGGGGCTGCGGCGTTTGGCGCGTTCCCTCCAGTGCCACAGCCGAGCATAGCGCCGTCAATGCACCCGCTCGGCGCGCCTTCGGCCGCAGTGCGGGCCCAAGAAGCGGCGGTGGCGTCCTCAGATTATGCGCAGGTCAGCAGCAATAATTGGTTGCAGCTGGAACACCGCCCGCAGCAGCCGTCGGCGGACGGCGGATTTTGGCGCGAGCGGCGGCCGGAGCCGAGCACGTTCTCCTGCGGCAGTCGCTCCAAAATTCCATCTGGGGGCATTCCTGCTGCCATGGAACGCCCCCGGCCGGACACGCAGTGGCTGCAGTCGCTGCCCTCCCTGAAAGACATGCTCCAGAGGAACATTGGCGAGAAGAGGGCCGTCGGCGCCGGGCAGCCACTTGGGCAGGGGTCCAACGCGCAACCCAACGCAACCATGCAGCAGCACAGTGGGATTCACAGTGGACTGGGCTCTCTTGCCTCGCACGGTGTGTGCTTCCACATGATATTTGTACTCCACTTGATACCCACACCGAAGAATGGCAACATACACTACAAAATGTGACAGCAAAGAAACAGTACAAAGCACCAGGGTCAAGGACTGAGGTCATGCCTTGGACAGAAACGTAGGACCTTTCTGCCGAGCACACTTGCAAGTAGAAATTGTCTCGCTGTGCAGGCAGCTTTGAAGGGTTTCACCGGCGACCAGGAAGCCCCAGGACATCCACCTCACAGCCGGAGTCCCTGCCCAGCAGGCCGCCTAGCGCTCAGGGCGATCACCAGAACAGCAGCAGGCAGGGTGGGCAGCTGCCTGCTGCCCAAACACAACCCAGTGGGCAGCCCGTGTCCAGTCCCCCCAGCCCTGCAGAGGGTACTGACGACGTTACCGACGCATTCCCTCCATTAAGCTGCCCAGGTTCAGCCCAGACAGATGCACTTCAGCACCCGGCGCTCAGGCAGTCAGTGCTTGAGCAACACGGCCGAACTGACGCGGATGCGCGACCCGATGCTCTACCAGCGCCAATGGACGCGGCTGCCTTGCATTTCTCACAGCAGGAGGAGGCGCTGCTTGCGGCTCCAGTAGCTCTGCAGAGTGCAGCGAGAGAGGAGGAGTCAGGCCGGGCAGCGGGGAAGAGCAGTACTGCAGAATCTGCCAGCACAGCGACTGACACTGTGGCCCCTCCCCTGCAAACGCTTGCTGATACCAATGTACAGCTGAGGCAAGGCTCGCCTCCTGCGCCGCCATTAGTCTTGGTGCCTGGAGACAAAGCAGCTGCCGGACAAAATTCTGCCGCAGAGGAGCACTTGCCGCCAGCAAGCAGCAGCGCAGCCTTCGCGGCTAGCTGGGCGCGTGTTCCACTCAGTCAGGCCCCTGTGTCGGCGACGAGAGCTGTTCCCTCTCAGGGATCAGTCGTGGGACCGGGGCCGGGGTCGCCGCCCGTGGCGGCAGCTGCCGCGCAGTTGCCGCCGCAGCCAGCAGAAGCTGCCGCTTGCGAGAGCGAGAGGGGAGGCCTGCAGGGCGAAAGCGGCGAGGAGCGGGCGGCGTTTTATGAGTCGCTGCGCCGCCACTGGCAGCAGGAGGCGAAGGACGACTTTGTCAACAACAGATGTGCGTCATCTTTTGCCCCGGCTTGGCTGCTGTTCAGACGCATGCATGCAGTTGGCCGTGTGTTTGAAATTTGTCATTCCAGGAGTTGTATGCCATTGTTTTGAAGGTGCAGTTAATCTTCTTGACTATGGGGATATTTGGTGGTAATTCATGTTGGGAAAAATTCTTCCCTCACCCTGCAGCTAATCATAGACAGTGCTCCACCTGTGAGCTGTGTGTAAAATCTGTTTTCTGGCTGGCAGGGGCCGTGCCAGTGACAGGGTACAAGCAGGTGGATCTGGCTGGGCTGTACCGGCAGGTCGCCCTGCACGGTGGCTATGACATGGTCTCCGACAGAAAGTGGTGGCGCAACATCGGTGCGCCTGCTTTTACCTGATTTTACACCTCACCAAATGCAGGGCCTCGGCTGGCGGGGGGCGGTATAAATATTGAGCACCGTGCCCACGGTTGATTAGGTCTTGCTTGGATCTGGCGAGTCCAACAAGGAGTAGGAGTTTGGCAGCCTTTACTGCAGCTTGTCTGCAGACGCACCTTGCTTCTGGCAGGAAAGGCGTGTAATATAATAATAAATGCAGGATTACAGCTGCATTTGAAAACACCAGCATCACAAGAACATGCATTTTCGTGCATGCTTCCATTTTTATGCTGAATTTGAGATTCCCCTTTTATTGTCTGCTCCCAAACTTGACCCTGATGGCCTCCGTGGGAATGTTTTCATCAGAGAAGTTCGTGCAAATGGGTCTGCTTCCATGTGCAGGCACTCTCCTGGGTCATGCGCCCAGCTCAAAGATGAAGGCAATCTATGAGAAGTTCCTGGCCAGCTATGCAGCCAGGTGAGCAGGCTGCCTGCAGCTACAACCCCTTCCTTTGTATTCCATTGCCCACTTTCAGGGCTATGCTGGGCACTGAGCGGCAGTTCAGATTATCGCCTGCAGAATGCTTGAGTGCATGCAATTGCTTTCCTTACAGCCAGATAAGAAACTGTGGGGCAGTGGGTGTCTTGCCGGCTCTGAGGCTGCTCTACTTACCTGGCACTGCAATATGTTGCACTCTTGCATGGTGACCCAATTCTACTTGAGTAGAAGGTCAGTGGGTACACGCCAAGCGCGTACTTTTGAGGAAACCAAAGAAGTAACAGTTCAGGTGACAGGGTTGTTGTTCATGAACCCGCGGTTGCTTTCTCGGGCCTAGGGGCATCGCCCCGGTGAGGGACTATGAGCAGATGTCTGCGGCAGATCATAATGGCGGGCCACAGGCCGCGGCATGCGTGCTCCCAGCGCTGCCGTGTCTCTTATGCCCTGCCAACATTCCCAGAAAATCACATTACACCCAATGTCAGGGGTCTTACAGTCAGGTTCTCAGTGTCTGCAACGACCCCATCTTATCCATTTGTCCTTCAACAGTATGGTGTACTGATGTGGTCTTTATGGTCTTTTTGCAAGGTACCTGGACGCTTCTCCATTTGCCCAGACTGCGGGCCCGCTCTATGCAAAAGCTGCTGCAATAAAAGCTAAAGGTGAGCCTGCTCACGAGTCCAAAGCCGTATTCGAGAGCTCTTTTCAGATTTTACAGGCATGTGATGGAAATGTTAAATTTAACCACTTTTCTCCCCTGCAGAGAGGGAGTTGACAGAGTACTTCAAGCGGCAAGAGAAGGCGGGAAAGGCAGCAGTGCTGATGAATGGCATGACTCACTCCCAGCATCCCCCACCAGCTGCTCATCCAGTCAACCAGCAGGTGGGTTTCCACTGATGACTCGGAAGCAACCAAATCAATATAGCAAAGGCTTGATGTGCAGCACCAGCCAACAGTGCAGTCTGGGGCAAGTCGGGCAGGCTTGCATTACAGCAACCATGTGTCCTTTTGTATAGACATATACCTGGACAGTAGAGAGACCTCCGGGGGCTTTGGTGCCTGTGAAGAAATAAGAATTGATTTAAGTTGTCTTTGTGTTATTGTGTTCTGGCGGGGGACGGTATATAAATACTGAGCACGGCGCCCCGGGTTCATTGGGTTTGCTTGGATCTGGCTAGTTCAACAAGGGGTAGGATTGTGGCAGCCTGTAGTTGCAGCTTGTCTGCAGGCACACCTTGCCTCTTGGCAGGGTAAGCGCGTTATGATTGTAATATTTGATCACATTATCAGGTGTGGAGCCAGATCGCGGCAGCAGCGCCGCAGTGGCAGCCGATGCAACATCAGCAGCAGCAGCAGCAGCATCAGCAGCAGCAGCAGCAGCAGCAGCAGCAGCAGCAGCAGCAGCAGCAGCAGCAGCAGCAGCATGTGACTCCCTCGCAGCTGCAGCACATGAGGAACCTGCTAGCCGAGCGCCAGGTACGTGACTCCCAACCAATGTTCCCACCTAAAGCACCCCCACGACGATACATTTGCATTGCATGCTTTGCACAGCTCATTGCAGCTTGGTCCAAGCTTCTGCAGACAGTGTCCATGCATGCCCATCAGTGCATGTATGCCCTCGCAGGCTAGCTTGCCCAGCAAAGTGTGGAAGCAGCCCCGCAGTTTGAAGTTCCGTCTCATTTTAAATGCACACTAGATGTGCTGATGCCCCTGACAGATTTGTTGGGTGGCCTGACCAGGCGTATGCACAGAGGCAGGCGGTCATGCAGCAGCAGCAGCAAGGGCGGGCGGAGCAGATACGTCAGGCGGCTCTCGATCGCATACACCCCTCTCCCAGCCCCTTTCTGCTCGTGCCGCAGACCCTGGCGCCACAACAGGTACCCACACCCTCTGCTATATTATTTCGTCGCCCTGGTGTCTCAACTTTGTTCAGTCCAGATTGCCTCAGCCTCCTGTCCATGCTGTGCTTTACGCTGTCAAGCCAGGGCTTGCAATGCATCTGAGCTTGCAGGCAGGCCTGTTGCCTATATTGGCAGATGCTGACGTTGATTTTGTCATGAAGCAGTAAACTTTCATGCGAAGGTCGGTTAGCTGTTCTGTAACAGCCTCATAACCAAGTCCATCACACTCCTGTCTGACAGTGAGATATCACCGCAGAAAATCTGGTATGCTGATACAAGTGAATGGCACAGTTGCTCATGTTCTCATTGGGAACAATTGAAAAGGGGTTGCTCATTCTCTCCGAATGGCAATGCACAGATGCGGGAGTTGATCATGGCACTGAAGAGCGGGCTGCCGGAGTGTGTGCCCTGGGCGCTGAACGCTCTGGCGCTGGCGTCGTTCTCTGCCCGGCCGGAGCTGCCCTCCCTGCCCAGCCTGCCCGGCCTCCTGCCCGCCCTGCTGCAGGTGCACCCTCAGCTCTACCACTTATTGCACACTGTCAATCCTGGGGACTCGACCGCTACTGGCAAAATGCTCATTAAATTAGACATGTCTACTGCCGATACCTCAGGGGGTGATGAAACAATTATGTCCTCACTGTGCTGCCAGGAGGAGGCTCCTGTCTTGCCCAGTAACATTTGCAGATGCTGACAGGGATGCTGGAAACCTGTTAGAGAGAAATGCGTCTGGACAGCCCTGCTTTGTAATGTAAAACCATCAGACAGCCTGTTTTGAGCCTGCTCTTTCAAATTCTGTATTACACACATAATAATTTTCTGGGCAGGGCTTCACAAACCCAATGTGCATGCAGGTGCTGCGGGACGCGAATGAGGATCCGGCGGAGACGGCTGCGGCGGTGGCGTCAGCAAATGCGGCTCTGGAGGAGGATGAGTGGCCGGGGCTGCGTCCGCCGCGCAAGCGCCAAAAAACCATACCCCCGGGGCAGCTCAAGGTGCGCGGCGTTCCCTGTCTGTCCCGTATTATTATAAACCGCTCATTCCCCCCTTTTCTTTGGTTGTCTACCCTGCGCCGGCGGCTGCTGCTCTGCCGGATGGGGCTTGACTAGCTGTACTTGCTTGGAGTACTGCATGGTGCGAGGATAGCCTTTGCACTCTGCAAATCTTGCTTATGTATGGGATCATGTACACAAAATGAGCAGCCTCGTTCATATTGCTGGACTGTTGTAGGAAAGTGAGCTGCTGAGCGTGTTGCAGCACAGTATCCTGCCAATGCACTCGCCTAGTCTTGAGAAGTGAGGCTCAGCGAATGCATTGACGGAGCAACTGTGCCGTTCTGCTTTGCAGGGCCTGATTTCGTCTTAACACATGCCCCTTGAATATGGTCATCGTACGAAAATGAGCTCAAATTGCTGACGCAACATTTTGTGGCAGGGCTGGTGGTGGGAGCGGGCGAGCATCCTGTCAGATGGCGGGCTGGAGGACGAGCGCTTCGGCTGGGGCGTCTGTGCGGCGGCGATCATGCGCAACCTGGCGGGCAACCGCGCCAACCTGGGCTCACTCGCCGACCCAGAGTGCATCTCGTTGCTCGTGCGCACCTATCTCATATCAGCCCGGCAGGCAACATCTTGATGCAGTGCTTCATTACAGGACGATGTGCTCTGCGTTGCAGGACAGCTACTGCATGACAAGCATGTCTGGTGTTCTTTGTTCCAACAGCCAGTCCTGTGGGGATCTACTTTTGCAGGAGTCTTGAATGATAGTGGCCAGATGGTATCAATGTCGTTGATGCTTTCGGGGCGAAGTCGTTCAGAAAATGAAGAAGGTTTATTATTGCCAAATCAGATTCTCAGGACCCTGGAATGCAGATGAACTTGAAAGCTCTCACGTGTCAACGGCTGCCTGTGCAGGTGGATTGCCTGGAAGTGCGCAACAGGGAGCAGTCGGCAGGCTACAACGAGCTTGCTCTGAGCCTGCTGGATGTTCTGGGCGCTGTCGGCGCCGGCGGCTGCTTCAGCGTGCAGCACCATGCAGCCAGCCTGTTCAGGCTGCTTAGAGCTGTGGGGCAGCTGCTTGGCCCGCAGCTGCGGCGGGAGGCGCCCTTGAAGCTGCGCGCAGCCGCTGCGGAAGTCGTCGAGAAATTGGCGGCCGCCCGGCAGCTGGCCCCCGTCCTGCTCCCCTGCTTGGGTGAGCGTTTGTTCCTTAGCGTACTGATTAGAACCTGCTGTAGTTGCTCTTGAATGATGCCTTGGTGGTGTTTCCTTCAGTGAGAACCTGAGCTCGGGAAACACCACCAGGGCGAGTACTTTTTGGCTGTCCACAATCTGCACCAGGATCGGAACTATGCATATTCGCACCTTAAGCAACATGCAGTCTGCCTTCTTAAGAGATTGTTGTGAGCCGTATTTGGGCCGGTTTGGTGGATCTTGACACTTAGCGGCCGCTCAGATGACAACTGCTTTCTCAAGGCCCCGAGATGTGGGGGGTAAATAACCGCTGTCCATGTGTTCTGACTCCTGTACATTTCTGGCCATGCAGAGAGCAAGTCGCTGCGGCTGACTGGACTCCTGGTGGACCTGCTGCTGACAGACCTGGAGGCCGCGCGCGCGGCGGTGCAGGGGGAGGTCCGGGGGGACCTGGGACCCCCCGCAGTGGCCCCCGGCGACGTGTCTCCTGAGGCGTTGCAGCAGGCTGCCATCGTCGCGCAGGCGGAGGCCGTCTCGGCTGCCGCTGTGGTGCGCTGCCTAACCCGCTTCCTTAATCATACACTATATTTCTCTATGCTTCTGAATGGAATGCCGGAGGATGTGCTGTGATTCTCCTGGATGAAGTTCATTCATTCACATCAGCACTTTATCGAGGCAGGAAGTGGCAGTCTCAGATTGCTTTCCAATATTTGAAACAGCCCTTGGTGGCTGATGCGCCATTCTTAATTTTCCGGGCATCCTTTTGTGTCGTTTTGAGTGCCTGCACTCAAGCTTGTCAATCTTTGACAAGTTGTGTGGGTCCTTATGTTCAGGCGCTGTCATCGCTTTTTGCACTGGCGGCCGGCCGGGACGGGGGAGACCGCGCGAGGGCGGCGGCTGCAGCCGACCCGCGCGCCGTGCCGGCTCTGGTGGCGGTGCTGCTGAGTCAGCACCCGGCGCCGCTTCATGGCCTGCCCGGGAGCGCGGCCGGGCCGCCAATCGCCGCGCCGGCCGTCCACACCGGCACCCTGCTTAGAAGGTGCGCGCATCTCTCCTACGGGATGAATTGTAACTCATGTCTGTTTTGGAATTGGTTGTGAAGCCCAGATCCTTGCCAACCACACCAGTGCCTAGCAGTGCATGCACAAGGTCAGGTTCAGGATCCAGAACCATGCTAATGAGACGTTGCATGCACCCTGTTGCTCTCTACTGCAAGAGTCAAGACAGGTATCTTCCTTGAGACAGGTCCAAGCAGGAGGATTGCAGTGTGGCGCTAGCTACGGGACGGCCGGTTTGCCCTTGTCAGGAAACTTGTTTGGGCTGACAGTGCTGTGGGCAACCCTGCAGCTTGATGAGGCAGCCATTCCTTGAGGCTGGCAGCTACATCCTGCTTTGGGGTCATTTCTGTGCTTGCATGTACGTATGCCACGCTCCAATGTGTGGCTCTTGAGGGTCGTCTGGGAATGTGAAAGTAAAAGTGAGACACGATGTATATGCTGCAGAGCTGCGGACTGCGCCTGCGCTGCGCTCTGGCACGCAGCCGGCACTGCAGCGGGCAGGGAGCAGATTCGGCCCTTCCTTGCAGAGCTGGCACCTGCGGCCATGTCAGTGCATGCCCAGAGCAGCAATCTAGCTCAGCTGCTGGCGCGCATGTCCTGAGGAGGATTGAGGAGAACTGACCTACATGTTGTGAACTGCAATTGAGTTTGTGCTTGCATGCCTTGAACGCATAGCTGCTGTTGTCTCCTTGCTGCGGATCCTAGTTGTTGACTGATGCTTACAAACAAAGGATTGACTTAGGGGCACGATTATTGACTCGCTGCTGAATTGCAGCAGAGTGATGGTGATTGTAGAGAGTGCGGCACCTTCAACATGGTGTTTTAGAAGTTTAAAACTACCATTGAACGACCTTGCTTCGTTTAGTGCATAGGGCATGGACTATGATGTGATTGCCATCACTTAAGACAAGATGAACCTTTGATCAATTCATGAAGGTTACAAAAAGAGATTTCCGTACAGACACAGACTAGAAAACCAAATTATGATGGTATATACATGTTGCGAAATCCTTCAACCATTGTTGGAGCCAACCCACATGCGGACACCAATGTAACAATCCTGGAAGGTTTTTACCTCCGGCCAACTCATTATTGAAATTTGAGGCTCTCCATTGCTCTTCTCCCTGCCCCACTGAAAAGCCCGATGTGTTAGAAAAACAAGCTGCATATGAGCTGTAAGGAAAATGACAACAAGCTTATATCATAAGCAGTTATTCATGTGAGCAGCCCTTGCAAGGGAACCTGCTCCTAGACAATGTGCACAATGGCGATCTGACAGTGAAATCATCAAGTACTAGTACGGCGCAAACGAGCAGCCACGGTCAATTGACAATCAATTATATTTATTGTTGGAAAAGCAATAAACTTGCGTGGCGCACGCAATTGTGTGATCCTTGACTCCGGTGCTACCGTCCTCCAATATAAGAAACGGTGATCATGTCAAAGGCTTGCATTATTCATGGCACAACATGTGCCCTGTTTATTGATGGCACAACGTGTGCCCGAGTCTGCTTTGTCAGCATTGGTCTTATGTCAGCATTGCTCTTGTGTGCACTCCGTGGTGCTCACGCAGATAACATGCGACGGGCGGCCATCGCGCCTGCACACACAGTCAGGCAACGTCTACCAGGGCCCTTTTTCCAGCAAGCCTGAGGGACAGAAACACAGGAAGATCTGGCGCGAGCATTTCTGCCAAGACATGCGGGTCGGTTAAACGGTGCCTTTGCAAGCACAACATTGCAAGCATAATGAAGAGCTTTTTTGTGTGTGTTTGCAAGCATATATACATTCAACCTGAGGGCAGGTGCTGCTCCTTATTGCCATTGCAGATTTCTCCCTGAGCTGGTCATAAAGTCTCTAGGGCAACGCTGATGAAGCAAAGCTGAGCCTGGTCTTTTGTGGCCTTTATTAATTTTTGACCGACAAAGGAAAAATTTGTAGGAAGGCAGCAATTACCTGAGGGGGTCATTGCAGGCATGGCCATGGTTGGAGCCATGCTCATGGCCGTGGTAGGAGCCATGTTCATGGCCATAGCAGGAGCCATGCTCATGGGCATCATGCCTCCGTTCATTGCCATTAACATGACCTGGCCGCGGATGTTGCCGCCCGGGTACTTGGCAGTGTGGACATTCACATAGGAGTCACCAGTGGTCACCCACCTGCGACAAGCACACAGCAATTGTCACAGATCGGCCCAGATGGCTGGTTTTTAGACCCACAGGGAATATGTGGTCTTGAGTGTGCCTAGTCTAATATATATCCTTCCCGGTTCGTGACAGCACTGCACATGACGCCTGTGTGTTGTTCAGAGGTGGCACGAGTACATGCGCTTCCAGGAAGCAACGTGCGCGTGTTGCCAAAGCTTGCAGGGAATGGCTGCTTGAAAGTATACCCTGTGAGAGACTGCCAAAATCCAAGCAGGACCCCTGAGCCGTGGGCACAGTGCTCAGTGGTTGCACCTCCGCACACCAACCAGGAGGCAGGCGCGGCGTTAATTACGGAGGCAAGACTGACACTTTTAGACTCTGCCAACACGGGTCGAAGTCGTGCTGTGTGGCTGTAGGCAGGAAATTGCCAGCGCTTCTTCAAGTGTCACAGGAGGACAATGCTGATGTCTGAAATGGGCAGTATGAAGATGCGCACTTGTCAACGAAGGCCTGAACAGTGGTTGTGTCCTTGGCGGGTCCAATGAAGTTGGCCGGAGTGAGTGTGCCCTGCACACAAAACCCACCAAAGAAAATTGGCACTGCCCCTCGATTTGGCACAACATGAGACGGAACATGCCCTGCTTGCACAGGTGCGGGAGGCGCTCGGCTGAATGAGCATCGACTTAAAGGCCATGACAAACGTTCAGGCAACCGAGAAATGGTCCTTGCACGAGCGGTCGTCAGGAGGTGCTTACGCTGGAAAGCTCGCCAAAGGTGGCTGCAGCGTCGTTGACAGGGCCTGTGGCGTTGTACAGGAATGCGATAACGGGTCCGTTAGTGCCTGCAGCAGCCCGACAAAGGGTCAGTTTCCGAGTGGACGCTACTGTACCACATGTCTGCTGTTGACATCAAATATAGAACTGCAACACAATCGAAAGGTTCTTTGTTCTGGTTGTCGCTCCCTTGGGCACCAGAGCACACCGGGATGATCTGGATCAGCACAAGCCCTACAATAACGCTTGCGCAGGAATGTAAGCAAATCCTGTGAAGTTTCAAGATGTGAACGCACTTGAGTTCCCAGCATGGATGTGTGCTGCAGTGGGACCGTAGACGTTCGACACGACGACCTTGTAGGAGATGGTGTTGGAGTCGGGCATGAAGTTAAGCTCCGCGTGGCCCATAGCACCGGAGTTAGGAACCCTGCAGCGTTCAATGAGAAGGTCTGAAACTGCTGATCTGGGAGTGGAGGACGGATCCTGTGGTGAGACAGGGCTGACGTTGTTGAGGGTTCTACCGTCGCTTTTGGACTCTGTACCAGAGGAACACCTGGTACAGGCTACGTGCACCTCGCCCGTAGATAAAGAGGGTTTAGTGTGTACTGAACAACACTGACTGCATCCACAAGGTGCGTGCGTCCGATCGGGTGCTGATCGGTACATAACGGGATGACGCGCTTTGCGATGTTTGTCACTCTAAGACCGGCAGGACTTACCCCGGAATTTCATTTTGCGGCATCAGCGTGAAGTTGTACATCATCGATGAAGCAGACATCATGGGAGCCATGGGTGCCATCATTGGGGCCATGGGGCCCATCATGGGGGCCATCATAGGAACCATGGATTGCACCAGGGCACATGTTGAAATAAGACAAAGCGCGACGATCACACAGTGGGTCTGCATTTTGAGCGTGTCTGAGAACCTTGATAAGCTTGCAAGAGTGAATATTTTTGAAGATCTGGGAAGCTGAATTAGCTGGACCTGAAGATATCTTCCGGGAATCGGTGACTGAGCCAGGGCTGTTTAGGACCCCAGGAAGCTGAGCAGATTGGGTCAGCTTCTCATGGCGCAGCAGCTGCGCCTATGTCTGATGGAATTGATCACTCTCGAGGGAGAAGGTTAATTAACGGCCAATGCTTTACACTGCACTAACAGATCGTCTTTGACCTCAATAGCAACATACTACCAATTGGACACCATCGATTGGCAAGTGGATGTTGGATGAACCTGCATGCAAATTTCTAAATATTCCTAGTAGGAACTTCAAGTAGTTCCTTGGAGCCTCACAATACCAGCGGAACCTTTGCCTATCATTTGCAACGGTAAGGCACACCTTGACATGAGTCTTTGACAATTGCAAGGCCCTGAAGCTTAATGCTTTGCACGAGTTGAAGCTGCATACGATGCCAATTTGGGCACTGCCACTGCATGACATAATATCAAGCTGAAACACTTAATAGAAACTCGCACTTGTAAAATCATCAGATGATCCGCCTACCACAAAATACAATGGGTCTCAATCCCCATTTATACTGTGTACAAGAGCCTGGACACAACAGGCCTTAAAAGATGCAAAAGGAGCGCACATGATAAGAGGCGCTTCTCAGCAGCCGAAATAAGTAAAACAAAGTAAAACAACCTGGCCACAGCTAGCCGCCTTGGAAAAAATTCCATGCATGTTGGGCATGGTGATCCATTTTAGTCAACATAATACTTCGTGCCCCAGTAAAATCAGAGGCTGCCTACTTTGGGCATGATCATGAGTTCTTCCCATGCATTATAATTCCGGCTCTCTCTCAAAAGCCTGGGATACAGGACTTTCTCTTCTTCCTCTCTCATTCCATTAAAACACTTCCCATTCCTTGTGCTTTGCATGACTCTGGGAGCGCGCTTTGCGCCACAGAGGGATCGCGCACCCCTGAAATAGCAACAGATGTCAGGTGCATAAGTACCACAGCACCAGAAGCAGTTTGATCAGCAATTTCAGTGCCAAGGTGCAGCAGAGAGGGGGTGCCTCTGCCCATGCGTGACATGACTTACAACAAAAATGCAATCCACTCCCTGAGGAAGCCCGAATAGGTCTGCAGCGTCAAACAGCAATCAATTTTGTGGAAGCTTCAAAGCAGTCCCAAGGCCAAAGCAGCCCCTGTGTCCATATGTACATCAATGCGTGTGCATCCTTGATCACAGACACGAACACGGTGTGCAGGCTACAAGCCATACACAGAACCATATAATTTCTTGCAGATTGCTGAGGCCCAAGCAGGTCCTCAGCGCAAATCACATTTGAGATGTTGGAAACACTCTGAACAGACTGGCGTGTGCCAAGCTCAGGCTCCTCAGACTTCCAAGCACTCCAGGCATTTGACAGGGATTTTATTCAATATCAGGGACAGAAAGAGAGTGTGCAGCACGCAAGGCATCTGACATGCGCATGCGTACGGTGACTCACCTGATAAGTCACAGTGGAGCCCCAGGGGCCATGGTGGGCACAGTGCGAGCCGCCAGACTTCCCTGCAGCGCTTTGGCATTTATTTGGCCGCGCATGATGCCATTGGGATGGTCCAGGGTGTGAATATTTGAGAACAGATCGTCAGTCTTGAGGTACCTGCATGCAAGCCACGCAAGCTCCTGATCCCGGCTCTTCATTCCTCTTAGGCTCCAGCCTTCAGGATTTCCCCCCATGGGGGTTTCCCCCAAATTTTTCCCCTTCATTTCTGGATGCAGGCAGGTGGCTGCTAAATGATCCCATGCACTTCAAGCGAATCAACAGGGAACATGAATGCTTGACTGCAGACATAATAAAAGTGTGAGTGACCGGGAAAAAGCATAGTGCACTGTCCTGTCAGGAGACAACGCTGCCACGCAATGCTCCTTGCACAATTGATCTAGTGTGATCTGACGGTGTGCACGAGATGGCACTGGTCAGGCGATGCTTGCAGAGGGCAGATGCGCACTCGTCAATGAGTGCCGACATGGTGGTCAAGTTTTCGGCAGGCCCCATAAAATCTGACGGCGTCATGATGCCCTGCAGAAGCAGTGTCAAGTGAGTTCTGCAACAGCCTTTCAAAAGCAATCACCATTTACTTGTTATCACGCGCTGTTCCTGCCAGGTGGTAATGTGTGTCAGACAAGCTGCAGGTGACGGCTGCCACAATCCTACCCCTTGATGAACTTGCCAGATCCAAGCAAGACCCAATATATGATGGGCACAGTGCTCAGTATTTATACCGCCCCCTGCCAGCCGGGGTGAAAAGCAATTAATGCATACTGAACGGCGGAAGTTCAGGGTAAACTGGACGGTGAACAAAGTAAAGCAAGAGCAGCATCATGCTGTATGATACCAGCAGGGGCGAAAAGCAATGGATGGAGACCGAACGGAGGACATTCAAGGCAAGCTGAACAGTAAAGAGGATCGTAAAGTAAAGCATCGTACGCTGCATAGTCGGCCGGTGAAGGCTGTGCTGTTGTCGGTCGCTGTGGAATTGTACAGGAACATGAGGGTGGCGGCGCCCACAGTAGCTGCATAGACACGCCAAGAAAACCGTCATTGACTCTTGCTAATTCAGACATTATTGCCCTGATGATCCTGTAATTCATTGCAGCTTCACTGCTTCCATACAATCTTGTGTTTCATGCATCATGGCAGAAACTGTCACAGCGACCTCACTGCTGATGACCTCAAGGGCATCAGAAAATCAAGCAGCGTTCCAGGGACATTGTACGGGCATGAACGCACTTGGCTTGCCCTTGTGGAGGTGCACTATAGTTGGACCATAGATGTTTGAGACCACGACGTCGTAGTACAAGGCATTGGTGTTGGGCATGAACTGGATCAGCAAGTATCCGAGGGCCTTGGAGTCAGTGATCCTGCGCAGGGTCAACCCAAAATGATTTTGAAGGGGCCTCATTCCTGACACGTAGACCGTCATTCACATCTCTGCGTGTTCCAGCACAGCGTGTTCCACACTCAGTCATTGGCAAGTGTACATCCGATCTGTCGTGGGCCACCTCCCAGCGACAGCTGCGCAGACTCGGGCAAAGAAGCATAATACATCGTCGGGATGCTGATTTTGCACATACAAAGTACTGATCGTTACAGTGACGGACATGACTGATGCTATGCTCATTTTGCTCACGCCACACTGTACTACACCTACCGTGGGACTTCGTTCTCCGGCGACAATGGGACCTTGTACATGTATGGAGTTGGAGACATCAGCGATGCCACTTGATCCGATGCCACATTCGCGATAGGCACAGCTTCCGAACCTATCGCAAGATGCAGGCAGACGGCAACGATCACAGCGTACCACTTCATCCTGAGCACTTCATGGGAGACGCAAGAAGAGCAAGATATTGCTTCCAGTAGCTAAAGAACAGCAAGACTGATCTACGCGTCCAAAAGTTTCGGGAGAACTGCAACCTCGGCTCTAGTGCCGGAAGGCACCTTTGGAAGGGGTCCAGCTTCGCCCAGCTTCCCAGGACTTTACGTTGTGTATAAACCCTCTCAAATCCCTCCATTCTTAACCCTATCTGTTTCCACGCAGCAAACGATGCAAGGCACTGTATACAACCGAAATGATGCTCACTGAGCATTGCTGAGATGCCTGACATATCGAACTGTGACCATAATCGCGACGGATGACATAGTGCGAGGTTCTGTGCATGACTACTGGAAACCCCAGAAAAGTCGAGGCATGGTGGTTGTATGAGGTCCAGTAATCCCCTACCAGAACCTGGGCAGGATGGGCGAGGGGGAGGGAAAAGGTTGTCAGGTCTGCCATAGCAGCCGCAAGCCTTTGCTGTGCCCCAATTGCGTGAAGAGAGGCCTCCTTAACAACCTTGGTCTCAAGGCAATAAGGCACCATAGACAGAAGCTGTTGGAGCGCGTCACCAGATCATTAGATCCGCAGGTAGCTTTGATTTTTCGCGACATATCCCTGCCGCGAAGATCATGCTTTAACTTGCTAGAATTTGCGCTTCAGTTTCCATGAAACGCAATTCCTGGGTCGCACAGGCACCTCTTCTAGCCGACCTTCGTGTTAAATCGATGCAACGATGCTAGAGTTGTCTTGTGGCCTGTAAGAAGGCATCTCAAACATTAAAACGGCCTGTCTACAATCTTATTTTAGTGTTACTGACACGAAGGGTCTTTGCAACGCAGAGGAGGAAAGAGCTGCGCGCTGTGCAGCTCCAGAAAAAGCATGAGTGCTTGGAGGCTTTTGCACGCACGTCTGCTCGAGCTGCAGCCGCTGAGGATGAGTTCAGACGAGGTCTGTCACTACCTTTCTGCCTTTTCACTGGCTAGCTTGCCTGGCATTGCAGTCCTTGCAAACCGACATTCCTCAGTCACACATTCACGATCGTGAAAGGGCGGCAGGTCACTAGTGCATGTCCTTAAACATCTGCAGGGTTGGTGATCTTTGGCTTTCTAGAACTCTTCTTTTTCGGTCAATATCAAAAGTCGGACATTGAGCCTGGACTGGTTGACCACAGTGCTGGAGGAGGCAGAGAAGCTTCGCGCCAGCAACAAGCGGCGCTACAGGCTGGTTGAGGAAGCAAGGGAGCAGGTGGGAACCTACCACAATGCCTCAGGCGCTACAAATGCAGCTGAGCTGTACCTTTTGCTCCATGCTGAGCACGGACCAAGTTGCCAGAGAGCCTTTAATGGCGCACCGATCTACAGCCCAGAGGGACAGTTGAGAGTTTTGGCTGCAAGAGGAGGCCCTATCGAGGTTGCCTCAAGCGTGTGGATGTTGTGAGGGGTGAAGTGACCTCTACTTCCTGTCCTTGAGGTGCCTGTGATGCTGTGCAGCTTGATAGGAAGAGGACGGAGCTGCTGGTGCATGTGCTGCCAGAGAGCATCCATCAGCGGACCATGCATCTGCGCATTCTGAGCGACCAGCTAATCCTGGCGCGCAGTCAGAGGTGCACATGCTTCCTATACTCTGCTGACTTCTGCATCATGGATGTGTGTATATATGTGTAAGATGAGTTATGGAAGGGGCTTGCCGAAGAAATCGAGATCAGCGTGCTTGCATGCCATCAGTGTTCGGTGTTGTTGACTGTTGTTGATACTGCATTTCCTCACTGGACTTTAGCGTGCACCCTCTTGTAACTGCCCGTACTTGCATAATCGAATTGTTCTGCCAAGGCATTGCATGGCAGCTTTGCCAGGAATTGCACAAGGCAGATCGCCAGTGGAGCCGGGAGCACAGTCCTTCCCTGTACCGATTTTTCTCACATGAGACGCATTGCATAAAGTCTGCCCGATCAGGCTATGGCCAGTTTTGGCCAGTCTTTCGTTGACTAATGGCGATGCCACAGGATGGCTGCGCTGTTGGAGGTGCTGCCGCTGCAGATTCCCGCGCTGCGGCCCAGTAGCCCCGAAGCTCGGGGGGACCGAGCACCCCGCGGTGGCGGGCCCCTCCCGAGCAGAGGGGGGCCTGGCGGCGACCACCGGGGCCCCCCCGCCACCATCCCCTACGTGAAGCTGTGCGGCCTGCGCCTGCCCGAGTCCTTCGCGCCATACGTGGATGATCAGAAGGATGCCCAGGTGCTGACACACCCGTTACTCACTCTGTGAAATCTGTATGAATGAAATATGCATTTCCAGCACCTCCAACCACGCCTTGAACACCCTTTCAAGCCACCATCAGGGTGGCCAGGCGCATTGGAAAGGTAAGCTTCACCCCTTATGTGGAGGTCCAATCTGCACTTCCGAGGCAATCTTTAATTTGGTCCTTTGAACACACATGCGAATCGGGTAGAGATGGTTGCAATTGCTATCGTTCCTGGCAAGCACGCCAGTCCATGACCAGTCACCATTCAGCATGGGTCATACTCCCGCCTGCAGCTTTGAAGATCCCTGAGGGTTCCTACAAGGGGTGACGTCATGGCGGCTTGCTGCCCAAACCACAAGCGCTGAAACAATCTGCATGTTGTGATGAGCAACGCCCCCTTGCTGGCGCACAGGAGACGGGGACGGTGCTGGGCTATCTGGCGCAGTTTCTGCACCTGGCGGCCTTCTACCTGGACGGGCCACTGCTGCACACCATCGGCCTCCAGGTGACTCACTGTCCCATCACATCCCTCTCTGTTGGCACATCAACGTGAGAGCTTCCAATGGCGCTGGCTTTGAAGCTTCTTGCCGGCTGCCCTTTCTCTGCATGGGATCAAATCAGGGTGCCACTTGCGTGTGCATGCTATCTCAAACCCGTTGGCATTTGCCTTGCTGCCTGGCAGCTTTTTTTGGCCTGATTTTCAGCACCTTCTGCCATTTGCCGTCTTCTCCCGAAGCCTTACAGCCCTCAGGGAATACATACCCTCTGTCCTCTGATGCTCTGGGCTGTCTCGTGCCCTGGCGCTGATGTGTGTGTGCTGGTTGGCGTGCAGGGGAGCACAAGCTCGCTGTGGGTCCCCCGCTCTTTCTGGGAGCCTGGGCCCCCCACAGAGTCGGCAGTGAACCACCTCCATATCCGCAGCGGCGCCCACACCGCAGCCGCAGCCCCGTGAGCTCCCCAACACCGCTGTTGTGTTGATGGATCTCTAAATAGGCATCCTTTCTTAGCTGAATATGGGAGTGATGGCCTGAACTGGGCTGCCAGCGCCCTAGGTACCTCATCGCATTGGGGATTTGAGCGTCACTTTGCACAGATGCATGGAACCTGTCTCCTTGATGTGTTGAATGGTATATGTCAATGTGCGTCTTTGTCGGTCCAATGCGCCCAGGTGTTGAAGACCAGGTTTGGAATGCTCTCTGATAATATGCTGCCATGCGCGCAGGGATGCAAACAATGCAGCTTACACGCTGGCGGCCATTACTCAGCAGTGGGAGGCCATGAAGTGCGCCCCCCTTTCGGTCTAATCCTGCTGCTCTCTCCCCTTCTGCTGCGCAAATTCACATGGTCATGCAACTCGTGGGTTTGGAATCTATGCCCTTTTCTTACATACGCTGCCGATTCGTCTGCGTTTGTGGCAGCCTTCACCTGCAGCTCGTCTGCAAGTGCACTTCCCCTCTTCTGGCAGGAACAGCATGCAGTAATCGTAATCACAACTACATAGCATGAATGCAATGACTGGTGATGTTGCATCGACTTTCGGGAGTCGGAGGCAACTCGTTGCAGCAGCGCAGTGAGAAGTGATAATCATGGTGACATCACTGAATATGGTGATGTTGCGGTGACTTTCAGAAGCGGCAATTCGTCGATGCGGCCGACGCGGCGGCAGAAGGAGGAGATGGCGATGGCGCTGCGGATGCTCTGGCGGTCTACAGCGGCGCTGCTGGCCGAGCACCTGGGTGCAGATGCGCAGGCTCTGCCCTCCGATTGGAACCCCATCGCCAGCCTGGCAGGTGCCACCTTGGCGCATTCCCTGCTGTTTGCACTTTCCTGCCCCTCCACAGATGCATGCAATGCAGTTTCTTGCCGTTTGGCGCATGGGCATGTCAATAAGAGCGCCTGCAAGAAATTACTGGAGCCAACGGCACTTATGTCATTTGAGACTTGTCCACGCTTGCCCTTCCCAAGGAGGCTTTTGCTGCCCGATGAAACAGCTGCCGTGCCTTCAGCAACCCCGGCGGCCCTCCCAGGCAAACAGAATATCAGACTATCCTAACCTACCAACGCTGTGTTTGTATTTTTTAGTGAAATGCCTCACAGTCTGACATAATTCTCTGTGTGCCCGCGCAGTGCTGTGCGCGCAGGCGGCGCGGCCGAGTCCGCGGCGGCGAGCGGCGAGCGCGCAGGTGTCTCTGGCCGGCAGCGTGCTCCTTCGCGCGGCCGCCCTCGGAGCCGGCGCCACCATGGCCGCCGAGGGCTTCCTCACCGACGGTGCGCGCGTGCTGTGATAAGTGCTGTGCTAATCCGACCGCCCATCTTTGCAAGAGGTTTAATTACAGCCAGAGGGGTTCTGAGGGGTTGCAACATGGCACGCCAAGCCTAGAATGGTTCAAGAGCAAAGCAAACTTGTCAGTCACTAGCTTGACTGGTGGAAGCTGTTTCGGACCCTGTTCACATTTACCCAGCAATTATGCTGCTTGTGTGTGAGTGCGTGGCCCGACTTGCATGTTTAGTCTTCGCCTCCATGTAAGCCTAATCTCCCAAAGTACAAACCCTGTGACAATTGTGAGACCGGATTCGTAAAGCTCTTGACAGGCTCAATCAGATGGAGCAACCCCATAGTGATAAAATATCAAGAAGACCCCTAAATGTTGCCTCAAAACTCCGGGGGAATTCGCACCGCTGGGGTGCGGGATTTAGAATGACCACTATAGTAATTATTATAATTACAGGTCCCGGCTGGCAGGGGGCGGTATAAAGACCGACCACCGTGTCCAAGGTCTTGCTTGGATCTGGCAAGTCCAATAAGGGGTGGGATTGTGGCTGCCTTTACCTGCAGCTTGTCTGCAGGTCGTACCGGCGTTTGGGCAGGAAAAGCGTGTATTAGTAACAATAATATCAACAACAATAACAATAACAATGATAATAATGATTACAGGCTGGCAGACCCAAAGTCAAAGGCCGTAGGGCATACACGCAGGGCGTCTGCAGCCACGTCTGAGGGGTTGACTAAAATGTGCAGCATGCTGTGACCGCTACGGTATGCTGAGGTGGGTGTCCTGTTCTGGCGCAGACGATGAGAACGAGGTGGTGGACGGGTGGGACATGGTGCAGCGGCCGGCGGTGTGGCAGCCGGACGCGTCTACAGCGGTGTCCCTGCTGGGCCCAGAAGCCGCCCACTACCTGCCCCCGCCCCCTAGGTGAACTCTTGGAACTTGTGTCTGATCGAACTGAACATCCCTGGCCAGAAGATCCACATTTGAAAAGCAACGGCGGAGAGTGTGGAGGAGCGAATGGAATGTCCAGGAGGCCTCTCGTTTGAATGCTCCTCTTTCTTATGCCTGCTAAGGTACTTCTCCGGTCTGGGCACTTGCGAATACATTGGGCCTCGCGCAGACCGTGGGTGTATCATAGTGTGCTGGGGAAATTGGTTGTCAAGAATTCTCACTTGGAATAGAAAGGCGTATTTTGCGCACACTTGTCCATGTACTATCGGCCTGTGTGCCTGCATCTGCTGCGCATTCTCAAGATGACTCCTGGCGACAGACGCACTTCATGCACGCCCAATGGCCTTCAGAATCCACTTTGCCAATCTTGCAACAATAAACAGGTTACAGGAAGATCTCGGAGTGAAGGACTGTGTCACTGATTGCGCTGCAGCCGGCCGGTGGATGTGCTGAATTGGGAGCGCGCCATGTTCACCGACTCCAACTCGGTGTATCTCACCCACGTGGCGCCTGTCATTGCCGCAGCTCTGCCGCCCTCATCTCTGACAGCTCTCCTGTCACCCTTCCGGCGCAGCAGCGGGAACTGATGCCCTGCGCTGCGGCCTCCATTGGTTCTGGGTCTTGGAAAAGCAAAGAGCCCCCGGCGCAGCAGCGGGTCTTGATGCTATGCAACGGGCTTGTATGCAGTCAGCTTTGCGCTGCAGGGGAGATTGCAATCTGATTGCAATTAGATGGCAATCTCCCCTTCAGTGTGCTTGAGTCTAGGGAAGCAGAGAGCCTCGAACATGTTAAGCATGTAGTGGAGCGGGAGAGGAATACTAGGGCTCTGCTCTCAATGGGCTACGGTCAACCTTCCGGTGCAGCACCGGCAATTGATGGTATGCTGCAGCCATCACACTTTCTGGTCCTGAGTCTAAGGGAAGCATGGAGCCATAGATGTGAAGGCACAAGGTGAAGCGGGAGGTTTTTTGGCCGTCTGCTCTCTATGCGCTGCTGGGCGGCCGGTGCGGCAGCGGCGGAAACTAACAATGGAGCGCTGCAGTAGTCAGCTTTTCTTCGCAGGGCTTGGAGCGGGGAAGAGCTCTGCAGATGGCCCAGATGCATCGTGTGCTCTCCCACAGTACTGGTGGTTTTTGGCGCAAATTTGAGGCGGGTGCTGCTGTGCGTTTGGGTCTCACTTTGTCACCAAGCGGTGACGTTTGTAGAATAGTAGAACTGGACAGAAGAGGGTGCCTGTATCATAAAGCTGCAGGTGGGCATCTGCGGGATGTGTGCAACATGCTGCAGATTGCCACGGCCGCGCATGCGCTGCTTACTGAGCAGACATCGCAGCGGTCTCAACTGCTGGACGTTGTCCAAAACAGTGAATTGAGGCATTGGTGGCCTGCCATGTGCTTGTATTTATGGACTGTACATACCTAGTATCCTGTTCATTCATGTATATTAAGCAATGAGGGTGTAGACCCCGTTTTGATATCTCTCAGATCTGCGAAAACCAGAATAACTAAGGGTTGTATCCCCTGCATAGATGTAGTTCCTGTCAGTTCCGGTAAGGGGCATCCTCGTTGTGACTGTTTTAACAACTGTGTAAAAAAAGTGTTCTCAAGATATTATGCGTGGCACACAGTCAATGGATGCATGCTGTTCATGTCAACATTCAAAGAGGTCTGGGATCCTTTGCCAGAATCATGAAGACTGAATACTGGAGCGTCAGTGGCTTTCTGTCATCAGACCTGCCCAACACAGACATAAGCTGCTCTTCAAACTTTGGCAAGGGGTCAGGCTGGCCAGATGTTTCCTTCAGCATCTTCCCATACAATCCTGATGTCTTGACAAACTGCACCTGCACAGCAAATTTGTCTTCGTGCCATATGCTCCATGAAGAGTAGAGTGCCCCCCAAGATCTTGAGGCAGCCTGAAAATTTTACATCATTGTGAGCAGTATTACAATCAAGATGAAATGGAACAGCCGTGCGCCGATTTTTTGCAAAGCGTATTTGTTCATGAAATTTAAGGCACATGCAATGTTTGCATAACTCTTACCAGATGCCAGACGGAGCTCCTTTGCTCAAACACTTGCGAGGTCCTCTTTACTACGCCAAAGTCATTTTCCCCTGGCTCCAGTCCTCTGTATTGCTCTTCCCAGTGGATATGTGCCTGAGCCTTGTGAGGGCCCAGTACAATATCCCAAAAGTCTCTGAAAAGCTGATTCGCCCTCTGAGAATCCTTGACCTCTGGAAGGTCATAGCACCATGCAGCAAGGGCACCCCCCGGCTTCAGGACCCTTCTGGCCTCCAAATAAAAGGCTGGGACATCGAACCTGGATTGCAGAGGACAGAAATAGTATGCCGCACATCAGTAGTAGATGGTTAATTGATCTCTGCTGAATGAGATGAGGGCTGTGCTGTGAAGTAATGTAAACATTGGGGCATGGGGCATACCAATGCAAGGCAGTTGCGGCCGTCACAAGGTCTACGCTGCTGTCTGGTAAACCTGTCCTCTCAGCGCAGCCCACGCTGAAAGTTATTCTCGGGTGCGGCTCGCATTGCTTTATCTGCTCTTCACTGGCATCCAACGCCCACACCTGCACGTTTAGAAATGTTGCTACAGGTCAATGAATAAGTCAAGATATGTGGGATAAAGGAAGGCCGAGGATCAGTCCAGCAAGTACCTGTTTATATCGTGTGGCTAGCTGGCGTGCGCTCTGTCCACTTCCAGTGGCCACGTCCAGGGCCGTGTCTGTGCTAGACCCCGAGAAGCTGAAAATCGCCTCGAAGAGCTCAGGAGGATACCTGGGACGTACCTCGGGGTCTGAGTATAGAGCGGCATGGGAACTATAGTAGTCAGCCTGGGACCCGTACGTCGCCATTCAAGCAGCTTATACTGTAATTACCAAATAACTCTTAACTACGCAGTCCAAGAGAACAAGTCTAACAGTTTGTGAGCAGGGTTATGTCAAGCAATCAATCCCAGTTCATCGATATTCCATTTGACACGAAACAAGGAGGAATTGCACGAAACTTATATTCTTAAACCAGAGAACTTGATGATGCCACTTCTTCCTTTCTTGAATGAGGATCGAAGCTCAGCTTTCCTCTGGTCTTGGCAGCTTCCTTGTCAGGGGAAGCTGGACTCCTGAATGGCCACGATTTGACCTTCCCATCTCTCTCCTTGCACTTCACCTTCCCTGTTCAATTATTACAATAATCGATGGGCATGATGATTGAGCGACTGAACAGCAGCACCACGATGGTGGGGGAGCTTGGCACTGCACCTAGACAACTTCCGACGAGATTCCACCAGCATGGACCAACAAGGAGACCAGTACATAACCTCTTACAGCCGTCCCATGCAGCTTTTCAAGGAAATTTGAGAACACCTGTACAACAGAAGACGAGCAGCCTCACGACCGCTGCTGCGTCCACAGATTCCATCCAAGCAACATCTTCCACCAGCTACCTCCACGATCGTCTGAAAGAAAATGAGGTGTGCTCGTGCATTCTATCACATCGTGTATTATGCATGCAACAATGATCGCCCCTTAAGAGAGGAATAGAGTACCCTCATCAACCAAACATGAACAGACTTGATACGAGTTGTCCTGTCTGGGACTGTAGGTGTACCTTGTCTCAGAACAGAGGAAAGTGGACATGACCAGCCTTTGGAGCGATTCAGACACTGCCGTGGTCTTCTGGGCACGTTCAATGGGCTGCTTCTTCTGCCAGTGAGCACCTTATTCCTGCTAAGCACCGTCAAATGTGCCTTTGTCATGCATTCCTGTGCATCTCTGCATGCATGCCGTGCTGTGTCAGCTTTGTTGCTGCAATGGAGGACTGAAATTCACTTCAGTGCTTGGCATGACAGATCTTCAAACTCAAAAACTGTTGGCAACACTTGAGGGAGCAATCAGTAGAGGCCGTCAAATCATCATGGCATTGCTGCTTTGCAGGGAGTTGGCGCGGGAGCTCAGAGCGGATGTGCTGCCAAAGCTGGGAGCAAAGGGTATCAAAGCATTCTTGGTGCGGAGCTTCCTCAACCTTGTAGCGTCTGCTGCAATCACTATGGAAAATTATAATTTCAGTGGCTGAATGTCTCTCACAGCACCCCGTTGGAAAGCACAATGATGCACGAGTGTCTTCTCTGCCAACTGCCGTGTGTTACCATCCTGGCCGCAATTCTAACAAGTTGATGCCTGCTTGTGCTTATTGATGCATGCATGTGCAGGTCACGATCGGGACTGCAGAGAGGGGTTTGGAGTTTGCCGAGCTGACTGGATACCCATCAGACAGCCTGTTGGCTGACCCAGACAATGTGACATATAATGCTTTGCAGCTGAAGAAGGGAGTCGTGGATACATTCTTCAACATTGAGGTGGGCCCATAGCAAACTTGTTGGCTTCTTGACTGAGACAGCGCACATTATTATTGTTACTTCCCGTGAATGCATTCGGAAAAACCACATGAACCCGGGAGCTGCCACATCAATTTGTGCCGACATAGAAATTAAAGAATGCAGTCTTTATGCATTCATAATGACCTGCTCAAAAGCTCTGGATGCAAGCAAGGCTGGAGACATGTGTTTCAATTCACTGGTAACTTAAATCTTTTGTCATGCAGACACCGCTGGCGATCAAAGACAGGATAGTGAAGGACGGGGCGGCTGGGCTGCGGCAGGCAATAAGCAGTTGGAAGCCCTGGATCCCCCCGGGGCAGGGTCAGTCGCGCCAGCAGGGGGGATGCTACATCTTCCGGGGGAAGGAATGCGTTTTCGAGCACAAGGACAAGGCCACCGGCGCGCATGTTGACCTGGACAAAGTGGTGCAGATCGCGACTGGCCTGGCCTGAAATTGATTTGAGAGCGATGACAGTATTCTGTAAATGAACCCTTGCAGCTGGGGGAGCGGCAACCTGAATGTAAACTATTATTGTTCTCCTGGGGGAGTGCAGTGCTCCCCTTGCAGCTTGCTCAGAGACCATTGCAGGCTTTGTCGCGGCAAACAGGGACTGCATATATGCCAATTGCAGATTCAATCCGACTCCATTTGGAGCCCAAGTTGGGCCCTCATGAGTGGTCACTGACTGGCGGTGTTGAACAGGGCTGCCATGCGGCAGTGTGTCTGGAATAGTTCAGTTTAGGTTGTGTGTGAGCAATTTTGTGCCACGATGAGGATGTAACGTATTTACATAAATTATCTTTGGCAAAGGAACTTGGATCAACACTGCTTAATTGTGGAAGGAGGGAACAGCAGCTTCCTGTTTCTGGACGCAGCTGCCCAAGCCTGAGGTGGTCCCAGGTCGTAGCCTTTGGAGGCGAGGTGTCCCGCAAACTCGGTTCCAAAAGGAGTTTCAAGACATTCAAAGCAATTGACTTCGTTTCTCGTGCATCATGCAGCTCACTGTGGATTTGCGTGATATAATATAGAAGTGTGTTCCAGATCGAAACGCTCATGTTGACGACATCCCGGCTATCTTGGAGCTTGTTGTGCTCTTGCCAGCGCCCTTTCGGCGTCCTTAGACGTTTTAATGGCACTTCAGGCGGTGTGATCAGGCTAGTCTCACCAGTTCAGCAGGGCATCAGCAGGATTGGCAGCCGCAACGTCCACGTTCAGCAGCAATCCAGTGTTCGCGGCGCGTCGTTCCATTACCATGTACCAAATTCTTTCAGCCACTGCAGGACCCTCAGCGTGGTCTGTAGTGCAAATCCTCCAAAGACCGCTCGAGACATCATCAGGACTCTAAAGAAGGGTATCGTAGCGTGCTTGCCCCATCCATCTATACGTGTCATTGATAAATCTATAATCATACGTAGCAGTCCCATGTGCTTATGGACATGGATGTACAGAAACAAGCAATGGAAGTACTATGCGCAGGGGATGTGACTATTGCATATGCCAGGAGTGGGGGTGCTGGGGGGCAAAATGTGAACAAGGTGAACACCAAAGTGGACATGCGACTCAACGTGCTCACTGCTGGCTGGATACCAGAGGACCTGAAGGATGCTCTGCAGCGATTGGTGAATACCCCTGCATGCTGCTCGCTGCAGTCGCAATTGAGTTTGATATAAGGAGCCAAGAATTCGCAGCACAGTATCCATAGCATGCTGCACACTTCCTGTGAATGCTGGACTTCTTGAACAAGCCTACATTGCTCTGCCTTGAAGATTTTTCTTTGTGTCCAGGAAAAGAAGAGGATCAACAAAGAGGGTGAGCTAGTGGTGACCTCTACGTTGACACGATCACAAGCGTGCGCCCCTAACCCCTGTCACTTATGCGCTGCTCTCCATGGGAGTGCACCACTTCATTGCATTCCACGAGTGGAGCTTGTTTGTCTCGATACACTGCACCCCGTCCGCCGTTTACCTGCTCATGCTAGGTTGAGATTGGATTGGGATGAGAAGTGGAATGCCTGAAGTTGGCCTTAGCATAGACACGATGTAGGCTGGTGGACATGCAGCAATGTAGCCTCTCTGTGCGCAGGGATAATGTTGAGGATGCACTGCAGAAGATGCAGGCATGCATAGACAGCGCAGCAGAGTCCCTCATACCGCCAGAGGTGGACCCGGAAAAAGTGAAGCAGATTGCGAAACAGTAAGGCTCCCTCCACTCCCCATCAATTGCGCCAGACTATTGGGAAATCTGATGGAGCTTCTAGTAGTCAGGCCGAGTCAGAAGGCATAAGTTCTGACAAATTTGATACGTGAGGTTATGCAGAAGTGAACCCTGTTGCAACTGTGCAGGAAGCGAATTGCGAATGAGAACCGGCTCGAAAACAAGAAAAAGGCGTCATCAAAGAAGCAGGATAGAAGATCGAAGATTGAATGGTAGTGCAGCGAATGCGTTGCTGCTTTAAGGGCGGTTCATACTGTAATTCTTGAACTTCATAGCAAGAACTGAAAATGCCCGCCGCACTGCTGGAGTGGTGGATTGCTGCTCATGCTCATAAATGCATTGGCCTACATTTGGATATGTGGAAAGGACCTTGATGACGCTGTGGGGGTGTCCTCTTCTCAGCTGAAAGAATTCTTCGATGGACTTGCTTCGTCCGACAAATAGATTTATTAATGCTTCAAAACCGCTGTTACCTTTGATGGATTCAACAACAGATTGATACTCTAAATCTGGTGCACTCTGCGAAGGTTCCAGACCCTGTAGCGTTGAAAGACTGTGCAATGCTATGCTACCTGGCTAGCCAAGTGCCAGCACCGCAGACACAAAGACATCTGCGGTCCGCAAATCCAAATATCTGCCCCCTACTGGATGCATTTGTGATGCCATAGAGCATCAGACGAGCGTTGTGAAACACCTTCCTGCTTTGAGCTCACACCAAACCATGGTCCCCATGCAATATAGTCATTGGATTGCCTGATGACACAAACAGCGACGAGGCTATGCGTAATTTAATTCAAAGCAGTCTCTGCATGTCACTCTCTGCACCCATCCTCAGACGAGAAATGTCCTCATCCATTCTCATTTCACTAATCTGCTCAACCCAGGGCACCAGCTACTCCGGTGACTGGCCCAAGACACAGACTGATGCAGACACCACAGACTCCAGGCCTCTGGCTCTACAATAAAACCACTTGCTGACCGGACGTCTAGTCAACCATCTCCACCTCGGGTGCCGAGTTCCCGGCAGCTGCATCCGTCTCCATGGGTTCCTCCGAGGCAGCTGCCGGCTCCTGCTTCTCAGCTTCCTTGGGCTCAGGCTTCTTGTCCTCCTGAGAGAAGCAGCAGTCGCGTACATTCAGGGATGAGATGGGGCCCTGATGGGTTAAAATGTACTCTTCTTTCTCAGGACTGAGCACACTCAGAGGCGGGTGCTGCAGGGTCCCCAGCCTCCTTCTCCGACACTTGTGGGTCAGCAGCGACCTGGATTTGACACTATCAAGCCAACCTCCTCAGCAAGCTGTGATTACACAGCCCAGAGATTTCTTTACAAATTAAGCACAGGCAGAGTGCTCGCAGTGTCTCAAAGACTGCGCCTCTCTGCCAATTTTGGCTCTGGCCAGATCAACGCTTGCACTGCTGCAAAACGCGTCAACGCATAGGGGAAGACAGCCTTCCCCACAAGGAACCACCTCACCAAGTTCATGAAATGATGCTTGCAATGGGAGCACAGGTTCCATTATCATCCAAGACGGAGACGGAGACGGTCACCAGGTGTCTAAAGACATCCTCGTCGAATGTATCCAGTCAGGTGGTGGGGGGCATTCAAGAGAGGGAATGCGGCGCACCTTGGGCGGGGGTGGGGCGGACTTGGAGAGGATGGGGTCGGAGAAGCGGACGATGGTGTCTTCGCGCTTCTTGATGTCGGCCGAGCTGAGCACAGGGTCGTCCGTCTTGCGCAGCGACCCCTGCAGCCTCTGCTTCTCCTCCAGCCACTCCAGCGCCTTGCGCGCCTCCGCCACCACCTGCACATTTGAAATTGCATGTTGCATTCAGCACCATTATATTATCATATGGAGACCCAACAACAAAATAGCCTGGTGCAGACGATTGCAGGCGCACTCTGCGCCCTACTGGCTTTAGGTAACGGTTTCCTTGTGCATGCAGAATGCCACACAGACAGCATGCTGTTGGGTGTTCCTTCCCGCTCAATCAGATATTGCCAGGACCTCAAAGAGATTATTCCCATTAAAGATGTCCTTCAGCATAATGCTGCGCATGCCAGAGCCAAAGTGCTGTTTCTTCCCCACCAGAATAGAGTCCCACCTTGTCCTTGTCGTCCTGGGGGATGTGGGCGTGCTTGGCATCGTTGGTGGTGGCCGCGGCGATCAGCCGGTTGGCGGTGGACGTCAGCGCGGCGGCGGCGGCCGGCCGGGCCTGGGCCTCGCGAGCGCGGTGCAGCAGCGGCTCGCCCATCGCCTGCAGCTCCTTCAGCTTCGCCTCGTAGACCCCCTTGCTCTCATCCTCGCCCTCCTCGTACAGCCAGTCCTGCGCAGAGTGCACAGAAATTTGGCCTTCGTCCTCTGCAGCTAACCCGCTAGCAAAACCCAAAATGTTCATCGGAAGAAAGTGTGCACTGCCGGATGTTCATCAAGCACGGGGCTCTGAATGGGAAGCTCCTAGGCACAGCACTGCTGCACACGAAAGACCAGTGCATCTCCAGCTTGAACATCTGACCTGAGCATCCTTAACGCACTTGGAATCTGGATTGGGGATCGCAGAATTGGGACATGGCTTCCAGGAAGGGGAGCAGCATCCCGTCAACCCCAGGCGCCAGACATGACGTGCATCAGCATGGGCCATCATCATCGCTGGCACTAAGGATCAACGGAATGCTGCTGAGCTACCCTTTGATGGAATGCAAATAGCAGCAAAGTTCAGCATCGCTGCATGTCTGCCAGAAAGCAAGTTGCTTGTTTGGGAGGCTCCCAAGCAGAGCTTGACTTACAAAAGGCCCTAGATTCCCTTCTATTCTTACCGTCCTTGATAAGAGAGCTTTCAGGACGGGGAGCAGCACTCCGTCGGACGCTGCATAGCAGCAAGTGATCCCCCACCGCTGTGAGCCTGATCACCTCTTGAGTAAGAGTGTCCGGAGGAGCGCTGCTCAGGTTCCCAACAGAATGGGGAAAGGGACCAGTCATTGTAAGTCATCTGCGCAGCTCGCACCTCGGTCTGGTTGAGCTTGTCGCTGACGGTGGCCTGCTCCTGCTCGGTGACAAAAGGAGCCAGCGCGTCGGAGAGCTGGTTGCGCAGTCCGTACACGTACGCCTCCACCGCATTCTTGCGCTCGTTCGTCTCGTCCTGCCGCTTCTTCTGCAGCTCGATGTTGCCCTCCATCTCGATGAAGTCCTGCGCACGATGGATGGGAGTGCTGGGTAAAACCTTTTCACCGCGACTGCTTGCAAGCCATCTGTGATCTGACAGATACTTAATTTGTAATGAAAGGCAAGGTCTGGTGCTCTAGATTAAGGCTGCAAAGGGCTACGGCCACTGAGAAGATACAGACATCGAGTGGACCGGCGTCAAGCCGCTTGGTAACTGAATTCCCAGCTTTTCTTTGCTAATCAATGCTTATGATCTAGTCAATTCATTGAAAATGCATGCCTTTCACATTTGTTTGTGAAAGACACACTCGACAGAGTTCTGACTGATTTCCAGAACCAGAACAGTGCCCTGTGTCATTCCCTCACGCATGTGCTGCTCAGACTCTGTGCACCAGACTGGACCCCACATGCCAAATTTTGGGCCCCACATTATTGATACAATTGCTGCCAAACAAGAGAAGTGTGATTGATAGGAGACGAGAGAGATAGTAGCTGCTCACCTGCACAATCTTGTCGCTGAGGCCCTCGACGTGCACCTTGAAGGGCACCTGCAGCTTCTTAGTGCGCCGCTTCTTCACAACCTCCTCCTTGGGCTCCTCCACCTTTGGCCCCTCAGCTTCAGTCTCCATCGGCGCGGGGCCGTCGGCGGGCCCGGGTGCGGTGGACGCCTCGGCCACGGCCGCCGCTTCGGCCGCTCCGGGGCCGACTTCCGCCTCTGCCGAGCCGCCATTCTCCGCCGCCTCCGGCGCTGCATCCGGCATCGGCTCGTCCTTCTTCCCCTGAGCAGCAACGCTCCTAATTTATGGGCTCCAGATACAGCAGTGAATGTATGATTGCCGACATGGCCACTGTTTCGTGCTTTCAAAGCTTGCTGGATAGCCATGTTGCCTCTGATATTTCCCGGATGCCATTAGCCCTATTGAGGCAAGCTTCAGATTCAAGGCAGGAATCCAACAGATATAAGCAAGCACACAATATAATTGGCGTGGTGGGAGGAGTGAGTCAGCATTCCCGTACATTGCATGCAGATTCCACACAGTACATGAAATGCTGAGGTTGCAAGATCCTCACCTTGGCAGAAGCTGACTCATAGACCTTGACAGTCTCCTCATACTCCTCCTCCTCGATCTGCTGCGCTGATTCCACGCCCACGACGCCATGCAGGTTGAGTTTCACCTGGCATTGCAGCACACTTGCAGATCAGATGTGATTCTTAAAACTCAAAAGTAAGAACTTGCTGTAAAAGAACTTGATTCATACATGCAATGTGGCTGCTACTGTAAAAAGCACGAGGTACTCTATGCAGGCAGGGAATGCCAAGCATGCAAGCTGGAAAGGTACATAAGCGCTGTCAGCCAAAATTAAGCTTCCAGGACATGCATGGCTGCAATAATGCTCACCTTGACCTTGATCTTGGCGTTGGAGCCGTCTGTGGGCACATTCACAGGGGGGCCAATCTCAAAGGTCCCAATCGTGCGGTCGAAGCCCTCCGGCACAGGTGAGTCATCCGTGTAGCGCGCTGTCAGCGTGAATGCTGTGTTCCTGCAGACAGCGTGCACTGCCCCGTCAGTATTCAGCACGGCTTACCAGATTGAAGCTCAACTACTTCAGCATCTTCTACACATGCTGAAGGGTGCGACTAATCGATGGCACCATAGAACTCAGCATCAACACAGATCACAGCATCACAGGTAAGCAAGCCTGATGAAACAGCTCTTGTGATGTTTGATAATTCTTTAAATAGCCCTAATCCTCCGGCAGAATCCAGATTCATACCTACTTATATCAAAGAAAATAAGGGATGCTTTGTCCGCCCTGTCAAACCGCAAAGAACACACTGCACAGCTGAACGCACAGTAGCAAGGGATGGAGAGAGTGAGCCGCAGACCTGAAGAATGTCAGCATCTTTGCAGATGGGATGGGGCCATTGCGCTCAAAGAGCACAGATGTGATGCGCTCTCCGTCCTTGTCCCACTGGAACTCGATGCCGAATGGGAACGCCTCGATCACCTCAAAGTCACGCACTCTGTACAAGGCACGAAGCAACAATTCTCAGTCCTATCGTAACCAACAACAGTATTTGATATTCTTTGGTGATCAGCAGTGGTAGATGCCCCTATATCTACTTCACAAGAGTCAGCAAAGACGGCTGCTGGGCAGCACTGGCAAGCTAAATCACCCTGTCCGCCACATCCATTCCAGCCCTGTAGTATATTTTAAGAGCCTGCCTTGCCCATGTACAGCGTGACAAGAACGGATGCAGCAGACGGGGTTTCAGCTGTAACACCTGCATTCAGCGCTGCATGCAGCTCCGTCAAAAGGAACCATATTTGACATCTGTTGTCCAACGATCATGCCCGAGCCCTGATGCATGGTGCTTCCTGATCGTGTGAGAAGGCTTTTCAAGCAAGGACCTGCCCTGGCTGGTCTTTTATTGCACAAGACCAACCAGGGCAGGCCTTTTATTTTTAAAAAAGGACTGGTATAGACTAAGCACCTGAAGATGGGGGACAGCATGGCGCAGTTGAGCGCGCAGCCGCGGCAGACGACCTCGGTCGCGTTGAGCGTGCGGCTGGGCTCCTTCTTGAAGAAGTCGCGCATCGTCGTCAGCAGCGCCGGCACGCGCGACGACCCCCCAACCACCTCCACGGACGCGATGTCCTCCAGAGAGATCTTCGCCTGCTCCAATGCCTGCGCACAAAGAAGGCCACATGCTCACATAAAAGATGGAGGTCTAATTGCAGCTTCTGCTCTACGCAAAATGCTTGCTGCTCAAATGTATGTTGCAGCTTTTGATCTGTGTTGGTGGTGCCACCGGCTAGCTCTTGCGGAGCATGTGTTGCTGCTCAATCAAAGCGCCGCCGAAAATTGCACAGTGCATCGGCATTTCACCCATCCATGCACAGAGCATGTACAGGGTGTGGCAAGCTAAAGATGCATAGCTGTCCTGGGGAAAATGAGCATGCAATATATATCGACTGTGGGCGGAGAAATGTGCTGTACGGAAAGGTCAGTGAACAAAAGACAGTCCTGAGACTGCAGCCAGGAGCAAATCTCCAATCTGCCAGCAGACATTTTCATCTGCATCGGCTCTGCCTGGCGCCAAACGCTCTGCTGGCTCCAGACTTAGAAAGTACCTTATACTTAGAGATCCCTGCCTTGCAGCGACAAGTACAAGGGGTGCTCGGGGTTATTTACCGTTGCCAGAGGGGCGCGTGCGCGCTGGAGCACAGGCTGCGCCAGCTCCTCAAACTGCTCGCGGGTCATGCTGCTGCGGAAGTCAATGTCGTTCATGAGGCACTCCACGTTCAGGGGCGCCTCCAAGATGGAGCTCAGTATCTTTTTTAACTGCGCACGCACCAGATCATTCTCAGCCTTTGACTCTACAATGGAGCGGCGTTCATACTCATGGTGCTTGCATATCAACAGATTTGTCTAGTCTATTGTACAATCTTGGTGTTGGCCATGCCTTGATGCTCAATATGCACCTGTGCAGGTGCCCTGGCCAGTCGCACACATTGCCGGCCTTGGGCAAGGAATTGAAATACTGCATGCTTAATCCAAGCAGGAGGTGGGGCACATGGTACAAAGTAGAACCACAGTGAGCCGCCAGCTTCACACTACCATGTGCTGTAAAACCAGCAACTTTGCCGAAGAACTGTGTTGCTGTGTGGCATGGCAGGGGAATGATGTGAGGTGGGATGCATGCAGCGCATACCTTCTCACAGCCCAGGCGCAGGCGGAAGGCCGACCTTGGGTTGGTGCGCACGTCCAGCTTGTACTTCTCCTTGAACTCGTTCGCAAAGTGGTTGAAGAGGACGTTGTCCAGATCGCGGCCGCCAAGGTTCCTGTCCCAGGCATGCGACAGCACGCGCAGCTGGCCCTTCTTGAAGGCCACAATGGACACCTGGGTGGCAAGGCAGAGTGCATCAGCGGCCTGCCTTCATTCACTCTCAAATACATTCCGCAATTGCGGCAGGTTTTGCATAAGAAAATTTGCAGTGTTGTACTATTCCAAACAAAGTGCCTCCACATTGCAGGTCGCATTGACACAACCAAGCTTTGCAGATTAGATGCTGAAGGCTTGTAATCTCAAGAGAGAATCCTAGCTTGTTTAATATAAAATACCCAGCATCATGAAGATCTATATTTTCCTAAACATTAATAAAAGACATAAAGGCACGACTTTTTTGAACGGGCAGCAAGCACCTATTCACCTTCTAGAAGGCATCTGTATGTAGCTAAAAAGGGCTGGCATTTCTGTTCGTACCTGGAAGGCTGTGTGTCCGGCGTCGATAAAGACCACATTGATGGGGTCGGTTTCGGGAAGGTCTGTCTTGTAGATGCCGTACGCTAACGCTGTTGCTGTGGTCTCGTTGATCAGCCGGAGGCAGTTGACGCCCGCGATCTTTGCAGCAGCCAGCATGGCATACCGCTCTGTCTCCAGGTAATATGTGGGAACTGACAATACGCAGTCTGTCACAGGGCTGCCGTCCACCTCTGCGATGTCCTTCATATCCACTATGATGGCTGCAACGATCTGCTCTGGTGTGAAGGACTGCCTCTCCCCCAAGTAGTCAACATTGATGAGGATGCCACCATCTGGACCTTCGCTGACATTGTAGGGAAGCTCCGGAAGATCCCTCTGCACATCTGGGTTACTGAAATTCTTTCCCAGCAGCCGCTTGAGCCCAAAGAGTGTGTTCTTGGGATTGATCGTCAGGCTGCCCGCTGCATCTGTGCCAAGCTGCCTCTGCTTTGTGCCAAAGCTGACCAGGCTGGGTGTCTCCCGCTTGCTCTCTTTGTTCATGAGCACATCGATACCCCTCTTCCTGGCTACTGCTATGCATGACTTTTGGTCCCCGATATCTATCCCTGCAACACTCATTGTGCTTGCTACTCTGAATTCTATAAGCGCCAAGTTTCTTTCTTTACAAGTTCTGTGTGTGTCCTTACTTCTTTCTGGATGCCTGGCAATGAAACGCTGCACTGTCTCTGGAACCATCGGATCTCAGGCCTGCTGAATATAACTGGTGCCCCCAAACCCTAACAGGGTTATAAAGACGGCAGGGGTGAGGAACGGAAAGTGCACTGACTGTGCACCAAGAGCAAGGCACAAGGTGATATTGCTGGATATAGGCAAATGCTGGATCATCTCGAAGTTTTCTTTACTGCTTGTTGGTGCACAGTGTCGTTGAACACGAAGTCCAAGGTGTTGCTCTAGAGGTGAAGAGTAAGTTTAAGCTAATTAGCTAGCCTTGTCCCAAAAATCCTGATCTGGACGTATTAGCGAATCATTGGAGCGAATGTGACTCTGAATGTTTTTGCATAATTAATTTTGTCACATACACCCCCGGTGAAGGGGCAAATCCCCACAATGGCGAGCCAGGCCAGCAAACCAATCAACATCAGGAAGTCCAATGAGGATCGCCGTAGTGAGGACAGCGATCGCCCAATGCTCTCTGCCGGCACCATGGAGGCTCTGAACGAATTCCTATTGGAGACCCAAGCTGCCGCCAATGGCACACAGAACCCCTTTGCAGAAAATTGGGGGCTCTCACAGGCAAGGACTCTAGTGCCTGCCCTCGTCTATTGCATCAAAACTATGGTACTTATCGCGGGGGATCATTACTTGGTTACTGAGGCAACATTGTGAGTATGCCTGCACCAGCTGCTAGACGGACTGAAGGTACAAGCGATCTGCTTAGTGACCACAGAGCTGTTGCGCATGCAGTTCTGGTACACAGAGGAGACTGCTGGCCATGTTGCAAGGGAGTGCGTGGAGGCAGCGGGTCCCAGTGGCCGCATAGCCTGCATTGCCTGCCCGTCCCTCTTCAGGCAGCTGCGCGCTCACTTCCCGGATGCGAACGCACACCTCTTTGAAGTGGACCTCCGCTTTGAGGCAAGGTTTCCTCACAGGACTACTGCATCTGGCGATGATCACAAACCGTGCCCTTCACCTAGAGCATGTCTTCTAGTGAGCCGCATGTGCAAGTTTGGGAGTTGCTTACTTCGACCGGAATTTCAGCAACATCATACTAGGAGAGGTCAAAGTCTCCCATAGGCATGAAGAACCACCATTCAAATCTTTCCTTGAGAAAAAATAAATAGACCTATTGTGTGCTGCATGCAGACGCTGGGAAATTTCTCCCTCTACGATTACAGGAAACCTCATGCTGTGCCGGATGAGCTGAAAGGAGCCTTCAACGTTGTCGTGGCAGATCCACCTTATCTGGTGCGTCCATAATTGCCTTGCAATAGACCTCATAGCTCCTTGGCCTGCTCATTGCTGAAGTGTCAGCTTGTTGGACATAAGGTGGCATGCAGCGCGCTTCTGATGCCGAGCCCACAGGGAATTGCAGCAGCTGTGTGTCGATGGGCAGAAACCGGCCTCGAGTCTGGGGCAGTTTGAATTGCTTACGGAGTTTCTGCTTCATCTGTCTGAACTGTGGTGGTGGTGTGCAGAGTGAGGAGTGCCTGCAGAAGACAGTTGAGACAATGAAGGTGCTGGCCCGGAATGAAATCCCAAAGTTCTATCTGCTCACTGGGGGGACCATGAAGGAGCCTGCGAGGAAGCTGCTGGGCCTCAGGTAATGTCGATGATTCCATGAAAGAGCTTTGCATTCAATAGTCGTCATTAGCTGAAGTCCTGTCCTCACGAATCATATAAGTCGTTTTAAAGATTATCTCTGTTGTGGCGCAGGCCGACTGTCTACCGACCTCAGCACAAAACGAAGCTTGGTAAGACAAATAGTCGTGTGTCTGCAAGATTGCTGCCTGGGTGTGGTCAAGCTGTGTGTTCACATCACCTGATGCGCTGGTAATTCATGAGAGAGGCCGCACCTCACGGGGATCCGGCTATGTTGTGCAGGGAATGAGTTCCTGCTGTACACAACGTCAGAGGCGGCTGCAAACAGGCTGGGCGGCTGGGATGATGCAGCTTGAAGATGCCCTTATCAATTTATTGAAAGTAGCTCACCATGCAGAACAGCTTGGCTTTGAAGTACGAGGAAATTGAAGTTTTGAACTTGGATTCCTATAAACAATTATTGGTGCACATACCACCGTGGGCAGGTGACCCTTGCCAAGTGAAGGTCGATATCAAATCAAAAGGTTTTCTGTTTCCAATCTTGTAGTCAACTTGACCACCACCTGCTTGCTGCGATCAAGCATCATGATCGATGTGGACCACAAGTTCTGGTGCATGCACATGCTATTGTGAGCCATGAGGCGGGCAAGTGAAGTTGCTTACATACCTCTTTCGTGCTGTATATCTCTCCCAATCAATTTTTCACGTAGCAATTTCCAGAGCAAGAAGCCAAGAAGGTCTGCTGCCCGAAATTGCTGCCCAAAGTGGCCGAACACAAATTTGGCTACTGCCCCAATCGCCTGTCCTCTCCATTCGGGTTGCTGCTGCCTTTTGCAACATCACATACGCCCGCACCTCCCTCGCCGAGCAATCCATCACAACGCCACATTCAATGAGACAAGAACACTGATCAACATGCTGGAAGAGCTGAAGGGAGGAGTAGCGAGGCTGGATCCTCCTGGCAATAACGAGGCGGAGGTGCTCACTGTGGACAGAAGTCAGAAGTCATCAGCCACCGTGACCTGGAGATTCAATTGGAATCAGGCCAAACAGAAGCAAAAATGTCTGCAGAGCAAGTACGTGGAGGTTGGGGGCAAGGACTGCAGGCTGCTGGTGTATCCCTTCGGTGAGTTTCGCACCTAGCTTTGACAAGGCTGCTGCTCTGTTACATGCCTCATGCGACTTCCATCTTATGTTCGCTGGATACAGTTTTAATCATAGACCCAATCAGGCCCGTTTGCCCGATCGCCAGCCCGCCTTCCAGGTTCTTCTTGTGATTTCTTGTAACGTGGAGCTTCTGGCAAGGGTGCTTTGAGCCTCCTGATCCAGTTGTACAGGCGCCCCCGAATACTTCCTGAACGCATTCGTGATGTCAAAGTATGATCTATGGGCATCATTTGGATATAATTTGGGCTACAACGCTGTAAGACAATACAGCATTGGCCTTTAGGCTATCAAGGACTGCTTTAGCGCACTTGAGCAATAGCACCTTAGCGGCCAGCGGGGTTCAAAGTTCTTCAATTAGCTGAGAGAAAACATCTTGAATCACTGGATCAACTCCTGAAGCCTACCAGGCCCTCCAGTGTTTGTAAGGGGAGTGCGGGGCTGTTGATGCCGCACCTCTTGTCAGGCAAATTAGACAGGCAGATTAGACAGCTCCTGACTTCTAGGACCGCAGCCCTGTGATTCTACTAACACAAACATTGATCAGGGCTTGTGCGAGCTTATATCTTTGAGCATGAGCTTCTGCCATGCACCTCAAGACTCCCGCTGGCTCCGTGTCAGGCTGTGGCCTGGACCGGACTCATGTTCTTACTCGGTGCATTTGGAAGCCTCTTATCCTGCCAGGAATGTCAGGAAAGGGTGTGACTGGACTGGTGGCAATGCATGCAGGAGACACACAGGCGCTGCCAGGCTATGTGTCGTTCTACCTGCAGCTGCAGGACCCGACAACTGCAGCCAGCAACCGCTGGGACTGCTTTGCATCCTACAAGCTCTCGGTGCTCAACCAGGTCAGCAACGACTTGGACCTGTCCCGAGAGAGCTGGCACAGGTTCTCTTCGCGGCCCGCGCGGCAGCAGACGCGACCACTCTCCTCCAGCAGCCATGGCTGGGCGGACTTTGCTTCCGCTGCCCAGGTAGGAAGCCTGCGCGTTTATCCTTTGCTGCAGCAGGTAGCAAACATATACTGTGCTGGACTTCACTCGTGTGAGGAGTGCAGAGGAATGCACCGCATCTTCCTTTTGTCAAGTATGCACATGCAGGTTGCATGCTATGGGTGCAATGCATGTTGCTTTTATGTCTTGACCGTTGATCAAACGATTTAGTGGGCTAAGCACAGTCAGCCATTCAAATCACTAAACATGGTGGAAGAGGCATGTCAGTTCTGACAGTGGTTGTCATTTGTGCCTGCAGATCCAGGATCCCAAGGCCGGCTTTTTAGTGAATGGCTTTGTGACGGTTTCGGCAACAGTCTTGGTGCTGGAGGAGACAGTGCAGCTCACCAGGGATGGCGACTCCAGCTCTGATAACCTCAGGTGTGGCAAGGGAAGAATGCTAGTGACTTTGACATGTCAGTCCCCAGTGGTCATCCTATTGTATGGCATCCCCATGCAGTTTAATGGTTGGTGCCATTGGAGATCCTCTTGTCTACTCACATCCTGGCACGATCTGCCTTACCATTGTTACAATTATTTTCAGAGACGAAGGTGGCACTTGTTGTCCAGATGCCATGCATGTGCATGTGCTCTGGACACACATTGGCCGGTCAGCTGAATGTTCATTGTGTGTGTGTGTGATGCAGCGGGAAGTTCACGTGGAGGGTGAAGAACTTTGAGCTGTTCCGGGACATGATCAAGGTGCAGAAGATCATGTCTCCTCCCTTTGCAGCCGGGGACTGCAGCCTGCGCATCAGCGTCTATCAGTCCCCTGTGAACAATTCAGAGCACCTCAGCCTCTGCCTGGAAAGCAAGGTGAGCACTGCATGCATTCAACACCGGCAGCCTTCATGCATGTTCCACCCTTCCAGGCAATATGCAATCCTGCACATCTTCAGTCAGTGTTGGCTGTACTGTTGCTTCAGCACCGCTGGCAGGGCATTCTGGAACTCTGTTGGATGGTGCATTTCTCACGTGGAACTGCTCAAGTAGTAGCAGCTGGTAATGAGGAGACCATGCAATGGGCAACATTAGGTGCATCAGGTGCCCCAAGTGAGGCATTTGCATAACAAGAGTGCTTCTGTCATGCAGGACACGGATAGCTCTGGGGGAGCGGACACAGAGCGCACATGCTGGTGCCTGTTCCGGCTGACAGTGCTGAGCCAGAAGGAGGGCGGCAAGCACTTCAATAGGGAGTCCTACGGCCGCTTCTCCACGGATCTGAAGCAGACTGACAGCGCCTCGCTCGGCTGGAACGACTTCCTTGCTATGGATACCTTCACAGACACCTCACAGGGCTACATGCAGGTGTGTTGCTGACCTTTCTGTTGAGCCGGCTGACCCTGATGCAAAGGGTTCTAATCGCTGTGTGTACCAGAAACTGCTCAAGTGATTTCATGTGTACCCAAACAAGTCAGCAGACACCCAAAAGCTACCAGCTCTAGGGGTGCGAACATGCTGTGGAGCTCAGCCACAGTCAGCGCAGTTCAGGTACTGATTTTTTTTCTGCAATGCGCAGGACGGCTCAGCAGTGTTTCAGGCGGCCTTCCAGGGCATCAAGGAGACGGCCAGCTTCTACCGTGGCTGCCCCATCAAGGAGCTCGGCTTCTTTGGCCGCCAGGCGCCGCGGCGGCTCGGCGGCGTGGCCGCCGGCAAGGCCGCAAAGGCGGCGCTGGCCGGGACGGCGGCCACGGACAGCTACCAGGCCACGTTTGTGTGGCGCATCGAGCACTTCATGCGCCTGAAGGACCTGCTGAAGAAGCGCAAGATCACCGGGCTCTGCGTCAAGTCCAGGCGCTTCTCTGTCGGCGGGTGCACCTGCCGCCTCATCGTGTACCCGCGAGGTCCGCCACTGACTCTTCCCCTTCACCTGGCGCCCGGCATAGTGTCAATGATAGGGGTAGAATTTCTTTTTACACAGCATCAACGGCATACTTCATTGCTTGGTGCTACCGCCCAGGCAATTTCTATAGTGGTTCCATGAGCCTCAACAATCTCCTTGGATGTCACATGTCTGTGTACTGGGCTTGAGACCCTCGTGCTTGGCTGTTTCGCATCTGCGTACATGTGGCTGTTTCAGTCTTCACTTGACGCTGCCCAGGTCTGTAAATTTTGGTGTGCATGACCTGAACAGGGCAGTCACAGCCGCCGCGGCACCTGTCCATGTTCCTGGAGGTCAGCGACAAGGAGGCAACCGCTGACTGGTCCTGCTTTGTCAGCCACCGCCTCGTCATCGTCAACCAGCGGGATGAGACGCGCAGCCTGGTGAAGGAGAGCCAGGTCAGCATGGAATCCTCTCCTTCTTCTCTTGCTAGGAATATTGTGAGTGGTGGGTGTTCGCATGCTCAGACATACAGCTTGCCCCTCGTTTCCTGCACCCTTTCCATGCATGACATGGCCTAATCTGTGATTTGGTAATGAGCAGATGTCTATTCATTTGCAAGCATGCATACCTCTTCCTTGAAGCATAGAGCTTACATCTTCTTCGTGGCACATATGGTGTATCACACGGATGTCTTTTGGGCAGATTTATGCGGAAAAATGGCGTCGTGAGGTATGCTGTGCATGACACCGCCTGTGCCTTCTGCAGAATCGGTACATGAAGGCAGCGAAGGACTGGGGCTGGCGCGAGTTTGTCACCCTGCACACGCTGTTTGATGCGGACGCCGGCTACCTGCAAAATGACGACTGCGTTTTCGCAGCCGAGGTGCTCATGCTGCGGGAGAGCTCCGAGGCGAAGCAGGTGAGCCTTTTTTGTGTCAGCGGCGAAGGTTGGCACAATCGCATTCATTCAAAGACTGGATAATTGCCACACCTGCCATTTGTCTTCGATTTCTTTGTAGGCGCCATGTAAAGTCCTCCTGTTGTCTAGCCGCCTACGGGGAAGTGGAGAGCAGACTGCAGCTGTCAAGGCAAATCTTCAATTTCTGAGTGACAAAGTTGCTCCTGCGCAACGCTACTTCAATGACTTCTTTGGGAGGAAGTGCTGCATGCTGCGTTAGATGCTTGCGTGTGTTGCGTTAAATGTTTGCATGTTTGATTTTTGTTCCCGTGGCAGGTGCCGGTCGAGGACATGATGATGGGCGTGACTGCGCTGGCGCTGCCACCGCCGCCAGCTGAGGTGGCCGTGGATGAGAGCACTGTGCGTGGCACCAAAGTGCGCTTCACCTGGCGCCTGGACAACTTTGCCGCCTTCCGGACCATCCTGGAGACCCGCAAGGTCTTCAGCAGGTGCGCTGCCCTGTCCCAGATGCTGAATGAGACCATCTTGCCTTCTCTTGATGACTTCTATCCATTTCATGGCAGGGACGGAGTGAAAGATGCATGCATGCATGCTTCTCAATCGTCAGCTTCTTCTCTCATTTACAATTCAAATGCACCGCATGTGTCATGCAGCATGACTCCTGCTCGATCTGCATGTGAGAAGTCCTCAGATTCAGAGAGCATGGAGGGCATGAATGAATCAAGGAACTTCTTCCGGCCTAACACCATGTCAATTTTCAAGTGCCGACAGTGCAAAGGTCTCACCTTGGAGAGACTTATTTAATTATCCCCCCTCATGCCAGCAGCGCAAGTCTAGAGTTGGGCGTATGTACTCTGCGTTTATGATATGCGAACAAGGGTGCTGAGATCCCCACTCTTGCGTACGCCAGGTTCTTCACGGCGGAGGGGTGCAAGCTGCGGCTGGGCACGTACACGAGCTACAACACGATGTGCACGTACCTGGAGTCGGACAGTGCCGCCGCGGCCGGCCAGGAGCGCAACTTCTGGGTGAAGAGCCGCGTGGCAGTTCTCAACCAGCGCCACCCCGAGCGCACACAGTGGAAGGAGTCCGCCATCTGCACCAAGACCTGGAACAACTCCGTGCTGCAGCTCGTGCAGGTGGGTGCTTAAAGTTGCCTGAAATCAGTATCACTTACGGGAGGATAGCTCATGTTGCCGGACAAAGTGAGCAACAGCTATTTTAGCGCTTCAAGCGAGATTGGGCATGCAACTGGCTGCACTTGCCTTGCGGGTCCATTGCTGCTTGTCTATTAGTGATGCATGGGCAACATGCTGCCAATTGTGAAGCATCGCTCATTTAGGATGATGCAATACGGGAGGATAGCTTATGTTGCTGCTCAGGTTGCAAGCGAGCTTGGGCATGCAACCGCCAGGGCTAGCGGTTTGCAGCTTGATACCGTTTCATACCCTCTTGAGTATAACTTGCAGTCACCAAATGCATGCTAATCTGCTATCTGCCCCAGTGTACCACCTGACGCTGTCAAAAGCTGCAGAATACCATGAAGTGGTAGTTCGGGTCATATCCTAGTTTTGTTGAGCGGGGCTTTGCTCACAGCGGTTGCTTGTGGGCGCAGATTGACTGCACATTCGTGGCGCGTGATGTTTCTTGTCAGTGGGGCATGGCTGATAGCTTTGATATGGCGCAGATTGACGAGCTGATGAATCCGGAGGCAGGCTACCTGGTGAAGGAGGGCCTGGTGCTGTGCGTGGAGGTTCTGGAGTGCTGCCCCTGGTTTGAGTTTGCAGACCTTGAGAAGTACGCGTCCGATGAGGAGGCGGGCGCTTCCCTGTCAGACAGCGAGGAGAGCGGTTCAGTGTCGGACGCCTCCGAGTGCAGCAGCAGCGTGGCAGACACTGCCGAACCCTTCTGGACCCGGATGGGCCGCACCAGCCTCGGCGTCGGGTGCGGCCCTTTTGCACTCGTGGTTCCTTGGTCAAGAGCAGTAAGGGCAGTGGCTTTGTCAGCGGAGGAGACTGTGTCGAGATTGGGATTACTGTACCCTGCATGCTTCATCTCTGAAGGTGCAACGGTGGCAGAACATGAGATGCCAGAGAGATTGTGGCTTTAAAAGCATATGCCTCAAGCTTGCCGACTGTCTTTGAGCTGTTTCACTGTGAACCCCATGGCATTCCTGATACAATTGCACACTTTTCCTCTTCGTCTTTCTCCCTCTGCTGCTTATGCGGCATAGCGTTCCAGAGTGGCTACACTCAGTTGGAAGGACATGTAGCCACACTTGGTCGTGTGCCGCATAGTGAGCAGACTCTGAAAGGCATAACCCACAACGTTGTCTGAACTCCTCTGTGCAATCATGCCTGCCGCTGAGCACAAGTGAGTCTTTCTGTTCATTGTGCTGCCAGGCCGGAACAGCCACCACTGAGCCTGGAGGGAGCGCGCTCGCTGCAGGCGCTGCTGGCTGACCAGCTGAAGGACGATGATGATGCAGTGGACGCCTATGTGGCAGGGCTCTGCGCCTACATGGACAGCCCCAGCAGGGTGCGTAGTTTTTCCGTCGTCTGCTCTGTAGAGTGGATCAATCATGGTCTTTTCAGGAACATTTTGCTGCTGCGAAAGCTGTTCATCCCCTTGTGCAGCTGTGCTTGGGGGGTGCCTGGTATTTTTCCAATGTGAGCAGATGCTTAGTCGTGTGCTGGCTTCCCCTGAAAAATAATCAAAAGCTATAATACATGCTCAAACTTGCTTTTTGGATGCATGGGTTCGCCTAATGTGGGGTCATTTGGCTGAAGAAGCTTGTGTCGGGTGTGCAGGTGAAGCGGCTGCTGCTGCCGCTGCAAGGTCAGGACAGCGATGCCCCGCAGCGGCTGTGCCTGCTGGACTTCCTGTGCACGGTGGTGCCCCTGCGCGACAGCGTGGTCCGCCTCGTCCTCGACAAGATGATCCAGTGCTGCAGCCCCGAAGGCCTCCCCGGCCTGGCCGTCTCATCCGCGCTCCCGGCCCGGCCGCCCAAACATGCCGCACGTGCCCCCGATGCCGGTGAGCGCTCTTTTCCATTTGCTTTGCAACCCAAATCTTTTGTAGCTGCAAAACAAGTCGGAATGAATTGGGCGCAGTGCTGCACACTATGTACAGCGTATGTCAAGATGCGCCGCTAAGCGAATTCGAATGCATTGTGATTTTGTGACGCCTTGTCTTGATTGTTTCTGTGGAACTTGTTCAGCGGCAGCATCGGGTTTGGACGGAACGGCCGGCCAGCACAAGCCGAGGGGCGAGCGGCGGAGGGCGTCTGAAGCCCGCAAGGGCAACGCGCGCTCCGGTGCAGAAGGCAGCGATGCCGCCAGGATGCGCGCTTCCATGCCGCCTCCTGAAGGTGCCTTTTTCATACCTTTTTGGCATCATGCCCACCTGCAAGATTTAACCTGACCAGCGAGTGCTCATGTTAAAGGATAGGATCGAATTGTTGTTGCTCTTCTGAACATCTGCAACGGTGGCTCCGGGTGTGACCCCCTTTGAGTTGTCCAGTTGAAGGCAGATAAAGTCAGAAAGCGGACGGGGTTCAGCGGGTGGGCACGGCTGCGCAGGGAACGGGCACCTGATGCGCGACTCGCGCCGCACCGAGACCGACGCCGCCAGCTGCTCAACGGCGGTGGTTGGCGAGGAGCCAGCACTGCGGCCGGCCACGTCGCGTGCGGTGCGCAGCGCGGCGCGCTCGCTGACCGACGGCGAGCAGAGCCTCACAGCCGAGTCGGCGCTGTCCGCGGAGATTGAGTCGGTCGACACGGACTCGGACCTTGCTGGCGTGGCCAACCTGGCCGAGGCGCTCATGACAGACGAGCCCGCCGTGCCCCCGCCTTTTCTCTTTGGCAAACCCACCAAGCGCGCCCCGAGCGGCCAGTCGCCGACGGGCGTGGATGCGGAGGGCGCCGAGGGGAGCTCGCAGGACGGCCTGGACGCCTCAGGAGACCCGCACGAGCGCTACATGGACGTCGAATGCGACAGCGGTACGTACCCAGCCGACCCGGACTTTAATGCGCTCCTGGAGGACATCGCCACGGGGCCGCTGCACGGCATCGCACCGGCTGACGCCAGCAAGCCTCCGGCCGCGCCGGCCGTGGAGGCCGCAGAGGCCGGCAGCGAAGCGGCGGCCGCCGCCACCGCACAGCGCAAGAAGCCAAAGCCCAACCCCCTTCGCGGGTTTCTCTCCCGGCGGCTGCAGTTGGCGCCCCAGGCACCCGCCGCTGCCGAGCCACCGCCCACACCTGAGCCCACCGCCGTTGAAGAGCCCCCTGCAGCCCAGCCGCAGCCTCCTGTCCCGCCGCCCGCTCTTCGACAGCTGGTGGCGCCAGACCCTGAGGAGGAGCAGCCTGCAGATCAAGTGTCTGCAAGGGATGAAAACGAGCAGACAGCGGAGCAGGAAGAGAAAGACCTGAGCCAGGAGGAGAAGCAGCAGCAAAAGGAGGACTCCCAGGAGGTCCTTGGCATGGCCATGGGCTGGCTGCAGGGCATGTACCTGGAAGGAGCCAGGGAGTGCCTCCCTGCCAATGCGGCCTTTGAGCGCATTGCAGCCCTTCTGCCTGGTGCGCTCCTTGTCTGTTGAACAATGTCTCTATTGAAACCTATTGGGACCAGCCAGATTGTGGACCTTTGCTGCCCAATCACTGTACATCCTGATGCGAGCTGTTAGGCTGATCTCCATAGAAAGTCGACTAAGTCGTTTTGCTTGTGCAAATTTTAATTGATAGATGGAGGTGTCTGAGGGATGCGGTGTGTTCTTACAGGGCTGCCGGACGCAATGAAGCCAGAGCTGCTGCTGCTGATCCCCAGCATGGTGGACACTGCAGAGCACAACAGCGCGGCAGAGGAGCTCCTGAAATGCCTCTCCGGGGAAGCCGATGCGCGCTTTTCCCTGGACGCATCTCTGCGGCTGCATGCCAGCGTCGCGCTGAGCATGCTGCGCTTGAACGGCGGCGAACTGATAGACAGGGTGTTGTCTGTTTTCTTGACGGTGCGCTCCTCACAATGAGTTCTGCTAGCCCCTCTGGAAAGCATGACCGCCTGCGCTGTGAGCATGGCAGATGGGAACTCCAAGTCTGCTTGGGCAAGAAGCTCCCGTCTGAGCTGACTTTGCCATCCACAGCTATCGAACTTTACATGCCATGGGGAGAACAGTCTGCGTGGACAGCATTGCAATAGATAATTGAGGCTTGTCAGGAGTATTGAGTGGAAGAACATTTGCATGTCACAGTGACCTTGAACCACCTTTTGGAATCTGGAGCATATGCTACAGGCACTGGAGATTGACCAGCGCCCACGATGGTGTTTTAGGGGGAAACCGTTGCATGTCACAATCACCCCTTGAAGTTATAGAAAGTGGCGCATGTGCTACAGGCCCTGGAGGCTGCCAGGAGCAAGCCGGACTTGCCGCCGCTGGTCGGCCTGACGCTGCGGCTGGCGGCCAACGGCGATGCCTCCACCTGCGTGCGGGCGGCGGCCTTTGCCTGTGACCTGGCGTCAGAGCCTCTCCTGTCAGAGACGCTGCGCAATGCAGTGCACCAGCACAGCAGGATTGCGGAGGCGGTCGCTGCGCACTGCCAGAAGAGGCTGCGCGCCCGCGAGACGGATACGCCCCCGGACGACGAGTTCGGCGGCTGCGCGGCGGTTGATGCGGACATGTGCCTGCAACTGCTGCAGGTGCCAACAGCCCGCGGCGTCGCCTCGCAGGCCCTTGTCCGCGCGCTTTCTCACGGCGTGCTCACCAAAGAGGAGGCGAGGCTTCTAAACTGCCCTTTCTGCGCTAAATTCAAAATATTCAGCTACAGAATCACTGTCTTGGCGCTGTGCATCCAGGACTCCATGACCTTGACTTTTGGGTGCCATTTGCAAGGTCGGTAAGTCAAATAGTGGGCAACCCAACAGTTGAGGCGATGGCGTGGGGATGAAAAAGGTCAAGAAGTTCAACATGCAGTCCTGAACAGAACGGCTGCACCTGGTCGCGTGTGTATTTCTTGCTGATGCCTCTCGTTGTCACTGCAGCTGGCATCGTGCGCAAGCCGGACCTTCACAAAGCAGCCCTTGACGCCGCCGCCCTCTGTCTCTGGCGTCCCTTCGCCAGCTGTCGGGCCCTGCACTCCGGCTGAGTCCCCAGAGCCAAAGCAGCTCGTAATTGAGGTCAAACTCTTCTTCCGAGCGCTACTACCAATACACAATGCTTGCAGCCTTGAAGAAAGTCTTGTTCATGATGAGTACCAGTTTCTTCACAGCCTGATAATTGTGTTGCGTCCTGGTTGCTGACAGTTCTTGTCTGGATGTGCCAATGCACCTCTCTGACAAATTGCAGGGGAGGGGATACTTGCAAGCACAGCTGTAAAGCTACGCAGCTGACAGTATTTACGCTGGTGCAGGCCATTGACAGCACAGATGAGCCCAGCTGGCACAGGCTGGTGTGGCGCCACCTGAGCAGCGGCGACAGCGCAGCGGAGCCTGAGAAGGAGGCTGAGCAGCTCCTGTGGCTGGCCGACAAACTCATCTCCTCTGCCGACGCCCCCGTCCGCGCTGCAGGCAGCCACCTGTACATCACCGTATGCAGGTGAAGTTTCAGGAGAAAGCATTTTCGCAACACCCTCCTCCCGAATGCCAGGATAGCTTCACTCAGCATAGCGAGTTGTCCTGGAAAGCCTGAATGCCATACAAAAGGGGGTCCATCATATACTCCAAGCAACTTTCGCAAGTCCACGCGATCGTATTGGATTGGCATGAAGATCCCATGGAAGAGCTTGATGCACATGATGAAGACAGGGGGCATTGTCACCTTCAGAATGGTTCTGAGTTAAAGCTCCCTTCCACAGGTTGTTCCCAGCGGATGTGAGCCACGACCGGCTGCTGCGCACGCTCGTCGACCGCGCTCTGGCGCCCCCGACGCCGCAGCCGCAGCCGGCGGCTACCACCCAGCGCCCGGCGCAGAACGTGCGCAAGGGCCGGGCGGCCGCAGCGGCCCAGCATGCGGAGCAAGCGGCAGCGCCAAAGCAGGCGGCCGTATCGCAGGCGGCTTCGGAGGCTCTGCTGGACCTGGCAGAGGAGCCCAGCTGCGGCAGAGCTGTTCTGAAGCTCGTTCTGGAGCGCGCTGCCACCCCTGGCCGTGAGGTAAAGCTCTGTCTGTCCTAGTACCTTGTAGAAGTGATAACGGCCAGCTGGCCTTTGATAAATTGTGGAGAGGTACCAGGAGTCCTGGTCTTTATATAGCCGCGCAAAACTCAGTACAGCACTCTTTGCCTTGACAAATACGAAAAGCACTATTGCAATAGCTGGCTTTTCGTGACCGAAAGGCAACATGTGCTACACTGAGTTGAAGACGCTGTTCAGAGCTTTACTGCAGGCGGCTGAAGCTTGACCTGTATATTGAAGATATATTCTGTGTCGCAGCTGGAGAGGCTGGCACAGCAGCTGCAGGCGACTCAGAAAGACCTGGAGGCCGCTCGCAGCGCCGAGGCGACCGCGCGCAGCAAGGCGGCAGCCGAGGCGAAGCAGCGCACCACTCACAAGGCTGAGGCCGACGCGGCCGCCGCCAACATGCGCTCCGAGCACGCCGCCGAGCTCGCCCGTCTGGCCGGCATCCGCAAAAAGCTCGAGGTGCGTGGCACTCCCTTTACAACACCTTCCAATCCTCCTTGTATCCTTCACAGGGAGTGTCTTCAGGCATGTGCATTGGGAGGTACTTAGTCGCTCACTGGGGAATGCATCATAATCAGACACTCGGTCAGCCAGTAGTGTTCAGTCAATGCACGTGCACGAGACACCTCACTATCTGGCACCACCATTGCGCTCGCCGCAATTGTCTCCTTTATTCTCAGCAGCGTTGGAAATGAGTATGTGGATGGGTGCAGAGCCGCTGCGAGCAGCTGGAGAGGGAGGTGGACTGGGTCAAGTCAGAGCGCGACGAGGCTCTGAAGTCGGCTGAGGGCGCGGCCACAAGGCTGAAGGAGGCCGAGACCGCTGCGACACGCGCCAAGAGCATGCGCCGTGACGAGCTGAAGAAGGAGAAGAAGGACCGCAACTCCCTGACGCAGCGCTTTGAGGTAAAATTTGTACCTTTCTACTGGCGGGACTCATGCAAAATCTGCGCTGCCTCCCTCCTGGAGTGTCAAATGGTATTGACTTTTAGGACCTTTGTCTATGAAGGTAATCTTGTATCTGCCAAGTGAGATATCATTTGCTCTCATATGTGTCAGTGGCCTGTGGTTGTTCGGATTTATTAGATAGCCCTCTCTGAATGCAGAGGGTGGAGAGGTGCGTTTTGAAGATGGAGGATTGACCATGTCTTGATATGTGCCATGGTCTTCGGTTGTTCAGGCGGCAGAGCTGGCGCGGCGCAAAGCAGAGGAGGAGCTGGGGAAGATGCGTGCCACTTCCAGCGCCGCAGTGGACCGCGCAGAGGCGCAGTTGCGCGCGAGCCAGGAGCGTCTGCAGGCTGCCGAGACCTCCGCCAAGACACGCGAGACAGAGGTGCGCAGATCCGGTAGAGACACTGGTGTTCGTGAGCTAACCAAGCTCAGGCCGTATGCACCCAATCTCAGTTTCAAGCAGGCACACAATTGCCCGGTGCCTTCACCATTATTGTAAGATATAATGAAGGATTGGGACCGTCAATACCTCACGCATGAGCGATCACAGTTGCTCATGCGATTTCTGATGATGAAGTGTACTATCGGCATCATTCAGAGCAGTGATTGTACATGACAACATCAAGGATCACAATCTGAGATCGTACTTCAGGATGCAGGACTGCACGTAAAATCACCTCCAGAGCAAATATGCACTTCGTTTTCTTGCAACAATTCGAATTCGAATTTTGTGCGCGCAGGCGGGCCAATTGGCTGAACGGGTAAAGGAGCTGGAGGCTGGTCTGGCGCGCGTGCAGGCGGCGGCTGCGCAGCAGGAGAGCGTGCACACGCTGGAGAAGGAGCGCCTGGCGCCCTACTTTGGCCACGGCCTGGAGCGCCTCAGCGCGGCCGACCTGGAGGCCCTCAACAGCTTCCACTACAAGGCCATCAACCGCCTGCGGCCCCTGCTGGTGTGCTTCCAGTGCTCTTGACTCTTCACTTATTTTTTAGCCTACACATGGCAGATGAAGATCTCGCAAAATATATTCGCACGCCCTTTCCGTTTACGGGTAGAATATGTTAATGGGCAATTTGGAAGGCGGGTGGGCAGTTCAAAGATCGTCTAATGCGCCTCCTGGCATTTTGCATTCATCTCATGCGTGCATACCCTTCTCTGATTGAAATGCTGAAGTGCACAGAGCAAGGCGCTCCGAGGAAGAAACCTGAAAATGCCATTGGCAAGAAAGGTGAGGAAAAAGGGGGCTGCCTTAGCTGGACTGCTGCCTTTTCTCAAACAATGGACATCAGCGATGGATGTGCCGGTGATAAGTCCTGACGAAGACATGTGCTGCGATTGCCACAGGGGAAGATCCCACAGGGGCAGGACAGGATGGCGGACGAGGAAGAGGAGGAGCAGGCAGCTGCACAGGCAGCGGCTGTTGCAGTTGCGCTGGCAGAGAGCGTGGCAGGTTCCCCCCCGGCGCGCAGCGTTTGTGCCACTCCGCCACCTCGGACCCCCTACGCCAGCAGCGGGGGGACCACCCCCCAGCACGACCGGGTATGCTCGCCATGATAGACCTTTTCTGCCCAACTGCGTCCATCACTTCATCACACATTCTGCAGCTCCATCTGGACACATTCATGAGGAGTCAGCCTGGTGCATGCACTGCTGTTGCGTGCTCCCTCGCAGTGCATGGTTGGCACATATGCGTAGCTGTTACAACTCTGCAGCTTGTTTTGAATCTGTTGCAACTGTCGCATTACATGTCTATATGCTGTGCCTATTTACAGAAAGAAAGAGATATTGGTGAATGCCAGAAAGTAATAGGAGAAGAGGAGTGCCGGAGGGTATAAACAATCACACAATCCATCAAGACCGGTAGCTTAAGTTTAAAATGTGTGTTGGTGGCACAGATGTCAGCGCGCGGCACCAACCCGCTGCGCTCGATGGGGTCCATAGACAGCGTCAGCTCCTTCGACTCCCTGCGCGCCCCGGCGGCCCACGCAGCCGCCGCCGAAGGTGCCGCGCCGCCTAATGGCGTCCCGAGGTCGCCCAATCGCTTCCCGGCTGCCGCGGGCAACGGGGGCGTTCACATGCAGCCCACCATGAACAGCGGCATGAAGGAGCTGCGGCCTCCCTTCCCAGGTATGGAATCCCTTAATATTAAAATAAATCCAATGTGGTCTGACACGCACAGGAAGGAGTACTGTGCCTGTGCACCTGATGCCAAGCCTCTTCTGCTCGTTAACATGTCACAAGGCATGTAATGCATGCATTTTGCAATAAATGACTCTGGCATCGCTGCTGCTGCTCTTGCTACTGGTTGCCATCCATGACCAGTTGGATACAACAACCAAGGATGAGCTCCTCTGCCCAGCTTTCAGGCAGTCATATCTTGACACAGCTTTTTTTGAACTTGAAACAGGCCGTCCTCAGCCGCTCGATGCAGCCTCAGCCGGCAGCAATGCGCCTGGAGGGAGGCTGGGTCCGCTGCACAGCCCTTTCAAGATTGCGCCAGTCTCCAGGGGCCCTGTCCTCAACGGCGCGCCCTCCGCCATCGGACCCCCCGGCGGCAAGGCCCCCGGCCAGAACGCCGCTGGCCGCAACCGCCAGAAGCGCACCATAGGTGGGTGCCCATATGTTCCTGCATGCGCTGTTGTCCACCAAATGTCTAGGTGGGTGCTTTGGATGCATCATCCTGCATGCGCTGGTGCAATTTGGAACTGTGCGCCTGCATGGAAACACTTAGCCCCCAGCTTGTCGGACATCTTAGCGGCCGGTCGTCCTGCAGATTTCATGTGGGCTTTGGCTCCTGCATGCACTGGTGTGGTACATTTGTCCAGCATCAATCCGCTGCTGGCAAGAAACTTGAGTGTTAGTGTGTGAAGCACTCATTGTGCGGAAGCCATGTTGGTGCTTCTGAGCCTGCATGCCCTGGTGTAATGCCCTTGTCAAGCATGACATCAAAGGTTGGAAGTAAGCGAGTGTGAACATTTGAAGAATTTGGTCTTTCTGCCTCGCAGTTCCCATCCCTGCGCATGCCAGGGCAGGAGGCGCGATGGCAGCCACAGCAGGTGAGACCCCACGGCTTGTTTCTTGATCAGACATTCTTGTTATCCCAGGTCTCTAGGAGCCCCAGTTCCAATTTAGGATCAATTAGAACTGCACTTGTATTTGACTACAGGATGCCTGGCGCTGTGTCCATGCATGGCAATTTGTCGGAATGTGCCAGATAGTCCTTGCATGCATGCAGTTAATTCCTCCTACTGGATGTCTGGCTCTGCGTCCAAGCATGACAGCTTGTTGAAATGGACTAATTGGACGCATAAAATAGTTATCTATATTTGACTCTTGATGATAATGGATTTCTATCCTTCATCGACCCTACAGCAGAAATCTACCATTGCATGTTGCTGAGTCAACCTTGCATGCATGCAGATGCTGAGGTGCTGGCAGCGGTGGCCACGTCATCGGTCGCTGCGGTGCGGCCGCCGGGGGGCTCGAGTGATCTGCGGTCCTTGGTCCGCACCAGGGCCGGAGGAGCCGGAGGCGTTCCCTCTGAGCTATGGGGCCAGTTAAGGCAGGAGCAGGAAAGCAGCAACAGCGCCGGCACTGGTCACCCGCTGTCAGGGGCTTTCCCCACCAGCCTGTGGAGCGGTGGGGGCTACTCCAATGGGGTCAACGGCACGCACCAGATGTGGTAAAGCGTGCCACATATTTTTGCATGCGCGATTAGGGAATCCATCTCGGAATGTGGTCGACTGCGCCAGTGGCTCAGGCAATCTCTGGACATGTCACGTGCTAGGACTAGGCAGATCATGTGTACCAACAATGGCCCTTCACACAGGATGGTAGAAGTTCCCGTTTCAGCGTTGTCATGAGGCATGCACCCTGCAGCCAGTCTCCTCATGCACACTTTCTTGAAGTCCTGCACCGCTGTTCATCTCTGTATTTATCCTTCAGATGTGCGAGGGTGCTTCTTGTGCAAGGTGGAGCTTTGAGACCTCCTGTCGGTCACTTTTCCGGTATGATGGTGGGATTTTGGGACCTCTCTGCACGTCTGCAAATTGGTCAGCGGGTTTACATGATTGCACCATGATATGTCCTTTGATGTTAACAGAAAGAGCCAACTGGCAGGTGCAGAAGCAATGACATGGGATAGCTTTGCTGGCCATGGCATGCACAGAAGGATGCACACATGTAAACATTCAAATAGTATTACTCTTCCATGCTGTAATGGTGGGCATGTAAAAGCACAGATGGCATTGGCAGTCACTGAGGGCAGAGCACGCGCATCCGTGGGCTTGTGCGGGGTACCCAAGTTAATCTGGTGAACCCGGTTAACCCCAGTAAACGTCAACATTAGGTTGAACCAAATTTGAGCTCATCTAAGATCTCGATCAGCACTGCCTGTATGACAATTAAAAGGTGGCTAATGTCATGCAAAAATTATGAACATGCAAAACCAAGCAGGGCACAAAGCCTTGCCTGCCAAGAGACCTTTCAATAGACTCTCTCGCTGCTTCCGCTGTGCATGCTGTGGGAGCCAGATTTGGCGTCTCACGTCCTTGGACACTTTCAAGATGGCCATTGCGAAGAAAAGATACATTGCTGAATTCAATAGGCTGCGATCAACGCTGGAACACATTAGCTCAAGAGCTTCGCTGGGGTTTGCAGGGCTATCGGTACACAGCACTTGGCGTCGTTTATTGTGATCTCAGGGGCACTCTTCTTCCCGGGGCAAGCACGCGCATCACCATGTCACTTGAATTCTTCAATGGTGAGAGAATACATCAATGCTTTCATCAATTTTTAGGAAAGGAAGTCGTCAAAGTCTCCGATCCAGAAGGATCAAGCATGGCGACATCTTCTCGTCACTTGCACTAATACCATGCTTGAGCTTCTGTGATAATTGACTACATCCAATGAAATGTTCACAAAAACTTGTCAGGGTATGAACAACGTTTTTTGTCTTCAAAAACAGGTGAGGACGGCGATGAGGTGGGAGCGCAGCAGACAGCCTTCCTTTCCAAGCTTTCGAAGGAGCAGCGGAGCTTAGGAAGCTTGCAGCCTGGAGAAGGCATCTCTTTTGCATCAAAGACGAGAAAAGCGTCCATTTTCGCCGCTGCAGGTCACTGGCAGATTGCATTGTGTCCTGTTGCCTAAGTGGACATGTCATTATTTGGCGATGTCTGGCTGCCGTCTGACTGCCATTCGCAGAAAATCTTGTGCACCTTACGCGAGGTCATGAGTATGTAGATGAAGACGAAGATGACTTCTTCAAGGAGTTTGATGTGGATCTTGACCTCGATGACAACACTGAGAAGCCAGCAGCAGCTGCACCTGCATCTCCTGACAGCCCTAACAATACTGGAAGCATGGATGAAGCACAAGATGGTATGCTGGCTCTTCTATATTGTGCAGGATTTTCAATATGATAGGGGTTGCTTGAAAATGTCTTGGTGATGTCTCGAACTGTTCTCTTGTGCATGCAGCTGGGAGCCAGGCAGAAGTGGAGGGGGCAACAGTAGATGTCTCCATGCAGCCAGCAGAATCCGAACAGAATGAGCAAGATAACCCTGTCCTTCACAGCGCAGAGACTCCTGAGCAGGCAGCCAGTGTTGCGGTCATGCAAGAGGCAGCAGACATCTCACAGGAACATACGGATGGCATGCAGGCTGCAGGAACTGCCGAGCACAACGCAGACCACAATCTGCCAACACTGGAAAACTCTGAAATTGAGCAGCAGGAAGATGACCATCCAAAACCAGACGCCAGTGTGCAAACTGGGCAACCCACAGCTGATAGCAGTGCAGAAGCATCAGAGCCTGAAGATCTGCCCACGAACGAGGCTCAGGATGTGCCCGCACAGGAGAGTGAGCAGAGCCAGTGTCCCATGGAAACCAACACCACTGAGAGCCAAGCAATGCAGGTAGGGAGTGCCAACAAGTCTTCTCTTGTTAGTATCCAAATTTTGGCAGCTCTCAAGGCGTTTTCCTGCACATGCATGACCGTTATGATGCATTGGACCATGATTTCGGTAGGAGTCAATTGTCAAGCAGGAGATCTAGGACGCATCACAAATTCCCTGGAGGTCTATATTCAATGCTCTTGCAAACAGGCTCTTAAGACCGTCCTGTGTATTGTACAAATGCAGGACCAAGGGCAGGAACATGTGCAGGAAGAGGCTGACCATGCTGATTTTGGTACTGAGACAGCAGGGACCACACCAGGCAACACTGCCAATGCACCAGAGTCTGTTGACGTTTCCATGACACAGGCTCAGAACGATGTAGCGGGTGAAGTAAACGGACAAGAGCTGTGCCCTGCAGAAGATGAGGCTGCCCAGACCATTGACTGCCCCGTCATGCAGGTGACCTACATGTCCTCCCTTTCGCAATGATGTTACCTATGCCTGCTGTCAGTCAAAATTGATGCATGCATCTCATCTACACTGCAGCTGCAGCAGCAATGCTTAGATTCCCTGCAGCTCTCTGATTCTCCATGGCAGGGGTGATAAATAAATTTGAGATTCCCTTGTCATGCAGGTGCAGACTCAGAGGCAGGGCAGCCTGCCTCCCCCAGAGGAGCAAAGCATGCAAAGAGACACTGAGCCAAGCCCACAAGGTAGGTGCCTGTGTCTGTTAGGACCCTCCACAAATATTATTAGTGATAACCAGCAAAACATCTTAATTGTATCACATACTGGGGCACGTTTTGGATGTGCATGCGTACTTCGCGTTGCATGCATCTGCTCATACCTGTCATCAAACCCAGACAAACAGGAGCTCCTCGAGGAGGCAGCTCCTTAGCTGCTCCCCCAATCTCACTTGCAGCACCGCGATATTGGCTGAAGAGCTTATGCACGGGTGCTGACAAGTGAAGAAGAAGGGGAGAGCAGGCCGAGAGCTACCTCTTCGTCTTGCGAGGGCGAAGCACCGTTGCAAGAATGCTGTGACAAGCCGCTTTCAATTGTGTCTGCAATGCATGTGCATCTGTGCAGGAACGAGCCAAGCACAGATGCAGGAGGCCTGCGCTGAGGAGGCCATGCAGAGTCCACCAGCTCCTCCGGAGGACACTGACATGACACCCACAGGCCCGGTAGCCGAGCAGGAAAACCATTTGGATGCAAAGGCAACGGAAGACGAGGTCATGCATGCACAAGAGGAGGTCGTGCAGGTACATGAACACAGCACCTGATTGTCTTCTCATGTGCATTCTGCCAGCTCCTAATGTCGTCCATGCATGAGCATGTGCATGGCATACAACACAAGTGCTTGAGCCTGTGTGTGGACATTGCCCTTCGGTCACGCACTTTCTCATGTACATGTACCCTCGCAAGTTTACAAAAGTTGCAAATGTGGCACTTGATGATTGCATTTGTTCCGTGCAGAAGCAGAATGAAGCGCCACAGGACAAGACACAGCCCCCCACGGTCCAGAAGCAGGCAGAAGCTCAGCCCATCGCGCCAGGTGCTCGTCAGGAGCACAAAACTTCAGCATCTGCCCAGAGGGGCAGTGGAGCCGGGAAGGTGGCTTCTCGTCAAGCTTTTCTGCAACTTCCCAGGCCCCTCGCGCAGCCCTCTCGAGCGCCTGCAGCCGCCACAGTCAAAGGAGTTCTCAACAGGATGCTGCAGGTAGCATCATTGTATAATCTGCTGCATATTCTCCCATTTTCCATTCGCCTCATCGAGATATTCCATCTTTTTGGGTTGATTGAAGGCATTGCCGGTAAACGAGTTTGTTGCCTATGCTGCCACCTCAACCCACTCATGTGTGGCTCACCAGCTAGGGCATCACCTAAGGTGATTCACCTTGCCCTGATGAACGCTCTGCTGGATATGCTTGCATGGCAGGCCCTCCTGAGTCACATGACAGCTTCACACAAGAGTCTGCGCCTTAATAGGTCATCAGGATGCCCACACCTCCAAGGCATGCCCTGCCATGCCGCGCCGAGCCGCAGCCAGCCCCCAAGCCCCCGGCAGCTGCTCCCCAGTACCCTCTGACGCGCCAGCAGCCGGCCGCACTCAACCACGCCACCGCCGCAAGCCGTTCTCAGAGCCCTCTCTCTCGCCCCAGCCACACAGTCAGCCCAGCACCGCAGCCGTCTGCAATGATTCAGGTGTACAGGCCCGCTCCGGCTCCCAAGCAGCCCGGCCAGCAGGAGAGCCTAGCAGGCACGGTTGCGCATCTGCTGGAGCCGCCACTGCTGACTGCCGCCCGGCCGGCAGAGACTCAGATGCAGCCTGCACCATCGCTGCCCCCTGCACAGGTAAATCTTCTTGCCCCACTGCTGCACTCTGCCTTTCAAATCCGTGACCTTACATGACCAGGAAAGCACAGCACACGTAGCCTTCCATGCAGAATGCGGATATGCATTTCTCGTGCATGCGCGGGCCAAACGCAGTTTTTTAAATGTGCCAAGTTTTCCATATGGCAGGTGTCCGGGAAAAGCCAAGCTGGCAGGGGGAGGAAGGAGGCTGGGAAGCAGGGGCACAAGCCGGTGGGTGACTCAGCTGGTGGGGACGCGATGATGAAAGAGCGGGAGGAGGATGTGACGGGCAAGTCCTTCATGGCAGAGCTGGTGCATGGCAAGAAGCAGCTGGAAATGGTGAGCGCTGACTTACCTCCACCTACCTGGCAGCACCTTTGAGTCACTAGGGACCCTCATGAGTTTTCCTGATGAGACTGGCATGCAGTTGAGACGTGATGCGCAAATTTGCTGGCTGATTGTTGGTGCCAGAAGCTCTGATGAGATGCCATGCATCGTCAGAAGGCCTGCACTTCTGGAAATGCAGTACAGGAGCGACAAAACTGTTCTTCATGTGGCGGCAATTATGTGGCTGCAGGCTGCGGCCTATGCTAGGGCCCACAGGTGTGGCTGCAGACGCCCTGCATGCATGCCATATGGCCTTTGGCTCTGAGTTTGTCAGGCTGCTAGGTGCTGCACGAAGTGCTGGTACTACTGCTAATGACAATGGTAACATGACGCTGGCACTGGTTGGCGGGGCCGGTATAGACACTGAGCGACGTGCCAACTTCTTGCTCGGATCTGGCGGGTCCATCAAGGGGTAGGAATTTGGTAGCCTTTACATGCAGCTTGTCTGCAGACGCACCTTGCCTCTGGCAAGAAATGTGCGTGCTTATACCACTTCTAAAAATAATACTAATACGGTAGTAATATCAGGTTGATATTGCAGATGATGCTAGAGGCACAGAAGATGAGGGATGGAGCCCTGGAGCTCACGGTGCTGACGGCCATAGCAGCCAACCGACTAACGCGGCTGGACAACCCCATCATGAACAACAAGCTGGCCACTCTGCAGCGCGAGGCCGAAGAGCTATTCAGGGCTGAGGACTGACTTCAATAGGCTGACACCAACCCAGGTCACCTGTGACAGGTGCGCTTAGTATGAAGGCAGTTGGCCTGTACAGTGGAAATGTGGGATGTGCAATCAACTGCTGGACATCGATGATTGGCCTGATTGGGATTCGAAATAGCAGATATCAGTGATCATGCATGCATGAAGGTCTTTAAGGGTCTTCAAATTTGTGATCACAATGCTCTTGATGTGGTGTCAATGCTTGGGTGGACCTTCCTTTCCTGCGGCATGTGCCTGGTTACATAGTAGCAAAAAGCAGGCTGCCGGGACAGACACTCACAGAATTGGCTATTATTCCAAAAAAAAATCATTTCTCAAGATCTTAGGCTAAACAGCCTTATTGTCGGGGAGCCTATTGTTAAACAGTAAGGACAGTCCTCATATGTGAGATTTCACCACAGATGTGCAAGTCAGACAGACAGCATGCGTGCGCAGGACAAGAAGCACATGTTCAGCAGCCATAGGATTTTAAAATCACACACTCTGACATCACAAATTATTGGTCTAGACAGACTTGTAGCGCCCAGGAACACCAGCGACTGTCACCTATTCCAGGGAACCCACGACTTATCCTGTCTGCTGGACACAGCCTGCTGAGACAGAATCATTGCCACGCTGTCCCACACAATGCAAATGAAGGTTTGCACCCCTCACAATAAATGCGAATCCGACACGTCTCCAGCTTTGGCTCCAACAGAACCACCCTGTATTCATGCTGGGCGTGCATCAGGACATGTGCATACACCGATGGGGGACATCACTGTGGCACATAGCACCGGCCCCGGACACAGCCCTCCCTCCGTCTCCGGACTGGGCTGTGCATGCTGACATGCGCATCCATCAAGGGGTGACAGCTCTTGAAATACACAGCCGTCCTCCACTGAACGCGCGCGCAAACTGCTTGTGCCCCTTGCATCGCACAATGATGCAACGCCCTTGGCTTGCCCGGCCCAATCTACCGGTTGTCTGGACGGTTCCAGCCAGCATAGGCTTGTCCATTGTCGGCAAAAGGGGTGTTTGAATTCGGGTTCAGACTGGCGCTCAGTTGAGGGTGCCGCGGCAGTTGGGTGCGCCGCAGCCGCAGGGCAGTTTGTTGTCGCCGTCTTCCTCCTTGAAGCGGTAGTCATAGGTCAGCTCCTGGCCGGGAACGAGGTCGAAGCGCGCGAAGAAGACCAGCCGCGGCGTCCCCTCAATCTCCAGCACCTTGGTGTACATGCTGGGCGAGCAGCAGTGGTTCTGCACGCGCAGCCAACCATTGTCAAGGTGTCATTCTTCGCTCAGTGCTGCTGGGGAACGCACTCATTGTAACGAAGTCTTTGCCTGAATAGACAGAAGAGAGTCTGCGTTCTGTTTGCAGTCTGTACCACCCAGTCCAGAAACCTTTCTGTGCAGTACAAGCAGCCATTCATGGGTCGCATTGAATATACGTTGCATACGGACACGCACGTGCCTAAGGTCTGGCACTGAGATCCTGCAAAGGGACAATTGTGAAGCGCTGTGGGACGTCAATATTACAGAGTGCAATACGCCGTTAGGGAAGAAGAGGAGTGACATAGGCAGCGAAAAACAAGTGCACCGTGAATCGGCCGATGCCGCCGCGCATGGTGGCGTCGATTACAAAGTCGTCCTGCACGGTGAAGAGGTAGCAGTCCTTGCCGGCCGCCTGGTACCGCTTCTCGCGCGCGTCGGCCGCCGTGCGCCGCAGCACGTCCCCCCGGTACTCGATCACCATGCTGTCCGCCTTCATCGCCTTGCGCGCAAAGAGGCCCCACCCATGGATGCCCGACTGCGCAACGCCAGCCAGCAACGCCCCCGTCAGAACATAGCATCATACCTGTAATTAGAAGCAGCAAAAAGAGGCACATTATGTGTTTTTGACAGCATTGCTGACGGTGCTTCTTTGTCTGCACCAGAGAACAAGGTACACGGCCGCCCACAAAAAATTGCAAAGAGACTTTTCATATATCGCCGACATTGTGGGACCACAGGGCGCAGGACGAAAACATCTTCATTCCGCTCAGTGAATCGTAAAAAAACGACAAGAAGCACACCTTGCCGAAGGTGAGGCGTTCCCTCTCGGTGCGCAGGCAGCGCTCCAGCCGCTCCTTCAGCGTCGGCCCCTTGCGCCGGCGCCCCTTGCCGCCGCCGTTGGTTCCCCCGCTGCCGCCACCGCTGGCCTCCCCCTCGCCACCGCGGGCCCCCTGTTCCTCCTCCTCAGCTTCCACCGCGTCCGCTGTCAGCTCCTCTGCGTCAAACCCCTCCCTCTCCTTGCGTTGCACCGCCTCAAATTCCTCCGGCGTCAGGCACCGCGTCAAGGGCAGCTGCCACATCTGCGCATGACGGGGGTGGTCAGGGGGTGCTTTGTTTGAAATTGAAAGTGAAATTTTCAATATACCTTGTTCATTGGGAGATTGTAAGAAGCTGCTGGAACATATGTTACCTAGCCCTGTGGGCTGGAACATGTCTCTGATTGTTAAGAACATAGTGCCAGCGTAACCTGCCGCACATCAAGGCACTTGGTAGTATGTCGAAACTGGCATGCTGCAACCCACAACTCTGCTGCCCATCCTTGGTGCATCAGGCATAACAAGGGCCTATGGATTGGTTTGACAGCCTCGTGTGAGCGAGGGGCAAGAAGCGCCTGCCGCAGCTACACGGCAGAAATGCCAGACCAGCTCAGGAACAATACTTGCAAATTTAAGGAAAGAAAGAGGAGATGAGTCACCTTGGCTGCGCGAAGGTTGCCGGCGAGCTGCGGCACGGCGCGGACGTAGGCGCGCTTGCCGAGGCGCGCCGGGGGGCCGGCGGTGGCGCGGCCGGGGGGACCGTGGGGGGCCCCCGCGGGGGACCAGTAGGGGTCCCCGGGCACCATGCCGGCCCAGGGGCGGCCGCTGCGGCGCGCCTGCTTGCAGATCACGCACATGCAGCCATCCCGGTGGCCCTGCGCGCATCAGAGGATACAGTCAGGCTCCTGGGAAATTTTATTCATGACACTTGCCTAAATGCAATGATGCCCGTTGTGTGTTCCTAGATGCAGGTCCAAGCCAAAACACTCGATGCAATTCCATCACGCATTCTTAAATGTGTTCCGCAATTGGCATCATCAGGGGTACCACAACCCACTCCTTGATCAAATCTTTCACCAAAGGGATCAAGACACAAGTACAAGGAATCAGCTGCCCCACAGGACTTGAGCATGCGAGCAAACACTGCTCACGCATGACTGTATATCCAAAGGAAGCTTATATAGAGTGAGCGCCACCTGCTTGCCGAAGCTGGCATTGGCGGAGGTATGGGGCGGGCCGAAGGGAACACTGCGGTACTGCTGCCCCTGCCGTCTCCGCAGCGCATTCAGCGATGGCGCCTTTGGCCGAGCCGCTCTGGGAGCGTCCAGTCCCTTGTCCACCAACCAGTCCCCCATCGTCATCCCCGGCGTGCCGCCGCCCTGTGCATGACCGCATGGTTGAATATATATTCAGATTTGAGGTCATGGACTGAGCGTGTGATGTACAGGGAGATCTCTGTTAGTGTTTCCCCACTCTGTATGTGCACCACATCTCAGGGCCCACAAATTCAGGCCGGGACGGTGGTATTGTTCTGTGACAACTCTTGGTGAGAGTCCCTTTCGCTGAGCATTGGAAAGGTGATCCTCAAATCTAGCGATGCCAACACATGCAGTGTACACCGTCACCACCAAAGCTTACATCACACATATAAAATGTCTGCAAAGGGATCTGAGTAAGAACGCATGCAATCTAGGCGTTCAGTGCACAGAGTTCATGAAGTGATACTGTCTGTTTGGGCCTACAAAAGAAGGGGAAAGGAGTCGGCGTTCAAGGATGGTTAGGAATTTGATAAGTAATAGGAATTGAGTGCTGCACCTTATCGATCCGGATGGATGCTTTCCACTTCTTGGAGGCGGCTTTGCCGGCCAGGCGCTCAAACTCGGTGGGGGACACTTCGCGGCCGCCGTCCACAATCACACAAGTGCGCGCCACGTCAAAGCTGCCGCGCATTGCCCCGCAGCAGCAGGGCACGTGCGAGGGAACGTCCGCTGCCGGCTTGGGCCGCGGCGCCGGCGCCTGTTTTGGCAGCGATGACACACGGGTTTGTCAGCGATGATGCACGGGTTAGTCAGCGGTGGCGGCGGACAGGTAACCGAGAAAAAGAAATGGGAAGGTCCTCTAGATGACACCGCAACAAGGCGGCCGGCAACGCACGTCAGAATACTCACCTACAAAAATATACTTGAACGGGGGCGAGCAGAGAGAGAGAAGCACACACCTCTGCGTTACCGTCTGCATCCTCGTCCATGGCTTCGGGCTCCTCCTTGGGCGGCGCAACTTCGTCCTTGTACCAGGTGACCCTCTCCGATTGGAATGACAGCCACTCCCTGTCTCCATCATCATACAGCACCAGGTGCTTGCCTGCGATTAATAAAAGGCTGCTTAGTCATGAGCATAATGTGGTGCATGCATGCAAATCCTCTTTCGACACATGTATAAGAGCCAGATTGAGCCACAACCGCCTGCTGCGGATCTGCATGCATGTCGATTATTGCGTAAGGGAGTATAAAAGAGGAAAATTTCAGGAAGGTGCAGGAGGAAGAACGGCATGATTGTGGGGCCTATAGACAGCCAACTGCATGGCAAACCAATCGTTGCTAAGAGAGCCCTGCCTGTCTCGGGGTCGAATTCTTTGACGGTGCCGCTGTAGTACTGCGCGTCGTCGATCCACCAGACCCCCACGCGGCACCCGAGCGCAGCGATCCCTTCCGGAGGGGGGACCCGTGGGCCCGCGTCGGCCTCGGCCGCACCGGCCGCCTCCGACGCAGACGGCGCGACAGCGTCATCGGCCGCCAGCCACCGCAGCCGCCCGAACCGCTCCTCAGTCTCCGTCTCCAGCCACTCCTCCTGCAATTGACATCGCATCCTGTTTGGTGAACAATATCTAGACAAATTCAACAGCAGAGCAGTACAAGGTTGAGGTGCGCTCGGCACAACGCGGGACTGCAATAGAAGCAAACGGGTAGGGGTCAAGAGTCAATATACAATTGTGATTTATGGGTTAGGATGGGAAGATTTTGAACTTTCCACTCGCTGACTCCTGTCTCCTTTTTTATGGCATCTACGGCATCCAAGGTATTGTCATGCTGTGTGCGCTGGTTGCAACCTGCCTGACACAGGGGACATGAGGGTACCAGGGCAGCTGAAACCCACCTCCTCGTCATAGATGTACCAGAGATTGTGCGCCCGTTTGTCGGCGTCGTAGCCGCGGCAGACGGCCTCGTACCAGTCCTTGTCCTCCGTCCAAAACACGCGGCACCGCTGCCCAATGTGCGCCTCCGGCCCGCTGCGCGGCCGCGCGGTCGCCGCATCCCGGCTGCCGTAGATGCGCTCCAACAGGATATCCTCCAAGCCTGCCCAGAGCCAACCAAGCACGCTCAAGAAAGGAATATGTGCCGGTAAGACCTGAGAAGGAAGTACTGTGTTATGCTGAACATTGCTATGGGGATGTGGAGTTTCTACTTGGGCCCAGCCCACAGTGAAGGAGCCTGCCCAGGATCAACCAAGCCTTATTTGTAATCAAAAGAATATGAAGGGAAATTCAAACTCTTAAGGCGCGAGCAACGCTCTGGGGGACGATCTTCCACGTGAACGGCAGCAAGGATCCCTTGTGTGGAGGTTCGCGTCGCTCACAAACTATTGACCATGTGATCTGCACAGTAGGCAAAGCTGATGCTCCTACATGTCCTACATGTCGAAAAGCAATAGTGATGAGAAGGATCAGCTCACCGGGCTCCTTGCGCGAGTCGTTGTGCGCGGTCGGCCGCTGCCGGTGCGGCTTGGCGGCGGCCGCCGGCGTCTGGCCGGCGTCCTTCTCCGGGGAGCCAGCCCGCTTCTCGGCAGACGGCGCGCGCCTGCCGGACGCCGCCGCAATCATGGCGGCTGCGGCGGCGGCCGCGGCCGCCTCGCGCCGGCGCAGGCCGTACGGGGACACTACGGGGAGCGTGGCCTCCTGCTTGCACTCCGTTACGGGCCCCGCTGCCGCGCCCCCTATGCTGCTGCTCGCCTCTGCTGCAAGCTGCTCCTCCTGTTACGCACAACAACATCAATTGCTCAGCAGCCTGCCCCAATGCGATCTCCAGAACCTGCCTTGCATCCTCTGTACTGTTATAGGTACTCCCCATCAGTAAGCAAGGTGAAGTAGACAAGCGCTCAAGCAGAAGCAAGGGAAGCAGGGCTACATAAAGGAGATGCCTGGACATGCAGCTCTTTGGATCACTAACTGGGATTGTGTTCAGCACTCATCATACATAAAGGCGGACCTTGACAGCAGGTTGGCTGCTAGCACTGCGGTGCGCATCGTGCTGCTCTGGGCTGGCCAGGAAGCTCGCCTGTGCAGGCAAGCCTTCCAGATCCATGTACCCATTCACTCCTGTCCCCTCCGCTGCTGGCTCAGCCTCTTGCCGCTCCAGCATCTCTGCATTGTCCTCCATCCTGCCGCTGCTGACAGCCTGAGCCCTGCTGACATCATCGGCCCTGCTGACGTCACCGTTGACGAGGCTCGGCTGTGTGCCCTCCAGCCCCGCTTCGCTGATGTCAGCGTGCGCCAGCGATGCGTCATCCGCGTCGCCGAGCAGCACCACCTCACTTCTTGCTGCTGCCTCGGTCTCTTCCTCTGCAGATATGGCACAAAGCCCCAATCAGACCCCACATGACATGCTCCTGCATTCCGTTACGAGCCTCAAAAGAGCACACTAAGAGCCCTGCCGGCAGCTTTGTGATACACTCCGCTCTTAGCAGCCATGGTCCTGTGCTTCCCACATTCAACTTGTAGATTCTGCATGTGCTGGACTTTGGAAGCACTTCTCTCAGGTATCCCCTCGGTCTGCACTTCCTTACTCTTCCAAGTGAAAAGTGGCTTCTCTCCACCTTCTGAATACTGTCACTCACACATTAGAATTACCGACGGATTGGCCCTTTTTCGCCTTGCATGTGTTGCCTCATCATGCCATGCTTGATCAGCGGCTTTACGCCCCTCTGATCTTGTCCATGCACTCCTCCTAAAGGCACTCACCGTCACCGTCGCCGTCTTCGGCGTCCGATGCGCTGGCGCTGCCGCCGGGCGGCCGCTCGGAGGCGTTGTCTTCCTCGGCAGCTTCTGCCGGCTCCCCGGCCACGGCAGCTATCAGCGTGTGCACGACCGCCTCCGCCTCTTCGCGCACGTACTCGTCCCAGGCCCCTGCAGCTGCCATGTTGGTGGACAGCGCCGTGAGGGCCTTGCGATCCAGCTTGCGCTCGTTCAGCCAGTCCTGCATCACCTGTCCAGTGGCAACGAACCGCGCTCAGATCTCTTCTTTGTCGGGCGTTGTCATTAACTCTGCTATATCCGCATGAGTAGCAAAATTTAGAGGGAAAGCAGATATCGTAATGAGCATACTTCTGGAGGCTTGCTCTGCTGCATGCACTCTGCATGCTGACTTGGGGGCAGTCAGCGGAACAAGAGTTGTGACAAGAAGTGCCCACAGAAGCTGAAGAGTCATCTGGGGTGCTGTCCTCAGCATGCAGGCAGGGATCCAGCACAGGGATCGCATGTGCAGCTGTTGAAAACCTCTCAGCATGCAGCAAGCACCCGATCCGAAGACAAGCATGGCACCAAGGCCTGCATGGCGCTGCCAAGACAGACACAGCATCAATCCTCTGTATATACCATGGCGCGCATGCGCACCTGCTCCTGGCTGCCGTCGGGCCCCTCCAGCCAGATGCTGGACTTCCACTTCTTCGCGTCGCCCTTGCCGCACACCGTCTCAAAACGGCTCGCGCTCATCTTCTGCCCCGCGAACGTCACGATCTGGCTGCGCACGTTCAAAACGGCGCTACGGCCCGCGCAAGTTACGGCCAGCTCCTCCGGGACGTCCTCTGGCAGCTGCACCAGCTCCGCGTACTGCGCAGCAATCACCCCTGGTTCAGCGCCGCATTCCCCCTGATTTGAGGGTTTTAATTTCCCCACCCCTCACATTGACTTCTGGGTGCATGATTGCGTTGGGTTTTCTGGTGCCCAGGGACCACCAGGGCAACCACATGCACATGCACAAGAAGCTGTGGCACCTTGTGGACCACTGTGCACACACAGCCCTGTCCGCAAGAAAGTTACGACAATAGCTTTGCTAGATCCCTGAACAGGCTCCAGGTCTCCTGATGCCCGTGGATGTCACACAATCTCAGGAGCCTGTGGAGGCATGATCAAGCAAGCAACATGAGACCGCTCCACGTCTTTGCGTTGTGGTAGGTCCTTATAGGTGAGCAGGGCGGATGACAAAGGTGTGAGTCGCAGCGAGTCACCTCGGGGGGCCCCGAGGCGGCGCCGCCAGATTTGGCGGGAGCTCTTTTTGAGCGGGGGCTGCACAGCATGGCTCCTCATGAGGACACAATAAGCACACTGTAGCAAACGTCATCATCGCAGAAGAGCTCACCTCGGGGGGCCCCGAGCCGCCGTCGCCGAATTTGGCGGAGGCCTTTTTGGAGGGGCGGCTGCTGGCGCGCTTTCCCTTGCCGCCAAAGGCCGCGTGCGTCTTGAGCTTGGCCGACGCCTGGCCGCCGCCGCGCGCGTGGCCGCCCTTGGGCTTCTCCGGGGGCGGCGGCGGCAGCTTGTCGGGGATCCAGAACGCGGCGATCGTCGAGTAGCCCGTGCCCGTGCCGTGCGATATCCGCTCCCAGCCCTCCTGTGACCGTTTGCATACATATGTATACTTAGAGGGCTTCCTAGAGGGAGAAAATGGCACTATCCTGTTACAGTCACAGGACAAACGCACAGCACTATCACACTGTGCATATGATGATGACATTGGCCAGTCTAAGACGAGACACCAGCTGGAAAATTTGCCCTCCGGACATTGCCGCAAGCTAGCTGATTGCGACCCCGGCATGCATGGGTCTAGGGCCAATGCAGCAGCAAAACAGATTAAGAAGCGCAACTAACTCTAAATATGATGCACCGTGTAGAATGCCATAAGGAAGGAAGCTGACACAACAGATGCATGTGTGTCACCATCTTGGGAAACAGGTCATCAGGTGAGAGGAATTGGGGTGGGTGAAGAAAGAGAGGCAGGTAGGGAACGCGCACCAAGACTGGGTGCGCGCGCATGCATCCGGCCGGGCAGTCCGGCAGCGGAACAGCCGGCGGCTGCTTGAAGGGCTGCGCGTTCCATAAGCCACTCCCATCGTCCCCGCGGTCCTCCACCGACTCTCCGTCCTGAAAATTGAATTCAAATTTGAAAACGTATTCGATTTGAAGAAGTGCAGCAAAGATAACACAGGTTGTACAAGGATTGTGGCTGTATTAGTTGTGGTGTCGCAAGAATTGTTGAAGACATCTGGTTGCGTGATCTTGTGGGCATACTTTGCAGATGGCGTCAAGCTTTTAGCTGGCAGCTGCCGCAGGGCCGCGCCGAGCAGTGCATGCATGTTCTTGCCCTTTATCTTTATATGGCAGCAACGCCAGGTGACATATGTCAGTACAATTGCCGCCATTTAAAGATAAAGGGCAAGAACACGCATGCACTGCTCGGCGCGGCCCTGCGGCAGCTGCCAGCTAAAAGCTTGACGCCATCTGCAAAGTATGCCCACAAGATCACGCGACCTGATGTCTTCAACAATTTTTGCGACACCATCCTGTCCAAAATGAAGAACGCCAATATTTAAAGGCCAAAATCAAAAAAAGATAGTACCAGGTTCGCCCCAATGATTATCCCGCCCAATCTAGAGGAGCACCTGAGAAGTTGGGGCCAGCATTGTTATGGTCTGCCCGAACTCCAAATCAAGCTGCAAAAAGGGGCTGGGGAGCTCGAAACAGCACCAACTTCACAGATACATGTAGAATAGAGACTAGACTCTTCAAGCAAGTGCCTTCGTGCGGACCACTCTAGTTCTAATAAGTGCAATTGGTAGGAGGTGATGGCGAATAGGAATGGTTTGGGGCCGTGCCTTGATACGCTGGACACCTGAAAGCTCCGGGTGTGCGGTGCAGTGCTTGGGGCAGTATGATATCAGCCGAACCTGCGCATGACTCATCTTTAGTACACAGACAGTCACGACCAATCAAAGAACTTTGAGCAAGTGCCTTGCATGCCTGAACGCATCAGCAATACCGATGACACCACGCGCACACCACAACAAGGATTTGTGCGCCAGGCAGCCAGAGGCATACAACACCACGTGCACTGCATCATGAAAAGGTACACAGGGTCTCAAAGCACATCAGCATCAAAGCACATCAACGTGAGCAGGAAAGCTATGGAGGCTGGGCTCACTGCGGAGTCTGGGCCGTCGTCGCCGTCCAGGATCTCCATGTGGAGGCCGGCTATGCGCGCGCACAGCGGATGGTACGCAGTGTAGCAAGACGTGCACTGGATCTTCGCACCCACTCGCTGCCTGTGCATGCCAGACACCACCTTTAGTCAAGCTCTACCTCCTCTGGAGCGCAGTTTTGCGGGCAGCGGTTGGTCTGTTCAGCACCCACTTGCACAGGGCAGAGTGGCACCCATAAGAATGCTTTATGCCTCTGTCACTCCTCTCACGGCACATACTTGAATGCTCAAAGGCTGCAGTGGTGCTCCTTCACGTCAACATCCCAGCACTCAAGAGCAGGGAATCGAGAATCTGGCGCTTAAACTGAAAGTTCCCTTTCATCCCGGCCGGTATGAAGCAATGCAGGGGAGGGTATAGAGGAATGAGCAAGGCAGAGAGGGCCGCACTTGCAGATGACGCAGAGCAGGTCCCAGCGCTCCTTCTGGATGGATTTGATGTGTGACACGGGCTCCATGCGGGAAACGTCCTCCACGGTGACCTCGGGGATCCATTGCATGCATGCCGCGTGCGCCCACAGCCCCTTGTCCGTAGCCGGCTTGAGCGCGCCGCCCGTTACAGGGCACAGGCAGCACTGCGGCGCCTTCGCGTCCTTCTCCTGTGCAACACAAAATTATCATTATCACTGAGTCTGCTTGTGATGATGCAGAAGATGTGTAATACTGAGTTGTCCTTTCTACCGACTCTGATGGTGATGACACATGTGGCACAGCTGTCTGTCTCATCGTGCAGAAGGGCCCAACTGGCGCGCTGCGAAGCTCTGGGACTAGAAGGATCGCGGACATACTTCTCTCTCAGTCTTGGTCATTCAGAACATTCAGGGTTGTGTGCGAGTTCCCCTAAGCCCGTCGCAAGAAGAGGGGAGGGCAGGGTGCAGCTCGCAGGCTTGCTCTGCCTGCCATGCAAAAGATGCAACATTGACGCTGTGCATGATACCACAGGGGACTCTGCAGATGAAGAAAAGGCTATCTCAGGGAGGGCGGAGGGCGCACAGCTCACCTTGAGCTTGCAGGCTTTCTCTGCGTGCCATGCAATTTGGGGTCTGTGCATGGTCGAGCGTGCTCTTCTGCAAACCTACAGGAGCCTTACGTGATGAAAGCGGAGGGAACGCGGCGCACCTTGAGCTCGCATGCGCGGCAGAGCCACATGTCGTCGACGCCCGGCAGCTCGGCGACGCCGTAGCAGGACTGGTGCACGGTGATGCCGCACGCATCGCAGCTGACTAATTGGTCAAAGTCAAAGTCCACGTCGCTGTCGCACACGCTGCACCGGTCGCCCGCCCACCGCACCTGCGCGCCCGGCCGACACCGTCGGACAAAAGTTATATCACCCCACAAAAGCTGTGGGTGACGCGGCCCCGTCAATCCTCGGCGCGGGCATGCATGCCTTGCTACACCAGGACAGGTGGACAGACATTCTGCTTCACCGGGTGCAGTCGGAGCGCACTTTGCCCTGCCCTGCCAGATCTGAGGGCAGGTCCGAGAACCAGATGTTATCTCGTCCACATGCCCAGAAGGCAAGGCCTGCGGTCTGCATGCCCCAGGCAGGCACAGTGCTAGGCGTTACATGCTGTAATCGTGATAGTGGCAAGGCTGCTGGGACTTGCCAAAAGCACGTCTCAGCAAATCCCGCGCAGAAAAAAAAGGTGCGCACCTGGATGGGCTTGAACTCGCCCTTGAGGGTGTCCAGCCAGGGCTCGAAGGGCTTCTCCTCCTTGGGCGGCTTCTCCTCTTTGGGGGGCTTCACTTCTCGCGGCGGTGGCGTGGGCGCCTGCTTCGACGCCAGAGGGTTGGCCGCGCCCTTTTTCTCCCCCGGCTTTGGCTCGTACCCCTTGAGCACCAGCCACTTGCCGATGGGCATCGAAGGGCCCCCTGAAATGATCATTATCACATCCGTCAGACTACAGGTAAAAACCCCTTGGAAGTCCCTCATGTCAGTGCAATTTGCAGGTGCATCCACGTCCAACTTAGCTGCATATTTGACGCTGTCTGCAATATAAACCGTGGTCATCAAACCGACCCCCAGTCCTTCGAGTCAGTGCTTGACTCAACACCATTTTGGTGTGTTGATTGGCCCTCCAGGCTTGTCTTATCTAAGGGACAAGCCATTGGACTCCTGCAAATGTGGCAGGTGGAAATCTTGGTTAGCCAGCACAATGACTGAGCAGTGACTCACCGGCCTTGACCTCGGGGACGCCGCCGGGCTCGATGCGCAGGGAGGCCTTCCACTTCTTGGCCGCGCCCGCGCCGCAGTGCATCTCGAACTGCGTGCAGCTGAACATGCGGCCGGCCTCCGGCTTCTCCGCACATTCGGAGCACAGGCACACGATGCGCTGGCGGCCCAGCAGGAAGATGCCGCGCATCCCGTTGCAGAATACCGGTATCTGCGCCCGCAGACGACAGCACAGAGTCAATAAGAGTGTGTGGAACCTTACGCGCTTCCCACATCAGCTCCAGGACCGTAGGCACTCTCTTTGCAAGTGACACGAGGCCAGGTCATTGCTTGCTCCGCCACCATAGGGAAGTGCATGAAGATAGAAGAGAAGCCGCCGTAGCAATGCTTCAGACGCGGATGCACCGGCCCTGCAGAGGCCTTTCGACATTATATCGCCGGCTAAAAACCAAGCGCATCCTGTGGAGCAAGCAAGTCGGTTGTGCAGCTGCAGTGCAGCGCCATGGAGTTGATGGCTCCTGCAGACGAATAAGCAAGTGCACAGTCCTGGCAGTAAGACTGAGATAGGGAGGGAACGCGCGCGCACCCGCTGGATGACCTCGCCGGTGTCGGCCGAGCGGCCGGTGATGAGCTGCTTGCGCGGCCGCGCCTCTGCCTCCTCCTCATCCTCCGACCAGTCGTCTGCGGCCGGCCGCTTCTTCACCGACGACGACGCCGGCCGCCGCGGGGCCGGGGCAGCCGCCGCTGATAATGCGGCGGCGGCTGCGGCCGCGGCGGCGGCGGCCGCACTCCCGGAGGCCTTGGTGCTGGCGCGGTGCACCGCCACGAGGCTCAGCAGCGGCGCCGGGGGGCCCTGCGGTCGCGCGCTGAAGTCCACTGGCGCCCCCATCTCGTCCAGGAAGCCTGGGCACATTTCTAGTTTTCAAGACCTCTTCATCACAATTGTGACAACTGTCCCGCTCTCTGAGCATCTTTCCTGCCCCCGACGGAATCTGAGGAGACGCCGAAATTTGAGAAGGTAGATCAGGGATCCTTATCTGGTAAATCCGCACAGAGCGCAACTGACATGGACCATCAGATTGCCATGCAATGTCGCGTATGCCATCCGGCAGGGGACATGCGGGTGAGAAAAGTCAGGGGCGCGCACCGGCCTCCTGGGCGGCGTAGTGGAGCGCGCTGTACTGGCGGTGCAGCACCTCGAAGGCGCGCTTGTTCTGCAGGAAGGCAGCCAGCTCGGCCTGCGCAACCGTCTCATACGGCTGCTTCTCCTGCGCTGACAGGCTCTTCCATGTCTCGCCCACCACTCTCGCCATCTCCTCGACGCTAATCATGCGCTGGTTTGGCGTGTACTGCCTGCGCGCGGCGTTCCCTCTGTGTGTCATGCAACCTTACTGAGCTGCTCTTAAGTTACTGAGCTGTACAGGGCGTGAGGGGACCTTGGTGTCACATGACAGCCTTCCCAGTGGAGTGGATGGCAGCAGGGCAGTGTGGCGAGCCACAGGAGACCCCAGCAGCTGGAGAGCTGATCAACAGGTATGCCTGAGCCTCAAGACTCGATTGAATTCAGAGCATGAAATGGGTAGCTTCGATAAGGCAAGGCCGCTCCTGACCCAGAAGTTCTGCTATCACAGGCTGAGATGCCATGCGAGGGACTCAGCTGCTGCTTGTAGCCATGGCAGCGTAGAAGGCACAGAAACATGTGAGAGAGCACACTTGTTGAGCTCCATGGAGAAAAGGTGGTACGCGGAGCGTGGCCGGCGCGGCTGCGCGGCGCGCAGTTGCGCCTCGGCTGCGCGGAGGGCTGTCAGCTTCGCGTGAGCTTCCGCCTGGCGTTTGCAGGGAGCGCAGTAGAAGGGGATGTCCGACGGCGCGTGCAGCGCCACGTTGGCGGCCGGGTCGCAGTGGTCGTGTACCCAGAAGCTGCAGTTGTCGCACCCCGCCATGTTCTTGTCCGTCGGCAGCCACACCTGCGCGCGGGATACACTCCAGTTGGAGTCCTTTCCTCTTGCTTTGGGCGCTCGCTCTGCTTTGATGTCTCCAACCAAATCGGAGTCAATGCCCCCGCCTGACCACGCCATCGCTGACAGTGCCTGACAACCCGGTCACCAATGCTTGCGGAGGGCTCTCCTACGTTCGTGATGACTGAGGGGAAGGGCAGCGTATTATTGGCAGGGGAAGAAGATGGCAATGAAGTAAAGACAATGATCACCGCGAGGTAGGCGCTCGCTTTGCCTTGACATTGGCATTTCCTGCTGCGTTAAGACCGAGGACTGAGGGCGGGAGCGCGCCTTGTCGCAGACGGGGCAGTAGCTGCCCTCCTTGTGCAGCTGCTCGCAGTTCTCGCAGCGCCCGCCAAAGGCCGCCATGTTCTGCGCCTCCCACTCGTCCAGCGTGATGGCGCAGCTCTTGCACGCCGGCCGCCGCGGCCCGCCGCCCCGACTCGTCCGGAGCTGCGCAATCGACACGCGCATTCAGGACAGTGTGATGCATGGAAAGGTGGCTGGATGCTGAGCGCATTGCTGCTGGTGTGGACTAGAGGCGGCATATTGGGGAGTGGCTGGGTGGTTGTACTCAGCGATCCATGCACAAGCATGATGTCTGCATGGGAGGCCTGTTGCCCTCTCAAAAGGCCTGACAGAAGCGTCAAATAGAGCATCACAGCGCTAAGCCACACGCAACTCGGTTGGCAAATTTATTACAAGTCTGAAGGATGACAGCCAGCATGCAGGGGATGAGGATCTCACATCTGTGGCTGATCCAGCAAGAGGGTCGGCCTCGCCCCTCTCCACCAAGAGGACCTGTACATTCGCCACAATCCAAGTCAGAGGCACCGAATTCTAGCAAGCACGAGTTCGACATGCACTGGTGCGAAGCATGCGAGTACAGATTCTGCGATGCTCCACACAGCATCACATGTAACATGTAAATGGATCCTCTCGGCGATTGAAAATCTGACGAAAGCAGCGTGTTCCGTTCTTGATCAGACAAGTAAGGCAAGAGGACATCCCGATACCTCTCTGAGGGCCTCTTGAAACGCGTCGTTCTTGCCATGATTGCTGTTTACGGACTTCTGCAAGCATCCACAAGCAAGGCATGTTAGAAGCTTTGGCCAAGTAAACTTTGCCTTCGAAAAAGGACGAAACAGCACCGGGCACTGCAACCGACCAGAGCAAGAAGCTTCCATTCATCGATGCTCTCTCTGATCCCAATGCACTTTTAATCCAAGAAAAATAGTGGGCACCTAGCATTTAGCATGTCTGGGACATCTGACGCCCTACCCTGTTTCCCGCAGTTCTAGCGTGATGGACAAAAGAGTCCCAAACAGGCAAACAACGATCTCGGTCATTTGAAGCCCCACCTTCAGTTCGTCAAAGTAGTCTGTCAAGGGAACAACGTCTCCCTCGCTGGCCCAGCAGAAGTCTCGAGGGCGTATCTGTCCCCACACAAAGTCAAAACGTCTCAGGACAAACTCCAGGCGATCCTTGAGCGCACAGAAACCGCCAAAGGCATGGGTGAGCCGGAAATGCCGAAGAATAATTGTTGTCGGCCCTTCATCCAGCATCAATTGCATGTTCGCTGAATCTGCCCTGTATGCTGCGACATCTGTATATATCTTGAGCCGTTCAGGCTCGATCCTGCTGCAGCAGCTTCATAGGCAGGCCCCAGGGAACCAAAGGCATGCTATAAGCACTGCTCAGGATTGCATTGCACCAGGAATTAAGGGGAAGACTCGGTAGCTGCACGTGCGAGATGGCTGGCGTAAGCAGAAACAACAATCTCTCACCTTGTTTGCCGCCGGTCCATAGAACATGACACAGAGCTTGCCGGGCTGCATCTGTCGACGAACAATTTCTGGGGCCTCCTTGGACGGCTCCACCACGATTGCCTGCATCAATTGGCTGCGTTTAGACCCACCACAAGGTACCAGATTTATGAGAACGAGGCTGGCTGCCAAAGAGCTCTCCAAATCGCATCGCACCGGCCAGAAGGGCTGCGGCCTGTTGACATTGCGGGAAAGGACCAGCTGATGGACGTGGAAGGAGTCCAGGGGGTGCGGCCCTCTTTTGCGCGACAATTCTCGACTGGTCTCCTTCCGTTCACTACCTCCACCACTCTGTGGCCTACGAAGGCCTCTGTGGGGCCTCGAGTCCTCCTGCATTATTGTGCCTGCACTGCTGCGCTTTCATGCGAATGTCCGGGTCTCCAATAAAGTCGAGCAAATGTCCAGAAATTAGTACCGCTGACTGATCACTCATGTAACCGCCCAAGGCCAGGAGCCCGGTTGGCCAAGGCGTTTGGAGGTCTTGTTAGCATCCGAATATTAGGCGTGATATGAGACTGGTGTGGGTGTTCCTGAGACATCAAACCTCGAGGCTGGGCTGGGATTACATCTGAGGCACCCTTTCGAAGGTTTGACTATTGGAGTACTAGCTGGGATCTGGCAGCTTCTGCAGTGCATACAGACGCATCGATGCAGATTTTACACAGATAAAACACATGATGTGGTGATAGAAGACGTCTTGCGTAGCTCGAGGCAGGGCAGCTTAGCATAGGAGGGGCGAGAAGCTAGAAACCTCTTCAAAGATGGGGAATTCTATGCGCAAGATGTTCGATGCGCTGTTTGGCAACAAAGAGATGCGGGTGAGTTGTGTCTCCACATCAAGTCTCCAAATTCTCCATCGTCTGCACCTGTGATTTGCCATAACTCACGTCAGTAACACTCTTCTGTCGAAGGTGGTCATGCTTGGGCTCGATGCTGCTGGGAAGACGACGATCCTGTACAAGCTGCACATCGGGGAAATATTGAGCACAGTCCCCACCATCGGTGAGGCACAAGCGCCAACTGGAAACTGCAGTGCTCTATCCACTCTCCCGAGTTCTCGCTCACCAAGATAATGCATTATGTTGACAAGATAAAGACGTGGTCCTTTGATCTGCCTGCAGGATTCAACGTGGAAAAGGTGCAGTACAAGAACGTCCTTTTCACAGTCTGGGACGTCGGAGGTCAGGAGAAGCTGCGGCCGCTGTGGAGGCACTATTTCAACAACACTGATGGGCTCATTTACGTGGTGGACAGCCAGGACAGAGAACGTGTCAACAGAGCCGCCAGCGAGTTCAAGGTGCTGGTCTTCATGTACCTTAACAAAGCGCTACAGTCCTGTTTATTGTGTCATCGTGCCTGCATCTTCTTGCCTAGAGATGCAGGTTTACTTGATCACCGTTGCGATCTTGGCAGGATGCTCGAGTTGATCTGACTATATTGTGCTAATATTCAGGCAATTGTGGATGATCCCTTGATGCGGCACAGCGCAATCCTTGTATTTGCCAACAAGCAGGACCTGGTACGCGCAGCCACACCTGCCATCTCCTCGCATCTCTGATGTGCAGATAGTCAACTTACTCAAGCCTGTTTGGTGTAAGGCGACCTCTGGCGTCCTCAAAGCTTGCAGCAGCACTGCGATAGGTGCATGGAGGAAACAGCACGTACAGCATGCCCCGATTATCGTTGCGCACTTGGGCTTCTGATTGGTTGTTTGGATTTGAGTTTGAATCTGTTATTTGGTGAGCGCAGAAGGGCGCTGCGAGCACAGCGGAGGTCTGTGAGGCGCTGGGCCTCTCGCAGATGAAGGGCAGGAGGTGGCACGTGCAGGGGGCTGTCGCTATCAGGGGCGAGGGCCTCTATGAGGGCTTGGATTGGTGCGGACCAATGCACTCTCCTGTCTTGCCTTGAAGGGATTCTTCCTAGTCTTGGAATGTGGCCATACCGTGCTCACAGGTCGTCAAGCCTGCTTTAAGATATAGTTGTTTTGCGGAAGGCTGGCAAGCACCGTGCCCATGCATGCACCATTTGTGTCAAGTTTAATTGACGTGAGGAGGAAGTTTCTGGAAGGCGAGGTTGTGTGTGGGCATGCAGGTTGTCAAATACTCTAGTAGCCATGCAGAGGAGCGGGCAGATCACCAGTGTCACGGCAGCAAACCGCTGAAAGGATAGCCAATTCAGCGCGCAGATGTCATAAGTGGAGGAGCAAGTGTGGCTGATTATTATCACCGTAAGATGTGGCCGATTATTGCCTGCTGAGTTGTGGGAAGGCAGCATTGCCCTGCGCTGCAAACAAGCCATATATGATGGTGCTGGCATCAATAAAGAACGCCAGAAATCGATTGCACATGAGGAGGTGCAAGGCATGACCTGCCAGTAGGATCACCTTCTTCAGATACTCTAGCAGTGCAATCCACTGGCAAAGGATATACCAGTCTCTGGTTCCCATAAATCCTTGGTAGTGAATCGTGTTGCTCAGATCTGTATGACACTCATGTTTACCAGCTGGCACCGGCAAAGATTTGTGTAAAGCCAAACTCATCCGCAGCTGAGGGCTTATTACAGGTCGCCCATTTGATTCTTATGAACGCGACACACGAGTGTCTCTACTCTAGGCCTGCACGATACGCTGCCTTTTGAGCAAGTATTGAGAGGCAATGTGCATGCCTGAAAAGGTGGTCCTCCATCAATTGCCGACCCCTGCTCAAAGTTTGATCTCTTGGAGACAGCAAACCCGCCTATCGTCCAAATTTTAGAGGATCAGGTCCCTGTGTGATCTTGCAAAATCGTGCGGTGACAAATTACTGGTGGCTGAGAAAAGAATTAGCTTTAAGTTTATGTATACTTTGCCTGGCCATTCTCATCCAACGTTTCACATCTCAACACTTCTCGATGCTTTTGTGAGCAAAATATAGCAGATTTAATCCTCTATCACATCTTATTTACTACAATTTGCACTGGCCAGCGCCATACAAATAAGACTGCAAGACGCGCTATAAAGCAGAAGCGATGGCTTCCAAGGAGGGAGAAGCTCTGATGATGCTGGCTGACCATTTCACTACAAGTGGAGCCTACCTCCAGGTGATCCTGCAATAGAAAAGCCTTTGCCTTCCCATAGCTGCGAGCATAGTCTACTTTCGTTCTGGATTGAGAACAGCATGCGTTGAAACACAACACCGCCCAGGACCTTGAATTTTTCAGGAGGTCACAAATATCGGTGCATGAAAACCATTCAATATTACGATTATCTGGGATCCTGTAGGCCCTGAAGTGCCACACAGCGCTCTGCATGGGAGGGAAGGAGGTGCCACTTGTTGAGGCCAGGAGCCGGCTGGCGATGGCCAAGCTCCTGTTGCAACACACTCACAACGCTGGTGACGCAAGGCAACACCTGGAGAGAGCGGTATGTACCTGCCAACAGGACATTCAATTGAATAACACGTGTTCCACCAGCTTGCACATGCTTGTGAGCCTGTCTGAGGGTGCTGCCTTGCACAGCTCATGCTACTGGGGAGAGCGCAGCGGAGTTTTGGCTTACGCTGTGAGATTGCCAGCGAACTTGCCAGGTGCCAGGCAGTCATGGGGGAGGTCCGTCTGCAGAAACAAACCCTTGCAAAAGCCCTCGAGTCTTGCCAGGGCACAGCCACTGCAGCAGATCGGTGAGCACACGCCCCAAGTGCTTGCAGTGCACATATTGAGTGCTGGATTCCAGTGCATACCATCCTTGCGAGAATTATACTTGCAGATTTTCATTGCAAATGACATAATTATCGTGTCCACAAGAGCATGTCAGAAGCGGCAGTGGGCATCACTTCGGCATGCACTGGCAAAACGCAATAAGGGCTGAACGCGGCTGCATGCAGTCGTGGTGGCGCTGTGAGTAATCGGTATGCTTGCTGTATCAGGCAAGAGCAGCGCGCTTGGGAGCTGCACTTTCTGTGCGAGCTGGCGACATGTGCCGCCAAGTCTGGTGATGTGGCAGGGGCCCTCCAGCACATGGAGCGCGCATCCAGCCTCGCCTCTGAGACTGCCGCATCCGACACACAGGCAAGACGCGCCACATCTATACAATGGCAATACGGACCAGTTGTGCTTCACATGCAAAGTGGTGTTTTGACCTACCTTACCCAGTTGTATTGGGTGAGAGGGGATACCGGTGCTTGCAGTATTTTCCACACATACAGAGAGCCCATCAGCCCATAACAGATTAATTGCCTCTTCGTTCATGAGTCAGCTACATATCATCAGTGCATTGAGGTATACTTGTGGGAAACCGTGTCCAGGTGCTGATAGGGCTGCACAGGGCACAGCTGCTGGCCTCTTCTGGCAAGCGGGCCGAGGCGCTGCAGCTTCTGGACGGCTGCGCCGGGCAGCTGGCGGGTAGCCAGGAGGCAACGCCGCGTGCCGGGCACCTGCGCCTGCACTACGCGCTGCTGCGCACACTGTGCCAGCTGGCCGCTGGCGAGACAGGCCTCCTCCAGCAGGCTGATGGTGAGTCAGCACCACATCAACTAGCTATTGCTGACCACATGTACTATGAGAGGACGATTTTCTGGGTGAGTCTTACGTTGACAAGCCGAGAAATGTATTTGGAGATCATGCAAAGGGCCCAAATCCCCAAATTGAATGCCCTTTTCAGGTGCAGAATCCTGTCCTTAAGCTGTGCATGTTATACTCTTACAGCAGGTAATAATAAACTGTGTCCAATTGCGTTGTAATGAGTGGCTCAGCATCATTCATGTGCGTTGATGTCAGGTGACACGATATCAGTCATCGCTGAGCTGGAAGCGTTCATGGAGGACGTCACGCCAGATCAGGTTTGGAGCTACGAGTGGCTGCCGGTTAGGGTGGTCTGTTCGGCGGCGTGCCTTGCCTGCGCATGCGTGCTCCGACCTGGCGGCAAGCTGAAGGATGCCATGCAGTTCCTGGACCGGGGCCAGCGCCTCATTACGGATGAACTGGCTGCACAGCGAGTTGATCTGGAGGTGTGTGATGTTGTTGAGAGTTTGCAATGCTGTATGATGCATGCAAATGGTTTAAATGGGACTCTTGCATGGCTAATATATGTTGTTTGATTTTTGAGTATCTGAGTCCCAATCTCGAGACAGGTAGGTTGTGGCTGTACCCCTCAAACCAACGCGTGTATGCTTTGCGGATAGTTGTAATGGAACTAGTAAGTACTGCTGTAATTTCGATGTAGTAGAAATGAGATGGTTTGGCAGTGCAGCAAATTATACGCATCACATTGTCTTGTGTGCCTCTGCAGGCAGGACAGGCCTCCATAGCATCAGTGGCAAGGGAACCCATCAGCGCAGCGCTGAAGGTGCAATTCCTGCTGGGTGAGTCAGCGGTGCTGACACAGCTTACACAGTCGAACATCGCTGGCGCGCAGAAGCAGATCCTGCAGCTGGTGAAGCTGCTCGGAAGCTTCCCCGGCCTCCTGCAGCCCCTCGTGCCCTGCATGCACATGCTCGCAGGTGCGCCACCACCACCAATACAAAGACTCTTGTCTCTAAGAGACTGTCCCATGATGTGGCCTGATATTTGTCCTACTGTTGCATATGCATTCACCCAAGATAGAGCGACCTTGTTTACGTTAGGGTCCCCATCCACTGTGCCTGTACAGAGTGGTTTGATCTGCCAATGCACCCGCAGGCATCCTTGCAATCATACCGTCAATATTTTTCAAGTCAGAGTTGCGTATGGTAGTGCATATTTGCGATGCTATGCAGGCCATTATGCGCATGCACTGGAGCACTTTCAGGCGGCGGCAGCGCATTTTTCTGCCGCAGCCACCGGCGGAAAGACTGACCGCGCTGGCTGCAGCCGCGACCTGGCAGGGGTGAATGAGGCGCTGGCCGTGCTGTGCGAACGCGGGCCGGGGTGTGTCGCGCGCGCGACAGAGATCCTGAAGCGGCATGCGCTGTACGACAGCATTTCGTCCGGGTTGCCCGCACATGAGAGGTGGGCTTCCTATGTGAGAGAAGCACAGACCTCGTTCCCAAGGAAATGGACTTGACGCATTTCAATCAAACAACATGGATGCAGCCAGTGTTGCCACTGTACTGTGTATGCAATGACAGCACTGTAACTTTTGCCTTGAATATCCAGAAAACATTCTTCAAGCTGTGCTGAGTATAAATGAGCATACATGGTAGATACATTGAAGCTGTTCCCTGACAGTGGAACCATCTTTGGTGGTCTTGTTTCAGGGGAACCCACAGTAGAAGCTTCATGTGATCATGTGCCTGGGTACGCAATGTATGAGTCGAAGGCCACCAACATCTGACTAAATCTACGTTGCTCAAATTGTGCTGTGGGCTGGTGTGCAGGGCAGCGGGGCTGCTGGTGTCGGGTCAGGTGCTGCTGGCCCAGGGGGACGAGCACGGCGGCCGCCTGCGCCTCAGCAAGGCCCTCAAGATGGCCCACAATCGCCTCTCCAACCACTCCCTCGTCTCCCAGGTTCCCTTCCACCTTTCTCTCACCTTTTCATCGTTTGTTTGTTACGACCTCTAATTTGGCTTTCCACACACGTGGTTCCAAGGTACAAAAGAACCACGTGGGACCAAGGTGCAAGAGGTGCACCGTCGAAATTTTCTGCTTACAGTGACAAAGATCCAACACAGCATGCATGGGTGTCTCCAACAGTCTCCAACAGTGGCTCATCGGCCAGGCTCATCTGCATGAAAGCAAGGAAGCACACCGGTGAAAGCAGCACTAGAGAATGATAGCTGAGACAAGTCATGGCTGAAGGAGAACCCTGGAGAAACAAGCGTAGAAGTTCCTGTGGCTTCCCATGCAGGTGCTCAACTCGCTGGCACCGGCGCAGCTGGCCACGTCAGATGCAGTGGGCGCGGAGAGCATGCTCAAGTCCTCCTTCACGCTCGCCAAGAACCTGCACGACCTGTCCTCCCAGGTGGGCAGTTTGCAAATAGCAATGGATGGCTCGCAGAATATGTATCTGTGCAGCATGCACAATATGGGTAGCCTGCCAGTTGCAATGCATCATCTTGCGCCTGCTATTTTTCACTGTTATTGTATGCACATGCTGCGGAGAATCTTATATCTGACCCCATATATATTGACCAGTCTGGACCCACTACGATGGCTGCAACTCGGTGGGATATTGCTGAGTTTATGAGGGTGTTGGCTGCAAGTATTAAACTTATTAGGGAGAGCTGCAGAAGCAATAGTTGGCAACATGGTGGTGCAGGTGCAGTCACTGGCCGAGCTGCAGAAGCTGCATGAAGCTACCGGCGCTGCCGAGGCTGTGGAGGACAGCACGGCCTACCTCATGCGCAAGCAGCAGGACCTGATGCGCACCCAGGAGGCCGCTCTTGCATCGGCGCCTGAGCATGCAGCCATCCTCAATTGGGGCGTGCAGTGCACCTGACAATTTCAATGAACACCGTGTGACTTCTGCCGGACTGATTCGAATCAGTCCGAATTCGGGACGACGTGACCCAGAATGGAACAACTGTTGTGTGAGAATTCAGTGGATCTTTGTATGGAGCGTGTGACGCCCGCTCCCAATGTGCATGCAAAGTGATGAAAGCACAATGTTCTATGTCATGTCCAAGCTGTATCACATCGTCTTGGCACGTGCTGCTGACGTCATTGATACATGATATGCACAATCTGACAGACATTTGAGGTCTTGCGCACAATTTAGATTTTTCTCACTCGAGATGCAATCGCAATTGTCGCAGACAAGCCTTGCCTCGCATTCTCGTTGAACGCTATCAAGCTAAGTAGATCGATGCTGTTCTCAAATTCTTGGACCCACAGAAGATGCAGCTGCCCATGCTCATGGCACAATCAGCAACAGCATTCATTCCATGGCAGACATATGCATCCATCACGGTGAGTGTGCCCTCATTCTCGAATGCAAGGTCAGGACATTCTTCAGCAATCAGCTTGCCACCGAACTCACGGTGGGTTCTCATGCTGCAGCGGGAACGCCCGAAAATATGTGAGAACAGCAAGAGCGGTCAACGATCAGATGCAAGTGAGCATTCAAGAAGTCAGCAGCAGCGTTCCTCTCTCAGGATGGCCATTGTATGTTCTGGCAGCATCCGTTGCTGCTTTTGGCTCTTATACAGCCTTCCAAATTCTGATCTGGGACTACAAGGTATGTTGAGGCACAGAAGATCTCATATCGTGAGTATATCAGCTACGCTGGTCTGGTACACTGTATGCTGCTCAACTTGGCTTGCTGAGGCTTGCCTCATTGCACGTGTGCAGAATAGGCGCACTGATGATCCCAATGAAGAGGACAGGTCTTCTAGCTACTCCATAAAAATTGATAAAACACCCCAAACCGAACAGCCGGGCCCTTCCAAAGCATACGACTGGAAGACCACAACCTACAGAACAAAGCCCAGGTGATGAGGTCCCTGCTGAATTGCGAAGGGATGACAAGCTCATGATGCACTGTGCTGTGTTCACATGCATCATGCATTGCAGGAATGTCCAAATTAAATCACCAAACGACTGTCTGTTCACGGAGTCTTGTCCTGATGTACACTCTTCATGATGCGCAGGGAACGTGAGCAGCCGGCAAATAAGGTGATTGCTGCAGAGGCGGCCCAGAGCATCTTGCAAACTATCCGGTGAGAACCTGCCCTTTCCTGTCATGCCCTCCTGCTTCTAATTACTGAGCTTCGCGGCTATCATTGTCTCGCGTTCACTCATGCTGTTGATATGCCTTCTGAGTCACACAAATGCATGGTCTTGTGCAGATTCTTGCTGGTCCGTGCTTAGTTATGAACTGGGCTCTCGTGCAAAGCCTATAAATACAGCTGGTGGCTCCAGAGTTGCTCTAGGGTCTTGATGAGAAGTCTTCAAAGTTTGAAGACTTCAAACTTTGTTTCTACTGATCTACAGGGATGCCCAGGAGGTGTCAAAGGCAGCAGAGGTGCTACTACTGCTGGGGGACAAGGGGGTGTGCGATGAAAAAACACTCAAAATGCTCCAGGCGCTGACACAGACGCGCGGGGGCGTTCCCTCGGCCGGCGCCCCTGTGCTGAAAAGGGTGGTCGACTCGATGGCGCAGGACCAGGCTGTCGTCCAAATCAGGCGCTGCTTGGACGCCCTTCATGCTCCAGAGTGAGCGCGTTGGTCATCCTGGTGTGTCAGTGCCTGGGCTTGCGCGGGTGTTCTTTTGGAGGGATGTCAGGAGAGACGACAGTATGGGAAGGCTGTGGGGATCAGAGCATGTTGAGAACTGTAGAAATTTATATTGAGCAGATTTTACAGCATTCACTGGGAGCACTTACGTTTGGCATTTCAAAATGGCAGACAATCTGCAGCTCACGCATTTTCAGATACAGGCTTATTAGTCTTAGTAGGAATGTTCAAACGGAAGCAATACACTGCAAGAACATAAAGCTATGGGAACCTGTAAGGACCTAGAACGCATGAAGACGCTGACTTCCTGGAAGTGTAAACAGTGGAAAGCTATCATTGTGTGCAGCAATTCAAGTCAAGCATCTTCAGCACAAGCAAAAGTCAGTCAATAAATATTCACCCCAGAATTCCATCTAAGCAGAGATGGAGACGTCGTCCTGTTTACGAGGCCATTGATCTCAAAGCCTTCAGGCACTTGAAGCTATCACGCATACAACCCACACCGCATTATAGTCTAGACCAGATCTGCCATGCCTAGTCTGATTCCTTGTTTCTGAACACTAAATCCCTCATTCCATGAAATTGATGCCCTGGTCATAATCTGCAGAAGCAAATTTCCACAGGGATCTTCAGACAACAAATACTCTGAACTACATCAGGGGTTTCTCGAAAGAACACACTTTTGCAAGTATCTTTGATAGATCTTTGCCAGCTCAGAAGGGACTATTGATCTGAATATCCTCTGAAGAGAAGTTCTTGCAAGCACTCAGCATACAGTATACACATGACATGTCCATTTTTGCCATTTTTATACAGACTCATCCACTGCGAGTTTACAAGAAAGGGATACCAAGTTCGAAAGCTCAAGAAATGATCACACCAAAAGCAAGCTCAGTTGATACATGAAGGGACATCGTTTGATTTGGACCTGATCATTTCCATCAAATTGCTCCAAGCGCGGTTATGCAGCCATGCAAAAGCCGCAGAGAGTGAAAATGAAATGCATGTCACAAGCGCAAAGGTGTAGGGCCTGTCTGGCGCAAACCAAACTGATGGTGGCAGTATGTACCAGACGCAAAGCAACACCTGCGCCAAACATTTGCCTGCCTGTCAGCAATCTGCAAAACAGATCGTAAGCTTCTGTCGGAGTTCATCCAAGAACAGCACAAGCCAGCATGTTAGTTCTGTTGTGTGAAGCCCACAGGAATTTGGTCATCAAAGACCAGGCAAGCTGTGCCAGAATCATGTGTAGGTACAATAAGTCGCGATGCAGCGGGGCACTTGAATAAAAGAGCGCGGCTTCTTCAAGGGACTCAGCTGATTCAAAGTCTTCTGGGCATCTCTTACCAGGGGGTGTGTCAAGAATATGTCATAGGTGATGCCTGCGAGCCACTGAAACACCGGCAAAGAGAACGCTCTGGCCACCATTGAAGTTTCACCCATCCGCTTGTTTGTTATCAGGGCGAGCGTCAAAGCCGGCAGCACGGGTGACAAGACACCTGCGGTAAGATTTGAAGGAAGCTCAACCCATACCCACTTTACTATTGCAACCTCGTCTTGGGACTGGCAGAATGCTGCAAAAGAAAACATCAGCCTAGTGCAGCACCTTGGATTTGCTAAGGATGCTTCGCATGTTAGTGATGATGGACCAAGCTGCAAGTTGTGCTCTAATGATATCTGGATTTCACACTGACAAGCAAGCTGCAGTGCCAAAGAGCAGCTTCTGCACTTTGCATGGAGAAGTCATCGGAAACTTCTCAATCTACTGGAGCAGCTGTGCACGGGTGCAGGGCTCACCTCTGATGCCAATGAAAGCAAAGGCAAGATTGACCGGGTCGGCCATGATATGATTTGGGTCAACCTGCGGGCCGTTCTTGTTGACAAAGAAGCCAATGAAGTTGCTGAGGATCAGGCAGATCCACAGCGTATGTAGCCGTCGGCTGTGCCTGCATGCACAGGTTTCAGGAGTGGCACAAGGCAATGCCAAGGATAGATATCTATATTGCGGGATATTAGACCCTGATATCTCTCTTGCAGTCACTGCGGTAGCAATAGCCTACTGCTCCGCGTTCGTTGCCCGGTCTTTTGTGTCATACCAGCATTGTCAGTGTCGCTGCACTGATGGCTGTCAGGTACATGGTGTAGCTTTTATAGATCAATGCAGGTGATATTTTGTGATGCGCAGTCTGGTGTTTAATAGGCACCTTGGGATACAGCCAGTGAATTGTACTTGAGAGCTTACCTGGCCATCTTTTGCACCCATGCTGAGTCCAAGACACAGAGAGCCGCCAGGGCTCCGAAGCAGATGGGGGCTACTCTGGTACAGGAGCTGAAGTAATCATGGCGGCCCAGGAAAATGAGTAACTCCAGTGACTCTGCGTCATGCGGGTGGAAGGTTTGTATGGGCATCTTCTTCCACAGCTGGCTTTTATGGACCTGCCAGGCACACAAATGAATTGCTTGCTGCTTGGCTTTTAACACCTTTTCATGCATGCTCTGACAGGGCCTCTGACAGGGCCAGCATTGGGTATTCACGGGTGTCCCTGGTTTTCGGGCTACAAAATGACTTTCTGGTGTCCGGGGGAATCCCCAGAAATCGCCATTTGCCCAACTCTACAGGCCTACAATGGGAGGATGTTCTCGGCGAAATAGAAGCCGGCTATGGAACCAAAGTGGCTGAGGCTTGCACCCCCCGGGATGCCACTCCTCAATTCTACGCTTGTACCATGAATTGAGAGATTCCTCTTGAGGTGAATATCATAATGTGCTTTGACAGACAAGCAGAGGAGGTGCTAGCAGCTGCCACCTGTTGCTGCTCTACAATATCAGTGTATCTGGCAAATTTGGATGTGACTGGCGTGCCTGCCATGCTCGATATGCCAGCACAGCCGCAATCGTAGCCAGCAAACTCCCAGCAACGCGTTTCCTGCATGCAACATGATTGTGTAATTTCCGACATCTCATCTCCTTGCTGCAGTCTGCTCCGTACTGAATAGTATATCTGTTTGCTTCCCTGCAGTTGATTGAGAACACTGCTGCTGCGTCTGCCAAAGAAGAATCTTGCTAAAGCCACACTGAGACTGATGAAACTGGTTGTTGCTCACCTGAAGCCGGGCTTATGAGGCTGAAGCACCAGCAGAAGCAGAGGGAAGAGGGACCAGAACTGCATCTGCAGTGCCAGAGTCCAAGTAGTCATGTAACAGCCGGCCGCATGCAGCTGGTTGTGAATGAAGAATATGTTGTAGATCATGGTGTTCTTGCAGTACCCCGCATCAAATGGCCCCAAGGGCTCAAAGAAGCTCCGCCTGCAGCCAACTAAGTTGTTGGGGCCATATTATTGTTATTGCAGGATAGCAAACGCAAAGCCAAAGGCCGTAGGGCACCCAGGCAGGGCGTCTGCAGCCACGTCTGCCGGGTCTGCAAAAGCCTGCAGCCTGCTATTGTATCACATCTCATCTCATCTCAAACACAACACCTTCATGCGGCTGTAGCGGTCCTTGACCCTTCATCAAGTGACACAGGACATTTCGCTGCAGGTGACTCTCCAGTACAAGTGGCAATCGATCCTACCTCACGTCAGTTGGCAGTGAATCTGAATCACTCAGCACTGAGACGAGAAGGCGGATGACCAGCAGCATTGCAAAGTAAGCTGGAACAATCCGAAGCAGTCTCTTCCGGTAATACCTGCATCCCAGCTTTTCCCCATCATGCATCACGGACGGTTGAATACCTACAGGAGTGAGCCAGGCAAAGAAAATTTGTGTGCAAGGCAAGATCCTCGGAGAACACAACTCAGCACCTGAGGACGGTATGAGAGTAGCTTTGCGTCGCCTCGAGCGCAGGAACCAGTGAAATAGCTGATAAGAACCTACATGGAACATCAAGACACCGAGGTATTAAATCGAGTGCTCTTCTGAGGCATACCGATCATCAGTACGGCATTTAGCCATCGCCCAACTGCAACCTGCTCAACTTTACCCCATGCACCAGTCAAGGTCTCACCCCGTCAAATTTAAGAACGTGTTTAGAGCGGGCTCTGGGTTGAAAAGGACTTTGAACCAGGTCTGGTGTGCCAGCGCTTTATCGATCGTACGCCTGTTATCTGCTGCCAGGCACACATACAAGACCACGTGAAACATTGTCACTCCAAAACAAGCAAGGCACCTAAGGAAAGCTGTTGGATCAAGGAATACAGCATTGCCCGGCTTTGCCGATGGCGTGGCAACAGAAGGGTTCTTGCGATGGCCATTGAGTTGCTGGATCTGACCCATCCTAACAACCCCGAAAGGAACTCACGACACTTCAAGCGAACGGCTACACCGGAGTACACAGTTCTGAAACCACATCCTGCATCTTGCAGATTAAGCGGGGAAGTAGTCGTTGATGCCTTTAGATATGGAGGATGACGTTGCAGGTGCAAGTCAGATGCATCCATATGGCAGGCCAGCGTGGCGTGCCTCTTCCCTATGATCACTCTGCTTTGTGTGGGAGTGGTCATCCTGCATGTGGGGCAGGCGGCGGCACATGAAATGCATGCAAACCTTCACGGGGTATGTGTACTACATGCATGTGCATAGTATGTGCTTAAAAGATGCAAAGGCTTCAACGACCTCATGATCAGAGCAGAAATGATCGTGATTACAGTTGTATTCTTGGACCTCAAGCGTCGGAAGCCAAGGGCGAAGGTCAAGGATTACGTTGCGTATGCCACATGGATGCATGCATGATGGTGCGCACTGCGCACCGTCATGCCGTGCCATGGGATGCACCCATGGGGATGGCCAGTGGGATGCCAGATGCTTCTCAATGCTGTCTGAGCATATGCAAATCAAGTACTAGAAGATTGCTCAATGCATTACAGTCACTGTAATGCTTAGACTTAATGGTAATCTCTTGACACAAAAACCTTTCCTTCGATTTTTGACTGTGACTTAAGGATTTCACTACAAGAGCCAGTGCAGGCAGTCTCACAACAATGCACATGCAATGAGTCACTCAGGCACTGTCCCCACTCTACTCTGTAAAAAGATTTGACATCCCATCTTGCATCCCGAATCTGATCATCAGAGCCAGTGCCATGCCATCCAGCACGTACATGACATACAAACGCTCAAAGACAAAAGCGGCAAAGCAATCGTGTCGCTACTTTGACTAGTTCGATGCCATGCTCTGCTGCGCATGCAGGCACCGCTATTACTAAGTAAAGGTGCAAGCTCGCAATTTCCATTCATTTTGTCTCGTCGGACTTCTGTTCAGCCCAGGCCAGCTGGCACAGCAGACTGACTTTGACATGCCTGCAGCTGAGCTGGACCCTTACTAATCTTTACTAACAGTTGCATGCATGCCTGGTCTCCAGCCACTGGCGGGTAGGGCGACACGCGTTTCTGCACTCCTTAGTAATCATAAAGCCACAGCTGCCACAGCTGCGCTGACTGCTGCCACATAAGCAAGCAGCTGTGAATCAATCTTTCTCATGGGTGGCCAAATTCCCACACCACGTTCCAAGATAATTACTTCAACCATTGCCGATTGGGTCCTGAGGACCCCCAAGATTGGTGTCCCTGCAGAACCATATATTCTGGCTTGCCAGAGGCAAGCCTAGGAGCTGAGCTTGTCGGCCTAAATCCTAAGGCACAACACACCTGAGATACAGTACCTTAGGTCCTAAATCTAAATTCAAATTTGAAAAAATTGACGGCTGTTCCAGGCATTTCGCATACAGACTCCCAGGCTTGCCTCAGGTTGAATAGCAGACTGGTCAGCAGATGCTTGTGAAAAAGCTTCAGAACCTTTATAACATTAACAAAAAAACTGCACGTTAAGAAACGGCTTGTTGATCAAACCAGTGTGCTGCTCTGAAGATCTGACACATGAGCCGGATGCCGACATGATAATTGTTAGAGCACGCAGCCACTGTAAGAAAAGCTGCAGAGAAGCAAAATTGCCCATTTTGAGGGCCTTCAGAGTCTTGAGTTAGGACCACCAGTAAGTGGGGTACCGCTTATGGCTCGGGCCCATATTGTTGGTGAACAGAGCAATCCCGAACAGAATCAGCGACCCGAGCAGCGAGGCCACTGTCAGCACTAGGCCGTGGGTGAAGCGGTCATACATTCGGGGCTCCATCTGTGTCCGGATGCACCAGGCAGCAGGGGTTGTCCCCAAGACATTGCCTGCAGCGATGTCTGGGTTCATAGATTGTAAGGGCTCCACCACAGCTATGATCAGCGCCGCAGCGCCGCCGGGGGCTGCAAGGCATGCACACCATTTGTCAGGGTACCTTCAGCGTTGTCAGTCTGCCCGATCTAGAGGAGCACCAGAGAAGAGTTGGACATCACTGTCATGGCCTGCCCAACTCCAGATCGAGCTGCAAGCATAGGGGCTGAGGGGCTCGAAACAGCAGCAACTTTGCAGATAGGTGAACAGTGGAGACTAGGTATTCTTCAAGCAATGGCCTACATGCGGATCACTCTTGTTCCTTTGGATCAGAGGCAATGAATGGTGCATGCACTGCAATTTTGCGTGCCCCAGCTGTCCCTATCTGATTCTGTGGCTGCTTCATCGTCCATTCTTGTCACAGGCACAGCAAACTTGCCCCACTGTAGACCGATGTATGTCCACGACTCCGGCCAGGCTTTATTGCATGGCTCCAAGCAAAACAGTCCGTGCTCGTGACACTGGGTAAGTGCTACAAAACAGTGAGCAGTGAGAGGGCGCACGATGGAGGGTGGCAGTTATCTGCATGCCCAGAATGGAGAAGGCAGCCGCCAGCGGGGCAGAAACCCAGACGTATTTGCCCAGCATCGTGCGCCAGAATAGTCCGGCCACGCATGAGACCATCATCCCTCCAAAGACATTTCGCGGCTGCGCCACTGGCAGGGAAGGCATTCCTGCACCAGGCATCCCCTTGATCAGCTCATGGCAGCCTTGAATTTCATCAGGTGCTTCCACCTGTCTCCTCGACCAGGCTGCTCCTGACACTAGTGTGGAGGTCCACTATACAGCAGAAGTGAAACAGCTCCGGCTCATTTTGGGAGCTTTTGTCACTGATCAGGCGATTGGCACAGCCGCACAGATCAAGTAGCAGGGATAAAAACGTCAACACAAGCAAAGGGGGAGCAGCACCATACCAAAAAGCAATGTTGCAGAGGCTCCAAAGCAGCCCAGGAGCAGAGGAAGGCTTATATGGCCCATTAAGCTCCCATTTAGACCAGCAATTGCTAGGAGCCCGAGGAAGCTGCCAATGCCCCCAAGCAAGATCTGCACCACAGATATGTATCAGCCTTCAGAAAGTTGCTTCTGATACATTTGTGCTGCCTGAAGTAAACTCAAATGGATTGAAAAGCCCTTAGGCATGATGGCATGAAATCCCGTGTTAAAAATAAAGGTGGGCGGAGATGCCCGAGTCCATTGCATCACTTGATCACTTCAAGCACCTCAGTCAGTAAGGTAAAGAGGAGCCTGAGAAATTGCTTACATCAATGAAAGGCGGAGATGGCGGATGCCTGGACAGGCCTCCCTTCATCTTGCCAAACCATGCCCAAGTTGCGTGTACGATCCGACGTGTGCCCTCTTTTGCAGTCACTGATGGGACACCAGTTTCAACATCCCCGGCATCCGATCGACGTATACTTGGATTTGGATGAAGCTCCGGTCCACCATCTTTAATGCTCATGTGGACAGCCCTGTCGCTAGCCTGCTCGGAGCACACCCGTCGTGAGCATCGGGTCAATCTGAAGTGTACGATCCTGGCATGTAACTCTAGACGAAGGTGCAATTTTCATCCTGGCAAGGCTTCTTCGTCCGAGGTGATCTGATTCTCGCAGGCGGACTGAAAACAGAAGCTCGGGCAAGAACATGACGATCAGAAATCAACGGCGCGGAAATCAACGGCGCGGAAGATAGTGTCGTTTCCGTGCATCCACGGGACAGTACTGCATCTTCAATGTGACGCCAGACTTGGAACAGATCTGTGATATGTGAAACAGCAGATCATATGCCAGGCAAATTTACCTAAGGCATGCAGCCCATCGAGGCTCAGTCAGGCTCGTCGAGAAATCGCTGCAAGTCGCCGTTTCAGGCAGGATGCAAAGCTTTGAGCACCACATTCAATTTTATGCGTTAATCGCTTCTCCAGCTCGCAATCGTCTCTTACGGTACAAGGGTCCCTCTTGAAAGGCTCAGGTACTAATCAGGTATCTGCACGTGCCTGCTTATTATTTCGTGGACGGTGGACAAGCCACGTTCCTTTCTGCATGGAATCTTTCACGAGGGAGCACCTCACGTCTGTCCCAGGCATGTGTATATGTCCAATAGGAGTCCCCAAACACATGCAGACGCGTCCAAGCAGATCATGAAGCGCTCCTGATCAGGAGCATCATCTCAATTGCATGCTTAGTATCAATCCTGATCATGCATCTAATAGCGATACATTTCCACCTTCTCTTTGAGCAACTGCCTACCACGCAACTGCCACAATCCTCTGATAGGGCAAGGCTGTAACCTTGAAGAATAGAATACTGTACTTATAAATGCAAATCTTTTTCTGTGCCAAGTGCGCCAGAACACACTGAGCTACCACAGCATCTGTGTGTTTCCTCACACTTCAAATCATAAACATCCAGAACTACCGTTCAAATGTGCAAGTACACATTCCTGCAGTAAAGTGCAAGGAGGCTGCATGCTTCCAGATTATCTGCATTCTCAAGGCTTCAAGAGAGTCCCATATGGCACATGGTCATGCACGTGGCACACCCACTGGGCATAGGGCATTGCTGAGACTTCAATTTGGAGCTGACTGGGCTCCATTGGACTTCAGCAGAGTAAAGCTCCTAAGGCGGCTCCAAGCACGATTGTGCAGCCATGCTGCAGTAATAGAGAGCCCAACCACGAGGCAGGCCACGAGCGCAAAGGTCTGAGGATCATCTGGTGCGAACCAGAGGGATGGTGGCAGCATGTACCAAACGGCAAAGAACACCTGCACATGATGAAAAAATGCTTGTCAAGATCACGCAACACAGTGAATAGACACTCCTATCATCTGCCCATATCCACAGAAGGCTCACAAGCCACCAAACTTGCAAAGCCTACAGAAGCGAGCTATAACAAGATCATGCAACTCAGCGGAAGAAACTGTCACCAGCTGGCTACATCCACAGAAGACTCAGAAGCCGCCTATAATATGCAAAGCCTGCAGAAGCTGGCTATTAATGTATCAGACAAGGTTAGTCATTCTGCCAGGCATATTGTGTCACATTCTCCTTGTCTGCGGTCCTTGAGTCTCAGGCAGGATGTCAGGAGAAAGGGTGCTCACAAAAGGGTGGAGGAGGTATATGTCGAATGTGATATCCGCGAGCCACTTGAAGACTGGCGCAGAGAAAATTCTGGCCACGACTAGTGTTTGACCGGGTCGCTTGGTGGTCGTCAGCACCAGAGTAAGTGCAGGCAACATGGGAGATAAGACACCTGCAGTACAGCAGAAAGAACTTCAAGACAGCATTCTCAGGGACTTCTGCTAGTCAAAGAGTTAGCAACATGCAGCACAATCAGCTACCCCGTTGATCATGCTGGCACCAATACTAGTAATATTGGTGCCAGCCTTCTGCTTGAACTTTTCCTAACAATGCTTCAGAATCTCACCACTCAGGAGCAAGCTGCAATAGCGACCCCGGAAAGTTCTAAAGGAAAAGACCATTCTTCCAGGAGCAGATTATCTGATGGCTTTTTTATTACATGTTGCAGGGCTCACCCGAGATGACAATGTAAGCGAATGCCATGTTGACGGGGTTGGCCAGCACATGCGCGGGGTCTTTTTCTGGCCCATTTTTATTGACGAAACAGCCGAAGAAGTTGCTGAGAATAAGGGAGACCCACAGCGTGTGCAGCAATCTGCCGTGCCTGCATGCATGCACCACAGAAATGCATCAGCTGCCCGGCACTTACTGATGACTTCTATGAGAAGAAAAAGATTCCTGTTTTTGTTATCGATGGTGTTCCTGCCAGAGGCAAGGTGCAGCTGCAGACAAGCTGCATGTAAAGGCTGTCACATATCCTAGCGCTTGATCCACTCGCCAGATCCATGCAAGACCCAAGTTTAGGAGAATGAGCAACACAAGTGTCAGATAAGAGTGTTCGCATCGTTCTTGGCACTTGCAGAGGATTTGGTGTCACCTTGCAACCTTCTGTGCACAAGATGAGTTCATCACACACAGAGCTGCCAGGGCTCCAAAGCACAGGGGAGCCAGCCTGATGAAGAAGCCAGAATAGACGTGCTCGTCCAAAAAGCCGATCAACTCGAAAGTCTGCATGTCCGGTGGCTGGAAGACTGGCAGGGGCATTCTGGTCCAGAGCTGCGTTTCAAGGAGCTGCATAGCACAGCACCGCTATCAGCAACTGTGCATCACCAAAGGTGAGTCCCCTAAGGACTTTTGTTGGAAGCCAGTAAGGTGATTTAGCATTGAACATTGTTTGGGCGGCCGCACGACATAGCGAGCATCGCTCTTCTGTTATTGACTCACAAGAAGACCTTGATTGTTGACTAATTGATTGTGTGACACAGCGTCACAGAATTGATCAAGTAGTCAAATTAGAGTGGTCCGCATGTAGGCGCTTGCTTGAAGATTTCCTAGTCTCTACTCTGACATGTGTGTATTGCTGTTGTTTCGAGCTCCCCAGCCCAGTCTTTTGCAGCTCAAATTGGATTTGGGCAGGCCACATCTCCTTGGCCCCATTTTCTCAGGGGCTCCTTTAGATTGGGCAGACTAAATATAGTTTCTGCCAGAGGTAAGATGCGTCTGCAGACAGGCTGCAGGCAAAGCCACACAAGTCGCCTGGTAAAAGTCTCAGAGCAAGAGGCTTACCTGCCAAGCCCGGTACGCCAGCACAGCTGCAATTGTAGCCAGCAAGCTCCAAGTCACCCGCTTCCTGGAGACGATTGGCAAATACAGATGACATCCTATCTGGTATCTGCCGAATCCCACTGTTGCTGCTCCTTACACAATAAACTAGAATGGTCCGCACGTTGGCACTTGCTTGAGCAATTCCTAGTCCCTGATCTTCATCTATCTGTGAGTTTGCTCGCCTGGGTTTGCAGCTCGATTTACAATTTGGCAGGCCATAACAAAATCGTCCCACCTCCCAGTGCTCCTCTAAATTGGGCGGATCAATCAGATCATGACAAGGTCTGATGAGTGCACAGCAAAGCAGAAAAGGAAATGGAAGTGCAAGCAAAGTGGTCGGTCACCTGAAGCCAGGCTTTTGAGGTTGCAGGGTCACCAGACCGAGGGGGAAGAGGCACCAGAATTGCATCTGAACCGCCAGGCTCCAGGAGATGTTGTAGCAGCCCGAGCCCGGCAGCCGGTTGTGAATGAAAACGAAATTATGCCAGAGTTTGGCCTTGCACGACGCCGTACTGAATGTCCCAAGGGGCCCAAAGAAGGATTCCCTGCACGCAAAGGTGCAGAAGCTTCTGGAGCTTGAATCTGGAGATCCCAGCGAAATAGGTGTCAAATCTTCAACAACGTGCCTGAGATCGCATTGGCATATTGCCACTTGCAGCAACACCCCGGCAGCTTGTCTGCCGGGCTGGCAGCAGCCATTACCTGAGGTGCTGTGGCAGCGATTCTGCTTCACCAAGCACAGATACCAGAATGCGAACCACTATCAGCATGGTGTAGTAAGCTGGAGCAACCCTCATGAACCTCTTCTTGTAGTACCTGCGCACAAGAAATATCTTCCTCGTGCACCATGCACGACTTGTGAGGCTGGCAGGGAGGAGGACTCATGGTTTGCAAGGCAACTTAAGCAAAAGCAGCGAATAGGGCTGTCTTGAGGGGTGGATTGTCTCAGACCTGAGTACAGTCCGAGTGCAGCTGTGTGTCGCCTCAAGCGCTGGAACAAGCGATACAGCGGAAAGAAACCTGCACTGGCTGTCAAGCTTTTAGTTTCGGCCACCATGGAGCCCTTGTCCAGCCGATTGTCCGTCACATCGATGTACGATCCTCGTGTAGTACCATCGACCCACACTCTTAACGCCCTTGTTCCAGTCATACCCGGTTAGGCACATGAAAATTTGCATGGGTGGCTCCGGATTGAAGACGACTGTGATCCAGGTGTGTTGTGCAAGCGCCGCGTCGATCGCATGCTTGTCGTCTGCTGCAAGTCCGACAAACCAGTACACGTGGAGAACAACGATTCCCAGACAAGCGGCACATCTCAAGAAACAAGTTGGATCCAGGAAAGCGCGATCGTGCAGCCCTGCTGATGGCGTGGTGACAAGAGAACCCTTACGGAAGTTACAAGACTGCTCCTTCAGCCCCATTCTCAAGAAATGTTGAACTCCCACGTCTGAGTGCGAATGAAGAGAAGAGAGATCCAAAGATTCCTTGGAGTGGCATCGTTCGCTGCACAAGTGTGAGGAAAGTCTTCCTTGGACATTTATATCCTGGCGATCACGTTAGCAGATGCCGCTTGGATGGGCACTCTTTCACTCGGCACTGCCGACTCGGCAGTGCCAAGTCGCCAGAGTTATTTTAGCTCTCAATGTGGGAAATCAGAAGCAATTGAAGAGTACTCCATCAAATGATGACAAGCTCTTCTATATAGATTTGACCGCAGGAAAACATGCTGAAAAGTTGCCCCAATGGCCGATGCCAAGGACGATAGAGAAGTGAAACTGCAAGAATCGCTTGCAGACTGCGTTCTTAATTCTTCATGGATGTTCTGCCTCGGGTAAAATCTAGTTGTTGTTTCAATTTGTATATTAGTGAATGAATGCCAAAACTGACCACCTCAAAATCATTGTTTCTGTGTGCAGAGGAGTCGCACTATCAATTCCTTTTGGCATCAAGTATAAGGTAGGAACCTGCAGTCATTTGCTTTGTAAATTTTATAGCACGCATTTACAATCACATCTCTTCAAACGAACAACAGTTCACCTTTCGTGAAAGTTTATTTCTCAGTTTGCTGAGAGTCCTGTGCATTTTCAGAGCTACTTACCGCTCGTATACTTTGGACTGGGTGGCACCGTCCTGGACATGCTCAATGGTGAGGCTAGTAGGGATTTCTCCTCCTCTGCTGTCACAATTGCTGGCGCTGATTTCTGCAAATAATGAAATCGTCCTTTTTGACTGAGTGGATTTCTTGCTGCAGGTTACCTGGAGTGTAATCAACAGCGCAAGGAGCTTGCAGCATACCAGGAGGCTATGCAGAAAGGGCAGCCAGCTGACAGATAGCAGCATATGGCAATTTTGGGCACGCACGAGAATAAGCAAAGGAAAATGGCCATGATATGATGGCTTCAGGAACATGGGTTTGCGGTTGAAAGTAAGGCTGCAAATATCCCATTTGGGCTCAGACCCAGAGCGAAGTACCAGATAGATGGAGTATGGTCAATCACCACTGGACAACTGTTGAATTGGGGACCCAGGACTTCTAAACGATGAATAGTCAGAAGAACATCTATCTTGCAACTAACAAAGAATAGGACAATCAACCCCATCTGAATGGAACCACCCAGTCCTGAGCTCTTGAACATGCAAACATGAGAAGACTAGTCACACTTGGGTCTCAGCTCTTGCAGGTGCTTGAAGTGTTAATATCACCAAATGCATTCAGCAACTCTGCAGTCAGGACAACACATGCGCCACAGCTAATGGCTAAGCTTGACACATCTTGTGCCCTTACCAACCTCCAGCCTCACCGCAACCAATTTCTTCTTGCATCCGGTGCTTCTGTGGAATGCGGTGCATCACACTCAGCAAGGAAGTGCAAGAACCGCAGCAGAAGCACCTCATGAGGTCCCTTAAGTTTTAAGTATACAAGGATGTCCTTGTCTATTCAGCCCAGTTGCCACCACCAGCAATCTGCACCCTGCAGGCCAGAGAAGCACCACCGCCCAACCTGCTAACACCAATGTACCCTGCTGAGAAAGGCCCCTCTGCAGAAGGCACGACCACGACTAGAACACTCATTGCTACCAGCAATGCACCCCGCTGCAGAAAGGCACAGCCGTCCCCAATAGATGTCACAAAGTGACAGGTGTCACTCAAAAGGGGCGCCCGTAGCGACCTCCCCGGAAACCGCCACCGCCGGGGGACCCGCCGCCACCAAATCCCCCGCTTTGACAACCGCCCGCAACGACAGGTGTCACTCAAAATGGACGACCGTAGCGGCCCCCCGGGAAGCCGCCACCGCCGCCGGGGAACCCGCCGCCACCGAATCCCCCGCGCTGCTGCGCAAACATCTGCGCGAGCAGATCGTCCATTGATGCGCCGCCTGTTCCGCCGTGGCCGCAGTCCGTGCACCCCTGCTCTATCTCCTCCTCCGTCCAGCCTGCCAGAAACAATTTGCAACAATCAGTGCATGGGGTACTCAGAATTCAATCAGACCACAGTGTGGTGAGCAACACTGTGTAATGCAGCAACATGCGTCTTGTGGAAGACATCTGTTTGCAAGGCCTGTCATGAGCAAGCAACACTTCAGTGCCAGGAGTTCACACCATGACGACAAGACCCTGCATGAAACAGGTTCACAGGAGAGCCAATGAGATGCTGCATAGGCAAGGTGCAACCACCGCAGCAGTAGCGTCCAAGCAGGCTATCTTGCGCACCCTGGTCGTACTTCTGGCGCTTGGCGGGGTCGGACAGGATTGCGTGCGCGGCGCCAACCTGCTTGAATTTCTTCTCGGCTTCCTCCCTCTCCTCCGCCACCGCCTTGTCCGGGTGGTACCGCAGCGCCGCCCGCTTGTACGCCTGTATTGCAGAGTTTCTTACTCAAGTTTCCTTTTGTTTCAGATCAAATTTGGAAGAAAAAGAAAAAAGTTGATGACTCTTTGGTTGGTAAAAAAGGGTTGAAAAATTAAGTGAGCCCCATCTGACAGCACTCTTTTGCAGCTACTTTGCAACCTTGAACAGCTTGCAGATGAGGTTCTCCGCCAAAAGGGGATCTAAGTTTCTTCAGATGCACAGGGTAAACCTATGCTGCAACCTTTGAGCTCGAGGTACAGGTCATGAATCAGAGGGCCCATTGCAAGCACTTGCAACAGGAGACAAGCTTTGATATTGACTGTAGCACTGTCGCACAGCCAGCTTGCTATCATTCTCATTCTTACACGCTCTCCAGCCATTCAAGGCTACGTGCGCTCCCTGCACCTTTTTTCAAATCTTCCAGAAGTCCCTTTCAACTTGGCAGTAGCGCTTCTGTAGATACCTTCCAAATGTCCCTGATTTTCAAAACGATGTGGTGGCGCAAAACAACTGGCGCACCTTCTTGATGTCTGTCTCGCTGGCGTCCTGGCTGACGTCCAGAAGCTTGTAGTAGTCGATGCGCTTGGACTTCTTCAGCTCCGTCTTGGCGTTGCGCAGCATCGCGCCGATGTCCTGTACCTCCGAGTCCATCTCCTTCACCTATTCACGCACTCACAGCTGCTCAGGAAACGACAGTAACCTGATGCAAGCAGCTCCACTCCTAGCCAGGGCACAGCATTATGTCCCAGTTCAAGCACCTTCATAGCTGCTCAGGACATAGCATGCCAACACATGGAAGCAGCTGCATGCACAGCCAGATGCAGAGGTCTCCCTCGGCATGCTATACCCCCACATTCAACCATCGGCGATACAGGAAAGAGAAACTCCCCCCCTGCGTTTGCAATTGTCAACGGTCCGCACACTATCAAGTGGTATTCTTGTCGTGCTGCATGACTAGCAGCACCTTCCCAAGACTCCATGCTGCCAAGATCCAAATAACACAGGCCCCCTTTTCAGGGAAGGCATAGTTGAGCAGCATGCACTTTAATCGCATGCAACAGGGTGAAGCCTGGTGGACCGACGGACAGTGCACCTTCTCATAATCGCGCACGGCTGCCTCCCAGTCCTTCAGCGCCTCGTTGGCAGCGGCTCTGCGCAGGTAGCCCTTTACGAATTTCTCGTCGCACTTCACCGCCGACTCCGCGTCCGCAAGCGCGTCCTCGTACCGGCGCATCTTTGCGCATGTCGCCGACCTGTTCAGGCAACGTGCTGACTCGTCATGACTGAGCTTGCAAGTATTACAGAGCATCTTTCACACATGTCATGACCTGTCCAGGTACCGGGCTTTGACATCATGACTCATTATGCAGGCGTTGCCAAGCAAAGGGGAATTGATGCGGCAGCCACAATCACAACAGACTTTCAGCTTCTGTTGCTGAGCCCCCTGGAGGCGTGACTTCAGTCTATCCAAGGCAAGCAACCTGGACAAACTTTCCAGGACTGGTGATCGACTCAGTTTGCTTGATGCTGCACGCACGCTGATGCAATAAAGAGCGTGACATCATGCAGGCTTGATACGCGCAACACCAAAACCCTCTTTCCTTCAAACGAGCAGGTTGCGTTCTTTCGGCCATGAAGCCGCTAGCGCACCGGTTGCTGTAGCACTGCGCGAAGAAGGCATAGTTGCCGGTGCCGGCCGCGTATCGTGCCAGAGCGTCGCTGTAGTGGCGGTGAGCGTCGCCCCATCGCCGTTCCTTGAAGGCTGCGTTGCCCTGCTCCTTGGCCGACACCAGCGCGCGTACCCGCTTGAGGCCCCTCGCGCACGCCGTCGAATCCGGGTCGCGCCGCAGCGCCTGTTCATGGATCAAATGAACGACAATTAATGATTTGTTATGGCAGACGAGTCGAAATACAGTTCCGGCCCCAGGGCTTGTCAGGCCAAAAGAAAGTCGGCAAATGAGGAACTGGGATTGCAGATGCAGTTGAATATGGGACATGCCTGAGCGCCTGCTCAGTGAAAGGGAACAATGGCGGCCATAAGTTCGGCTTGGCAGGAAGCTTCCAGGATCAATCGTGTAAAGAGCCTAATGCACATGTGGAGTGCTTGCTGGCTGCTTTCCTGTTTGTCCTGGTAATTTGGCTCCAGAGGCCTCTGACACCTTGTGGTATGTTGCTCTCAGATGCCGGAACATGGAACTGCACAGAGCGCCCGCAGAATGACTGGCTTGGCCCGAATGATGCCCTTGATGCTCTCACACATGCTTGTATTGACGCTTGCGCAACAACACGCCCATGCACTTAGTTTGGTGGAAAAGCTGCGCACCTCCTCATAGATCTTTGCTGCGCGGTCCATATTGCCGGACCCATAAAGTGCCTCGGCCCGCACTAGCAGGATCTCTGCAGCCGCGGGATCGCCCTCCACTGTCAATGACCGCGTCTCCCCCAGCGCCTCCGCGTACTTCCCCTGCCCCATCAGCGCCTGCTCATGCGCACAACGCCAAATCAGGCTCGTAACCTTTTACCAATCAGCCTCTTGACTTTCTCAGGCATGTCCAACAACTTACAGTCCAAAGCGCGGCAGAGTCCATGGCCAGGAAAGCCACAGCATGTCATGCGGGCTTGCAGGAGCCACTTGAAGCATACAAAATTGCACATTCCTCCAAACACTGCCAAGCTGTCCAAAAAGTGCCTCCGAGGTGCAAATACAACAGCACCAAGAAGCCATAGATTGCACGTGGAGGGACTATCAGAGTAAGGGTGACACTTCACCAAATGCCTAGCTTACTGTTCACCAAGTTTAGCATGACACGCGCACTAGATCAGCGCACTGCTAAAAGAGCTGGACCACACCTTGCAGCGCAGCAGCTGTGCCGGCTCAAGTTGCGCGGGGGCGACGGTGCGAGCGGCCAGGTCAGCATACCACTGCGCCTGGCGCGCGTCCCCGTCCAACGCGGCGTTCCCGTCTGCAATGTGCTTGCGCACAGCCGCCACCGTGGCCAGCTCTGTCTGCGCTGCCGAGCCGGCCGCCTCCAGCTCCGCAGCCCGCCGATAGTGAGCCTCCGCCTGTGTACAGAAACAAATGTCCTATTGATGAAATGGCGGACAAAGGGAACAACCAATAGTGTGGCTGGCTTTGCCATATGGTGCCAAGCATCCAAGCATCGCTGCGGATCAAGCATGTAGCCAAGCTCGGCTGTAGCTGTGTGTGCGTCTCGAGTATATAATTCCCTGCTGATTGAAGAAAAGCAAGCTGCAATGCAAGAGGCAGCACCAGAGGAATGCGAATTTTCAGAACATTGCCTTAACCCTTGGAAATTAAGCACCTTGTTGCAACATGCAGGGACTGAAGCGAGCGCGCACCTCGTCAAAGCGGCCCATGCTGAGGCAGGCCTTGCCGGCGCGCATGTGCGCGCGAACAGAGGTCGGGTCGAGCGCGGCTGCCTGCGACGCAAAAGCAGCCGCCTCCTTGCAGCGCCCGAGCATCAACAACGCCGCCGCGCAGTTTGCCGGGTTGGCCGCCACGTTCGGCGCCATTACCGCGGCCTCCTTGTACGCCGCCAGGGCACTCTGCATATAAACTCACATGTCAAGACAGCATTGCAGAGGACGATATAGTCCTTCAGAAACATGACCGGCCCAGACCTAAGCATCCAAGCAGGCAACAATGGCGCAGTCAGAACTAGTCACTCAGCAAACACGGAGGATCACGTGCCTTCTCATGGGCTTGCAGACGGCATAGGGAGCTTCATCCACTGTCTTACACAGGACAGCTGGAGCAATGTGCCATCAGCGAATAGTTGCAGCTGGAAACATTTCTGCTGGGAAAATTTCAACGCGAGACTGGGGTTGCTGTCAAATACTAACCTGCCAGTTGCCCGCTTGATAGAACTTGGTGCCCTTTGCTCTTTGCTCCGCTGAAGGGTCCTCCTCAGAAGTCAATGCCTGCGGCGGGGTAGCATCTGCCTTGGGGGGCTCAGTGTCTGTCTCCATCGGCTCCTCCTGTTTCTGCTCCTTTGGAGGCTCCTGTTGGTGCCAGAGCAGTACATCTCTTGGGCTTGAACCACATGCATCAGAGAAGAACAACAACATTCACAGCCACAATTGGGTGCTGCAGACCTATTGCAGCTCCTTGAAGTCTCCCATAACGGAGACCACCTATGGCACAAATGTGCTAATACTGCCGCTATAATCATACCAAATAAGGGAGATCTGGCTTAATGGGTTCATGGACCCTTAAAAAAGGGGTGTCGCGCAGCATGAATGCCATGGTGTGGGGTATGTAGGGAGCTGACCTCCTGGAGGGGCGGTGCGCGCGCGACAAAGGGCTGACTGCTGTCTGAGCTGGCTCCCGACTGTGACCGGCTGAGCATGGGCGAGCCGTTGGCCGACCCCTCAGCCGTCGCCGCCTTGCGCGCCTTGGCACGAGCCCGCTTCAGTGCCTGCTTGCTCTTGCCCTCCACGCCGTTCGTGGTGCCTTCGCACAGCAGGAAAAGCCAGTCAGCACATCAGAGATGAGACGTGCATGCACCAGGGATGAGCTGCATTAAGAAGGTCTGCTACTCTAATATGTCAGCTCTGAGGCCCGAGCAGGGGTTGCCAGAAAGCCCAGCATACAGTGATAGGGATGTCCATGCAGCAACATGTCTACACTGGGACTTCCACAGGACTTTCAGCTTGAAGATGTGCCAAAAAAGGCACAAAAACTGGGCTGCAGATCAGCAAGAGCCCTTGGTGGATCTTATGCAATAAACAAGTGCCTTTTGCAAATGTTGCGGGACGGGGATACATGGCGTTTACCATTTTGGGCATGTCCGTTCGTTTGCGGTGGATGCTCTCCATTCATCCGGGCCCTGGCAGCTGCAATACAGTCCTGCACTTCTTTGCACAGCTGTTTTTGCGGCGCCGCACCTGCACAGGATGAATATGGAGTCTTCAGATGCCAAAGCAATATAGTGCTATCTTAATATTGTCAAAATATGTCACTATTGTCTTCTTATATAGGTGCTATGCTCTTGCCGCATACCATGATTGGCAGCAATTTGCAGGTTCGGTAAATAAGCTCACCATTCAAGTTGCCGCTTGGGAATGTTTGTGACGCCACAACTTTGTCCAGCTGTGCTTGCAGCTCGCCATTACTGCATGAGACATACGCTGTCAGCCAATAGCCTTTTCTGCACTCGTGCCGTTCTTTGTCCTAACAGGTGAAGGGATGCCTGGTTCATTGGAACGGCACCACAAAGACTTCGGGCCGCAGCCTCTCGCAAATGTGCTTACCTCGGATCCAACTGGAGGGCGCATGTGAAAGCTTGCCGGGCTTCATCCTTCATATCAACGGCATCTAATGCAGTACCCAGACGCCACCACCCTGTGTCACAGGAGAAATAGGTAAGGACGTGGTTGTTCACCACAGGCAGGGTACTTGATAGAATGCAGCAACCACGGCTCAGCTTCATCCGCATGCTCACCTTTGACATATCTGCAGTCACTCGACAGCGCTGACATGCCGTCCTTGAGGCACCGATACAAGTTTCCTGCAGACGAAGGGATTCCTTTATGTGATCTGGTCCTGCTTGCAAGCATGCACATGGCAGACAATGCACCTCGATCAGCATATGACCTAGGAAAAGTCAACATCGTCGATCGAGCTATTTGAGGTCGGGCATGCGGACCCCATGAGCGTCATTTGTTGGGACAACAAACTCCACAGCACTCCTACCTTCTCGCTGGTAAGCGAGAGCGCGATTTGCGAAGAGCTTCGCGCGATCTGTCGCTGATGAGCTGTTGCATGCATTGACTGCATCGCTGTAGAAGCCTATGGCGTCAGAGTAATGTCCAGTTCTGAAGGCTTGATCCGCTTTTTCCTTGTGCGCCAACCACACTTTGGGAGGCAACGTCTCCACAGTAGACATGTTGCCTGATCTCTGCTCCAGCAACTGCAAGTAAATATTCTGCTTGCTGGATCAGATTGAACTGCATTCATCAAGCTGCCTCAAAACGAGGTTGGCAGGGCGCGCTGTAGCGGTTTGAAGACCCTTGACAGCCAGCAGGGTTTCAGCCCTACAAGGGAATCGAGAAATTGTGTTCATTTCACTCTTTGCGACTTGTGCAAGACATTTTACTTCAAAATCCTGCGTCAATATAAAGCGTCGGCGCACATACAAAGGTTCTTGTACCGGCTGCGTTGTCTCGTATCACGTTAATCAGTGGCAAGGCGTTTCAAGAGCTACAGATCTTGCAAAACTCAGTAGCTCTTTCCGAAAGTCATCGGGAAGCCATTGCCTTAAATAAATTACTCTAAGCAATGGATTTATTTCAGCAGTACGAAAGTGGTTTTCTGCGAGTGATGAGCGTCCTGAAAAGGCGTGAAAGGTCTTCCGGAACACTTGATGAAAAGTTCAGAGAAGCTGAAGAGTTGGTGAGGAAACGTACATCCTTTCACGATCCTCTCTGATACTATTAAGGCTTGCGCGACAATATGGGACTGCTCCACACAGGTATCCAAGATGTGGATTGAAGCTAGAAATTTTACTGGAGAGGAGTGCAAAGCACGAGTGTCGAAGGTGAGGAGACTAATCTCTCTCTGGCTCCAAGACACGGTGCCATGGAGGTCCGCGGGGTCCAGATGGTTGAGCAGATCCCGTTCTGGTGCTGTCAGGTGAGGAGGTACCAGGAAGAGCTTGCCTCTCTGCGGGAAGCAACTCAACTCAGAGGCGGTAGAGACGTTGGAGCGCAGCCTGGCGTTCCAGGTAGTCGAGAAAGCAGCTCCACTGCTGCGCAGCGGGACCGGCTTCTAAGTTCCAGTGCAAAGCTAGAGAAGACAGGAGAGCGGTTGAAACAGTCGCGTCAGCTGCTGGCAGGCATGGAGGTAACACTCAGCGTACTTGGTTTGTACATTTTGCCACCTCGCTGTTGCACTACAAAACAGTGATAGCCTGCCTAGAACACGCTCAGCTAGCTAGGGTGGACCTAAATTAGCAGCACTGAAACCTGTCAAGCAAGCATCATGCAAACAAAGCAGATGGCATACAAAGAACTTGCAGTGCATGGGGTGGGGTGGGGCCTGTATGCCAGGGGTACTGAAGTCGACCTGCTATAGACTTAAGTGACCCACAGTGTTTGCAAATGTAAGGGTTGCTAATAGCACCTTTACCTTGACCAGGAGCAAGGCGTTTCTATCCTTCAGAACCTGCACAGCCAGCGCGAGACCATCCAGCGATCTCAGCAGAGACTACAAGAAGCGGATGTGAATATTTCCAGCTCCCAGAAGATCCTTAACAGGATGAGCCGGTGGCTGCCGTTCTGAATATACTGTGAAACAGGAGAAGCGCCAACCGTCAAAGATTGAAGCCCTCTCTACTATGATGTGAAGGTATGCCTTGGTTGCATGCATGAGGTAAGCGGAAAGAAGTTTGTCACTACCCGTACAATGTCGGATTTGTGTGCTGTGCACCTTTTAATCAATCAGCCTTCATGCCATGATGCATGCATTGATGAATATCATGTGTTGCAGGTGCATGGAGCAATGCCAGGAGTGATTCTGATGCATCCAGACTTCCATGATATTGTCTTTTATGTGCTATGTGAGCCCCAACTGTTGTGAGATCTAGAGATCCGAGCATCCATGTGTAAATATTTGGACATCTCATGAATTGGGCACCATTTACATTTGATCTTGTACGAGCATCACATGGGGATCTCTGAGGTTTGCGTCTGCAAAGCTACAACTTTTTAGTACAAAGTCAATCCGTCACTACCTGGAAGGAGCCCCTCCATCCCTCAAGAGTCCCATTCACCCACTGCTCTATCATTGCTTGTGCAACCAGCGGCTGATCGTGAGGCACCTGCAGGCAGCAACGGTTGCTAAACAACTTGACTATTCGTCTCCTATAGGTTGACCAGGCAAACAGAACCAGAAGTGTTGATGGGCATTCCTATGCTTTACTGATCCACTCTCTGCGATCTACAGACGTCCTCAGCAATCCAAATAATTTGACCGTCTACGTCCCATCCCCTGCACAGGAGTTTGAGAGGGCACGACACGCCCCGATCTCTAGTAAGTCTTCAGGTTGTCTTAATCAGATTATGTCCTGCTCAAGTATACTTTCTGTATGCAAGTAAGCGCACCATGTGCCCAGCGTTTCGGATGACGACATGGGACAGACTGCCGTGCTCCCTCCAGTAGCCCACGACCTTTTCATGATGCCCTCCTGCCTCCAGCCCTGCAGCCATAATCTGGATCAGGGGCTTTGCTTCAATTACCCTGACGACGTCTTGTCTTTGAGTGTCCATCTGTGCTTTTAAAACTTCCAAGTACCATTTTCACCATCTTACTAGGAGCTCTTCTGATGCACAAAAGTTCTAAACAGGTTCAGGCAAGCCCATACCATGCAATTCATCCTGTCTGGTGTCATCCTGTTGGTTTTTGCACAATATTATCAACGATAAGAACCGCCATTTGACCATAACTGTACAGGTTTTCAGGCAGGAAAAGCCAGGAGTAGGTGAAAGGGGATTGCCTGGTGCAGCAGCACAGTCACTGCCCGGGCAGGCCATGCGCCACAGCGCCCTTGGGGCAGCGTTGAACTGCACCCGCCCCTCCCAATCCAAATTCGCAATCCATGGCTCATTGCTCGGAGGACCATCCTGAGCGTCCGCCTGCCCTGCTCGCGCACACAGCTTGTCCTCTCAACACGCTTCGCACCTGTCAATCCGGGATGATCCTTTTACAAAGAAGGTGGTCACTGTGCACATGCCAGTCCTGAGCAGCCTGAGGGCCAAGTTGCACCTTGAAGTACATGTTACACTTTGTAGACATGCACAAAGGAACTGAAGGTCACCTCCCCTTCCCTTCAAGAATGACAGTCATTTAGCGATGATACGGGTATCATTGAAACCAGAAAGGAGACGCAAGGCAGGCAGTGCAGCCTATAAGTAATATAGCACAAATGGGAACATTGCATTTTTGCAGGATCAGGGCGCTAATGCAGGGGTGAGAGACCTGCCTTGGTAAAGAAGTAAGGGCAGGGCGGCCAGGATGTCTGGGATGAGGTGTTTGACGCTCTTCATGACATCCGGGCCCAGTGCCTCCCCCACCTTGTCTGAGCAGGACTCATACACTATATCCTTAGGCACACCCAAAATCTCCTGCGCATGCATGGAATTAATTTTACCGAAGGAGTGTCTTACTCTCCGGGTCAAATTACCGTATTGCTGCCACCATCAATTTTACTAAAGATATATCTTTCTCTCTGGGACGGAGCCTGTCGCCACCTTTATATGACACCTGCTATGTGCGGTTGTAAGAACTCTTGTAGCACGCCATTGCATGCCTAAATCCAAAATCAATGGGAACCTCAACTCAACTCAACTAAAGTCTGTTCTCAATTGCGCTGCAGCACAGCCAGAAATGGAAGCAATAGAAGGGAGAGTCAACAGTGGCAGCTGTAACAAGGAATACAAATAGACATCACCTTGACCCCAGGCTGGTTCAGGTACCGGTCCACATTTTTGTCGGCGTCATAATCCCTGTAACGGCGATAGTCAAGCAGAGTTCCAGCCCCGCTGCAGTGAGTTATGTATTCCAGTAAAGCCTCCCGGTGCCTGTGCGCCTCCTCCCACCTCTCTGTACGCACAGTGCACACAGTGTTGGTCACGCTGTACCAAATTTCTTTGAGAACACTTCAGCTGTGAAATGTGCTTCTGAACGGTATGCCTAGAATGCACCCTGCACTCAGAGGTCCAGTCCACATTTTCAAAAGAATTCACAAAAAAATCAAAGAAATAAAATACAGAATTCAAAAATTAAAAATGCGTGTGTAACAGTCTGCCAGAAAGAACCGTACCATCGGCAATGAGCTGGGAGATCAGGAGCTGCATTGTCATAGCGTCAATGCGCTGCTGTGTGTCGATCATCCCAAAGAAGAATGCCACATCAGCATGCTGCAGCACCTGCGCATGTGCAGGCACATGCTGCCTCAAATCCAATCCTGGTGTCCATTATTTGCACATATCTATGAGCAAAAATTGCTACGCTCCTATGTGTTCAAAAGGCAAAAGGCTCAGTGTGTTGGTCACACAAGCGCAAACAGAAGGCGCAGGATGCACACCTGCGAGCGAGGATCAGTGAGCCCGTTTCCGATGGCCAGTCCAGCCAGGTCAAAAAAAGGCCGACCCATGTCTAGCGCCCTTTGCGGCAGCAGCCGCCTCTCTGTCACTCCGGAGCCCCGTTTCATCCCACCTAGCTCCTCCTCAATTTGAAGAACAAAATGGCCTGCACAAATTTGTGATCTCCTTCAGAATCCAAGGACATGAGAGCTCTGTCATGAGACATGAGACATGATCTGCCCACAATCTGTGAGCACTCAGCTTAACAGGTCTAAGGTGCACACAGGCAGGTTGGGATGTAGTAGCGCGCACCAATCGATGGGACATATTTGCCAGCATATGACTCGCCGGTGATGTAGAGAGGCCGTGGTTGCAGGTCTTCATATTTGGCGAAGAACTTTTGCAGCCCAATGTAGAGATCTGTTGCCACCTCCATCTCATCCGTGGGAATGCCCTTCTTGCCTGCATAAGGCAGCACTCTGAATAGTAGATACATGGAACGTGCAGGTTCAAGGAGCATCAAGCCACCTTTTTGTGGCATGCGTTCACCACATGTCCCCATCATGCAGAGAATGAAAATCAGATAAATGAAGCTGGGCAGGAGCAGCAGAAACACCTGCAATGCTGAATCCAGTGCCGACAGGCTGGTCTATGAAGAGGAGTCCATAAATCCTATTCCATGTTCCTGCAGGAACATCACAGGTTGCTTGTCTAATAGTCTTGAGAATGTTGGCTTGTGGAAAACAAACTGCATGCAAGATCTGCAGTGGCTTCTCACCTGGATTTGGCTCGAGGTTGAGAGTTTTGTTTGGCCAATAGGGACCCAGGATGTAGAAATTCCCCAGCATGGATGCACATCCAGGTCCCCCCTGTCAAATGACTGAAGAGTTCATACTTTTTGTCCATGATTACATAAGGTGTGAAACATTTCTGCAAAGCCGTAACAGGAAGAAAGCTGGCATTTTCTGGAGAAGCACCTCGAGCCAGAGCAAGATGGGCGTGTCATGTGTTCCTGCAGCCTCCTGTGCTTCATAGTAGGCGTAGAACAATGCGTCTTTCCCGTCTTTAGAGACAGGTACGTATCCCGAATACGTTACATTCGGGAGGTCTGCACCTTGCTTGATTATGCTGAGCGCAGTGGGATACTGTTGGATCCCAGAGAAACCTAGGACACAACTCGCCCAAAGAATCAGAATCAGACCGGAGATGCTATGCCGGTGAATCTGCATCTCGATATATTTGTCTTCTACAACACGCTCAATGATGGCATGCAGTCTGAGCCTTCACACCAAACACTACTGATCTGATAACGACAAAATGGTCGAAGCCAAAGAAACAAGCTTGTCAATCCTTGACGCCACAAACCACGGTCACAACAATAGAATTTTGGATTTGCAACCGAAAAAGTATTGAAGAAGAATCCTGTGCGACAAGTTTGTCGTAACGTGAGCTATCCCACGTGGTCTGACTCACAAAGAGAGTGTCCTCCTATTGTGAGCAGGTCACGTAGTCGTGAACCATATGAATAAACATTCATTTCTTTCCATCAGGAATTGTATGGATGCTGTCGGCATATTGCTACTACTATGCGAGGGGAATCATTAGGCGATCGAAACGACTTTGCTGTCGACAACAGTCCTGGAATGATGGCGCATTTCAAAATGCACTACATCCACTCGAGTTTACGAATATTAGATAGATCGTTCAATATTGGATACGAAATACAGGAAGATCCAGAAGAGGGAGTGCTCGCAGCTTCCCCTGCAATGGAAGCCACACCAGCGGGGGGACCGTGCACATCCATGCTGACTTCCATCGATTTCTGTGCGCACGAGGAAGAAGTAATGCTTTCTGCCAAGCGTGAAGACAGTCACATATAAGAGATTGACAATGTTTCTTGCCTTGCAAAGTCGGTTGCATGTCCATTTGGCTCTCTGGGTACACCGTCAGCGTTAGGGACTGAGAAACCATGGACGCCTCCGCGGCCATGCTGCAGATCTTCAGAAACATTTTAACGATCAAACAGGAAGATGATCAGCTCAGAGTAATAGATCTGCAAGTGGGGTGAGGAATCCCATTCGCAAACCTGTCCTTGGTTCTTCCACATTGCCCTATGTCATCAGCTCTGTAAACGGAGCTGAACATGTCATCATTGCTTGATGCAGGTCTCAAGTGCACAATAAGGTCCCCGGGAACCTTCGAACGGAGTTATGGCTGTCTTGCTTGCATCGGAAAGGCGTTGGCTCTGGGTATGCCAGCCAGTATCAGGCCATGCTGTTCAAGGTGGGGCTTCCCTCGAGACTCAAAGACAATATCAGCTACAAGTGCTTGTTGTTCAGATCTTCACCCTTGAGTGTACTTACACCGCTGCAACTCAAGATAGAATTTTGCAATTTCTGATGCTTGACACTGCACAGGGGGTCACTGGGGAAGCTGCAGATGACATAGAGAAGGACGTCGGCCGGACCTTCCCCGGGCTTGCCAAGTGAGAAAATTTCCCACCATCACACAAAACAAAGATATACACATGTACCTTGATATTGCAGTCCTGTGCAACTGCCAGAGTGGATTCCTGCCAGCCTACCTGTTCAACGAAATTTCTGAACAGGAATTTCTGCTGTCCTGGTGCTTTCACATGATGCAAAGATTCCTCCGCATTGATGAAGTACTTGCCTCGCCTTCGTAAGCAATGGCACCTTGCAATGATACCAGAGACGGCCAGCACAAAGTTCACCTTCACATGAAGCTCGCACTGCAACATGCGCAGGTTTGCCACGATCGAGGGCAAGCAGGCATTGGAGCGGGTGCTGCGAGCCTACGCAGCATTTGACACAGAGGTCAACTACTGCCAGGGGATGAACTTTCTGGCAGCGTTGCTGCTCATCTGGTTGCCACGAGAGGCGGATGCCTTCGGCGCCCTGGTTCTTATCATGAAGGACCGTGGGCTGCGGGAGCTCTACAAGACAGACATGACCATGCTGCAGGCGCGGGCCCTTTCACTTTGCTCAAAATAATTGCTGTGCATGACTACAGGACTACATGACTACCTCGTGACTAGGCGTCAAACACCAAACAATGCGTCCCGCTCAAACTGCTAAGAATCAGAGAAATGGTAGACAGACACAGCCTTGTCCGAATGTTTTGGATCTGGTCTCATCAGCATCAATCGTTACCGCTGGAATGGAAGCTTGCAGACGGCTAGCTCATGCTGAAGTCAGCAAATAGAATGCCTGGATGTACTCATCCATTCTGGGAAGGCTCAGCACCTCTCGACCCTCTCCTATCACTTGTCATAAAAACTACAAGGGGCTAGAGTGAATCTGCTGATTGATGGTGCAGGCGCGGCTGTGGCAGCTGGGCAAGATAATGCCTCGCCACCTGGCGCGCCACATGGACCAGCACTGCGCCATCCCAGTGCTCTACGCCTCCTCCTGGCTGCTTACGGCATTCGCCTCAGACTTCCCAGTCTTCTTCTCCTCGCGCGTCATGGACATCATTCTGGCCGACCGCTACCTGGAAGCCATGATGAAGGTGCGCGGGGCCTTGACACAATTGCACAGTCTGTGGTGCCAACCAGGCTGTATGCTCATATTGGTGGAAGCGGTCCCTCTGGAGGACTACATTGGCTGAATCTCCAACATTTTGCTAGAGTGGACTCCAAAGCTGCACGTGACAGTTTCCATCAAAGGACGCTGTTGAGAGCTATGCAGAGCAGCTGTGCTAGCCATCCTTTTCAAGTCGCACAAGGACTGACCGCCAAGCGGATGATCTTGGTATCAGCACTTGTGTCGATTGCTGTCACAGGAGCTCATGCAGGCAGAGGTGATTCCCATGCACCCCTTGTGCGGCGTGCTTTGTTGTCTCGTTATGTATGTTTTTGACGTGTTCAGGTGGTGGTGGGCATTCTGAAGGCGTGTGAGAAGCGGCTGCTGGCGATGACTGACATGGAGAAGATGGTCGACTTCCTGCGAGGGGAGGTGCCGCGATGGCCCCATGACAAACTCCAGGTGCCCAAACTCTTCCCAGGCCTCAATCTCCGCCTCAGCTGAACCTCATTATGCCTCACTCCTCGTTGTGAGTTGTGAGTTGATCTGGGGTGTTGACACGGGGCTGGTTCCTCCCCCATTCGTAATTGAGCCTCATTCCCGCTTTTGCAGTCCTGCATGCTCATGCTCAAGAGAGCTCACCAGGCCGGTAGCCCCCAGGGATTAGTTTTTTACCTGCAAGCAGTGTTATATGAGTCACGTGTCCGCCGTGCATTTGTGCGGCATGGGACATGTCTGGAAGAGTGTCAGAACACAATGTTGTGAGCATGTGTGGTTCATATACTTCCCACAGAGATTGCCGAGTTCACAGACCGATCCGTCGGAAACGTTTTTGTCAAATTTTGTGGTTGATGATTTCCACAGGAGCTGCTGACGGAGGCTCTGGCGGCGGAGTGGACGGCAGAGCAGGCGGCTGTGCTGGAGCGGACAGAGGGAGCCGAGAGTGTGGTCGACGCCGTGCAGCGAGTGGCCTCCAACTCTCCTCTGGTGCGCACAATCCAAGTACATCAAAAAAATGGAGTCTGTGGTCCGACTGTCAGGGAAAGTCCCCAACAAGCTCAAACGGGGTGGGAGCCTGATGCCGCCACATCACACTTGAGGTACTACTATGGGATAGTGTGAGCTGTATTTGTATGCAGCACTCATTCATTCCGAGGTTTTGAAGATTGCATCATGGTCACACAGGGAATCCCCCAGAGTATTTCTGCACTGCTCATGCCAGGCCTGCACGGAAGGACATGTCTGTTCTCTGAAAGGACATGGAAACAAGTATGCGCCTCAGCTTCAAATTGTCCTTACTATATCCCTGTGCATGCCAGCAGGAAGAAGATGCAGAAGAGGAGGAAGCCAAGGCGGCAGTCACCCCAGTCAAGAGCGAGCCAAAACTGGCCAGCTTCTCCTGGGCCTCCAAGCTGTCGGCGGCCTCATCCACTGCCAACTCAGCAGGGCAGCCCAACCTGTTGCAGTCCCTCACCGGCTCCCTGTCAGGTGAATGAATCCCCTTTCCTTGGCAGACTCACAGATGCATGCCGAGCGCGGTGCTGCAATGCACACCAGCTTTCTGACAATCAGTTGATGGGCTGTTTTTTCTGTCAAGCTGGTGTTCACTTGCGGTGTGATGTCTGACACGCATCTACGCAAATTTGGGGTGTCACTTCAAACTGGTATTGGCCGCTGCTCTGTTGAGGCTATCCAGTGCCAAAATATACATGTTGGGTTGCTAAAAAGGGAATGGTGCACTGTTATCGCAGGCTTTGGAGCTTCGCTGCCGTCCTACTACGACGCAGCCAAACAGATGACCAGCAGCAGTCTGTCGCCCCTGGGAGACCTGCTGGGCCTCTTCGAGTCCCCCAAGACCTCCCCAGAGCGCGCAGCAGCCCCCATCTCCCACACAGACAGCGCCTCTCTCGACCACACTTCCCCAGCACCCCGACAAACAGCTGAAGCACACGATCAGCCCAGCACAAGCGCCACTGCTGGTAACAGGGTTTCATTGTCCGGGGGGATTACAACGGGCGCTGAAGCGCAGCAGAGAGGGTTCCAGGGCACGGCGGAGGGAATGCCGCAGGGGAGTGATTCTCTACAGGGGCCGGGGGGGTCTGGTAGGGGGTCACTGGGTCTAGCTCCCAGCAGCTCCTGGGGACCCTTCCACGAGTCAGAGGACGCGGAGGCGGATCATGCGGCAGGCAGCAAGCATGCGCGGCCTGATCAGGCAACGAGCAGGTTTGCCGCTACCAGAACAGGCCGCAGAGAGACAGATCCAGATCAGGCGACCGGGAGTCCGGCCAGATCAGGCACTGACGGGGCGGAGCCTGATCAGGCAGCTAGCATGCCGCAGCCAGATCTGGCAGTGGCCAGATCGTGCGACGCAGCCGAGCTGCGCTGGGCCGCGCCGCGCCACGGCAGCGGCAGCCTGCCGACCTCGCCGTTTCAGCAGTCGCCCCGGCCCGGCCCCTTCGACGCGCTACTCCCTGCCAGCACTGGCGAGAATGCACTCTCCCCATCTCATGCAGGTGCAGAGAGTGTTGTGGGTGGGAGGCTGGGATCTGCTGATGGCAGCTCAGGCCACGCGGGCAGGCTAGAAGCAGGCGGCACGCATCGGCCGAGCCGCAGCGACGTGGACTCGCTGGGTTCCTGGGGATCCTTCAGGGCGCCAGATCAGGCGGAGGCATCCAGTCAGGCGGCGCCGAGCCTGCCCGGCCGACCGGCGCAGAACGACTTCCTCATACGGCTCTCATCCACACCCAGCGGACACCGCTCAAATAGTAGCGAGACAGACCATGCAGAAGCTGCCAGCGCAGGAATGGAAGAAGTGAGCGGGTCAGGGCAGGCCACAAACGAGGCGCAGCATCTGGGGCAGCTGGATGAGGACGGCTGCTGGAATGGGTGCATGCCGGGAGGCCCCGATCTCATAAGCACGGAGGGGTCGTCACAGGGGGATGCTATAGCCGCGGACCCATTCCAACATGTGGCTCTGACGGAGCCGCTGTCACATGCGCAGATGCAGCGGGGACATGGCGGTGTGGTGCAAAAAAAGGGTGTCAGTGACTGGGAGAACAGCCAATTATCTACCTTTAATGCTGAGTCCGGCAGCAGCAGAGACAGCCGACAGGTGCCAATGAAGAAGGCAAACAGTGCGCACGGGCAGTGAGTTGATGTTGGCGCCACAAGCGCTTGGGCAGTGAATCAAAAGTTGGCGCCACGATTTCTGTGTTTCGAAATCTGGCTGCATGACTTGTCGCATGAGGCTCAGTGAGGCAAGAGAAGATACAGGAACGAAAGTTGTGCCAAGGCAGTAATTGATGGACCTCGGCTCTGATGTAAGGGCATGGAAAGGCATGAGTGTTAGGTGGATTGATTGTCACATTAAAAGGCGTTGCCCAATTTTCTACAAGGACACAAGCAGTACACACTGAAGAACATTTGCTGAACTGTCCTAATAGCTGCAGACACTTTCTAAACACACTTCTTATGTGACTTGGACCTGATCATACACACAGCACACACTTTGCAGGTACTTGTAGGCTTCAATTCTCTACACACCCAAACTCCCTGTTTTGAGTATGAAAGATCTGCATGACTCTCAGGAGCAGCAGTGCTCGTCCTAGATATCACCTCAATTACCCTTTGAGAGCGAAACAAAAAGCTTCGAAAATCTAAATGGTTGTGGAACAGATTGGACAAACTCACAGCCCTCAGCAAGAGGACAAATATAATGGCACCAGGCCCACCATACTTAAAGCCATTGCAAAATAAATAATATGAGCCCTGCTCACAAAAACTCTATCTGTCCTGCGAGCACACATCATCCCGGCATACCATTAGGCAATTTTGCGTGCTCAAGTGGTGAGAATGTCCGGCAATGACACAGACGTGGCTCCGAACACGCGCGCAGCTGAATCTGGGAAGCACTCCGCTCCGGGCATCTCTTGGATGCTGCGTCACAGAAGCATGGCTTTCAACGACGAGAGTATTTCACTGAATAGGCTTCACAACACCGATGTGATTAAGTAGCCATGCGCCAATGCAGCCTTCCAGTCACAGGACCTCCAAAGCTTGACTCTGCCATACGGCCTTCTCATATGTGCTTGTAAGACAGCATGGCCGTTGGTTCCTCTATCAGCATCCACTGCACAGTTTGGGGGCTTGTGCTTATGCGCATAAAATTAGACTCCCCTGTAAAAATAGATTCCTCCGCACTGGTGCAGAGAGATGAGATTCTCACCTGCCGTCTGGGTTGACCTGGATGGGGTAGAGCAGCAGGTGGCCGTACAGGTCTGTGACCATGGGCGACACAAACGCGTCCCAGTTGGCCTTGCCTATGCCGTGCATCTCACGCGCGCACCTGAGCAAGCAGCAGGAGCAGTAATGACAACCTGAGACGGTGCACTTGTGTAGTGTGAATGTCACAGACAAGATGCTAGAGTGCGAACCCTGTGAAGTTTTCAAGCCGCTGGCCGGCATAGGGCAGTGCACATGCTAGGAAATTGGTAGATTGCATGGAGTACATGCAAGCCCCCATGCAGATTGGGCTGGGTCAGATTTTTTCCATGAGGGGAAGTTGGTTAACTGAACAGCTTTCGACGAACAGGTTGATATAAAAAGATGGAAGGTTGGCGCACGTGAGGCTGGAGGGGTCATAGAAGGAGTCAAAGATGCCGTTTGTGTGCTCCTTCCACAGCGCCAGCCGGAACCCATGCACCTGCATCGGTGGCAAAGTCCTCTGAAGGGCAGGGGAACATACTTTCAATTCAAGTGAAAGCGAGCAGCTCCCCCTACCATTCACGCTGCAAGCTCTAAAGCAGGAAGGGGAGATCAAAAACCTGGCCGCGGGGGGTTGCGCCGCCGGGAGGGGTGACGTGGCGCGGCTGCAGGGCTCCGACGGCGAGCTCGGTGTCGCGCGTGCCGTCCTGGGACCGCTGATTGATGTTGGCGCTGCCCACTATTATGTACTCATCATCCACAATCATCATCTTGGAGTGCACCTGAGGGCGGGAGCATTTTGAGTCTGTCAGCTGTTTACTTCGCACATTGCAGCAGAAATTGCTTATTCCAGAAAACAATCAGCAATGCAATGACGGCTGAGGTCTAGGAATTTGTCAGACAATAGTTACGGCTGCACTGCTGTTGCAAGGCGCATAAGTGGCAGCTGGGTGCAAGAAATGTCTAAGCTTTGCTGCCGCGGCGCGTCATGGGGCACACACATGCGGTATAGCAGTGCTCTGACTCTATGATCCTCCACTGGTGAAATGGAGTGTTTTGCACCATGCGCAAGTCAAAGACTAACGCGTATGTATGGAGGAACCCACATAGATGAGGAAGCGGCGTGCTGCCTGGGCACGAGCCAAGTAGGAGGTGGGTGGAGGTGTCATGTCAGGCACGGGGTCTGTTGGCAGCCTGCGTCACAGAAGGACCCAATCCCTCAATGCCATGCCTTGTCAGAGCAGAACATGACAACGATCTTCATCTCCGCCGTGTTGCCAAAGGTTGAGATGGAATCTGACCCCAAACTTATTGAAGAGCCTATGTTGGGCTGATATCATGTCACCGCTCTTCCAGTCAATTTGAAGTGCACATCCCCAACAACAATGAACAAATGAAGCATGTTCCTGCTCTGCATTACTGGAAATCCTCCAATCAGGCAAATCCACCACAAAGACAATAAAGATACGGATATTATCTGCTCTGGAATTGACAACGCAGTGCAACAGTGAATCATCTAGAGGTCCTCTGGTTACTAAATTTTTATTTTTTATTTGCCCAGAGGACTCAAACTTTTAAGGGATTGAAGGGGCAGAAACACGCACACAGCCTCGCGGTTGCCGAGGCAGAAGAAGTTGAGGTAATCGCGCGGGTGCTCGGCCGAGCCCTTCGCGCGCAGGGCCCCTCCAATGAGAGTATACATCATGCGCATTGTGTGCGTCTGGAAGCGCAAAATCTCCTGCACCGAGCCGCTCTCCGGGTCGCCTGATCAGGCGCACACAAGCTCTGATTGACATGCGGTGAGTCATTGTGCCACCCTGCCAAGGCGTGTATGGGTCGCCGCAACGGACGCACAGACCCCGCTCGTTGCAAATTGCCGGCTTTATTGCACAGATTGCAAAGATGCAAGGTGCAAGGCTTGTGCCACAGAAATGTGATTTCTTGGCAGCTTTGGTAAAGTGTCAGTATTGCATGCTATTCCTGCCAGAGGCAAGGTGCGTCAGCAGACAAGCTGCAGGTGAAGGCTGTCACATATCGGGTGTAACGCCTGATGGACTCGCCAAATCCATGCAAGACCCAATCAACCCTGGGCGCATGCATGCTGCAGGTCTAACGCTCACACAAATCAAAAAATGACCTGGCATGCAAGCAGGTGGCAGAATCGTTGCATGCCAGCAACCTAATACGGCAACATGCTGCAAGAAATTGCGCAGCAACAAAGGATTGCTGCTAGAATGTCAGCTCAAGTGCATACAATACAATGAGCCCACTGTTTGCAAATTCGGGAAGTGCAGGATCTCAGGACCTTTCCATGCCCATGAGACAGGTCATACGCGGCTCACCTTCAGAGTACATGGGCAGGACAATGTAGACAGCAAAGCGCTCCCCCGCGTTGATCTTGGACACGACTTTGAGGGCAATCTCGAGGGGGATGAGGTGGCGGCAGGGCGCGGATCTGTCGGCCGGCCACGCGTGCGAGCTGCCCAGGAAATACTGGTTCTCGATGTAGATGAACCGCTGGGCGCGCCGGATCGCTGTCACATAGGCCGAGTGGATGCTGGCGTCAATCACCTTGCCTGCTCAGGGATACAGCGCAAATTTCTCAGTATCGAGCTCTGCAACATGCTGTGTTCACCCTGAATTTGCGCGCAAGATTAAAAAACCATTCGCGACCTTGCTGTTGCTGGTCGGCATTGTTGCCAATTCAAACGGCCGGCAGATTGCTGGGATAGGTTGCATTGCAACATGCCTGCAAGCACGCCTGTCAAAGGAATACATAGCTTTTAGAGAAGCATCGCCGGACACATTATGTAGATTTACTGCAGGTACACCTTTGCTGCACATGCTCTAACACATGCTCTAGGAAGGCGGCTACTTGTGTGTGCAGGAGATCAAATCGTGGCCCCACCCTTGCCGCTGTCCAGGCCGAGCGCGGAGGCTTCACTGCCGGGGGGCATGCCGCCCGCCGAGTCAGAGTCGATGGAGCGGAACAGCTGCGCGCGCCATGCTTCCGGGTCTGCCGGGTCCACCACAAACGCGGCAGGGTCGCCGGGGCCACGCATTTGTGTTTCCGGCGCTATCAGGTTCGGCATCTGCGCGTTCCATGCAGACTGCTCAGCATCGTCACAATTAACATTACACGATGTTCCTGCGAGAGGCAAGGTGCAAGTAAAGGCTGTCACATACCCCACCTCTTGATAGATTTAAGCAAGATGCAATCAATCATGGGCACGGTACTCAGTAAATATAGCGCCCCCCGCCGGCCGGGGCCAAGCATTATTGCAACACTGTAAATCTGGAGATCAGCGAAGGCAGACAGCACAGGCTGAACTCTGTTCCTTAGAAGGCGTTGTCATCTCTACGCAGCCGGTTCTGGAGCCCAAAGACGCCGGAAGCTTTAGATTGTCTCACAAGCCTCCAAGCATCTTGAGGACAGAACAAGATGCATACGGATGAGAACACCATCTGCATTGTGGAGGACTGAATCACCAGAGGCTGCGCAAATACATCAGCAGCTGTCATCAAGCTCCGCAAAACTCTATAGTACTCTGATCCAGGTCTGCTGAGGGCCTTTCTCGTACAGCTGGAGGCGGTCTTCTCACCTCTGGCAGGGGCAGCAGCTTGTCCACTTTGTCGGACGCCTGCTTCAGCCAGCGCTGCACATGGTTCACTAGGACGTCAGTGGCCACCGGGCCCTGCAGCCTGCAGTGGATATCATGCCAGGGCTGCCTGGGACCTGCGACAAACACACACTGCCAGCTTAGGCTCAAGGATGACTCCACCTTCATATAATCGCCAATCTACATTCAATGCTGACTCAACCATGCTATTGCATAGTCATGCCCTCGCTCAATAGAAGTTTGAGCCCAATCCTTCCCTTGGTTTGATAAAGCAGGAATGTTTGGCAAGACAATCAGTGGCACATTACCACAGCACTCGCGCCCCTGCGGGGATATTTTTGACATCAGGGGTTCATTAAGGCACAAGCAGCGCACCTCCAAACTTGGGGTTTGCCTCAGGGCAGCAGGCCTGGTGGTAGTCCTCCGAGTGCACGGTGTTGAGGGTGTGGAAAAGGGTGTGCTGAGGAGTATCATACCGCCCATCGCACAGATCAAGCCCCCCCATGAAGGCCGTCATTTGGCGCACGTTGGGATCCCTGTCGTGAAAACACACAGTTGAAAGCTTGAAACAGGCATGAAATCATGCCTGTAACGCTGCCTAGAGAATCCTATGTAACATGACAATGTTAAAACGGAAATGATCATGCATGCCCGCACTGCATGCCACCTAAACTTGCATGATTATTAAAAGGCTCCTTAATATTGGAAGAAATCCGCAGCTTGGAAATTCTGCAAGCTGAAGGGATGCTCGCATTGAGCAGGGCAAAAGGCATTCCCCAAGGCATTAAAAGGCATCTATTAAGAAAGGCATCACGGTCTTTCAGAATGGTGTGCTTGCCTGGGGTCTGCTGCGTCCACGATGACAGACTTCTGGTGGTGCGTGAACATGTTGCCCTTGGTGATTTTCTGTGTCACGCTGTCCACTGTGCCTCCCTCTCTTGGCACCAGAGCACACTCGACCTTGCTGTCCGCGAAGAATAACCGGGTGTCCTGCATGCATGCATACATGCGCTTATGTAATCCAACTCCTAAACCCGGCTGGCAGGGGGCGGTACAAATACTGAGCACCGCGCCCACTGCCAATTGGGTCTTGCTAGGGTCTGGAGGGTCCATCAACGAGTTGAAATTGTGGCAGCCTAACTCTGCAAGTTTTCTGCAATGCACCTTGCCTCTGGAAGGAAAAGCATGCATTAAAAAAGCAATACTTCGAGTCATGGTGTTAAATGAATTTGAAGCAGACCACTGAAGAGCTGGACGTACTGCATTATGTAAGAGATGACATAATGCATGCAGATGATGGAGGAAATCATGAAGCCAACGGGTGTGGCTTGATGCGTATAGTCTTAAAGACTGCAAAATCAGAAACAAGGTGCATGTGCCAAGTGGAGCCGTCAACCGCATGCCATGTACTTTTCCTGTACGCCCACCTCGTCATGAGTGGCCATCATTCCATTGCGCAGCAGGGGGCTGTTCAGGGATGTCTGATCATCCCAGACAAGCAGCAGCACTCGCACGCCCTCTTCTGCCTTCTTAATTAGCAGCTCCCCTGCCCCGCAAATTCACAATTCTAAGTTTCAGTTCAAATTGCTAGATTCAGGGGTAAGAAGGCACAGCACATTGACGCAGGAAGATATCGGGAACACACATTGGGCCCAGAATGTTGCAGGCAGAGTTTAAATTTTGCAAACTTGTAGTGGTGGCACATGTTTGATTTGAGATGTTGCATGCTGAACTTGCATGCAGCAGAAAGACACTAGCATGCAGGCACCGAGGTCATCAAATCTTGATAGAGAGAAGTCTGCCAAATGCAACAGTGGGGCTGCTTCACTCACCAAGGGTGGGTATTTCGCTGGGAAGCATGGGCTTGGAGGGGTCCCGGATGAGCGTGATCTTGTCATAGACAGACCATCCGGCGATGTAGATGAGGTGCTGCGCGCTGCAGAGCGCCTCGTACAGATCTGTCCAGGCGCCACGCGGCTGGAAGCTGCCCCCATCTGACAGCTGTATGGGAGGAGTGTCCAGCTCCTGCTCACACATACACAGTTCCGGTTTCATAAGAGGCTGCTGGACCCAGAATACAGCTAGGACACAAGATCTCTTTCCCTATGAATACAGGAAGATGAAAAGCGTTTAAAGCAAGACTTATTGTTGTATTTGCCAGGACAGAGAAGGAGGCCTGGCTGCTGAAACATGCCGTGGAGAAGTGGGATAGGACTTGAGAATTCCTTGCAATTCTCAGGACCCTCACGCCTCAAACGACTACCAGTCACTTGCAGAAAAGACACATTCACAGAAAAAGGAAGCTAGTGTGGTGGTCATGACTTGCCTGGTGGGCGTCGTTGTAGAGTGTGAGCCGGCAGCCATCCCTAATGGGCAGGTATGTGAACGGGATGCCCCTGTTCATGGTCCCCGGCCTGAAGTCCTCATCTGCAAACACCGACCTGGGCCACAGACGATGACCATCTGCCAGTCAGACCCCATACATGCCACCTCGAGAGAGTCAAGAGCAGTTTGCACGCCCCCCAAAAGCTCACATGTACCGCCCTCCCTGCGCAATCCTTCTCGGCAGCTGAGCTGAGCAGGATTGGTGTTCTGAATTGGCAGTGTGACCCTCATTGGTGCACCAATGTCGGCCGCCCCTCTGTCCATATTTGAGCTCAGCTCTGTCCAGCTAGCTCCTCACACAGCATGATTGATTTGGCATGGACAACTTGAATTTCTGATGCAACAAAGTGCAGGACTGCTAAGGATCTCGAGCAGCACCTGAAGCTGACAGTGGCTCGCAGCGCGGCGCCATGCTTCAGGGAGTGCATGACGGTGTCCACCAGGGGGAACCACTCCTCAAACACCTGCCCCTTTACCAGCTCAGCCACTGCCACCCGCGTCAGGCCCATGGTCGGCGCCCCAATGCTGTCAGCATCCTTCAGCCTGCACAACAGAGACATGTTCAACTTCCACAGAGCTATATAAGACGTTTGCTGGATAATGCTGGTGTCAGCATCCTTCAACCTGCACATCAGACATGCATACAGCCTCCACAGAGCTCTATAGCCCATCTGCTGGATGTCAATGGTGTCAGTGTCCTCAAATCTGCAAAGGAGGAGGATAGTCCAGCTTACATAGAACCCTGCACAACATCGTGTGATACACAATGCACCACACCATTGATATATTTGAAAGCGTCCTTCAATGAGCAGCTGAAGACTGTGTCACAAGGTGCACTGTCATTCTGTTATAGCAAGCCTGGCACGTGAGATGGCAGGGACCGCATGCATTTCTGCTGGCAATTATGGTGCCTCAGGGAGCGCTATTCACAGCATAAGCAAGGTAGCAGGGTGCGCACGTGAGCCAGACATATTCCTCCTGGTCTGCTACGAATATGTCGAAGACCTCATTCCACACAGGGTTGAAGCTCTGTTCTTTGATGCTCGTTCGCGCTCTCCTGCTGTCACCTGCAGCGCAAGATCATGGTGATAAGCCATTCTAATTGGCGCAGCAAGCCGGCCCTGAGCATGTGCTCGCAAAGAACAGGATACACTGTCTCAACGGCATACGCCCTATGCATGTTTGGAGCATTAAGAAAATTATGGAAGGGCAATATCAATTGGCTGACCTACTGAGATGACGACATATGGATTGGATGCTCGCTCTCCCAACATGCACTTCTCTGTTGCGCCGATGAGCTTGTCCAGAGGCTTCAGCTTGTGCCGTGCCTGTGCAGCAATCTTGCCCTGTCACTTTCAAGTTCTTATTCTTTCGTTGTACTTATCAAATGCCAAAGAATCCATCCGAAGATGTCCTAGGTTTGACTAAAGGCAAAGCAGTATAAACGGATCGTTTTGCTGACTGGAGAAAGACGGTAACCTTGTCAGGCAGGCGAACGACGCGATCACGAGGCAGGTTTTTTGCTTCATGAATGACAACATGGAGCATCCCATGCAGCCAAACCATACTTTCTTAAGTCTACAAGATGTCCTCAATGCTGCAGGATATCTTCTCTGCGGCTGATCGTGCAGTGTGTTGTAATGTCCTAATTGTAGTAAATATGCCACAAATTCCAGTCGATCCCCTGCTTTTACTTTTTTATGGTTGCTGCGTGAACTGCAAGAGGCATGCCGCACATCGTTGCTACCTCACCGGTGTTGGGCATTCGTAAACTGGTATTTTCTTGGCATGCAGCAAGCTAATTTCCCAGATTCTACAAAATAAGGTACTTGAACCGTCGATTAAGCAGAGCAGTGCCAATTGGGATGGTGGCTAGATTCGCACCTTCCACGTAATTACCAACAGCTTCGCTGTGACTTCTCTCATGAAGGAATGCATGGACTTTATGGTCTGACCTTCAGACAAGCAAAACAGCTCTGAGTGAACGACGATGGGATCAATGCGTAGATCCAAACAATTTCCATCGCTGCCGGCGTTGCCACCGGTGCACACAAGTTGTGTCACATGCGTGCATGCACGTGACATTAGAATCCTTTTTGGGAAGCATCCAACTCCTCCAGATACCACAGTAATACTCGTAGTAGCCAGCTGGTAGATGGACTGCTGCTGTGATGCCAGCAGTATATCACAGCAGCTTAGTCTCTTACTTTACACGGCTGCCCCAGAAATCTGGCGAGAAGCACCTGATCTACAGGGATCAGGTCAGGTCACTTTATTCATTGAAAGTGCTGCTGGGCAAATATTAGGTGCGCGCAAAGGGACCAGGCCCCAGGGAAGCCATGCTCACTACGATGCACCAAGGACAGCTGCGCAATACCTGACTGACACACTCAGCCCCATCACTTCACCATGGCGCCACAGTTGTGTTCCAGAACTTGTTCGCTGCTCTTACGCATGATGGTGGCAACAAGTTCCCAACGCTGGTGTGCTATATGTGCTATTCAAACAACGAGTCCGATAGGTGCTCAAACGGTTCTACATTTGCCTAGAACGCCTCTAAAGCCTGACTGACTGAGGGCTTCAGATGTCCTTGTCGCTGCTTCAGATGTCCTCATCACTGTTCCACTCAGGGCCGTCATCTTCCTCATAGGCCTCAAATTGGCTCAGGTCCACAGAGTACCGCAGCAGTCCCCCGATGCCACCAAAGCCTCTGCAGAATTGACTGCCCTCCTGCGCAATGCAGCGATAACATGAAAACAAGGATGAGCAGCTTCTTTGTTCTAGTAGAAGATTCTGCATTCTCTTCCTCCCATCAGCATGCCAAAACACCCAGCAGACGGCACAGAAGGGTCCAGTGTCTCCTCGCAGATGACTACTCATCTCCAGGGTCTTCTTTGCACAGTATCATTCTGGCTTTTGCCCTGCCAAACACTGATTAAGGGAATCTGCAAGCATCAAAAGGGGCGCCCCAGCCCACCTGCGACTTGTTGGTGACAAACTCGAGCTGGCAGCCGAACTTCTTGTAGCTGTTCGCCAGCCACTCGAGCAGGGGCATTTTCTCGATGACCTCCAGCTCTGCACCCGTCTCCTTGTCCTTGTAGTGGGCCTCGTTGGCCTCCTGCTCCTTGCTGAGCGTCACAATGTTCTCGTCACCCGTCACCGTGTTCCTCAATGTGATGCGATTCACCTGCACAGAAGGTCCGAGTCCAGTCAAGCGCATAGGTGACATTTTGGTCTCTGTTGAACTGACCTCAACCCATTTCAGCACAACCAACACAGGCAAGCCAGGCCCCCCATGTTGCAGGCCAAGCCAAGCAGCGCCCAAGCATAGAGCTTCCATGCAATGTGCCCTACAGTAAGCAGCACTTGTTTGAACCCACTTGTTGAAAATGTGATGGACGTTAAATTACTTTGTCCCGCAAGTGCATGACTGACAAAGAGCAGTTCATGAGAGATGCCTACATCCAAGTTCTCCCATACAATGAGTGTCTCCACTGCGCCCATGTCCAGGCACTGCAGGGTGTCCGCCACACCAAAAACAAACTTGCCTGTATCCTGACTGATTTCGTCAAAGAACCTACGCGAGCAGTCAAGCACCAATTCAGCACACATCCCATCTCCATGCTCGTAATGCAGCAAGTGGCCAGATACTGCCTGGATGACTTTCACGAGGAATCAGAAGAACACATAGCGTTTTCTCAATGTCGACAGGAAGCTAGAGTGGATGGCGGTGCGTACTTTGAGATGAGCCTCTTCTCCTGGACGAATTTGACATTCGCCAGGGTGTCTGCACTGAGCTCGATCGCCTGATTGAACCCGTTCTCTCCACCTGCACGCAAATTCGTCCCTCAAATCATGCAGCTGAGCACACGTGAAGGTCCTCTACTAGGATGTTCGAACAGGGATAGCAGATGAATGATTGAGCCAGAGCAGCAGCTGCAGGCTTGAAATCGAGATCGCTGGACAAGTCCCTTCTACAGCAAGCTAACTGCTTGAGATAATCTCTGATGGCCAGGCTGGATTGCGCACCATAGGAGACATCAACAACAGCAAGCACAGCTGCTTTGAGCCGCTGGTCGAACATGTCGGAGTCACTGAGCTCTGTCTTGAACTCTGCAGACCCCGCCAGCACCAGCCCCGCCACATTCGGCCTGTCCCCTGAGATGAAGAACTGCACCGCCGTCTCCGCCACCTGTCACCGCAGACACTATTAAGTATCGCAACCCATGCAAGCCTGAACGCTCCAAGAACATGTGCCAAAAGTTGCCCGCTGGGGAATGCTTGTGCTCCTTCATTGCATTGCGAATTTGCAGCTTATCCAGCAGATATAAAATTGCTTTCCTGCTTTGTAAAGCCAGATTCTGCATGAGAAGTCTCACAACACAGTTGGTATATCAAGCAGTCTATTGCTCCTGGTCTGCCCCGGTCGTTTCCCAGAAAGATCACTCAAATCTGCTCCACAGCAACACCAATACGCACATGCGCTGAGAAGAGGGAGTAGTGCGCACCTTTCGCACGTAGTTGTGGCGCTTTTCCAGCCGCAGACGCGCGAAACGCAGCGCGGACTGCCCACCGCGCCCGTGCTTCTTGGGCAGGTCCACCGTGAACTTGTGCATCACCTCCCGCGTGTTGCCGCTTAGCGTTCCAAACAGCGACCCGTTCCCGTCCATCACAATGAACCCGTACCTGCGGGTAAGCACAAATCACTGCACCTTTAGACGAAATCTTCTTGTCTCCATGTTGGGGGGATGGTTCCATATGCATTGGTGGTGCTACCAGCACAGCAACATGGACCCTTTCCATAGACACAACTCAAAGGTACACACACTGCCTTCTGCAATCTGCAAGTGCACTGTGGGTCCCAGGCATGAGTGCAAATATTGTCTTGAAGCATGTCAGGGGCGGCTACGCACTTGCTGTCAGACTCGAGCAGCTCGTTGAGGGCCTCTGTGTGGAATTTGTTGTCGCACAGGTACAGGGATGTGTTGATGGGCTTGAAGGGCTCAAAGTCGATATTGAGCTTCTTCTCCTTGCCATCGTCTGTCACCACAGTACCAGTGTACACCACCAGCCCATTGGGAGGTACCTGCACGGCAAACACCAGTGGAATATTGCCACGCAACAAATTGGCCATCTTTCACTAGATTATGATAATATTCCTCTCCTAAATAAGAGAGTTCATTGATCTACGACATGTGATACTCATCCAGTGTTTGGAGTGACAGAGCCACTAGCCACCATCCCTACTCAAGACTTATCAGAAATCCTTCCTCTTGGCTATCCCGCAGGCATGCATGGGCATTCACCTTGTTGTAGAGCTTTAATCTCTGCTGTGCTGATGTGATGGCTCCCAGCACGGATTGTCGATTGACCCTGTTCTTAATATTGGACGCTGTGCCAAACTCGTCTCCAAGCATTTTCTGAGCCCGAGAGACCTGTCGATGCACAGCCAAGCATCGAATTAGTGTTAAATGAATTACCATTAAACCAAATTGATGATATGCATGAGTGAAGAACCACTCAGCACAGCAATTCCGTGGACGCAGTCACAGCTCCTTGCCTGATCCTTTGGAGGCATGATCAAACTGATCATGGACGTTCCGTTGCCTCTGGCCGCTTCCAAAGCTTTGATAAGCTGCATGGCACCAAATGAGGCTTAGTAAGAGGTGTACAGGCAGCACATCGGCTCTACAAGAAATAGCAGAAGCTAGCACCCACGTACCCGCTTGACCTTCCATATTTCTACTTGCTTCTCGCCTTCATCCCCCATCGTGCAGCTCCCTGCTCATATGCTGCCTGAGGCACAGTTACTTGAGGCGCTGTGAAACTGACAGAGGTGTGCTCAGCAGCTGCTTTCTTGCATGGTGCCAACCTGGCACAGGGGTTTACAGTCATAATTATAACCGGGAAATTTCCAAGGGGTTTGCATGGGACCCTGCAGATCCAAAATGCATGCTGATTCAATCCTGGCTCCCCCAGTCAAATTCTCGTCAGGTCAGAAGGTGACCTGCTGCCTCTTGGATTGGTTGGTGTCTCAGGTGGGACAGTATGTCGTAAGGGTTCTCACCAGTGTTGTCCATCGCCTCGTCTAGATATACTTTGCACTTTGTTGGAGCGTGCTGATGCGGATTGCAATGCCCCAAGTATGCTTTTAGATGTAACATAGATATGGGATGAGGAGATGGGACTTGCTGGCCTCTGCAATCTTTGCATCCAGCCGATCACATCGACAGTCTTTTCGATCTGACCTTGGACTGCTGAGAGGCTCGTGCAATATCGTCCTCTTTAGCTCGCAGACAGAGAATGCCCAAAGGCCTCAGCTGAAAGTGCAGCTCAGGGAGCTATACAAGCGAGTGCATCCAGATCTTTTTCACGACATCCCTTTAGCTCGGCAGGCCAACGAGCACTCCTTCAAGCTGCTACAAGTAAGTGTGGAAGCATCTTATGAGAGTCCGGTATAGAAGCTGGAATCAGCATCATGCCAAAACTACTAAATTTTGAAGGTCACTAGGAAAAGGGCCAGAATGACAAGTCTGCTCATGCACTGCTTGCCCAGGAATACCTAGACTCTGCCAAGAAGGGAGGCGAAGTGGGTAGAACAGCTGGAGTCCCTTTCAAGTTCCTGTTCTATCTGCACAAGGAGCAGGTGGATGGCGCCAGTGAGGCGGCAGATGAAGGTCTGCCACATCCATGCAAAATTTCACTCCCACACTGTTGATAGCATGTACGCAGGGCCATGCTCTAAAAGTAGTGAAATGCAAGTTGCCGGCTGAATTTTGCATTCAGTAAGAGTGTCAGTCTGGAATGTCATGGGCGCCAGACCCAGTCTAGAACATCAGTGGCTGTGAAGAGGGCTGTGCTGCACTTCTTCAGCAAGGTCCAGGTCCAGGCAATTAGAGGAAATCGTATGCTGACATTAAAGCAGAGCGAGCGCACAATATAAGGAGGAAGGGCTGCCTCGCAGTGTAAGTGGGACAGGGTCAACATACAAGACACCTCCGGCCCAGGAGCACACTAGATCACATTGCATACATACAGTCAAGGGTGGCTAGGTGAGGGATAGGGCACACCTAGAAACAAGCAAAACAGGAGGCAATTGCGAAATCCCCCATGCAACAGAAAGAAGACAGAATTTATGCGCAGGGGACTTGAAGCGGGTGGACTTGGTGCTGCCGCCGCCTGCGCGCCTGGATGCCAGAGCAGCAGAGGGAACGCTGCCACGCGCAACTCAGCGCGCTCTCGGCAGGCTACTGGAAGCATGCGGTCTCGACGCAGACTTTGCGGGTGCGGCCCTGTCAACACAAAGCAGCTGTGTGGGATAAATCACCTGTTGAGTAGCTAGAAATGCCAATATAGGCCTGAGATTGTTTAGTGACTGTGAAGTATGTTTTCATTCGTCATTGGACTTACACTGAAAGCGGTGCAAAATGATCATCTCCCACGAGTTCTAGAGAGGCCAAGCTCACTCATTGATCTGCATGAGTAACAATTACATGTGCGAAGCAAGCACAAATCTTTGTACCAACAATGATCACAATTCCTTCATAAAAGCTATAGTCACCTGCGCGCCAGGTGGCGCCGATGAGGGGGCGGCGGCTCGCCTGCGCGAATTCATTCCGGCTGCCGCTGAATTGGCGCGGCAGCGGCAGTTTTCGCAGCGCGGCCCCCGGCACGAGATCTCCGCCCTCCGCACTGCGCTGCGCCTTGGCCGCCAGGTACTGAACGATCCTAAGTTCCAATTCTCATTAACATGCTTTTAAAGTCCCGTACCTCTGTGAACTAGTATTGTTGGCCCGCAATTTGCCGGGCCAATCTACGCCAATTGCATTCTAGATGTGAGCAAGAGCTAGGAACGCGGCATGGTTGTCGCAATCTGCAGGGTGCAATCAAGGGGATCCAATCAGCTGCTGTGAGCACAGAAACTCAGCAAAAAGCTCCCTGACATGATCATTGTCACACCGGCATTGCATGTCAAAGTCCATTCGTGTGGCTTTGTGGACAGGTGACGGTTGGGTTTGCAGCAACCGTGCTGGGTCAGGGGCCAGGGGCTCAGGCGGAGCAGCTGCGCAAGCTGGCGGCAGCACTGGATCGCATTAGTCATGTTGAGCTGGCAGGCGTGCATGTGATGCTTGGCCGGGATTATGGGGTGGACCCACTGGGCCGCCTCTGGCTGGATGTCGATGACACAGCGCTCTTCTGGTCCGGGTGAGCAAAAATCTCCATGCCAATTGCCTCACTGGTATTGTGGGTGTAATTCGAAAAATTGCAGCTGCCATCCCAACAGAAGCAATCTCTTGTACCCTCCTGCTCAAACAGCTGGAAGGGTGCCGAGCATGCAACTATTACATAATATCTGTCCCTGGCCCAGGTATCTGATGGCGCTGGATGTGTCGGAGTGCCACGAGCGGCAGGAGGCGGCTGCGCGCGTCCGGCGGCTGGAGGCGTCCGTGGCTGCGCTGCTGGGCCTATCCATGGTGTACTGCGTACCCAGCCTCCGCATGAAGCCAGACTTTCTAAGGTAACATTCTCACTGCTTTCTCATTACTGCCTGCTCATGATCATTGCAGGAAGTGACCATACTCCTGCCACAGCTACGCCAATGTTACATGCGCAGGTTAATGCAGGTCAGCCAATTGCATGGTCTGCTTTCTCTGCAAGTTGTCTTTGCAACTGCAGCTGCCCTATGGCGCTTTGCATGCTGTGTCGCCGTTTTGCTTCTCCTCCAGCGCTGCAGGCTTGTTGCATGGCAGTTGACTGCTTGGCAGTCGACCGAAGTCAAGAGCAATGCATTGAATATGTGATCTCTGATCTGCATAGATTTCTGGAGCGCATGGCAGCGGCCGGGTCTGAGCGCGGCCCGATCGGCGGCGGCCGCAAGTTTGGCGGCGTTCCCCTCTGCGTCACAGAGGAGCCGGTGAGCGATCCTGAATCCCCCCACATCAGCGCTCAAAAGGCTCCTGGCAGACATGTGGATGTTATCAGCATTATCATCACAGCAAATTTCCAGGCGATAAGGACTGGGTCGAGCAACACCTGAAATATTGCTCTCCAGTATTCTTTGCTTCTTGTACATCCTCACCAGTCTATCCAAATATGCGATACCAAGGTCAAAGTAGTCACTGACCATAGAAACACTGGGACCAGGTGTCAGCCCCTTGTGTGAGGCTGTTATTTTTGCTGAGACCGAAACCCGTAAGAGTAACGTGGATGCACTGTTCTTGGCAGAGTGCTGGCGAGGCGGTGCCGAGCGCTCAGGATGCATTCAGCGTGGACACCAGCATGGGCTTCCTCTCCGCGCCTGTGGCAGCCTCGGCCGATCAGGTCTATGACTTTGTCAAGGTGCGCAGCAATCTTACATATTGCAGCTGGTATTACCTACACATAAAGGCTCCCACAATCCTACCCCTTGTTGGATTCGCCAGCTCCAAGCACGACCCAATCAATTGTGGGCATGGTGCTCAGTATTTATACCGCCCCCTGCCAGCCGGGGCCAGTATCGGATACCGAGGGGTATATATCCGGTACAGGGAGTGCATGAGGGTTTGGTACATGAGATTCAATGAGATGTGATACGACACCAGGCTGCAGACTTTTGTATATCCCGCAGACGTGGCTGCAGACGCCCTGTGTGCATGCCCTATGACCTTTGGCTTTGGGTTCGCCGACCTGTACAATAATAGTAATGATGGGCAGGTATGACTCTAGCAGTTTTGGCTCCCTGTGCAGGCGTCAGGCAGGGAGGTAGCAGAGGTGCTGAGCAGGAGGAAGGGGCAGCACCAGAGGGCGGAGGACCTGCGCAGAGCTGTAGAGAGGCGGCTGCGCCTGAGGAGGCTCTCTCACGACCCAGCAGTCTCCCACGACAGGTGCACACCAGGATTTCGCCATGTGATACCCAAAGTTGTCTGTAGTGTCCGAACATGCGCGCTCACACGCGATCAGGAGAGAGGGAGACCTCTGTTCGATGTCTCCAAAGTGTGCTTTGGTGTCTGCATTCCTCTTTACAAAAGCCTTGCAGTCTTCAGTGGAGGAGGTATATAGTTTACACAAGATAACCAAAGCAGTGCCCATGATCTGTCGGCCCGTCGGCGGCACGGAGGAGCATTGCATGCATGTGTGAAGAGCACACACTGTGATGTTCATGTGACATGCATGCCAGGTTCTGCGCTGCGTGCGCGCGGCTGCTGCAGAATGCGGATGTGCTGCTGCAGCTGATGGATGGGCTGGAGGTCAGGGTGTCTGAGGTGAACTTGGTAGCTCCAGACGGCGCACACATTGACATTGCCTGGGATTTTGAGATATAAATAACTGATGGTTCTGAGAAGCTGCTTAATGGGCTTTCTGTCGATTTGAAATTTGAGGAGGGACATGGCAGGGCAGGCCACCAAAATGGTAAATTTGAAAAGGTGGTTGCAGCCTGCAACTTGCAGGTGTTTCTCATGCCTTTTACACACACATTTTCCCTCATCTGCAAGCTAGCTGACTTTGAAGACCTGACTAAAGTATTCAGCTTAAGCTTCCAAGGACCAATACTGGCCATGGTGAGAGGAATGCACACATGTGTACAGTGTTCTTGCATCTCTCTTCTCTTGATGTTGAACACTGCAAAATTTGAACCAGCAGGCAACGATCGTGCACTTTGCATGCATTTGAGATTGCTCCACGACAAAAGAAGGGGCAAGAGGAGCTCGATCATTACGGATGGCCTGATCATAACTACATAGTCACATCGTCGCGCTTGAACAGGTACAGATAGCCCAGGTCCTTGGGGGGCTTGGCGCTGACTGCCACCTTCTCATCGTTGTAAATCACCCAGCGCCCCTCCTTCCTGCACATAAGAACCCAGCAATGCAGAAACTCTCAGCCAATCAAGCCAAACACCATGGTTGCTTTGTGTTGCTCGGTCATTGGGCAGTCACAGCATGCCAACTTGGCGCATGCTGCTCAAGAAATGCTTCAGTCCTTCTTTAGTTCTTTGTTCCATATAAATCGAGAATTTGGTACATCAGCTGCTCCAGTGCATGCATGATTAAGAAGGGCGTGTGATTTTAAGCAGCAATGAGCAGGAAATTTAGTTCTTCGCCCAAATGTGTGAGTCGGCACCTGATGTGGCAGACGTAGTGGCCGCAGGCAGTGTTGCTACCCATGTGGCTGATGAAGCCTACCAGCGTGTACTTGCCAGGACCATCATCCAACCCCGCACCGAGCTCACCTGCGCCCAGTGACAGGAAATGTGAGGGCATATGCTTCTCGTGCTTGTGACACAGGATACGCCCTCCCGGCAGTCAGAGCTGTGGGATGACAGTTGCACGCATGCAGCAGAATCTGCGAGCACCTCTGCTCGTGATGTTTCAGCCCATTGAAATTGTTCCACGGCCAAGCAAAGCTGCAGCACCCCTGTTGGGGCACTTGCACCTGTTTCACATTGCTGGCAACACGCACAACAGCCGCACACCCAATCAGAACTGCCTCTGGAAGAAAACTTGGCTGTTTTATAGGCGGAGAGGGTTTCAAACACTGACCAGGAGTGGTGGCAGCCGCAGCGGCTGCGGGGGCGGCGGCTGGGTTGAGGACAGCTGCCACGTCAGCGTCCAGGGTGTCGCCGCGGCTGAAGAGCCAGTCTGCTGCGCGCTCCAGGCTGCCGTCACACGCCCTCAGCGCGGCCTCAGCCTGTTGTCAGAAAATTAAATCTCTCTTTAAAGCCAGTCGCCTCAACCCATTTTGAACAAAGAACATCCCCCTTCGATGCCGGACGCCTCAGCTTACTGTAAACAAGAAAAATCTCTCTCCAATGCCAATCTCTGGCACCCCTGTCCCAGCCATGAAGTTGCAATGTAGGGCAAGGATCCATGCATTCACGAAAAGTGCATAGCTGCCATGCTCGTTTGCTTGTCTGCAAGATGGCGTGATAGGCGGCAAAACAATTGCCGATCCTACAATGTAGCCCACTCAGATATGATGGTGAAATGAGCAAGTCTCTTGCGGCCCAGTCCTGCAGAGGCGTGCAAAATGTTGCACAAGATGGGCGCACAAGCACATTCGTAAAATTTTCTGTCGTGCAGACTGCAGGGGGACCAGGCACTTATAAACACCTCCTGCGCCCTGCAGGCTGGAGGGGAAATGGGTACAGTTATGGGCACATCCCTTAAGTGCAAGGAACCACGCCAGTGCTGGGCCAATTCAAGGGGGACAAGATTTACTGGCAAAAGTCTGGCGCCGCATGACCTCAAGGGGGACGCTAGGGCTTACCTGCTCGCTGGTGAAGCCCATCCCTGTGAGCATGGCCAGGGAGTCGGGGTCTGCAGCCTTGGCACTGGCGGGGGCAGCTGCTGCATCGGCCGCAGCTGCCGGCGCCGGCAGGGGATCGTTGAAGTCGGCATCCTCCATGTGCGCCAGCACCCACTCCATCGACGCCTCCGTGCCGGCATTCTGGATGCATGCACAACAGTAATATTGCAAGAGCTGAATTGGACTTAGAACTGCCTTTTGTGCACCATATGCTCCACAATGGTCATCACGCAAGAGTTGCAAAGCGACACGCTTGGTGAGTCACGATGTAAGGCACTGTCAAGAGATACGCCCCTTAGATAGGATGACCCATAGCCCAGCCGATCAATGACAATCCCTCTCGGGTATGAAGGATCGTCAAAGTCTGCGGCTAAACATATAAGAGGTGTGAGGACTCTTCCCAGCTAAGAAATAACATTAGAGGTCACCTGTGTGGCCACTGCTGCGCGCTTGCTGCCATTCTCGCTGAAGCCCATGCTGGTGAGCGCCGCCACAATCTCTGGGTCCGGCTGCAGCGCAGCCGGTGCAGCCGCTGCGGCGGGTGCATTGCTGGCCGGCTCCGGTGCATCCTGCAGTGCCCGCAAGAGGTAATTTTAGGTCAAGCAAGACTTCTCGTTTCTTGATCCCTTTGGGTGTGATGAGCTGGAAGGTAGCCCTGCAGCTGCGGGGAGCGCTGATAACCAGTACTTGTTGAAGGGTTCCCTTGCTTGCATACGCGATAAGCCTGGCAGCGCAACAAGCGTAACAGATGCATGATGATGCGTGCATGCATGCACAAGGCAAAATCTTGCTGAGCACGCCATAACAGACGCCTAGGAGTGCTATTACGGCGCTGCTGACAGCGAAGCAATGGGCCCTCACCTCGGGCTGCAGCTCTTCTCCCGGCTGGGCCCCACTGCCGCGCAGGTGTTCCAGGTTGAGGCTGTCTGGCACATCCACCAGCACCTCCAGCTTCTTGGCCGTCCAGTCCTTGCTCACATAGTACCTGCGCATCCATGAATAGAACATGTGATGTCAGTGCATACATGCTATGTCAAGTAGTACCCGTGCCTCTGGCGATAAGCTTATCATTTCAAGCTTAAATAATAGGGTACCACCCAAAGGCTTCTCAGGGGCGATTAATATGATGCACTTGAGCCTGAGAGCTCACTGCCAGGGCATCAATGCCTCTTTTTAAATGTCAGAGAGCCAGCCTTTGATGTCTGAACAACTAATCAGCATTGCCTCTTGGGTACTGAATGGGAAGCGCTTGTCAGTACGGTTATAAGATGTAGATGAGCGCACCGCTTGAGTTGGACCATGAGGAAGGGAGGGAACGTTGCGAAACGGGTACGCTTCAGTCCGCGCGTGCGGCGGCCAAGGGCGGTGCTGAAATAGTCATCCATCTCCTCCGTGCCTCCCCAGCGCTCTATGCAGGACGCAAATGGCACCCGCGGCAGAATGGGCTCATCCTGAGATTCAGGCACAGCGGCATGTTGGACGCATTTGACACTCAAATAATTAAACGGCCACAGATCCATGGCCTACACATAAACTAGAAACAGGGATAAAAAACCTCAATCAACTAGAGGCACAATATCATCTGTACTGCACCTGGTCCTATCTTTATAGCTTTACAAAACTTTTTCAGGTTGTCTGCAACTTTTTTCCTGACCCCACATGGCATCCGAAGTAGTACTCTTTAAGCAATTCTAGCAGATTCATACCTTTGCATCCTTTGACAGGTCGGTGACGACGGGCGCAGTCTCCTCCCCGCCGTCCGGCAGAGTGCCGGCCTGGATGTACGCCGTCGCATCCTCCTCCTTCAGCTTGGCGCGCTTGGCTGTGCGCTCCTGCGCAGCAACACAGCCCTCACAACGGGCCCTTGCAAAACCCACTTCCCTTGAAGCAGCCACCAAATGGCATGAACTACTTTGGTGTGCAGAACTCCAACTTTTTTGCGGCAGTCATCAAATGGCCTGAACGACTTGGGCCTGCCTTCTTCAGGACATCAATAACCTTATGGAACCCCCAAACAGAACGCATGACTGGAGAGATTCTCTGTCTGTGGGGAGACTCTAAACAAGGTGGATGCTGAGAGTCACCTTGTACTCTTCCAGCTCCTGCTTGTTGATGGCGGCCTGGGGGTCAATGTCGAGCGCGAGCACGTTCTGGGGCGTGCGGCGGTAGGACACCCGGCCGCTCTCGCTGCACTGCACGCGGTCCTCCACCTGGAACCCGAACGCGGTTGCCGTCGGCTGCGGCGCCGCCGGCCCCAGCCGCTGCCCGGTCGAGCGCTCGGCGCGGCTCAGCACCTCCAGCAGGTGCTGGAAGTACTCCACTGCGTCCTGCGCAGGGCCCCATCTGTTCTCATGCAATCGATAAGCATATGCAAGGGTTGATGTTCAAGTTTTGCCCGTCCAGCAGGTGCAGGTGCAGGTGCAGGTGCAGGTGCAGGTGCAGGTGCAGGTGCAGGTGCAGGTGCAGGAAGTACTCCCACAGTGTTCTGCCCATATGGCTTCCTGGTTGTCTCCCCAAAGTCATTGAAACGCATGGTTGCAAAGGTGGTGCTGTCTTGGGACAATGCCAGGACATGGTTAAATTATCGAGGGACTTTGCTAGCCCTCAATGCGGGCTAATTGTTCATGTCAAAATGCCTTTTGCCAACCAGCGCAAGTAGGTAGGTAATAGGGAAGGAGCAGCTTCTTTATGGCAATGGGCACGCTAAGGGAACATGCCGTGTCACATCCTGGAGGATTTTGACGAGGAACTAGGAGGCACAGCATATACGAACCTCCTGGAAACTCGCACGGGTCCTCAAGGGTGTCACAAGGCAGCCATCAGGAGCATGCATGCAACAGGACCAAGCTTGTTGCAATCAAACATGGAAATGTTTCCTGCAGTGCAGCACCTGTTGGCGATTGGACTGGAACTCTGCGTTCCCCCGGCCGATGAGGGTCTTAAAGGCCTGCGGGCGCACGGCGTTGGAGTCTTCGCGAGGCACGGCCGGCGGTGCAGGCGCGCCCCCATTGCTCTGTACGTCCATGGGCGCTGCCGCAGAAACGCCGGTGCGGCCCTCGGTCAGCGCCACACCAACCTTGGCCATCTGCTCAGCCAGGTGCATGACTATCAGCTGGTGCACATGGACAAAGGGGTTAAGCTCTTTTTTCTGGCAGAGATAGCCAATAGATCTGGGAGACACTGTGAACCGAATGAGTGCAAGCAAACAGAAATGTATAGCAGCTTGTCTATACCTGTGCACCGATAATATAATGCAGGTCTCTGCCCCTGAGCAATGAGCACTGAATGGCTTGGCCAGTAAGGATCAGTATTGTGGCACTACTGCAGCCATGCTTGACGCCCAAATGGCAGAATCGGACATTCACCTGTGTTGGAACATCGGTGGTAGGGTCGGCAGGGGCCGACTGGAAGATGGCCTCTGCTTGGGCCGCATAGCGCTGCTGGACTGATGGCAGCGTCCAGAGCACCTGCAGCACGCTGTTCATGTAGCAGCTGTTGCCCAGGTTTTTCAGGCCCACATACCTGCGCAGGCATAGCAGAATTCACTCGCATTTGCATCTTTGAACCCGAACGACGACGGCATGCAGGGTGTCCAAGGCATGATACTGTCTCCTCTCGTTTTGGGCAGACAAAAATATGTGCATGATATTTCAAACTGCTGCATACTGCATGCAGCCGTGGGTTTGATTGGCATTGCCAAGTGCCACACATGGCTGCATGAAGTAAGCGGCATCGTACATCTCATGTGCAAGTGTGATTTGAGGGATAGCATGCAGGTAAGACCAATAAAATTCAGAGTCGCACCCGGGTCCGCTCAGGGGTTCCAATGCGGTGCCGGACTCGGTGATCTTGTCGAACTCAAAGGACATGTTCAGGTCGATCTGCAGCTCGGCCATTGTCTTCTCTGTCTTCTGCATGGACATCATGTTGATGCCCCAATGCTCCAGGTGCTGAACCTGCACATGCACCAGCTGGTTTTAGGAGGCAACTCGCTGGTGGCCACAAAGCCTTCATGAGAAGCATGCAAGCAGAAACAATGCGTGTGATGATGGGACAGCTGTATCCCAATCCATTCATCAATTGCAGAAACACCAAATCTTCAACAAGTCTTGCCGGAAGATATCATGACAACAACTGAAAATCAGTGGCAGTCCTGCAATTGGTGAAGCCACTACATGCATGCTGTTGGGTGCTGCACAGTCCGTACTTTTTCTGCACCATACATGGTTGAGCATGCGGTCAAGCTTGATACACAAATGCCTCACAATTCTTCAGCAGGTCTTACCAGGTAGGGGTCCTGGACCATGTCGTTCTCATCGCTGGCATAGGAGTACACATCTGCTCCGTGGGGGGTAATGGTGCCTAATTTGACCACCAGCGGGTACTTGCAGCCTGTGGCCTCAAAGTGCCTCATCGCTGCGCCATTGCCGCCAGAATTGTCCCAGTTCTGCAGAGGGGCGGTATTGGGAGTCAGTCATCGCAGAAATTCACGTGATACACAAGAAGAATAAATCAACTGTGCCATGAAGAGAAGCGTGATTCTGTGCTCCTGTATGCAAAATCTCTGCATGTAAAATAGAGGCTGCTGCACATATACAACACGTTAAAACTTTACAGCATGGACTTGCACAAAGATCTGCATTGCACAGAGATTTTCAAGGCCAAACACCTGACACATGGTGAGAGCTGCCTGGCAGTCTCACCCTGCCATGGTCCCAATCATGTGACAGCCTCAGCTGGTGGCTACCAAGACAATGGCTCACCTGCCGCCCAGAGCCGATGAAGCCCGTGGACAAATTGAGCCACAGGTTCTCCCTGACGCCGGTCTCATCGCAGGACCATTTGGAGGGGTCCGAGGGGGTATAGCGGCCCCACTTTCCCAGACCCGTCTCCAGCTGCGGCAAGTTCTCAGCGTAGCGGCTCACTTTCCTCTCCTCCTCCCACTGCGCAGCCTGCTCCGCTGTGCTCGCCCCGGCACTCTCCTGGACAGGCGCATGCGCATGCATGTCATTGCTAAGGTGGAGGTCCCAGTTCTCATGCATGCATGCAAGGATGGTGGTATGTGTGCCTTCCGATGCGCATGCATATGATGCTAAAATGCCATGCATGCATGGCCACATGTGTGCATTGTGGTGCGCTTCTGTGTTGATGCTGAAGCTTCTTGCACGCATGCAACATGTCCAACAAATTGAATGCAGGACTTGATGGATGTTGGCTCCGCAGAACTCAAGATGGGAGACTTTGCCATTTTCTTGACACATGCATAATGATATTTTGGCAATAGGGAATGACATGTGGAGAGCTGCAGGGCATGGGGCTCACCAGGACGCCATCGATGGCCTGGATGACAATGTCTGGCAGTTCTGGGCAGGGCAGGGGCAGGCGAAGGAACTCTGGGAGCACCACCAACGTGTTGATCTTCTCGATGGTGAACTTGTCTGCATCCACCTGGAAGCCACCATCCCCGCCAATGGCCAGCTTGTCTGGCTTGGCCTCCATGCTTGCCTTCTCCTCATCTGGCAGGGGGACCTGGACATCCACAGGCATGGCTGAAACGAGCACCTGATGTAGCTCCAAAGGAGACAGCACCGGCACATCCCATCAGCAACCCTACATACATGGACACGGGGGAAATTCCATCAGGGATGTGTGGTTTTTGAGAGGAGGAAACCTTGTGCCATTGCTGATGCAGGTACAGGAGATTGTTGCTCCTCTGGTAATCCAGGAGGACGTACTCCTCTCCGAAGGACTGCCAGGTGGACAAGTTGACGAAAAGACCGCCAGGAGACAGCGGCGTGTCAAAGCTGAAGGCACACTCCTCCTTGAGCACTCTGTCGTAGGCCCCTGGCACCTTTGGAGTCTTCTGGCGCATGGCTGCACGAACCACCTCCAGGGTGGCCTCGTCCACGGCCATTATTCCCTGCTAATACGCAAGATGCGTTCTATCCAAGAGGAGTGTGACTTTCACACAGTGATGGTGAGAGTTTGATCACCAATAGCAAAGACGAGATGTTGCGCACGGGCACAGCTCTCACTTCTCAAAGTATTGTCAGAGGCACATTGTGTTGAAGAGTAAATGTGAGATTATTCTTATCTTCATCATGCACTTAATGAATTAGACTGCACTTCACCTTGACTTCTCACCAGGATCTAGCACTTTCTTGAAGACAAAGTCTCTTCCAAGTATCAGGGGAATCAAATGAAGTGGACTATAATTTTGATAGTAGTACGATAATACAGCTGCAATGCTGGGACAAAACAATTACCTTTGTGATGATGCCTTCTGCTAATCAGCACACGACTGAGTCGAATCTGGCACGTTTTTGCATTCGCGCTTCCAAATTTCTGATTACTTCAATAAGCCAAAAGACGAGAGGCATGTGGGAATCGAAATGCGCTTGAGATCAACAAGACTGGAAGCCCAAAGAAATCCAAGGAACGCCTTGTAACAGAGCCCTTGGCAGTATGAATGACCTTGAGACAGGTGGGCGAAGGCACTGCAAAGACAACGATGCAGCGTATCTGAGGCCCTCATGTCGATGTAGAGCCCCATCTTAAAACTCCTGCTGCGGTGTAGCTGAGATCAATGCCACAGAAGTGTTCTTACTCCGGTATCAATATCGCCTTTATAATTGCCTTCAGATTTGCGCATATATACGCATATGCGCCATGCCATACTTTCTTGCAACCTTCATAAGATACGCTACTCTGTAAAGGCGCTGCTCATGAATTTACATGCATATATCCCAGCGCATGCAGTTGCATGGCACAAAGAAAGCATGCGGGTCTTCTGCTTGCCATGCGGCCAAGGACTTAAAGCAAGTCATTCCAGTTCCAAACTGCCTGCTCACAGTACCTCTCATCTGTGCATTGATCCGGGCCTTGGAACACTGTTGTACTCTGTATAGTCTGTGCAGTCAACCTACGAGGCACTGCAGCTCATCCCTTGCAACCTATTTCAGAGCTGCAGAAGTACAGTAAATCAATTGTGTGCAGGACCTGGGGAACTGGGCTCCAGGTCACTACAAGACCCAGCGTCAACACAGTCTCATGGATACATCAATCAAAGAATCCCTACAGGACACTCTCCTAGCATATGACAGGGCATGCTATGTGAAGAAGCAAAGCTGGTCCGACCTGAAGACCATCTTAAGAGCTCTCAACGAATCTAAAAAGCTGTATAGCAATTCCATCATGCAAGCAAATATAATTGACATAACACCGCGCTTCTAATCTTGTCTCCATGGCAGCACAGTGTCACAATCCGTGTCCCCCTAGCTCGGCCATCATGGCCTGATCAGGACTGTTTGGATCGTTCCTTTTGGTTCCTTTTTCAAACGCACCCAGCCCCGAGGGCTGGAACAAGCGCTTAATAATAATGCTAATATCTCTCAAACAGTGCCAATGTTGTGCAAGCTGACCCAGCAGCTGGAGGGGCAGTTGCAGCTCTCTGCGCTCGCAGCATCTTGCGCATGGATCTCAGGTTGGGACCTTGCTTGCCGCTGGTGTGCTCAACCATCCTGCAGCCAATTATTATTATTTTATTAGCAACACACATTTTCCTGCTGTATTTTGGGTTTGGGCGTCTGCAGCCATGTCTGCGGGGCGTCCAAAAGTCTGCAGCCTGGTGTTGCATCGCATCTCATCTCATCAAATCTCATGTGGCAAACCCTCATGCACTCCCTGTACAAGTACCGGATATTGTTACTATCATTACTACACGCTATTTCTGCCAAGAGGCAAGGTATGTCTGCAGACAAGCAGCAGTGAAGGCCGCCAAAATCATACCCCTTGATGTTTTTGCTAGGTCCAAGCAAAACCCAGTCAACGGTGGCCATGGTGCTCAGTATCTGTACCGGCCTTTGCCAGCCAGGGCCATATATTGTTGTTTGTATTACACATTTGTCTGTTGATGTCATGGCAGAAGAGCTTGAGCTGGCTGCAGCTGTTTGGCTGCCTGAGTTTACACCAGGGCATGCCTTAAACTGCAGATGCTGCCTTCAGTGGCTTCTGGTACAGGTGGAGGTTGTGGCTCATCTTTGTACCAAGGGAGCCTTCGCAGCTCTGCGAGTGGGCCTGGCTTTTTGAGTTCCATCTGAACCAGGTCAATGGCACCCTGTGCAGTCAAGGGAATTTGATCAAGAAGATTTTGATCAAGAATTTGCTGCTCTGACGAATGTTCTTGGTCACATCAATTCAGCTGAATTCGGTGAGATTTTGATCGGTAAGGTACTTGCACTGACTGTGCACCTGGGTCATGTGATTGCCCACAAAGTTGGTTGTTGGCCCACGTTGAGGCCTCTCATATCCTAGTTGAACTACTCTCTTTTGGCCGTCCGGAAGTTCCGTGAGAGGATCGTACCCACTTTTTGTATCACACTGTGCAGCGACGATCACCCAAATTTTCAATCGTAAAGGATCACCGTCGCTGAACAAAGAAAGCCAAACGCACGTCAATTTCAGAAGCTTTTAATTATTGAGCATTATTTTCTCTGGTTGATGTCGAATTTCTATCACCTTTACATAAGGACCACCGTGTGGTTGCTTAGTCCAAATCTGTTTGCTGTGATGCCGCTCTTGATCCTTCCGCCTCCTCTTCATCAGCTCCTCGCGGGAAGCATAGTCCTCGAATAGTTTTTCCAATTCTTTTAATAGAGCTGAATCCATTGTATATGTCTTCAATGCAAATGTAGGAAGGCAGATCGAATAAACTCTGAAAAGAGGTGTGTAACGCCTGCCACGTTACACGGAAGACTGACACATCACCCTTGCCCAGGCATTCTTCAATTGGGATTCCAATTTACAGAATTTGAGAGTAACAAACGTTTCTCGGCATCATGAACGACGCAAATCTAATGCGCTCACACCTGCAAAGCATCCCTACAGTCTCCTGTTTCTTAAAAACAACACAAGAGGTGATTTCATCAATGGAGGCCGACTGCACTCATAACACGCTCAGAACTCGTTCACACACAGCAAGACTACAGAATAGGCCGGCCGCTGTTCATTTCATGCACAGCTGTCTCCGTCCTGTCTGCACAGGGTATCTTTCCACAGCCTCTCACGTGTGCGTGCGAATGCACTGCATGATGTCTGCCACAACACATAAAATGTTCTTGTCAGCACACAAGGCCCAGGCATGCACCACGCAGTCTATCATTTGACAGCAGGTTTTAAGGAATCCAGCACTGCCAGTTAGGCTCCTGCACACGATAAAGACTGAGAGCTACTGTGCCCATTTGCAGAATGATGAAAAATGCACCCTCATAATATATATGCCATGCAGCACTGCTTCTCAGTCTGCTGCAGGTCTTGTGCACTTCAGAACTACAGAAAGCAAGAGCAGTCTTTTTGAAGTCCTAATCACGCCTGCCGATCAGGTGGCAGGTCATTTTCCCAAAATGCGCACACCTTCATTCTTTAGGAAGCCTTACAATTTTGTGCAATGAGAGCTAGTAAAAGCAAGATCAGGGAAGGATCACTCACCCCCGCTGATCAGGATGCAGGTAGTGTTCTCTTCGCAGGGTGCGACCTGCTTGTTGCTAGCGCAGGCGGTGGGGCCGTACTGGCTTTGGCACCAGGGCCCCCAGCCGCCGCACACCTCGCCTTCCTTGGCTATGATCGGGTCCTGCTCCTGCGCAACACACGAGCCAATTCCTCAATGCTGGCGCACTGAAGAAGTCATTCCTGCTTCCGTGTGCTCTGTTGCGGGCCGCTGAGCTCTCAAGGGGATCCCTCAAGGATAAAGAAAACACAGCAAAAGGCTGGACGCAATCAACTTGACAACTCTCTCGTCCCACATGAGTGGTATTAATGGCCTCATGCACCATCCTTTCAGTGTCATTACTGCTATGTGCTGTTCCTGCCAGACGCAAGGTGCAACGTACAAGCCAGTCCTTTCACACTATCCTTGGCCCACTGGGCACTAGTTATAAGCCTGCCTGCCCATATGGCTTGCACGTAAATGCCATGTGTCTCAAGGTATTCATTGCGTGCTTTTCTGGCGCTGCTCTGTCAGTCGTCCACGCATCACCGCTCGGGCCCTTGCTAAAAGTGGTGGTTGAGCACCAAAGCTGCTGCATCAGCAATACCGCAAGCGCATGCTGAAGTCACTGTCAAGGGACGGACTCCTGTGATGGTTGGATTTTTATCTCATCGGCAGCGCAAAGGAGGACAAATGCCAAATTGCTCTCCATTTTTGACATGTTTTACCCCGAAAATTTTCACTTGTGAGCAGCAAGGACCTGGGTGGCTTCTGTCAGCCGCCTGCCGCCCTGAGCGCTGCCGCCGCCGCCGCCGCTGGCGGGGGGCGGCGGCACTTGGTCGGGAAATGGAGCCACGGTCTGCAGGGGGACGTCAGGAGGCGTGAGGGGCAATCCATTGTACGAGTTGGGCAGGCACTCCTGCAGCGCATGACAGGCAAAAAATCAGTCCCTGCACAGCTCCAATTGACACAGCTCCAACTGTTGCTTTCAATCCAAACATATAAAGACTGCTGCCGACCCTGATGTTGTCATTACCTGACTAGTATCTCTCTGAGCTTGGGTAACAAAGAAGGGCACAAGCACCCTGTGTTCCTCTCTTTATGGCAAGCAAGGCAGACACACATGTTGATTTTATCTTCAAAGTTTGCAGCGCAAGCAGATGGGCCCTTTTGGCGCACCCAGAAGTTGGCGCTCATTCGGATGCACTGGGAAGTCTTAATGGCGCAGCGCAGGTACTGCGAGTCGGTGCAGAAGGAGCTGACGAGCGGGCAGGTCTCTGTGCCGCCGCACTGCCCGTAGTCCGGTACCCCGGTGTGATTACGGCCCGCAGGGTTCGTCTGCCGCTTGCCGCCGGTGTAAGGTTCCGGGAGCGGGCCGAGCCCGGAGGGTGTTGGAGCTTCTGACGCCTGCAGCAGCCGCCTGCCGCTGG